AATAACGCTGGAATCAGCATTATTCCAGACATATGACAGCGGTCTGCAACCCATGCTTGCCGTAAGAGCCGACTAACGGCATCAGGTGGTCAGGCTCGCTGACTTGGTTGATGCATGTCATCGTATCCCAATTGCGTGGATCGATGCTCATGATATCCATCACTGGATTGTCTGGTCCAGACTCAATTATTAACAGACCGCCGTCATATAGGTGGAATACTGCTGAATGCGGCGTTAAACAACAAACGAACGAACGAACGAATGTTGTGTTTCTCCTCCTGACATTAATTTTGTATTACATATATATCTAAGGTTGTATTTTATGCGTTTTATTTCGGATACTGTCCTAGGTTAACACTGGTTATCTCAGGTTGGATCTAGTCTGTCGTATCCCGCATATTTACTGCGTAATTACCATAAGCATTTCTAAACCCCATCACGATGTCTCGTCTGTCACAAAATGCATACATATCATTGTATATTTAGTCATGGTCCTGTCAATCTAAGTTTCATTTGTACACACGCTTCACATTAAAAACATTGATATCGATATGGTCATGGCATATTTTATTATGTTATGGTTGAGTGGGAATTTCCTTCATTAAGGAATGACGTCGCTGAATGATTTTGGCTGCATGGTGGAGATCGCTGTTCGCGCCGCGCGACTTCATTGTTTAATGAAGACATATTACTTGCAAATGTAGTTCAGTCTCTAAAAGCGTTTTACAATATCTCCATCAATGTCGTAATTTCATCAGATCGCGTTGACTATTATTACACGCATTTGTTTTCAAATTGAGCATTAATCCATTATTCTATTTTGCGACCCACTCAGATGGCAGTTTCGAAAACGATTTACTTCTTCCAGATATATAAAAAACGAACTTTTATTTTAAAACAAATAATCACAGAATCCCCATTGAGACTGAAAGCGTGTACTGTACATAATTCTCAATTAAGTGGAGGTGAATTTTATTATCTATTTTAAAGAATACAACGTCACATGGTCTAACCTTGCAAAATACCGTCGATTGTTTTTGAAGAACAAAATCTGAACCATAAAGACCGTCTCAAAGTTTAAAATATATCTATGTTTTTAAGCATCCCAATATGAAACGAAATTAATACTTTGTCATCCTGCTGTGCATATTGTGTATTGGAATATTCTATCTGCATCCCTCTACCACCGTGATGTTTTTTTGTTGAGTAATAAACGTGTGGTACTATCATCAAATTCCTCTTGACAGCTATACATAAACATCTTACGTCAACTACATCATTTGACGAATTCATGCTTTTGTGTCCAGTTCTGTTTGTTGTAAATAATACTGTTGCATGCAAGTCCATAATATTAGGAAAGTCAAGATTACTGCAGTATTCTGGTCGACGGGATCTCAAGGTACAGATGCAGTTCACGCACGCATCAATCGATATCAGGTGCGTCAGAGCAGGTGTGAGCGCCCGTTACAGCCCAACTTGCATAGCAATATCGGAAAAGGAACTGTAAGCATGAAATTTATGAATTCCTTAAATATGTACTTATAGTACACAAAGGATCTCAAGTAAATGAATATGTGGTATAAATACCTATTATCAAAGACGCATATAAATTTAATATCTATATACGTATGTGATATCATGTTCTGTTTCGTGTGTTAATTGATATGTTTTATAACTGAATATGTGAATAATAATACAGAATACGTCTATCAGTTTAGATTTGTTGGATAAGCTTGCAATTCTGATTAAATCCTTCTCGCGTGTACACTGAACGATCACCATGAAGATAAATACGAACGCGCCCACCAAGCTGGGGAGGCTATTTTTACTTGTGGATAACAAAGGGTCAATTATTGACATAGGAGCTGTTGTGGCCGGAAACAGCCTTCACATAAAACCATCCTCTAGTTGCTCACGCGTGACCAGTTACGCTGCAGCATGAACAGATCAGAGACGAGAGCACCATATAAATGAAGCTTTTCAAACTCACCCGAGTCTTCAGCCATTGAGTCGGAACGGCGACAGCCTTGATAAATCAACTCAACAACATCCAAAGGGACATAACTTTTGGACATTGCTTTATACATATATTAAGCATTTTTAGAGTCTTGAAATTGCAAGTTCGAACCTACACAGTTTGTTTTCTTTAACACTAACGACGCTTTATTTTGGCATTAGGGTCTTTTATATACAATTAATATCAGAAAATTTAGTTTTATCTGTAGTTTAAAAAGTTGTATATGGGAATTATCCAAAATCATACATTTATATATCAGAGAGTCTTGCCACAGATCAGCAGGCAGACATATTCATAATTCTTGTGTTTCTTGATCTAGGCAATTGGGATACGATGACAAGCATCAATGACGTCACCTAGTCTGACCACCGAGCTCGAGCTCGTTAGAAGTCTCTTACGACAAGCATGGTTTGCTGAAGATCAATTCTTAGATATAGTGAGTGAGTGAATGAGTATGGTTTTACGCCGCTTTTAGCAATATTGCAGCAATATCACGGCGGGGGACACCAGAAATGGGCTTCACACATTGTACCCATGTCAAGAATCAAACCCGGGTCTTCGGCGTGACGAGCGAACGCTTTAACCACTAGGCTACCCGACCGCCCCCTTAGATATAGTGACTGGAAAGATACATTGTACTCTAATCAAAGAGAAACTGTTCAAACTTTTCATCATGACATGCTAATCAACAGTTTATTACTTATAAAGGCTGTGATATATGTATGATTCTTTTCTGAAAAACACAAAATGTTTTTATGATGTGCTTATCAGGCAGTTCTCAGGCAATGACATATGAGAGCCTGGTGAGAGAAGGGGGAGCTCGGTGAGAGAAGGTAGAGCCTGGAAAGTGAGTGAGTGAGTGAGTGAGTTGGGTTTAACGCCGCTTTTAACAGTATTCCAGTTATATCACGGCGTGTCAGCTTAATGTGGGAGGAAAGCCCGAAGTGATGCAGGTCTTAGACGTTTACCACTTCGGTGAAACCCACAAGCACGGGTATGGTGCTGACAAACCTAGAAACATAATCGGGGTGAACCGGGATTCGAACCCACAACCATAGGTTTCTGGCGTGTCCAGGCGACGTAACTCTGCACAGCGAATCACGGCACCTTAGACGACTGGGCCACCCGTGCCCCCAGAGAGAAGGGAGAGCCTGGTGAGAGAAGGGAGAGCTCGGTGAGAGAAGGTAGAGCCTGGAGAGCGAAGGGAGAGCCTGGTGAGCGAAGGGAGAGCCTGGTGAGAGAAGGGAGAGCCTGGTGAGAGAAGGGAGAGCCTGGTGAGAGAAGGGAGAGCCTGGAGAGAGAAGGGAGAGCCTGGTGAGAGAAGGGAGAGCCTGGTGAGAGAAGGGAGAGCCTGGAGAGAGAAGGGAGAGCCTGGTGAGAGAAGGGAGAGCCTGGAGAGAGAAGGGAGAGCCTGGTGAGAGAAGGGAGAGCCTGGTGAGAGAAGGTAGAGCCTGGAGAGCGAAGGGAGAGCCTGGTGAGAGAAGGGAGAGCCTGGAGAGAGAAGGGAGAGCTCGGTGAGAGAAGGGAGAGCCTGATGAGAGAAGGGAGAGCCTGGAGAGCGAAGGGAGAGCCTGATGAGAGAAGGGAGAGCCTGATGAGAGAAGGGAGAGCTCGGTGAGCGAAGGGAGAGCCTGGTGAGAGAAGGGAGAGCCTGGAGAGCGAAGGGAGAGCCTGGTGAGAGAAGGGAGAGCCTGGAGAGAGAAGGGAGAGCCTGGAGAGAGAAGGGAGAGCTCGGTGAGAGAAGGGAGAGCCTGATGAGAGAAGGGAGAGCCTGGTGAGAGAAGGGAGAGCCTGGAGAGAGAAGGGAGAGCTCGGTGAGAGAAGGGAGAGCTCGGTGAGAGATGGGAGAGCCTGGAGAGAGAAGGGAGAGCTCGGTGAGAGAAGGGAGAGCTCGGTGAGAGAAGGGAGAGCTCGGTGAGAGAAGGGAGAGCCTGATGAGAGAAGGGAGAGCCTGGAGAGAGAAGGGAGAGCTCGGTGAGAGAAGGGAGAGCTCGGTGAGAGAAGGGAGAGCCTGGTGACAGAAGGGAGAGCCTGGTGACAGAAGGGAGAGCCTGGTGAGAGAAGGGAGAGCCTGGAGAGAGAAGGGAGAGCCTGATGAGAGAAGGGAGAGCCTGATGAGAGAAGGGAGAGCCTGATGAGAGAAGGGAGAGCCTGGAGAGAGAAGGGAGAGCTCGGTGAGAGAAGGGAGAGCTCGGTGAGAGAAGGGAGAGCTCGGTGAGAGAAGGGAGAGCCTGATGAGAGAAGGGAGAGCCTGGAGAGAGAAGGGAGAGCTCGGTGAGAGAAGGGAGAGCCTGACTAGAGAAGGGAGAGCCTGATGAGAGAAGGGAGAGCCTGGAGAGAGAAGGGAGAGCTCGGTGAGAGAAGGGAGAGCTCGGTGAGAGAAGGGAGAGCCTGGAGAGAGAAGGGAGAGCTCGGTGAGAGAAGGGAGAGCCTGGAGAGAGAAGGGAGAGCTCGGTGAGAGAAGGGAGAGCCTGGTGACAGAAGGGAGAGCTCGGTGAGAGAAGGGAGAGCCTGGAGAGAGAAGGGAGAGCCTGGAGAGAGAAGGGAGAGCTCGGTGAGAGAAGGGAGAGCCTGGTGACAGAAGGGAGAGCTCGGTGAGAGAAGGGAGAGCTCGGTGAGAGAAGGGAGAGCTGGGTGAGAGAAGGGAGAGCTCGGTGAGAGAAGGGAGAGCCTGGAGAGAGAAGGGAGAGCCTGGTGAGAGAAGGGAGAGCCTGGAGAGAGAAGGGAGAGCTCGGTGAGAGAAGGGAGAGCTGGGTGAGAGAAGGGAGAGCTCGGTGAGAGAAGGGAGAGCCTGGAGAGAGAAGGGAGAGCTCGGTGAGAGAAGGGAGAGCCTGATGAGAGATGAGAGAGACTGGTAAGAGAAGGGAGAGCCTGGTGACAGAAGGCAGACCCTGTCTTAATTTTTCAATGGGAAAGGGGGCAACTCTCTCCAACCAAGCAGAAACTAGCAATGGTTTTATTGGTCCAGATTCAGGAGAAACCATGAGAATCAAATAATATTTATTGAGCTTTATTTACACACTTATGAAACATTATATTGTGATGACAGTAACTTTTATCAATATGTCAAACATTATTATTTGTTTTGAAGAAATTATTAAATTAATCACATCTAAAATAAAAACAAACAAACATAAGAATACTATTTTCATTCCTTAACAACACAAGAAGAAGAAATTATTTAATAAATCACATCTAAAATCAAAACAAACAAACATAAGAATACTATTTTCAATCCTTAACAACACAAGAAGAAGAAATTATTAAATTAATCACATCTAAAATCAAAACAAACAAACATAAGAATACTATTTTCATTCCTTAACAACACAATCTCCAACGAAGATGTAGTACAAGATTAAATCTTGAATATCCTTAAGTAATGCAATCAAAGGGACCATTGTACAAGTTCACTGATTAGGTGATTCAGATGTGTTGAAACTGTACAATTTTATCAATCATATCATATTTATAACAATATCTTCTTACTCTCACTGGCAACAGGTGATGAAATTCTTGGTGAACACATGATCAGCACTCAGGTTTAGTTTGCTGAAAGTATTCCCGCAATGCCGCCTCGGCCTTGCTGCGATTAGCCATCTTGTTGGCCTTGCCCCGATACCGGCCACCATTCAAAGCACCCTTTCCCTCCAACAGATCACAGATTCTGGAAGGAAGGGAGGTAACTGATTAGTATCCACTTTGGCTCTGAACAATGAGGCGAGATGAAATGGGGTTTAACGTCGCGTTCAAGATTATTATCGCCACTTATATAGCGATGCACATGCACATCTGTGTGTGGCTTCTCGTACTAGTCCAAGCTTATGCCAGTCTTGTAGTGCTAGCCCACTCAGACACAGTGTACGGACTCTGAGTTGACCAGTCCTTGTATTATCCCCTTAATGTTGAGCACAAGGCAGGGTAACAACAAATACCATCTTTAAGTAAAGCCTGGCCAGGGATCATACCAACCACTTGTACTCTGGACAGAGACTAGACTACTAAGGTGGTCCTGAACAATGAGAGCAGATGGGAAGCATGATTAACATTGTAGTTGGTATTACTTCATTTTTGCCCATGCTGACAGGCAACATCAATCAGCAACATTATCTGAGTCCTTACTTTGGCCCCATGTGTTTGACTACAGCCTCTGGTCCAGCGAACACAAACAGTCCAGCCCCCTTCTCATCCCCTACAGTCACAAGGCAGCTTAAACCCTGTGTGGAAGAAAAGCATTCATAATGGTTGAATTGTTATATCGATGTACTGGTGAAGTTATACAACGTGCGATATGAGTCCGAGTTGGTGACCAGAGACCATAAACTGTGGTGTTCAGGCTCAGTGACGAGTGTGATGTAGGGCTGGGCTGGGTAACTCGGGTAGGGTGGGTCCTGAGTAGGACATGGGTACCCACACGACTACCCAGACTCGAGCATAGTCAGGCGATATATATGGTTTAATGACAAAAACTCACATCAGCTCAGTGGTTACACTACAAGTCGCTGATGTTCGCATTTTTTCTGATGATGCACACATTCCTTTTCACTTGTATATGTTTGAGTAAAGATAAAGCTTCAGTCGTCTTCAGTGTACGCATGATCTGATTGTTTTATACATGTATCTCAATAGTTTTGGCCAAGGCTGCGGTAAAACAATAACCAATCAGACTTTTTGTTACCAACTCTTGGGACCTACAGTAGGTACCCGGGTAGGGTCGGGTAATAGGGGATCAGGTACCCGGGTAGTAAATTTGGACTTGTCCCAGCCCAGTGTGATGGCATGTCATTGTACCCCAACTGCAATGTCAATCACAAGATTGTATGATCCAGACACGATTATTTACAGACCACTGTCATAAAGCTGGAATATTGCTCAGTGCAGCATTGAACAATAAACAAACAAAAAGACAAAACATGAGACCCAGGTTCGATTTCCTGCACGGGTACAATGTGTGAAGCCCATTTCTGGTGTCCCCCACTGGGATATTGCTGGAATATTGCTAAAAGCGGCATAAAACCATACTCACTCACAAAACGTGAATAGCAGTTCACAACCTGTCATCTTAATATCGGAACAAAGGAAAAAATGATGCAGGTCAATATTGGTTAACACAGCACAGGTACAAAGTTGCCAGACCATGAAATGATCATTACATCTGCTACATAGAGAACCTTTTGGCAATTATGCAGCCAGAACTCTCTATTAAATGGACACACGCTGCATGTCCTTTGCATAACAGCACACTTGTACTTCCCCAAGGATTGCTAATGACAGTGTAACGTGACCCACCTCGACAGCCTGCAGCTCCCCAACCAATATGTTCATATAGTCACCATCACCCTCCTTCCTGAAACACCAAAGCAAGACTAGTACTGTAGGAGTTATGTCCCTTTGTTACTCCAACATGGCCACTGACTGAATACTTGACTGAATGATTAATTCGTTCCAGGCACATCACAGCAGGTGCACCAACACACTGAGTGAGTGAGTGAGTGAGTATGCTTTAACGCCACTTTTAGCAATATTCCAGCAATATCACGGCGGGGTACACCAGAAATGGGCTTCGCACATTGTACCCATGTCGGGAATCGAACCCGGGTCTTCGGCGTGATGAGCGAACGCTTTAACCACCAGGCTACCCGACCGCCCCAACCAACACACTGAACCACTGAGGGATTCTATTGTGTGATAAGCAAACGCCTTACCCCTTGGCTACCCACTGCCTGTGTAATCCACATAAAAATGAACTGGAAACTGCACTGGGTTTGATGCTGGTTTAACAATAATACAGCTTTGAGTATGAAATCGGTTGGGCACATACAAAGACAACAGAATGAGCACCGAACCAATCCACAAACAATATACCACTACACACATTCTGAGATAAAATATTTTTCATAATTTAAAGGGTTCAATTTGATCTATAACAGTACATCAGCTTACCTGTGAGTCACAAACACAGTTTCCTTCTCTACTTTTGACTTGAAAGCCTGAGCCTCCAATACAGCAACCTCCTTCAACAAGCCAGTGGATGTCTGGAACATAGAATATTTTCATACTTGTCACAGCGGTTGTGTACAGCAGTTGTTGAGATACAAAGGAAACTACCAAACATTGGACCCGTGAAGACCCAGGGTAGAGTAGGTCTTCAGAAGCCTATGCTTGCCGTAAAAGGATACTAGGCTGTCATAAGAGGCGATTAATGGGATCGGGTGGTCAGACTCGCTGACTTGGTTGATGCATGTCATCATCTCCCAACTGTGTGGATCGATGCTCATGATGTCAATCCCTGGGTTGTCTGGTCCAGACACGATTATTTACAGATGGTCGTCATATAGCTGGAATATTGCTGAGTGCGTCGTTAAACAACAAGCAAACCAACCAAACATTGCTATATCTGAGACATTTATCAACCAATCACATTTAAATCAGATCTTAGTTCTCGCTACCCAAAGATCTGAAGACATCCCATTGTGGGTCATGTCAGACGGACCTTTCGTGAAACTTTGACCGACCAATGGAATGACTGACAATAAGTCAACATCAGCCAATCAGAAGGTAGCTTTCTCCTGTTTTCTGACACTAGTTTCAAACTGGCGACTATGCTTCCAAACATATTTTGACAAATTCTCGTTTAAAATGTGAAAACTGAACAAAAGAACATTCTTTATTGGCTATTAGATGGCTTAGATTGTATGGATACAGTCATAAAGCCCATAAATGTTGTTCAGAATGTTAAATTTTTCAAGGTTGCACGACTAGAAAACAAAATCCGACTGTCACTTTCATGATCTGGTAAGCGACGCTTTGACTGGTCAGATGAAAGGTCCTTCTGACGTGACCCATAATAGGATGTCCTCAGATCTTGTTGAGCGGTAGCAAGAACTAAGATCTGATTTTAAAGAGATTGAACAGCAACAGAAATTATGATGTACAGACCTTGAAATAGGTGCTAGGTTCTCAGTATTTACTATTGATCTACAAATTTACATCTTCAAACATGACATTTATTCGCCTACACTGAAAGAAGATATCAGGCATTGAAAGAAAGGGAAATACCATCATGACTGACTGCTTGAAATAAATTCATCAGAATAGATTAGTCAAAGAATAAGATTTTACAAATCATAAAGGTCTGTCAAGGCATATATACAGCCAGTAATTAGTCAATATTCAGTTCAATATAAATGTTTATTGCATGAAAGGCCATAGGCCCAAATACATGACGAGCACACCATACATTGTAGGATCAAGGTAGAAAAGGTAAATACATTGTTGGACTGACAGTTGAATTATGTATTTATTTGGCACGTATTGCTTTTGAAATTCTCCAAAGGATGGTCATATATAGTGATTGTTATGAGTTTATGAAACAAGTGTCAGAATTTTTGTATTTCCCGAGCGAAAGCACTGTTAATAGATGAATTCCTACAAAAGTTTCATAAAATCAGTGTCACACACGCGAGTATTATAATTTCTTTATTACCCATTATTTCTTAATCCTTTTGAGCTCCCCTTTAGAAACATGCACTGATCAGTGACCACAACTGCCGTCTTAGAAAACCCAAACTGTCCATTGACGTCAAGAATCTGACGTCAACAATCTGTGACGTCATTTCTAGTGTGACGTCATTCTGTCTTTATGTCACAATAACATTCGAATGACGTCAACAATGCCGTCCACATGACATAAACCATACACTGGTGCGCGTGAAGTGATGTTTGCACTAGTAGACATTCGATACCATGAACTCAGTTATTCTTAACCTTATGGGAAAAGAAACGTGAAATGATACAGATAATTGATATTGCTATGAGAGAGTGAGAAACAAGACCGACCTTCTGGACAGCCTTCCAGCCCTTCACAGCTTTATCTGCCAGATCAACGTGTTGGTCTAAAGGACCTCTGAAATAAAACATCTTTCCTTTTAAACACCTCACAGGGGTTAATAGTGAATGAGTGAGTGTGGCTTAATACTGCTGTCAGTAATATTCCAGCAAAATCATGAAGGGGGACACCTGAAATATGGCAGGTATCAAACAATGTTTCATCACTTGAGGCTTCGCTACTGCACCCTCAGTGGTTAGAAAATGAATTCAATAACCATACAACAGGTGAGGTGAGGTGAAATGGGGTTTAACGTCACGTCCAAGATTATTGCACTTATATAGCGACATGCATGCACGTGTATATGTGTGTGTGTGTGTGGCTGCTTGTACTAGTCCGGACTGATGCCGATTCATAGTGCTAGCACACTGAGATACCATGCCGCAGTTTAACATGAATACCCCACTCAGACACAGTATACTGACTCTGAGATGACCAGTCCTTGTTTTAGCCCCTTAATGCCAAGCGCCAGACAGGGTAACAACAAGTACCAATCTTTTAACGTCTTTTGGTATGACGCGGCTGGGGATTGAACCCCGGACCTTCCGCTCTCCGGGCGGACGCTCTACCACTAGACCATGGAGGCGATATTGCATTATTCTCAAAATTTCAATTAATCTTTGGATACTCAAAATAATTTTACTCCCTTGGGTATTTTTAGACCAAAGGGTAGATATGTTTTGAAAATAATTCTGCTTAAAACTTCTACCAAACGCCAATCGTGAAAATATTTCTTTTCCTCCGTCACAAGATGAGAGAAACATGATATTTTACTCGACACATGAAGTATCCTCTATTAATCAAGAATTCAAAACTAGGTGCCCCGAGCAGGCAAATTGGGAAAAATTGTTACTCATTTAAAAACTATTATATTTTAAATGTTCTTATTTTCTTAATTCCAGATGTATTGTATTCAATGCAATCATCATAAATTAAACAGCTTCCTCTTTATTAGTCCTGTTTTCAATGAAATCCAATTCACTGTGACCAAGCCATCACTTCAGTTATAAATATAACATTGAGAATTTTTTAATTCCCATTTGGGAATGTCTACTGACATTTGCTGCAGACTTGGAGCCCAAATATCGGCCTCAGAGCAGGTTTAGATAAAACCATGATGTATAACAATGTTTTCATGATACCTATACATTCATAGTCCTGTCCATAAGAATCCAGGACATGGCAACATCACAACTGAATATGTTAATCATAATTTCTTTCCATTTTTATATATAATTTAGGAAGATTAAATATCCATAAAAAACATCTGATTGATAAAAAATATTTTTGAACTGCTACAATTGTCTGATTATTTAGCAAAGGAATAAGACTAATCATAATGAAAGGGGGATAACTCCAAATTTCTGTTACATTGAAAGAAAATTGAATATGTTGAAGTAATTGGACTTGATACTTCAGCTTACCACAAAACAAAATAATATCTTGAGTGCGAGTATACTTTTTACATCACGTAATATGCAAAGCATTGTGCAACAAAAACCTACAGGATGTATGCAGGGTCTTGTAAGTAGTGGTTGCAAAGTCAAATCCATACTGAGATTGTATGTTTGTTTGTTTGTTTGTTTATTGTGTAACACCACACTTGGCAATAATTCCAGCGATATGATGGCAGTGTGTAATGTATCAAGTGTGGACGAGACAATCCAGTGATTGACTATATGGGTATCATCTACGCAGTTGGGATACGATGACATGCATCAACCAAGTCAGCGAGCCGGACCACCCGATCTTGTTAGATCTTGAATATTTAAAGGTCACTACCAGACAAAAGAATAAAATGAAATTGATTTCTAAATTAATTTCTGTAATGAAATGCTAGTTGTGAGAAATGAGAAATAAAAGTGGCTGTTTGTGATGTATGAAGGTGTTACTTTGCACCCTATGCTGATGTAGTGAAAGAGAAAATAACTTTTCAAACTTTGTGGTCAATGGATCGATAAACTAGCTAATTTCAACAAAATGTCTTATCATGTTTGGGTCATAAAAACTTGAAAGGCAGCAATGTAATCCATCACTGTAATGGAATATTCCTGAAAAATAAATCTACTTGACTTATCTTTGGTTGGTTGGTTTGTTGTTTAATGCCGCACTCAGCAATATTCCAGCTATATGACAGCGGTCTGTAAATAATCGAGTCTGGACCAGACAATCCAGTGATTGATATCATGAGCATCGATCCACGCATTTGGGATCGAAGACATGTATCAACCAAGTCAGCGAGCCTGACCACCCGATCCCGTTAGTGGCCTTTTACGACAAGCATATTCACCTTTTACGGCAAGCATAGGTTGCTGAAGACAACTGTTGCTGTAATTTTGGTTGCCTGGTGACTGATACTGTTACTATGGAGATGCCTCGTCACAATCAGACAAGTAACAACTAACAAGTGCGAGTGGAGTAACGTGAGGTAGCCCATGCACGTACTGTACACATGTAGCAGCCATTGTGGCCACAAGATCGTGATTGAGCCATCACGAGAAGCCGGAGTAACCGGAGGTCCCAATTAGTATGAGAGAATATGTGTGGTCTACAACACTCGAAGCAATATCCCAGCTGTATCGCATCCAGGCACACCTGAAATGGGCTTCGCATATTGTATCCATGTGGACAATCGAACCCAGGCCTTCGGCGCCACTAGCTGTTGATTGATGTCGATTGTTGTTTATCGCCGCACTCAGTTATATTCCAGCTATATGATGGCAGTCTGTAAATAATTGAGTCTGGACCACACAACCCAGTGATTGACATTATGAGCATCAATCTACGCAGTTTGGATATGATGACATGCATCAACCAAGTCAGACCACCCAATCCCATTAGTCGCCTCTTATGACAAGACGCCGAAAACCCAGGTTCAATTTGCAACATGGGTACAATGTGTGAAGGCCATTTCTGTTGTCCCCAACTGTAATATTGCTGGGTATTGCTAAAAGCGGCATAAAACCATACTCACTCACTCACTCACTCTTATGCCAAGCATAGTCGTCTTTTATTTAAGCATGAGTTGCGGAAGACCTATTCTAACCTGGATCTTCACGTGTTGCATCACCAGCTTGTACAACTAAGCCAACCACCCCTCCCCACGACCAGGTGACTTACTTGAGTACACCAGTGAGAGTTTTCTCTACAGCACAACACCGGCCCAGGTAGGACAGGACTCGGTCACCAGCTACAAAGAACAAGTTGGTTTTCCCCTTCTTTCCCTTCTCAGTGTACAACAGTTTTATTGCCTGAAACCCAAACAGTCAAAGTCAGTTCATGTTTTCACAACATCAATAAATGAAAGCACTTTTTTAGAAACTTTGTGGAAAAATACTGTACAGTGGAAACATAATCTGTCATGAAATATACAAGCCGATAAACAAAACTACATATGTATATCGGTGAAAATACCCTGTTGGCATGAAATGATAAAGGGAGGCAATAATTATCTCCCCTGTTTTAAACTTTGATTGTGAGCTGTTTCAAGCTATGGTCAAGGAGTGAGAGAATGAGTAATCTGTGTATTGTAAGTATAAATATAGAAATATACATGAATATATACAAGATCTGATGATTAGGTATTTCTGAGAGCTCTTAGACATAAAGCATGTTTAACAAATTCAGCACAATTCATAAGTAACATTGCTGACGAGTAGCGCCTTGCGGTGACTTCGATGTTGAAGACCTAAGTTTCTACAGACGAGAGATCCTACCCACTGATGGGAACTCGTCTGGGAGTCCGACTAATAAAAAGGACAATAAACACAGGAACAATAGTGCCAAGTATTCTTCTGTATATACAGGATATGTAGTACAAAGAATAGGAAAGGGTACACGTATCGGCTATCTGTGGTGGTGTTCAGTCGACAGCTGCTGTGCCAGGACCAAGGGACCGAACGGAAATGTGGGGAGCCAAGACTGTTTCTGACTTCCAGAAGCACCTTTCCACAAAGGCAGAGAGGGTGCAGACCGAACGGAAATGTTGAAAGCCAAGACTGTTTCTGACTTCCAGACGCACCTTTCCATAAAGGCAGAGATGGTGCAGACCGAACGGAAATGTGGGAAGCCAAGACTGTTTCTGACTTCCAGAAGCACCTTTCCACAAAGGCAGAGAGGGTGCAGACCGAACGGAAATGTTGAAAGCGAAGACTGTATCTGACTTCAAGAAGCACCTTTCCATAAAGGCAGAGATAGTGCAGGCCAAACAGAAATGTGGGAAGAGAAGACTGTATCTGACTTCCAGAAGCACCTTTCCATAAAGGCAGAGATGGTGCAGACCGAACGGAAATGTGGGAAGCGAAGACTGTATCTGACTTCCAGAAGCACCTTTCCATAAAGGCAGAGATGGTGCAGACCGAACGGAAATGTGGGAAGCCAAGACTGTATCTGACTTCCAGACGCACCTTTCCATAAAGGCAGAGATGGTGCAGACCGAACGGAAATGTGGGAAGCCAAGACTGTATCTGACTTCCAGACGCACCTTTCCATAAAGGCAGAGATGGTGCAGACTGAACGGAAATGTGGGAAGCGAAGACTGTATCTGACTTCCAGAAGCACCTTATCATAAAGGCAGAGATGGTGCAGACCGAACGGAAATCTGGGAAGCGAAGACTGTATCTGACTTCCAGGAGCACCTTTCCATTAAGGCAGAGAGGGTGCACTTGCTGCGCAAGGCCATGGTAGAGGTGACGGCTTGACTTGTGTGCATTTGACATCACAGGGGGAGGCAATCCAGCGGGGATGTATGCCCGTAGGATGGTTGTAAGAAGCCAAAAGGAGACTGTTGTACGTGAGACTTCCGTTGTTAAGCCTCTTCTGGTGCGTCAAAGTTGTCTTGCTGCCTTAAGGTAGATTTGGAGTGCTTGAACAAGACATAGAGAGATATCTTTAAAGTCATCAGGGCTCAAGATGGACATCGGTGACAGGATGGTAAACAGCCGAACTGGTTGTCCCCGAAGCTGATTCTTGCACGATAAAATCCCAGCGAAGGCACAGAAAAACGTTCCATTCAGTAACCACTGGAACTGGACCCTGTTAAGATCCTGAGCATGGATTTTGCTAACTCGCGCAGTAGTTGCAAGGGCCAGGAGAAAGACAGTCTTCAAGGCGATCAACTAAAAAGTCCTTGTGAGCAAGCGCTTCATACTTTGTAGGATCCTAAGTTGGCAGACAGACTCTTTAAGCTTCCGGGTAGATCTTAAATGATGGGAGGTAGTCGGCGTTCTGTTGCGGAGAAACAGTGGTGGGCATGGTGATGACACGAGCTCAACAGTAGGCCTCAAATGCTTTCCTTTTGTGGTTATAGAGGGTCTTAGTAGAGGTATGGTGAGCTTTCCTGATGGTCTTCACTGCACTCATGGTCAAGACCTTTGGCGACAAGGGACCTATTGCTCTAGACGCAAAAATGAAGGGTTTTGAGTGATGGGCCGAGCAGGTGGGAGTGATGCCGAAGGAGAAGACTGTCCCTTAGTGGAAGATGGTGTAACAATCTTTCTGCGAGTTGCATCAAGGTTGTGAACCATCCCCGAGCTGGCCAGTATCAAAATACATTTCAGGAGGCTGGTAGATGCCTTTTCCTGAAGGACCCAGGGTAGAACACCCATCGGAGAAAAGGCGTATACGTTGAAGCCTTCCCACTAGATAGCCAGGGCGTCGAGGTCCCATACCTTGAGGACCCTGGATGGGAGAGATTAACCAGGAAAGCTGATCGTTTTAACCTGGTTGTGAAAAGGTTAATATCTGGGCATGGGTAAACTTCAGGTCATCGGTTAGAGATGGCATTCCGTTGGACAACGTCTGTCAGGTCAGAATTGGCTATGCTGTTGATCCCGGAATATGTCTCATTCGAACCTGAATGATCACTGAGTCGATCAGCCGGAAGAAGTTGATTGACAGTAACAGGAACAACATCGACTTGGTGGAGCCAATCTTGTTTATATAACAAACGACCGACAGATTGTCCAACTGGATCCAAAGGGACGTGGCCGTGAAGGACCCCCTTAAACTTGAGATTGTTAATATGGAGTTGCTCCTCTTCGACGTACCAGCGCCCTGCCACCAGTAGATCATGGAAATGCGTTCCCCAACCCATGGTCAAGCGTTGACGAAGAGGTGTGGAGATGGGACTAATGGCTGTAAAGAGACTCTGGCGCAAACATTCATAATGACTAGCCACCATAGATGTGGACGTAGAGATATCGACAGGCAGATCGGGACCTGGGACCTGGCAATTGTCACGCTGGAGGCAAGGCTGTTCACCTCTCAAAGTGAGAACTTGTGCTGAAGTCAGAAGACTAAGTAACCGTTGCCATTGGCGTAGAAGGAGAGGCTGTAGAAGTGCCAATGGCACGAGATGCTGTATCTCCAACCACCAGCCCGGAGCACGAACATCCTGTTCAGTCGGGTGCTGAAGAGAGCCAACTGGATCCATTTAGTGAGAGTCGTCTTGGACTTCGCTGGCGAGCCGCCCTTGCTGATGGAGAAGTAGTTGCGTATACTAGAGATGGTGCACGAGGATGTCTGGATCTGTGTAGGCCTGAATACAATCATCGATGTATGACTCGGATACGATCCCTCGCATGTGAAAAGTGAACAAATTCCAAACAGGAGCACCTCCCACTGGCAGTGGCTGCCTTGAACCAAAGGAAATGGCGGTGCTCCTGATGGACGGGTTTGTGCAGATACGCGTCTAGAAGTTCGAGACATATTGCCGCTATTGATGCCTTGAAACGAAATTTAGTGGATAAAGAATGGATATATATATCATACAAGCCATACATTGACTCGCTGAAAGTCATATTTGTTGTAGTTTGACTATTTGTTGTCAACATAAAGTTTTCGCTATCGCGAGTGTGTGCGGGAGCATTGACGGTGATTGGTCAGATTGTTCCATACGAAAAAATATTCGGGAATAGTGATCAGCTCTACCAAAGTGCTACGCTTATTAATTTATTTCAAATATATATGGTAAAGCTGCAACTAAAATAACATGATATTGGAATATATTATTCCTTATAAAATAATGGTTTCAGATACAATTCTTCCGATCATTGTATGAAAACTCTTTAAAGTTATATTAGTAGGTAATTTTTAACTGAATCACCGGTAGGTCCCGAGAAAGGTGTGTGCAGCTGATTGCTACTTCCGGCTTAGTTTACGAAAATATACACACGGTAATTATTAATCTCTCCATATAAAACAATGCCTATCAGAAAAGGAAATACAATTTAATCTGTAAATTATCATGTCTAGTGTTTTTTATCTCAAATTTCAAATTTGTATTGACCAAGTTTAATTGTTATTATCTGTTCGTTTCCCTGAATTCGATGAAGGGATACGATATAATTTTTTTCTGCAGAAGACAAACATGTTTTTATTGCAAATATGCTTGCGCTGGTGACGTGTTTCATTTCGATTCGCTTTATAGACGGGGTATATAAATTAGCATTGATTTTGAAGGCTTGTACAGGGGGACCGCCTTATATGTGGGGGTCGCTTAATAGACGGCAATATATGGTAAAACAGATATTTTCCTCAAAACTTAAAACTTTTTCTATTCCAAAAAGAAAATGGAATGGACAGAATCTTAAGAACAGGCATCGGTGTCATTGGTAGAAACAAGCAGCACAAGCTTCAATTTGGTGAGGGGCGGTCGGGTAGCCTAGTGGTTAAAGCGTTCGCTCGTCATGCCGAAGACCCGGGTTTGATTCCCGACATAGGTACAGTGTGTGAAGCCCATTTCTGGTGTCCCCCGCCTTGATATTGCTGGAATATTGCTAAAAGCGGCGTAAAACCATACTCACTCACTCAATTTGGTGAAGTCATAACATCAGCTCACACAGACCTTTGGTCTAGGTAAGCCAAACATCTATATATCTAAAATGTAAATGATTAAGAAAAACATTTCTTCAGCCTGTTATATAATCAAAGGCATTCAATGTTGTTTCTTAGAGCTCACCTGTAAATGTGCCATGTTGGAGACATGGGTACCACAGCACATGTTGGAGTCGATGCCTTCGATTGTAACAACTCTCACAGGGCCCACATGGTCATCTGGGAGGCCACGAGCTCGAACCTGCAATACACACAACACACGCTGGAGAGGTTGACTTTAGTTGAAATACAGGAACCAAAGTTGTAATGAGCCAGTCATGGTCAAACTCACTGACAGACAGTTGCAATGGCATTCATTGACTGACTCGAAAAATTCTCAATACGAGAATACAAACAGGAATAGATTTTGTTTACCCCAAACTTGTATTTAACAGCCCTATTTGCCAGATGTTTTCTTCAAATGTTATACATGGCACAAGGGGAAAATAAATCATATATCATCCCAGTCAAGAGGCATTTTCTTAATATTAATTATTAATATCTTTTTTTAACATTTTGACCCAGAAAATCCATAAATGAAGAAAATTGGCTTGACTTTTACTATTATTTTTACTACACCATAACACAAAGAAAAGCAATGCCTGTTGAAGGTACTGGCTAAAATCTCCCAACTTACTAGAGCTAGCTCAGGATCATCCTTGTTCTCATACAGCTTGGGTGTCATGGGGACCGCGTCCCGGATCTTTGTGTTGACTGTCTCCTCCAGCGTCACCAGTTCGTCTGCCTTCATCTGGGGGGTTTCCAGCTCTATAAACGACACCTTTTCTCCCAGATTCCTGATTGTTTATGAAGAAAAACATTTAGATGGAGATGGATGAGGAAAGGATTGGACTATTTTCTCCCGAAAAGTATGTTGTTACAAGATGAACAGAACAAAAAGTCCAAAGCTTCACACAAGTTTTGATCACAGATATTTGTACCGGGACATAAATATCAGTTTGCATAACCTATTTATCCTAGGCCTAGGTTTTGTTTGTTGTTTAATGCCACAGCAATATTGTGGCAGTCTGTAAATAATCAAGTCTGGACCAGACAATCCAGTAACTGACATCATGGGCACATCTTCCTGAGGCAAGGGACTTAACTGACTCTAAAAGTCCAGTTTCCACCCTTGCTGAACTAGGCTCGAAGTTCTGGACTTGACTGTGGCGCCACCAGTGGCCTTTACCAGTTATCTCCCTTCTGTGTTCCCCCTCCTGACCAATCAGATTCCACCTCTCATGAACCTTGATCTATGTAACTGGGATTCAATGACATGTAATCAATCAAGTCACTGACCCTGACCCCCCGATCCATTCAGTCGCCTCGTGTGACAAGCATGGGTTGATGGAGACTGACATTCCTACTAGAGTTGTGACGATACACATTGAAACCGATAAATACGTATCGCGATATTTGCTTTACGATTCGATTCGATTCGATATGTATCACGATACACAATTTACTGCTGAACATGCCTGTTTTTAAGAAAATAAAATCTTTAAACTAAATTCTGCAGTTTCATTTTGTGTAATCCATGTAATTTTGTTCTTAAATTCAAGAAGTTAGATAAAAGAAAGATCTCAAAAACTTTTTATTTGAAACTTTTAATTAGGAAAATACAAAATAAAAATCAATTTGACACACAGAGTAATTACTAATTTGGCACACATATTAAAATAAATATTTCTTGGCCATTAAACCATGATTGGGTAAAACACAAATAATTTTCATCACACTGAATTTATGTACACTTTTTATACTGCGAGTTTTACACAGACATGATTGTATTGTTGTTCGGTGTCTATTTGCACATAACGCTTCTCATTGCATAATCAACCGTTTATCGCTGAATGGAGTTCTAATAATCTGTTTGAAAACATCCGCGGCAAGTCCCGGAAATACGATTGTTCTGCTAGTTAACTTTTCACACTATACATCCTTTGATCTTAGAAGCGCATGCATGCAATAAAAGAGAACCACAAGCGAAGTTCATATTCTTAATTAGTGGGCAATCCAATTTGAGGCGACAATGTCAACTCACATGTAGTTGCTGTCACAACACGACGGTCATTCCTTTTGATTCGGATCAAGTAACTGTATCAAACCAATTAATCTGGCTTGAATGTGTATCTATATTTGTATGAATGTGTATGAATGCGAACATGTAATAAATTCTAGTGCTGGTCAAAACTCTCGTTTTCCGTATTTTAAGCAACATGACCAATCAATGCCACTGAAACACTCTGTACTTGCATAATGAATTGTGATTGGCTCTTCACTCATAGCGTCTGTTACTACCATTATCGATCGATATTTTCATGTAAGTAGAGTACTTTCACATTGAATGTGACAGTTAAGGCTTGTAAATAATAACAAACGGCGAAAACATAATGGATATATTTTTTACACAATGAACCGTAAACAACTTGTATCATTGCAATGTGCGAGACAAGGCGAAGATCGTGAGATTGGCCGAGCGCGCTCCCCCGCCTCCACCTTGGTTAAACAGCTCATCGTCTATAACGCCCACCAATTATTAGGACCCCATTGGTAGCGTTGTAGCGAGGGACTGAGTAAATATTTTGTTTCAGAACAGATTAATTTATTCAATGAAATGTATCGTTATTGTATCGATACATAGAAACCATATGGATATATCGTATCGGATACCTAGAGATCGTGATTTGAATACATATCGCTTAATTGTCACAACTCTAATTCTTACCCAGCATCCCCAAGATTCAGACCAACACAGGCTGGAAAACACTTGTTCAAATGAACTTATTAACAAATGCATAACAACATATTCAGTTTGTTGGAGCTGTTAGGTAAAATCCAGCTTGCATTTGTTCACTCAAGACTTGGTGACCAACAATCTAAACAAAACATTTAAACCTATGAAAACTCAACCACACATTTCATTCACTCCAAATCCACCAGGTGCTTCACTGGAATGGCAACTGGACTATAGAATTCCAATTATTTGTACAGTGAAATCTGTCGAAACCAAACTTGTGCTGGACCCAAGGATTATTCCAGGTCAGACAGTGGTCCAGATCAGTGAGATGGTAGCAGTTGTGTCCCTTGCTACCATGACATGAACGCACAAGCTTGAGAGAAAATACTGATCTGAACCTTTACAAGAATCCGTTCCCTTCATCAAAATTGTTTACAAATTATTGAAGGAAGTATCCTTACAATCCTTTGATAAAAATAATAATCCATTCTTTCTAATTCTTGATGTTCTTAAAAAACATGAGCAGAATTGTGACACAAGTTAATACAATGCTATTTCAACAACAAACATTAACATGTGTATGAAAGATTAAAGAAGAGAATATATGGATGTCAACTTCTTTATCATGAGGAACATAACGTTTCGGAGTATATGCTTACTCCTTCATCCTTCATTTACCTGATGAAGGAGAAAGTATATACCTACTCCGAAACGTTGTGTTCCTCATAATAAAGAAGTTGGCATCCATATATTCTCTTCCTTATGTGTATCATTTCTAAATGCCTTTCAAACACTTATATCAAAGATTATTGATGACAGTGGCAGTGGCAGAATAGAGGACATGAATTACATGACATAAATAGTCCCTTGTTGCATAATTTCAGTCCAGAATCCTGAATGAAGGATGCCCAGATTAGACAGACATATTGTTATAAATATGATAAATTTGGGACTGTAAATTTGGTCTGGATTAGCAAAGGTGAGTGAGGGAGTTGGGTTTTACGCCTAATTGAGCAATGTTAAAGCCACGTCAGCTGCAACAGAAATGGGTTCAAACAGGCAAACAGTGTACCCATGTAGGGAATCAAACCCAAGCCTTTGTCATGATGATCGAACACTTTAACCACTAGGCTACCCCACTCCAATGTACTTACGAAACTCAAATAATAGATGTTCAGTAGAGACATAATAACAATGAAATAGTGTAAACAAAGGATCTTATGCTCTTTATTGGTTATGTCATAAATGAAAAAAAAAGCAACCTTGGGAAAACTAACAAGAGTTTGCCACTAACATGGCTATATCACCCGCCCCTGTTGCAGAATTTATGACATAATTAAATCTAAACAAACCCTAACCTTTTTTAATCGAGGTGGAACTTGTCATGGAAATTGTAAAAAAAAGAAGAGTTTGGAACCTAAGTCCATCTTGTTGCCATGGAAACGTAAAAAATAAAAAAAATAAAAATTTCTAAATAGCAAAAGGCACCAGTTCAGCATGTACCTGACAGACCTGCAAAGTTTGATGAAAATAATAATTGAGTTATGCTCCGGAAACGAACCTTACCCTCACAGAACCTAAGTCCATCTTGTTGCCAAGGAAACGTAAAAAATTAAAATTTCTAAAATTTCTAAATAGCAAAAGGCACCAGTTCAGCATGTACTTGACAGACCTGCAAAGTTTATGAAAAAATATTGAACGGTTTCTGAGTTATGCTCCGGAAACAAACCCTACCCTCACAGAACCTAAGTCCATCTTGTTGCCATGTAAACGTAAAAAATAAAAATTTCTAAAATTTCTAAATAGCAAAAGGCACCAGTTCAACATGTACTTGACAGACAAGCAAAGTTTCATGAAAATATTTTGACGGAGCCCGTTTCTATATCCCCTGCCAACTTTGTTGGGCGGGGGATAAAAAATTATCATAAACATGAGTCAGTGAATATTGTTTTACGCTGCTTTTAGTCGTATTCACGATACGGAACAACAAAAATGGGCTTCCCACACTGTACCCATGAGGGGAATCGCACAAGGCTCTTCGGCATGATGAGTGAACGCTTTTAGCACTTGGCTACCCCACTTCCCTCATAAACATAATAAATAGTAACTTAAAAGAAAACAAACAAGCTTTACAGAAGGACTCCTGATACAAAATCATCCCACAACTTGCACTGACGTCAAATAAAACTTTGAATTGATGCAACAGCGAACATGTCTTACCATGAAGTAGTCTTGTAGCCGAACATGGAATCTGCTACAGCTGTTACCAGATGCTGCCCTGAAACCGGTGTGTGAAAAAGTCTCAAAATATTGCTGGCCAGGTGAGCTAGCTAGCCTTAAAAGTTAAAACTACAAATTTAGAACCAATCAAAATGCATTTGTTTTACAGTGATACAGTGACAACAGTCACTCAAACAAGATGAAAGAGGATAAATCCAATCTCGTGTAGCGGCCATAAAATTTCCGAGTCCCGTGAGGGGATTCGGACCACGGACCTTGTGATCAGAAGTCGGACGCCTTGTCCACATGACCAAAGAGGTTAACCCCGTCAGCAAGCTGACAAGGTAAGGATGTCATCTGTGGGATGACTCCACGCCCTGCTACATACTCCCTCATCAACAGAAGGCACGTCTCGGGCCGCATAGTAGGGTACTGAGGCTTATTTTGCTCAAATTTAATATGAACGTGCTCAGCCCCACGTTGGGCGCCAATGTAGCGGCCATAAAATTTCCGAGTCCCGTGATGGGATTCGAACCACGGACCTTCTGATCAGAGGTCAGACGTCTTGTCCACAGGACCAAAGAGGTTAACCCCAAGCTGACAAGGTAAGGATGTCATCTGTGGGATGACTCCACGCCCTGCTACATACGCAACACTGATTCGTTACAGATATTAACATTGCTTTTGTAAAATCTTTATGGTCGTATTAATCTACAGAAATGGGAGATCTTTTTTTTATTTTTATCAATAAAGAGGTGTGCATAAAGAAATAACCATTAAAATTTCAGTAGCCAGTCGGGCTTGGGAAATTCAGAACCTTTAGCCTGACCAAAATATAACTTGCCACGGGCTGGCAGGCAGGCGGCTATTTTGCAAAACAGAGTCAGACCTGTGTAGCTATGTCAGAATAATACACTGGTGTACCTGCGGCTTCACCCAGGCAACATACATTTGCAAACTCCAAATATGCTAGGCTAAAGTTCTAAATTCAAGATTAGAGTGTCCAAATGATCAGAGTGAGTGAGTGAGTATGATTTTTTTATGCCGCTTTTTGCAATATTCCAGCAATATCACGGCGGGGTACACCAGAAATGGGCTTCACACATTGTACCCATGTCGGGAATCGAACCCGGGTCTTCGGCGTGACGAGCGAACGCTTTAACCACTAGGCTACCCGACCGCCCCCCAAATGATCAGAAACAAAGCTTCTGTATTTATATGTGAAGGGAATTCCCAGGAGTTTCCCCAGGACTGTGAAAGAACTATGTCATTGTTTACGTCATGACAACAATAGAGTCTTGTAAAAAACATACAAACGTCAAAATCTGGGGTTCATACACTTATGAACATAAGTTTCGCTGTCATGTGACCGACCTCTTGTCCAATAGATAAGCCATATATCATGTAAACTTCCCATCAACAAAATTATTACATTTTGTAGAAAGATGGTCACGTAATGGCAATAAAAATGCTTTTATAATGGCTGCCCTAGCATAATGAAAATTGGATTCAAACCCATTAAACAAATTGGAGTGTCATCGTTGTTGGGAACAAGCATGTGGAGTTTCAGGTTCATTGGTCCAGTCTTTACAGAGGAGATGATGTATACAATGCAAGCAAATGCCTTTTGACAGAGTTTAGGAGCATGGTCAAAAAGCAAAGGTCAAATAAAGGTCACAATTTAAAATCTCGTGAAAAACATGCCTTGAGCCCTTCTACAAACTACACATATACCAAATTTCATTACATTTTGAAAGGAAATGGCTGAGAAGTGTAATGTGTTTACTTGTAAATCAAAGATGGCAGCCTGGTGGCCATACTGAAATTCCAATGTTGATGCCTGGATCAAACATGATTTGTTTGTTTGTTTGTTGTTTAACGCCGCACTCAGCAATCCTCCAGCTATATGACGGGGGTCTGTAAATAATCAAGTCTGGACCAGACAATCCAGTGATTGATATGAGCATCGATCCACGCAATTGGGATCGACCATATGCATCAACCAAGTCAGCGAACCTGACCACCCGATCCCGTTAGTTGCCTTTTATGGCAAGCATGGGTTGTTGAAGATCTACTCTATCCCCAATCTTAACGGGTCGATCAAACATGAACACCCTTGTAGTAGCCAAAAAGAGCTGAATCCATCCAGCTATTTCAGAGAAGAAGTCGAAAATGTAAAACGTTTTACAACAATGACAACAACGACAAAGCTAAAAATAATCTAGTTCAATGACATACTATCAAGAAAACCAATCACTGATTAGTCTCAGATGTTCAAATTCACCATTTTTATATTTAAAACACAACAACCGTGTCATATTTTCATGTCCCCACCCCCATATGTTGTGAAAAATTTTGGCGACCACCTCTCTTTCGCTGAGTCATTTTTTGTCAGTCCTGAAGTCAATAGAAATTCAACAATAATAGTTTGAGAGCAGGGTCACCACTTTATATGTGATATTTCAAAAGACAACTCTCCTCAAAGATTTACCTGAATGTTGCTGCATATGGTCAAATCTTCTTTTCCAATCAATCTGTAGATCCACCTGGGTTTCTGGGGGTATTTCCTCTGTGACAAAGTGGACTGCATCTGCACCACTACGAGTGATCCTCAACACATTCTTACCATTGATCTGAACACAAGAGAAAGATCCTCAACACACATCACTGATCTGAAAACCAGAGAGTGATCCTTAACACACACCACTGATCTGAACACAAGAGTGATCCTCAATACACAACACTGATCTGAACACCACACAGTGATCCTTAACACACACCACTAATCTGAACACCACAGAGTGATCCTCAACACACACCACTGATCTGAACACCAAACAGTGATCCTTAACACACTCCACTGATCTGAACACCACAGTGATCCTAAACACACACCACTGATCTGAACACCACAGTGATCCTAAACACACTCCACTGATCTGAACACCCCAGAGTGATCCTCAACATACACCACTGATCTGAACACCACACAGTGATCCTAAACACACTCCACTGATCTGAACACCACAGAGTGATCCTCATCACACTCCACTGATCTGAACACAAGAGTGATCCTCAACACACTCTACTGATCTGAACACCACACAGTGATCCTTAACACACTCACCACTGATCTAAACAGCACAGAGTGATCCTTAACACACACCACTGATCTGAACACCACAGAGTGATCCTCAACACTCACACCACTGATCGGAACACCAGAAAGTGATCCTCAACACGCACACCACTGATCTGAACACCACAGAGTGATCCTCAACACACACACCACTGATCTAAACACCACAGAGTGATCCTAAACACACTCTTCTGATCTGAACACCACAGAGTGATCCTCAAGACACTCCATTGATCTGAACACCACAGAGTGATCCTTAACACACACCACTAATCTGAACACCACAGAGTGATCCTCAACACTCACACCACTGATCGGAACACCAGAAAGTGATCCTCAACACGCACACCACTGATCTGAACACCACAGAGTGATCCTCAACACACACACCACTGATCTGAACACCACAGAGTGATCCTCAACACTCACACCACTGATCTGAACACCACACAGTGATCCTCAACACACACACCACTGATCTGAACAGCACAGAGTGATCCTCAACACTCACACCACTGATCTGAACAGCACAGAGTGATCCTCAACACTCACACCACTGATCTGAACACCACAGAGTGATCCTCAACACACTCCACTGATCTGAACACCACAGAGTGATCCTCAACACTCACACCACTGATCGGAACACCACAGAGTGATCCTCAACACTCACACCACTGATCTGAACACCACAGATGATCCTCAACACACACACCACTGATCTGAACACCCCAGAGTGATCCTCAACACACTCTACTGATCTGAACACCACAGAGTGATCCTCAATACACATCACTGATCTGAACACCACAGAGTGATCCTCAACACACTCCACTGATCTGAACACCACAGAGTGATCCTCAACACACTCTACTGATCTGAACACCACAGAGTGATCCTCAATACACATCACTGATCTGAACACCACACAGTGATCCTCAACACACTCCACTTATCTGAACACCACAGAGTGATCCTCAACACACACCACTGATCTGAACACCACAGAGTGATCCTCAACACACTCCACTGATCTGAACACCACAGAGTGATCCTCAATACACACCACTGATCTGAACACCCCAGAGTGATCCTCAACACACTCCACTGATCTGAACACCACAGAGTGATCCTCAACACACACCACTTATCTGAACACCAAACAGTGATCCTTAACACACTCCACTGATCTGAACACCACAAAGTGATCCTCAACACACTCTACTGATCGGAACACCACAGAGTGATCCTCAACACACTCCACTGATCTGAACACCACAGAGTGATCCTCAATACACACCACTGATCTGAACACCCCAGAGTGATCCTCAACACACTCCACTGATCTGAACACCACAGAGTGATCCTCAATACACATCACTGATCGGAACACCACAGAGTAATCCTCAACACACTCCACTTATCTGAACACCACAGAGTGATCCTCAACACACACACCACTGATCGGAACACCACAGAGTGATCCTCAACACTCACACCACTTATCTGAACACCACAGAGTGATCCTCAACACACACACCACTGATCGGAACACCACAGAGTGATCCTCAACACTCACACCACTTATCTGAACACCACAGAGTGATCCTCAACACACATCACTGATCGGAACACCACACAGTGATCCTCAACACTCACACCACTTATCTGAACACCACTGTGATTCTCAACACACACACCACTGATCTGAACAGCACAGAGTGATCCTCAACACACTCCACTGATCTAGACAGCACAGAGTGATCCTCAACACACTCCACTGATCTGAACACCACAGAGTGATCCTCAACACACTCGACTGATCTAAACAGCACAGAGTGATCCTCAATACACAACACTGATCTGAACACCACAGAGTGATCCTCAATACACAACACTGATCTGAACACCACACAGTGATCCTTAACACACGCCACTGATCTAAACACCACAGAGTGATCCTCAATACACAACACTGATCTGAACACCACACAGTGATCCTAAACACACACCACTGGTCTAAACACCACAGAGTGATCCTCAACACACTCTACTGATCTGAACACCACAGTGATCCTAAACACACACCACTGATCTGAACACCACAGTGAACCTCAACACTCACATCACTGATCTGAACACCACAGTGATCCTAAACACACTCCACTGATCTGAACACAAGAGTGATCCTCAACACTCACATCACAGATCTGAACACCACAGAGTGATCCTCAACACTCACACCACTGATCTGAACACCCAGAGACAACAAACCATGCAATAACCATGAGTAAACTGAACACCCACCAAGGTAACCAGGCAGTTTAAAGAACACCACACACCACATCATCTCATTCCTGTTTCCTACACGTTAAAAACATCATCTATTGAATAATAATGAAATTCATTTTCTGAAACAGACCAGTAGGTTTCATTCTAAGAACGATTTTTTACTATGGTTGATGATTTTTACTGTGGCAAATAAATGATGAAAGTTAACTGTTTTTGTTTTACTTTGCCTAACTAGAATGATATTCTAATTGTTGTCTCATGACCACTATCTCTTAGGACAAAAAACATACTCACAGCTCCCCGGTCATCAGGCTGGAACACAAACAAAACTTCTTGGCTAAATATCGGAACAATAAAACAGCTCTAGTGAATACAGTTTTAGTGATGAAGCATTTTCATAGAAGGGGTCACTGGGCAGTTAAGTACTAAATTAATTGGGTATGTCATTAGTCATACTTATATCACAGAATCCATCAGAGTAACTAGTAGGGCTGGGACGATACACCAACTGTGCGATCCGATATGTGAGGTGAAAGGTGAAATTGGGTTTAACGTCACGTCCAAGATTATTGCACTTATATAGCGACGTGCATGCACGTGTATGTGTGTGTGTGGCTGCTTGTACTAGTCCGGACTGATGCCGATTTATAGTGCTAGCTCACTGAGATACCATGCCGCAGTTTAACATGAATACCCCACTCAGACACAGTATACTGACTCCGAGCCGACCAGTCCTTGTTTTAGCCCCTTAATGCCGAGCGCCAGACAGGGTAACAACAAGTACAATCTTTTAACGTCTTTTTGTATGACGCGGCCCGGGATCGAACCCTGGACCTTCCGCTCTCCGGGCGGACGCTCTACCACAAGACCACGAAGGCGGTCCGATCCGATATGTATAAGGATACCTTGTCCAATACGTATCACGATACATGCAAGTGCTCTTGTCTGTGGTGTGTAAGCCATCTTTTTCATAGACAGGAAATTCCAGTACCTGGCACACTGTGATTTACAGTTGGAAGTGTCAAGCATGAAGCAATGGATGAAAATGTTTACTTTTTCACTACCTTTTTTCACTACTAATTAGTGTTTGGTGTAACAGCCATTAAAGTAAACATTTGAGCGATGAAACAATATTTCGTAATTAGTGTGTGACTAAGATCGATACTTGTATCGGGAAGTAAAATATTGCGATCCACTGATGCATCGGTGTATCGTCCCACCACTAGTGATTAGGTCACCTTCAGAGTGATTAGCTCAAACCAAGAGAGTGAGTGAGTATGGTTTTACGCCGTTTTCAGCAATATTCCAGCAATATCACGGCAGGGGACACCAGAAATGGACTTCACACATTGTACCGATGTGGGGAATCGAACCTGGGTCTTCTGATTGACGAGCGAACACTTTAACCATGAGGCTACCCCACTGCCCCTGGCAAGATCACAATGAACAGTTGCGTGAGAGAGCAGTTGAAAAAGAGGAAAGTGAGTGAGTGTGTGAGCAGCTTTGAACAGCATTCCAGTTACATCACGTCGTGTCAGCTTAATGTGGAAGGAAAGATGTGATGCAGGTCTCGGACGTTACCACTTTGGTGAAACCCACGAGCATGGGTATGGTGCTGACAAACCAAGAAACATAATTTTGGCCAAACCAGGATTCAAACCCACATAGGTTACGGCCTGCCCAAGGGATGCAACTTTACACAGCGAACTAATGCACCTTAGTCAGCTGGGCCACCGGTGCCCCTTGTAATGGTTGGTTGTTTTGTTGTTTAACGCCGCACTCAGCAATATTCCAGCTATATGACGACGGTCTGTAAAACAATCAAGTCTGGACCAGACAATCCAGTGATTGATATCATGAGCATCGATCCACACAATTGGGATAATATCATATGCACCAACCAAGTCAGCAAGCCTCTTGTAATGATCAAGAAGAATGTGATATTAAAAGTTGATAAAGTCCACAAAATGTCCTTAATCCAAATTTCTCTTGCAAAGTCACTGTGACCTTAATGCCTTTCATTCACAGTCTTACAGTGGCATTAATGAAATCTAAAGGTAGTTAGTTACCTGTCCCCCTCCTTCAGGGAAGAGGATCGTGTCCTCCAGGACCACATCAAAGCCTGACAGCTTCTCCTTCTTCCCACCATTTACCACTGTCAGCTGTGCCGGCTTGCATGACTTGACCACTGACGTCAGCTGCAACATTCAGTTGTGTATATATCACAGATTTACCAGGATCTCTCCACTTGTGACAGACTATGTGATGATTTCTGGGAGGTACATGACTTGACCATTGACATCAGTTGCAACAGCAGACTGAGAATGACTTTGTGAGGTACGTGACTTGACCACTGACAGCTGCAACAGTAGATTCTCGGTAATGATTTTGGGAGGTACATGACATGACTACTGATGTCAGCTGCAACAGCGGACTCTTGGTGATGATTTTGGGAGGTACGTGACTTGACTACTGATGTCAGCTGCAACAGCGGACTCTCGGTAATGATTTTGGGAGGTACGTGACTTGACTACTGATGTCAGCTGCAACAGCGGACTCTCGTTAACGATTATGGGAGGTACGTGACTTGACTACTTATGTCAGCTGCAACAGCGGACTCTCGTTAACGATTATGGGAGGTACGTGACTTGACTACTGATGTCAGCTGCAACAGCGGACTCTCGTTAACGATTATGGGAGGTATGTGACTTGACTACTGATGTCAGCTGCAACAGCGGACTCTCCGTAATGATTTTGGGAGGTACTTGACTTGACTACTGATCTAGTGACTGGATAAAGAATTTGAACATGAATTGGATGTAATGATGAAACAGGCATACTATTTGTGCATCAGACTGGACATGCAGGGAGAACTACATGCACCAATTCTCAATTTTTATTCTATTGGTGACCAATATTTTACGTCTGGTGATACTCTGGTGAACATGCAAGGATTCTCATTCAGTGAAACAAATGGGTGTGTGTAGTTTGATATCACATACAGTCATTCAGCAATATTACATCTATATCATATTGCCACTCACCTGTGCATAATCGAGTCTGGGAGTGAGTGAGTATGGTTTTACGCTGCTATTAGCGATATTCCAGAAATATCATGGCGGGGGACACCAGAAATGGGCTTCACACATTGTACCCATGTCGGGAATCGAACCCGGGTCTTCGGCCTAATGAGCGAACGCTTTAACCACTAGGCTACCCGACCGCCCTAATCGAGTCTTTGCCACACAAACAAGTGATTGGTATTATGAACAACGTCAGGGATTTATCTGGACCTGCTCAGAGTTCGATATATGGGTCCAAGTCTGCAGCAAATGACTAAAATGACTTAAAGAATTAAAACTTGACTTGGTTGATTGTATGTTACACGGATCAATGCTCATGATGTCAATCACAGGCTTGTCTGGTCCAGATTCAGTTACATATTGATCGCCTTCATACAGTTGGAATATCTGTTTCGTGTTTGGTTATAGTTTGCTTCTTTATTTGATGTTTTTACGCCGCACTCACCACTATTCGAGCTATATGTAAATAATCTTGTCTGGACCAGACAATCCAGTGATTGACATTATGAGCATCGATCCACGCAATGACATGCAAGTTAGCAAGCCTGACCAGATGTTCACGGGTCTTTGGTTATAGTACATATCAGTGTAGCCTACCTGCAGAAATGCACTGGTCTACCTATCTCTTGTACCCTAAATGACAATGAAACCTTTAGTGTGTAATAAATGTTAAATTAGTCATAATAGGTTTGCAGTCAAATTTTACTTTCAGATGAAATATTTCTCATTTAATTTCTAACATTCAGTCTCTACTTGGGACTAGGAACAAAGCTTGTAACTTGCTTGAGCCAGATAATAGTTCAAACTAATATATTATGTTGTTCACACATATTTATTAAATCATGATTGAAGCATAATAATCTGGATTATCCATCTGAGACTAACAAAATGCATAATGATTTATATTATTAAATAATCCCAGTAACACTTCTAAAATAACATAACTTTGGGCCAAGATCTGCCACCCTCTAAATTGTCATTTGCTTAATTTTTGTTAGTTGACAACATCAAGTTACAAAAAAGTAACAAATCATTGCTCCCATACATGACTGACAAATTATTCAACACATAATCTATATATTTGAATGTAAAAAGGCTAAAAGATAATTTCAATGTTTGATGATGCAATCATAATATTACATCAGTCAGTATACTTATCCAAAGATGTATCAAGCTATCACATCAACGGGGTGTTTAATTCAAAATGTTATTTGGGAGATCTTCAAAGTGTACTACTCCAAATTATGCACTGCATGCTGAGGCGGTTGTCAGTTTAAATGACAAGTGACAATATACCTGAGTAAGGTAACTGTCCCGCTGACAAGCTAACGCCATCCCTCTACAACTCAATCAGCTCTTTCCGGAATATCAACATGCGCTACTTTCGATGACGACCGAGAGGTATTTCCTCACGACTAGCTATTCTGCAGAACGATCATTGAATGGATCTAGCAACGTGAGCGGCGAAACACAACTTGAATCACTTGGCTTGGCTTCACTGAATTATTCTTGTAATTCAATCCTTTTGAAGTATTAAATGCATTCAGTTGATTTTATTTCATTGACATGTATTTTAAGATTTTACAGGTCCGTATATTCAGACCATGGAGTGTTCAAGAATAAGGAGAAAAATATCAATTTGGTTTGTATGATTTGTTTGTTTGTTTTTATCGCTGCACTCTGAAATATTCCAGCTATATGACGGCGGTCTGTAAATAATAGAGTATGTGCCATACAATCCAGTGATTGACATCACGAGCATCGATCAAAAATAAATTGGGATCGATGAAATGCATCAACCAAGTTAGCGAGCCTGACCACCTGATCCCGTTAGTCCCGTTAGCATGGGTTGCTGAAGACCTATTCTACCCCGGATCTTCACGGGTCTCGTTTACATGAACACAATACCCAGAAATGCATAGACGTTCGTTTCTTTGTTGGCACTGCTTTAAATTTATAACGTTAGCCAATTTCACAAAAAATCGGCCATTTTCTCCAAAATGTTTGGGGCCATTTTTTAAGGAGTCATTTTCTCCTCCACCGTTAATAGCAGACAAGTGTTTAGGGCTTAGAACAATTTGGAGTTTAACCATATACGTTTTGTGAGGTTTTTTTTCTTACTTTCAAATTATATAGTATGTGCAATATAGGTGAACTGTAAGCTGTTGTTTGCAATGTGACGGGGGTGTACAAATAACCGAGTCAGGACAGACAAATTCAGTGTTTGACCTCATGAGCACCGTTCCACACATTTGGGATACGGTGTCATGCATCAACCAAGACACCGAGCCTGACAAGCCGATCCATTTGGTCGCATCTGAGGTGTCCTGCCACCCATCAAAGCCCCCTACCCACCCATCAAAGCCCCCTACCCACCCATCAAAGCCCCATGGATCCTCCCGGTGATTGTACTCTAAGCAACACTTATTTGATAAAGGATGTTCAATTACAAAACCAGCGAATAATTTGTTTAATCTTTCAATAATATCATCAAAATCAGATCTAAGGTTTTGCTAGCGAGAACTTACATCTGATTTTAATGAGATCTTTCTTTCAAGAAAACGGTAATTAATACAAGTTTTCATCGGTCTTTTGGTTAGCCTCATGGTATAATGCGTTAAGGTAGTCATGTCGAAATTTAAGTAACCTATTTGATCGATGCCCACGTGGATGCAACGTGATTCTTGCTGACCCAAGTCATGATCATGAAAATATATTGGCGTAAAGCGGCGTAAAAACCAACTCACTCACTCGCTATATTCAGTCCAGCGTATCTACGATAGGTAATGATATTCGGACGTGTGGTGTTATTATTTTTTCTTCTTCGTCAGGGAAGCATTATGAGCATATTGAGTACTGTTATTGGGTGCCAAAGTGTGAGTTGTGTTCACAGACACTAGAACCAGATACAAGACGAGTAACGTTATAATCAGCCCACCACTTGAACCGTTCGACCGCTGATTTCACGGTAATTGTGATGACAATGCACCCCCTACTCCTCGCGACCAAAGGGCACTCCACACCGTTACGCTTTTTCACGCTTGAGTGGTTTCATTGTTTAATTGACGACCGATTGAAATACACGAGATTAAACAATCAGCTTCCTTTATACTTCTGTCATGATAAATCAGAATCTCGTCTAATCATGTAGATGTCGTGTTACTTGAGTGTTTACTGCGGCGGGTACATGAAATGCTTTTCGCAGTCAGTTTACGTAATCGACAACATATGCTATCCATAGTGTTAGGTTTTCCTCTTACAATTATTTCATAATCATGTTATGCCCTGCTCACTCTGCCGATAGAACACTTCTCATCAAGAAAATGTTATCAAATGGCCGCAAGATGTCGCTGATCCCGTCTGGGCTGGGTGTCATGCGCAGTAAAGCTGCGGCCATGTTCTCGGATAAATATATGCAAAATTTTGATATTTTGATTATTTTGTGTGCCGCGCAAGCTAAAAACAATGGTTATATACCCGCAAAATGCAGGAGAAATTAACATAGGAATACATGAGCATGCTACAATAGTAAGTATGCACCACAGACCCCCGTATTGTGCAAATAAACACGCGCGACGGAACGGGCACCTGTCGCACTAGCTGTTGGTGGCGAAATGTCCCGTGAAACGTACCCACGTAACACACACCTAACAGTGACTAGCTTTGCTTTACACCTTTGGCAGTTACCTGGAAAGTTGTGATTATGGTCCCTTTACACATTAATGAAACTGTCAAACGTAAATAAGTTCACAGTTAAATTAGAATTAGGAAAGGCTATTGGCGCCAGACTGTTGCGATGTGCTCGGACTTCACTTCCGACCTGTCATTTTCCCACAAACGTAATATTACATAATATCTTTGCGCTTCTCGTCGAACACCTGCATCATTGTTGTGGTGATGTTGGATGATTATAACTGAATGATATACTTATCTTCAATGCAGAAAACTACTGACTTGTAAAAAAACAAACCCTCAAATTTGCTTGACCACGACTTACGTTTCGTGAATACGTTTATGTTTACGTGATTCTAATCAAAATTTGCCAATTCTTAGAATAACTGATTGCTATTTGTCTGTCCCAAATGTAAAACTATCTTTGCACGAAACAGATCTCTGTTTTATACTTGATTCAAAATGCACACATGTCCAAACAGTTGTGTATCAATTTATGACATAAATATGATATCGAATGTCCTTTCATGATATAGAAACAAGATCCCTTCTTTCCCTGTGTAGAATGTTACAACATTGTGATGAAGTGTGTGTTCTTGTACCTAAGTCTAGATGCTTAGTTACACAATGTTAAACATTGTAACAGCTATGATTATTGTACTATATCTCATGGTAAACAATGTTGCATAAGTGTTTCATAAATGTTGCAAGTTCATTGATCCCACTCACTTGTGATGCTTGTTATCAGGCATTGCAAATATTTGGAAGGATAATTATTGTTTATATTTGCCTATTGTATTCTTTGTAATAGTTTCTTGCACTCCTTCAAGGCACACCCAGACTATTCACAGATGGATGAACTACTTTATTATGATTTTTGTTTTTTGAGAAGATACTTCATGAGTGTTTGTTTCAGGGGCGTGAATGTATGTAATTGCTTTCGACAACTGACAAGAAAAGAACAATGTCTGTGTCTGCATTGGTGATTTGTGAACATCAATACATGGCGATTATTGCTTACTGTAACATATGTCGATCACAGTTACCTAATGCTGATATTAATATTTACAATCTAATTATATTGATACTGTAAACTCTTGAATAATCACTGAAAAACAGACAACTTCCCCTGAAAAGTTCTGATAAACATTGTCTAGAATATATTAACATTCAGTCAGAGGTCTGTAACAAAATATGGCCCATTTTGACAAGAAGTTTTCCATCTTGTAGAAAATAATGGAATGTCTGCGTATTTGAATGGTTTGAATTGTTGCATCTTCTTTATTTAGTGATGTGTGAGGCTTGATATGAAGAAGAAGAGTACAATTTTATAGCAAGAATTGAGAGCTCACATGTCATAACCCAATGCTAGTGGTAAGAGATGAACAGAATGGTTATGTTTGATGAGGCTGATGTTGTCATCATTATTTCGACTTTTGTTTGTTTGTTGTTTAACACCGCACTCTGCAAAAGACCAGCTATATGAGAGCAGTCTGCATATAATTGAGTCTGGACCAGGCAGTCCAGTGATTGACGTCATGAGCATCATTCCATGGAATTGGGATATATTGACATGCATCAACCAAGTCAATGTCCCTGACCACCCGATCCCATTAGTCGCCTCATACGACCAGCATAGTCACCTCTTATGGCAAGGATTGGTTGCTGATGACTAATTCTGACACGGATCTTCACAAGGTTTTTGACTTTTGAGAATGTTAGGTTATTGCTGAGTGGGATGAAAAACAGCATTCACTCACTCACTCACTCACTCACTCACTTGCTCTCATGATGCATCTGTGAAGATCATGGCAAAGTAAATCTTTCTTCAAACCAGTGTTTTTTTGTTTTCAATTTTTGTTTATTGTTTAAAGCCACACTCACCAATATTTCAGCTATGTGAAAGCAGCCTGTAAGTATTTATATCTGGAATAGACAATCCAGTGATCGATATTGTGACCAACGATCCATGTCTTTGGGGTATGATGACACATTCCTATCAACCAAGTCACCAAGCCTCACCACTCAGGTCATTAAGTCACCTCTTACTACAAACATAGGTTGCTGTGCACCAATTTACCTGGAATCCCCACAAGGGGCAATAAGCATTTGATCAAGGTAAAAACACAGATACTCTGATTGTGTCACCAGCTATTTGATGTTTGCTGATGAATAACAATTGTTATGTATCATTGTACCGGTATGTTAACTGTCCTACCAGGCATTTTGAAGAATATGATTGTTGGTGTTTCAGATATTATGATCTGATCTGTACTGACATAAATGAGCATTTTTAGATACTAAACATTTATGTTTAGGAAAGATGTCAATGGACCTTCTCAGGAAGAAAAGGTCCCAAACAGCATACTAGTTGTAAGAGCCGACTAAGATGAGGATTGGGTATTACAGTGTGTGAACTGCCTGATTCAGTGTTGTCATATTCCTGCAGCTTGTTCTATCAACCTTTGGGGGCACAGGTGGCCCAGTCGTCTAAGGCACCGCAATTTTCCGTGCAGAGTTGCATCCCTTGGCACGCCAGAAACCTATGATTGTGGGTTTGAATCCCAGTTCGCCCCCATTATGTGTCTAGGTTTGTCAGCACCATACCTGTGCTCGTGGGTTTCACCGAGGAGGTAAACGTCTAAGACCTGCATCACATGGGGCTTTCCTCCTACATTAAACTGACACGCCGTGATATGACTGGAATACTGTTAAAAGCGGCGTTAAACACAACTCACTCTATCAATCTTTAGTTTGCCTTGTCCTGTGTTGTCTTGGTTACATACAGGTCATACCCGTGTAAGGATTCCGTTTAAGTATATGTCCCCAGCAGCCTTTGCATGTCACAAGAAGCGACAATGTGGATCAGGTGTCAGTATGTGCAAATATACTTGTCGTAAGAGGTGTCTAACGGGATTGGGTGATCAGGCACGCTGACTTGGTTGATGCATGTCATTGATCCCAATTGCGTGGATCGATGCTCATGAAATCAATCACTGGATTGTCTGGTCCAGACTCGATTATTTACAGACCGCTGTCATATAACTGGAATATAGCTGAGTGCGGCGTAAAACAACAAACCAACCAACCAACCATTTGCGTAGTGATGCTCATGATGTCAGTCACTGGATTGTCTGGTCCAGACTCGTACACAGACACCTTCATATAACTGGAATATTGCTGAGTGCGGTGTTAAACAACAAACAAATAAATACATACAGGTCAGTTTAAACTATAGCTGTAATATTGTTGGCACAACAACACTGTTTCATACAGGAATGTAAGGTATGTTTACATAAAGTTTTTAAAGTTTTATGATTTTATTTTTGCAGATGTTCCGATCATGGAAGATATCATGGATGGAAGTTTCTCAGTAGAAATGACATCAAAGTGTATGTTAATTTGTGAAAGATGACGTGAGACAGTGAAAATGTGTTCTTTCACAGCCAAAGACTTTCTATTTACATAGACACCCTTATTTACCAGATATAAACATGAACTTTGACAATGGTCAGGGTCTGAAATTTGGAGTGTCAAACTATGGCCAGGGATTGGCAAATGCCACCAATGTGTGTCACTTTCAGTATATGGGGATGGGTGAGGCTCAAGGGGCCATGAAACCTGGCCAAGGGATACCACAGATGCCAGTTGACCGAAACACATTTGTTCCTCCTTATCACAATGTTGGACTGGCCCACCATCAAGGCAACCCAGCAGCCCAAGCAGGTTTTCCAATGGGGGTCAATATCTCTATGTCGTCACCCATGTCTTTCAACTCCCTGCCCCCAATGGAAAGCTTTGGTGGACACAACCAAGGATTCCCACCCAACCAGAGACCGGGGATGAACTACAAAAACTTCAATAACTGGGTCGGTCCAAACCAGAGCAATCAGACCTCCCTTCCAAGCATTGGTCACCTGTGGTCACACTTCCAACAACAGCAGATTCAGAAGCATACCGTGCAACAGCCTCCCCCACACCAACAGAACTTCTACCCTAACCAGCAGCACATGCAGGGTTTCCAAAACACACTTGCCCTCAGCCCGAATATGGCTGGGGGACCTCGAGGACAGAACATCAGCTATCAATACCAAGCTCAGAATCCAACCGTTGTGAACCATTCTAGGATGTATCAAAATTTCCCCCAGGAAAGAATGCAGAACTGTATATATGGAAGTCAGAACGTTCCCACAGTCAGTCAGAGTGTAGCTGGTGTGAATGATCAACATATTGCTAAAGCACCTGGTCAGTCACATCCGGTACACCATGTAGAAACGGCTGGTCCTCAGGTGACCGCTATTTGTAACCAGGTGACTAAAACTACCACCACAATCACCATGACCACCTGTAACAGTTCTCCCCTGACCACTGCAATGGCACATGTGAATGTGACGGTTCCTTCTGTTCTGACATCGGTGGCTGTGACCAAACCTGCAGAAGGACCTGGAGGGAGTCCGCGAAACACTCCAGGGGTGGAGGCAGGGCCACCAGTCAGTGTATCAGGTTGTGCTTCACACCACACTAAGCCCAAAGTAAGTGATGGTGCAGATTCGGAGGGAACTGAATGTGAACAAGACTCCATGGAATCCAAAGACATTGAACCGAGTTTGCAGATTGTGAAGGTACCATTTGGCTGGAGACGGACGACAGAGAATGGGACAGTGGTGTACTACAGGTAAGCTTGCCTCAGTCTCAAACACAATTAATGCTGAGGGGATGTTGCAGAAAATGCTTTAAAAACATAAAGGGCCAGATTTTACTAAAGAAAACTACTTGTTTACTGGACATACTTGAAGTCCTGACAAAAATGTTATGTGAAATCTTTTCAAATTGTTCGACTCCTCCTTCCTTTCAGAGAAAAACATTTTTATGTCTTGAAGCAGTGACCGAAAAAATATTCGTTTCCAACAAATCTCCAAGGTCCTGCCTTAAATATTAAACGGTTGATTATGATATGACTAGAATACTGTTCAAAGTGGCGTTAAACTCATTCACTTGCTCACAGATTAAAAACGATAATGAGTTTTCCCCACAAATGATACATATTACATTACAAGTTACATTGGTGTAAAAAAATGTGAATAGTAACAAACACCCAGCTTACACAGTCTAGAGCAGTTCAAGGTTGGACATAAATAGCATCACATTAACACTCCCCTCCAGCCAAAATGTTTCTGTCCTACAATATCCCATCTTTGATCTCTGAAATGATTCAGAGGTGTGATTCACCTGCAAAGAGAAAGAATGTCAACTTGTGAAATGAAAGTACAGTATCTGGTTACGAATCGTATCGCACACAGAGTATCCTGATACGTATCATATCGCATTGTTACCCCACCATATCGTTACATCTCTATCCAAGGGTAATTAAAAAATTGGTTGGTCCATGAGTATCCAGTGTCAAACCTATTTACACTATAGCTACAATTCTAAGAACTGAAGAACTTTATACATTACACAAATGAAATACAGAACAACTCTGGGCCCAAATGTTTTTGCTGAAGCAGGGAGACATACATTTGCAATTTAAATTGTAAAACACAACCAGTCAACCAGAATCTTTTACTGCTATCACACCGAGTTCCCAGAGACTGTGGTGATAGATGAAGCCAACATTTATCAAGGAAATTATTAGCTTGTTAAACATCTTTGCTACTTCATGTCATACACCATTTGAAAGGTCTGATCATACTGTTTATAAATATGAAAGATATGTTGATCACATTGTTTAAATAATGCATCAATAACTTAATTAAGTTTGTTTTTTAATAAATTTTAAGCTAACACATTCATAATGTCCAGATTAAGAACCAAGGCAGTGAATCATGTGGCGATTTTTGGTAACTTAAAGATTTCATAATAGAGCTTTACACTAACTTTTTTCTTTTTTTCTTTTCAATATTAAAGTAATCGGAAAATGTAGATGCTGAAGTTTCTGCTCAGTGACATGAGAAAATACCGGGAAATGCCTCCCTTTTCAAAGCTTTGTGTATATGTGTTTGGTACGGTTAGAAAACTCTGAACATCAGCAATATTACAGTAATATCGCCAGGAGTATTTTTGTTGTTGTAACACATGATTTTATTGGATAGCAATGGGTTTCTAACAAAGCTTTTTCGTAATCTAATATAAGGATTAAGGACATGACCTTAGGCAGGCAATCAAATTACAGCAATGAGTACCATCCTCGTCTATGATATATTTCAGATTTAAACAAAAGTCTTTGGTCAAATTGTGTTATTTTGAATGCTTTAAGCATGTTAAGCAGGAAATCGCAACCTGTGTTTAAAATATGGAACTTCTTGGACAAATCATGCTAGGTTATGACCTGTGACAAAGATTTCTCATGCATATATTTTGGCATTAAACATCGCGTCCGCGCATAATCATGATAATTCTGAGATGACATTTGACTTACAATACACAATCACACGAAAAGATGGAAATAGTAACTTAGATGTAAGTTCAACATAATTTTGAAATATGTTTGTTGATTTTATTACTTTATTTAATTTATTTACGATTTGCTGGAAAGTTGAAACGTCTTTATTGCTCTTTGACATGTTCGATATGTACCCGATTATGTTTTTTTCCATAAGATTGCAGGAAATAATTAATAATTTTAAGTGTTTACCATGGAGTGAATTTTACAGGGTATAAGTATCCCGAGTTGCCCGAATGTTTGGCAAATCAAAACGTGTAATGCCTGACTGTGGGACAAGTACAGTCAAACAGGTTGGGTAGCAATGAGACATGGGCGTGTCAGGCGTAAAGAGACAACACCCACACAAGAATGTCTCATAACATTAATTGCACTAAGCAATTGATTCAAATGTGCTCCTATCAATAGAGAATTCTGTACAATGACATTTAGGCAAATGTCAATATATACCGTTATACACCTTCTCTAAGCAAGCTGCCTGAAAGCAGCGCGTCATGTGAAGGATATAACCCTAACAGCTTTCCATAGGTGGCAAGATTTTTGCGTCCTGTTGTTGTTACATTCGACAGAGTTATCGGCAGAAATTTTGAACTGCAATGTTACAATGCCAGACCACAATGTGCCCAGGCCATCACCAATTATCTCTGATGAGAAAGCATCCTGGCCTTGCTCTGGCCTGCCAAGTCCCCTGCATATCCCTCAAAGAGCATATGTCAGATGTTCTTGGATGGAGAGTGTATGCCAGAGAGCAAGCACCTGCCGACGTGGCCTGTCTTGGGGTAGCTCTTCAGATGTTAATCAACATTATGCCATCAAGGTGTCATGCATGTATCACCCAACATGGAGGAGACACCAGATATTGATCTACACGCCCAAAATACATTTTACAGACATTTACTGTCATTACACCTTCACAATCATTTCATCAATTCCCTTAATTTTTGTTGGCAGTACATGGATTCTGACTAATCTTCACCCATGCAGAAATCAGCACCAGTGCAAGTTCATTGCCACTGCGTGTACATGTTGTTGGATGGCATGCTGACCATTGCCTTTGCAAGATATCAATTCTGATAATCTTTTTGGTTGCTGGCTGCTTTGTCATCAAAACAGGCTAAATTACTCCGTCTTTTGTCTTCCAATCATGACCATCAACAGATTGAAGGTCATGCATGGCTTGCCATGCTCTTCTCCAAACATAGACATGGTAGTTTGCTTGTTTCATGTGCTGAAGGGGTAGCCTAGTGGTTAAAGCGTTCGCTCGTCACGCCGAAGACCCGGGTTGGATTCCCGACATGGGTACAATGTGTGAAGCCCATTTCTGGTGTCCCCAACCGTGATATTGCTGGAATATTGCTAAATGTGGCGTAAAACCATACTCACTCACTCACTCCCAGAATTCAGTGGCCATAACTATCTTCACTGTTCTTGAAGACTTCAATTTCTTTGGTGCTGGAGAAGTGGAATGGTGCCAGCTTTGAACATAGCTGCCCAACATTTAACAGTGGAATAGCTAGTGCACTTACCCCCAAACACTTGTGACATGCAGTCACAAATTTCTTGAGGAGTACTTTTCTCTTAAGTCAAAAACTTGATGACTGCTCGGTACTCATTCTTTTCCATTTCTGGGTCCATTTGGACCCTTATCATTGACATGATTGAGAAGCATTGAACCACTTGATTAAACATTGTGTGTTTTTACATGCCAAACGTGGTTAAAATTGTCTTTTGTCACACAAGATCAAGATTTAAATACATGAATTATAAACATGGTTAATATAACAAGGTCAAGCATGTGATGATCAGATTTCAAGCATAACAAGTGGAACCTTTCGTATCATTTATGTTTAACCGACAATTGATTTTTTTCAATTCAAAGAAAAATCACATGCATATCGCATACCTCTATCAACTTTGCCAATCAGTGTTCTCGCTGGCTTTTGAAACTGCCAGTCCTGGTGGACATGCCACTCTAAAAATTACCAATACCCTAGCAAACAAAACAAGGTATGAAAATGACCTGGTTTTAATTCTTTCAACATCATGTTCAGTGCAATGACATGGTCTCTGAAGTAACTTAGTTAGATCTACACTTCATTCACACAAAATTCAGTCGCGATTTTCTCTTCTTTTTTTTGTGTGAAATATTTTGAGCTACAAATATGTATTTAACTTCAAAGCAAAGCGAAATGTTATTTCCTTGCACTAAAAATAGACAAGGGGACACCCAGATGGTTATAGACAAGCTGACTTTGTTTGCAAAATATACTTATATGAAAAATGTCGAGAATATTGTTTTCAACAACAAAGATTTATAAGGTACTTTATTTGCCGGTCCACAGGGACTGGCAGTTACATGAATTACTGGTCCAAGTCTAAAAATGGTTAATTTCACTGTTTCAGTTATCACTGTTAATGTTTACAATCTGCATTTACCACAAGTCTCAGTGTTAAATAATTGCAGTTGTTTGTTCAAGAACTCTTTTAAACATTAGCTTAAAGTGTACATGAAATAAAGTACTGTCATTGATGGGGCATGTGATCAGTCTTCAGATCATGATGCAAATATGTGTGAATCAGAGCAGATAAAAACATATAAGCTAGTTTCTTGCAAACATTCTTCGAGGTCAACTTTATATCACGGAATCATGGCCCAATGTTAGCCTGATATGCTTCACAAATTAAACATGCTGGGAATTTCACAAGCACAACTTACGTTCCTACTAGAAAAATACACAATACAGTTCACCCCTGTTTTTCTATTTCAGTTAGGGCAGCCTACTTAAACTTAATACATTGCTGTAGTTGATATAAAAGCCCTATGGCCATTGGCTAAGTTTCTACCAATAGCCGATCATATTGCTTGGTCCTCGAGCCCATTGTCAAAACATATAATGGATGTAACATGCACGAAAACTGGTGGACCGAAAGAACTAGGATCAAGTTGTTTTGATACATTTTGATAATTCTTGTTGCTATTTATTTATGCATTATATCAAGTTGCTTTAGTCAGAGACTATATACCAAGAGCCGGGCCTCAGGGCTAGTTGGAAACTGATCACTGTCGCGAGAGACCACTTTCACGTGAGAATATGCGAGATTTGAAGATTTAAAAGCGAGGGTTTCGTGAATTGACTAATCATATGTCCAGCCCTTTACACATTTATAAACGTTGAGTTATGTTAGTTTTCTTCATTTGTTTGAGGACATTTATTGCATATAATTAGCCAAATGTATACATGAATATTCTTACGAAGTAACGTACAGAAAGATCATACCACATCCCAGACTTCTTTTGAAACATAAAGAAAATGGCTGCCTGTGAGAAATTCAGAATTTTGTCCATTTTCCAGTACAAATTACACCATTTAATATGAAACAAAGTCCTTAGTTACTGGAGTCAATGAGAAGTTTTATTGTATTTCTTTGTAGTGGCATAATTTATTTGTTATTTATTTGGGTGTTTTGTTAAAGGCACCCCATCAGAAAGTATTACTAATATTATTACCTCATTATCTTTTGGCGACCACACTTCATTACCCTACATCTTACAGTACATGTATCTCGGTTAAACTTTGTTGTAATAAACATGATAAACTTAAAGTAAATTTTAACATTTGACCATTATTTTGTGCATGCAGCCATCAGTTTCTTTCTGATGTTTAAAGGCGTTATGTTTTTACTACTTTCTCTGCTAAATGACAGATAAATTTGATCAAATAGTTTACTCATTTTTCAAATAATAAAAAAATACATTTTAGTCAGAATTAATTAGAATATCAGTGAACATGGTGAACAATACTGTTTTGGTTTAGATTAAAAAATAATGTCCCATCAACTTATCGTAATATATTTGTAAAAGTCTGATGATTTATTCCCTGTTTCTGTTATTTTTTGTGTACACAAGACAATTAGAAATTAATTACCAGATTCTCATCCAACTTTTAATAAAAAGTGAGACAAAATAATTGAATTTACTGGTGTAGGTTTATTGAGTTTGGTTGTTACAATGCTGTGACCTTTCAATTTTGGTACCCCCTTAAATTTAGTTTTATTGTGTTGTAGATGTGTACATGGTGTATACATTTGATACCATTAACAGTGATTAAGGATTTTTTTTCATTTAATTGTTTCATGTGTTTACGAAGAAAAAACATGAATGTGTTTTTCCCCCCCAATTTTTATTTTTTTTTGCTTTTAGAAATTACAGAGGCTGAAGATATGTAACATGTTGTTCTGTATTGAAATTAATAAAAAAAACTGTTGCTTTGACCTCAATGTTTTGCCATAGCTGTCATTTCAATTAGGTTGCTAATGTACTTTTGCCCTACTTTGCAGTCAGCTATTTATCTATTAACAAGTAATTTAATGAACGTTCAATTCTATTGTGTAGAAACATCTGTGACTTCTCTTTCCATATTCTTGTTTACTGATGTGTGTCAGCTGCAGAGCTTTGTGGCTCTTTTTTAGTCAACGTGGCAATGGGACATTGTTTATCCAGATAAAGTGGGACCATTATCTTTAATTGGTTTACCGATTCTGGATTTGCTATAAAATATGCTGAAAGAATAATTGGGGAAAAAATCTAATCTGACCATGCTGACAGCATTATTTTTTTTACACTGAATTGGTGTACAAAAATAATTGCATACAATATGTAAACTGCAAGCCCATTGACATAGGGCACTGCACATGTTGCAACATAGCCAGATAACTTTATGATGAATTAAATAAGAGACTTTGTTGTTTTTGTGTAGAACATTCAATGCAAATTTAGTGTGGAAAATCCTGGATGATGGGTCTGCCAATGATTATCCAGTGTTTTCCTCACCATAACACATGCTTGCTGTAAAAGGTGACTATGCTTGTCGTTGGAGCCGCCTGACGGGATCGGGTGGTCGGGCTCGCTCACTTTGTCGATGCATGTCATCGATCCCAATTGCGTAGATCGATGTTCATGATATCAATCACTGAATTGTCTGGTCCAGACTTGATTATTTACAGACCGCCGTCATATAGCTGGAATATGGCTGAGTGCGGCGTTAAACAACCAACCAACCACACCATAACATCAGTAAACAAAGAATGGCTGGACTCTGAATGAACACTAGTGGTAGTAGCATATTTTTTGTACAGAAGGCCAGAGGCCCATCGGATGTAATATCTTTGGGAATGCTTGTGTTATACAATTATATATATCTAACAGTTTTTCATAATATTTAATGATATACGTACATACACATCTTCCCAAGGCAAGAGAGTTAATTGGCTTTAAAAGTCCAGTTTCCACCCTTGCCGAACTAGGCTGGAATGCCTGGGCTCGATTGTTGCGCCATCAGTGGCTATCACGAGTTATGTCCTTTCTAAGGCTCTCCTATGGACTAATCAGATTCCACCTCTCGTATCACTTGCATTTGCTTCAAACAAAATGTATTTTGAGATTGGATTCAGTGCAATAATTTAAAACTAAGCATTAGACACTCTTCCTTTTCATTGGTCCTGTTATCACTGAAATACAGGTTACATCTGCAAAGCCATAAAATTACTTATTAGTTATAATATATTGGCCTGAATTTGGAAATTTTTAATCCCAATATGGAAATTTTTAATGACATTTGCTCCAGACTTGGGGCCAAATATTAGCTTCTAAGCAGGTCTAAATAAATCCCTGACATAGAAATATTTTTGAACAGGTGTCTGACAACTTTGTTTTTTTTGCAGCCCCAGCAACACCAGGCTTTGTTCTTACCATGAAGTATGCAAGTATCTGTCTGCTGAGGGCACCTGCAAATGTGGGTTGGAGTGTCCACTCTTGGTGGAGAAGGTGTTTAACTTTGATCCATTGGTCAATGGAAAACTCTGGACTGTGGATGATATGGCTACAGGGGACCTCACCAAGTTGTGTATTCACAAACGTAAAATTATTGCAATGGCAACTTTTCAGAGTAGTCGATCAATGTCTGTTTCTAAAGACACGGATAAGATCAGTCATTCAGGAACAGGAGGTCATTCGAGGAAAGGTAAGTTACTTGATGTGGTGTTTGAAGATGACGACTAGTCATATCTTATCTCAGCTGAAGACATTTATTTTTGCAATGTTGTGGCTTGCCAGAAACTTCATGGAAGGATAAATAGTTCAATCACAGCATCTGGCATGAGAAATTAACACAGTTATACAGGAATTAATCTTGGACTTCAAAGTAAGTGCACTAAGTGAGAATTTGGAAAAATTATTTTGTCCAAAATTGGGATCTTTGTTAAATTTCATATGTTCCAAAATTCAGAGGTATTTGACATTGTATTTTATCATTGCATTTAATGCAATGATGTTAGACTAAGCATTAAAGTCTCTTCTTCTAGTTTGGTCCTGTTTTCAGTGAAATTCAAGTCACCTCTACAATATGTACAAAGCAATAACATAAGTTGCAATTGTAAAAACATGAACTGGGAAATGTTTAATTACAATTTTGGAATATTCGACTGACATTTGCTGTGGACTTGGGACCTAATATCGGTCTCTGGGCAGGTCCAGATAAATACCTGTATTATGAAAGAGTCTGGTGGCTCTTAGCTTATTTTGAGTAGTATTTCAAAGGGTGGTTAGACTTGGTTCAGTTGGCAGTCCTGTCAAGTTAATTTCTTGGTACAATTGGCACTTTGTTTTCTATACAAATTCAAATCTAATTATTTAAGTCAGTCTAGGACTAGGCGACTACTATAACTATACAGATATAAGGTCCCAAATCCACACATATAGCCTAATTGCAATGTCTAGACCTTTTGAATGGACTTTAAGGAGGTGGGTAGCCTCTCTCCTCATGCCGAAAACGCGGGTTTGATTCCCCACATGGGTACGATGTGTAAATCACATTTCTGATGTCATCTGTTGTGATATAGCTGAAATATTGCTAAGAGTGGCATAAAACTCAACTCACTCACTTAAATGGACTTTCATCTTGGGGCATAGTTTTTAGCTGACACACAGAAATATAACTGAAGTACAGTTCAAGGTGAAATTGAAAGCAACTCACTTCTTTTTCTCTTACTGTTCAAGCTAAGGGTGTCATATTGATCCCATAGTTATTTTTTGTTGCACTGCTAACCAGTCTTTTGTTTTTGATTTCCAAACGACTCTAGGCAAGAAGAGCAAAAGTAAAGTGAACTCTACACCTTATGATGGACTGTTGGTATCACAGCTTCTGGCTCAGAAAGGAAAGGTGAAACCACCGATGAATCACACCCACAAACACACCAAATCAAAGGGTGATGGTTCACAAAATCCCATAGATGGGCCTGGATCTAAGTCGTCAAATAATGTCACTACTGTTTCTAATGCTGTACCAAAGATGTTTGAAAATAAGTCAGTTCCATGCAAATCTCAAGCTTTGCAACAGTTACAACAGTTAAATAAGCTCAACAACTCTGTCGGCAATGTACTGCCTGATCCAGCCGATGACCTTGGCCCGATAACGTGCCAAGTCCCGGCTAAGCTGGACTTTAGCAAAGAAGGCTTCCTGGAGGATCAGAAGAATAGGCTTCAGACGTCTATGGCTGGACATACTGTTGGCCAGGCAATCTTCCATCAAGGGTCTGTGTCCCCTCAAGCTCCTTTTAGTCAAGAACAACTGAAGCACCAGTTGTTGATGCAACAGTCTGCTTCCCCATGTGCTCCTACTGCCAGTCCCTCTTTAGTCAATTCTGTTCCAAACCACATGTACGGACCAAATGTTCCTCAACACTTCCAGTGCCAGTTGCCTATGAATATGCAGCAGAATTCTGGAAACATTATGTTCCAGACTCTGATGCATGTGCAGAATCCACAAGCCCAAAGATTTACGAACCCTCCTGTGTTTGAACAAGCCAACATGCAAGGAAATCATTTGCAGGTTGGATCCCAACCAAATCTCATGATCAACCAGGGCTATCCTCATCTAGGTAATCTGACCTGGCTGGACCCAGGGAAACCGAAGGCCAAGAGGCCTAGAAGCAAGAAGGATAAACAGAAGTTAAACAGCATTCTTGATAGGACATCTCCTTGTCCGAATGTTGATGTCCGACACATACCTCAGGAAGCATCAAAGAATCCATCCAGCATCAATACTAGTGTATCATTCATGGAAAATCCAGCAGCATTTCTTGCTCAACAAACAGCTCTTGTTCATAGTTCATTAAGTTCCACAAAGACAGATATGTCTCAACCAAGTCCTCGGACACCACAACCTTCTGTATCCACCCCTCCAAGTGTATCCACCTCAGTTCAGAATAAGTCTGTTCCTGTAACCACAGCTTCTTCACCAGCATCTGAACCTACAGAAGAGGTACCAGATAAAGTATTGCCACAAAGAACATGTAGTATTAGTGAACCATCTGCAACGTCTAGTACATCAACTGGCACAGTGACTACTGCTAAAACCCCAGGATTGTTGAAAGTTGATGACGGTGCAAACTGTGATAGATCAGATACGCCTGCTATAGAGAAATTGGATGTTTCTGAGAAAGAAGCAAGTGCATCTGAACAGTGTTGTGATGACAAAACCAGATCAAGTCCTGCCAGCAATGCCACTCTACCTTCAGATGCCAAAGCAAACTCTTTAGAATCAAGTGAGCCTAAGGACTCTGATTGTGTCAGTGAAGCGAACACAACTAACAGCACTAAGCCAAACATTTCACAGCAAAGCCAAACACCTACAAGCAGCAATGCCGCTATTGTCACCCTTGCTTCCACTGCCTCTGCAACAGAACCAGCCACTACTGCAACAAATTTGGTAATGCCAAGTGATATTTCTGAATTGATAGCTGCTAATAATCTTAACCTCAATGCTGTCCAACAGGCTTTAAGTCAGCAAGGACCAGGTGAGTTTCCTGCCAGCACACTACTGTCTGCCGCGGCAAGAGCACAGGGGTCTCAACAAAACCCACTTAATGTTCTACTAGGCCAGCCAATGCAGGTCAGCCCTACTTTGCAAGTTCCCACTGGGCAAGAAACCGCTACACCAACCGCCATTCCCGACATGATGAGCAAAGCAGGCATTAACACGTTAGATCAGTTGAATTTATCTCTACAACAGCAAGGTGGTGGAACTCTCATGCTTCCTCAGAACCCAAATATTTTGGCAGGTGCTCTTCCTGGGGGTTACATCAATACACTGAATGGTCCAACTGTGCAAGGATTACCTCTCAACATGTTCCTGCCTGTCAATCAACCAATAGGCAATTCCACAGGTTTGAATCCTGCTCAAAACTTATTAATTGGTCTTGATCCTAAGTCAGGTGCCAATTCACAGACTTCAAAACAGGCCACAACAACAGGTAGAGTTTCTGGAGTAGAGTCTACTAAAGGTTTGGATGGCTTTAATGGACCAGCTGTGAACTTCCCAACACTCTTTGCAAATGTTGCTAGTGGCCCTAGTACTATTGGTGCTAACATGAAACTTTCAACAACATCTTCCTCAAATGCATCCCAAGTTTCTGCTGGTGTCAATGCTTCTTTGCTAAACAATCAGTTCCCCTATGTCACAATGAACACTCCTATGCCTCCGATGTCCCTTCCCCTTGTAACCAATGTCACAAACAGCCTATCACAAGTGATCCCAGCTGTTGGAGTTCCTCAGACAGTCCTGAATCAACAACCTGTTACATCACTCATCAGCACTGTCACTGTCCCAACATTGAACAATTCCGTTGTCATTACAAACCAAATACCCTCAATGCATACTTCTCAGACTGGGACACAGAATATTGCATTTATGGGAGTACAACAACCTCAAGGGGGTGAGCCTGAAAACAATGCAAATGTAGGCACAGCCGAAGATGTCAACAGTGTTGGCAGTTCTATGGCCAGTACTGAAACAGTGTGTGTAAGTGAAAGTGGCCAAGCTAATGTTCCAAAGCTTGAGACAACCCATCAGGGTGTGGAGACACTCATGAACAAACTGGTAAATCAAACTGAAGTCATGGAACAAATGAACAATAACACAGGTCAGGTTGTGCTTCTTCCGAATCCAAATATTCCCCTTCTTCAGCTGTATGGAGCTAATCCATTGTTAGCAGCACCTGGGATAGATAAGTTTGGTTTGAACAGTATGCAGCAGGTCATGCTCCATGGCACAATGATTGATCCACAGCTGTGCCAAGGTCAGCCTGCTGTAGGAGGGGGCCTCAATCTCCTCCAGATGCAACAGATGTGGAACAATGCTGGTAACGGCAACATGACCAATCTGAATGCAATACAACTTCAACAGCTTCAGGCACTTCAGCTGCAGCTTCTGCTGCAACAGATCCAAGGAATGCAATCCCTTGTCAACCAAATCCAGCTCCACGGTGCTGCTCAACAGACCCTTAATCCAGATGGAACCATACCAACTCAAGTCCCCACTGTGGGAGAAGTGGAAGAGGAAGTAAAGGTTGAGGTGAAAGAAGAAGAGGAAGAGGAGGAGGAGTATGGGGATACCCAAGATGCTGATCTGAGTCCTTCAGGGGAATGTGAATTCAAAAGTGAATGTGATCAAAATTTAAGCAAGAATTACTCTCCGGATCAACCTGTTAATGAAAATGATGTGGGTTATGGCATAAAAGATTCAGTTGAAAATGAGGTTTCTCAAGAGCCCAAAGCTGTATGTGATGCAACAGGTGCTGGTGCAAATGACATTACCTGTTCGAAGTCTGAAGATGGGGACAGTTTAGTTGAGACATCACAGACTAAGAAAGATCATGAATTTTGCGTTAGTGAGAATTCAAGGAGTGACAGTGATAAACAGTCATGGCATAATACTGACTCTGATGATGTATCCTCGTCAACTATGTCTGTGTCTGATTCAGCGGGTGAACAAAAATCTTGTGACACTAACCTGTTGGATTCCTCTAAAACTGGTACAGCTTTGAGAACAAAACCACAAAAAGAATCATTAGGTGAGTCTCCTTCAGTGTCAAATGCAGTACTGGGTCGCGGGTCATCATCCAGCAGTGTACTGGATGGGTCAGCAGCATCAGCTTCAGATCTGCCCCATGTGAACCACAACGGGCCGGAGGAGGACTTGTGTGATGATACTGATTCACTGGATGATGACATGTCTCTCGATGATCTGCGGAGGGGGTTGAAACGAGCCAGAACAGATGATGAGACTGATGTGGACTCCACTAGCATTGACAGTGAGTACTGTGTTCGGATTGATTAATAATTAAGGGGCCGACCATTGGGTATTCAGGGGGGCCTGGGATGTTTTCGAAAATAATATATACTTGAAAAAAATAATTATCTTCAGACTTGGGTAATCTTGTGATCTTGAAGACCTGGGTTTGATTCCCCACATAGGTACAATGTGTGAAGCCCATTTCTGGTGTCCCCCACCGTGATTTTACAGGAATATTGCTAAAAGTCGCGTAAAACCGTGTTTGCTTGCTCACTCACACAGATTGTTGAAAAAAGAAATTGTCGGCCACAAAAAATACATTGTTGCCAATTGTGTTTTTTTAGAAAATCATTAAGGCTCATTGTTTTGATTTTTAAAAAATACCTCGCCTCTATGCAAAATTCCAAAATCAGTGATCATGTCTTTACATTATCTTGAACTATCACACCCTTTACCCCTGTTGACATACGTAATTCTTTCTACAGACTACGACGAGGAGTCCATTGACGGCATGGTGTCTGAAGGCTACCTTCAGAACTTCTCCACAGGGGATGTTGTATGGGGTCAGATCCGAGGCTTCCCGCTGTGGCCAGGCAAGCTGGTTCCAGAAAGTGCTGCTGAGGGCATTGAACTGAACCCCTCCCTAGAGGACAGAGCAGATGCCGTGAGTTGATAGTTGAGCCTCAATGTAAACTAGACTTGATTTAGATAATGTTTGTGTTGAACGTATGGACAATGATGGGCCATATGACTGAAAAGAATTAACTCTTTCAACACCGTAGGCCGGTTATCCGGCCAAGAAGCATCGAGTCCCCAGACACCGCAGGCCGGTTATCCGGCCAAGCCGTAGTCACGTCAAAATAGTATATATTTTTATGGACCTACCTGTAATGTCATTCATTTATTAAATCTATCACATTTCACAATGTCTGAAATACATATTCCATTTCAATTTAACATTTTTTATCGTTAAAATAAAAAATTATTCACTATTTCTCGCGATGTTATTGAAAATAAAATTCTCGGACACACATTTCGACAACGGGTCCACATCGAACACGTCAAAGAGGAAAATAAAGACGTTTTAAACAAATCTTTAAAAGTAATCAAACTTACATCTAAGTTATTATTTCCATCTTTTCGTGCGATCGCGTGTAATGTAAGTCAAATGACATCTCGGCTTTCGTCGCCTTGAATTCTCGGCTCGGACACGATGTTTAATGCAAAAATATATGCATGAAAAATCTTTGTCACAGCTCGTAACCTAGCACGATACATTCACGAAGTTCCATATTTTTAATATATATCGTGATTTCCTGCTCAAAACGTTCAGAATAACACGATTTAACAAAATTCTTTTGCAAACTTCTGTAATTAATCGAACACGAGCTTGGTATCACAGCTGTAATTTGATTGGCTGCCTTAGGTCACGTGCTCAAAATTGACCAATGACGAAACTTTCAGATTTCAGCAAGAAAGCGTCATTAGAAACCAATTTTAATCCAATGAAATCGCTTGTTATAACTACGAAAGAAAACCAGTCGATGTTACGTGCGTGTAGATGAAGGAATAAGCTTTCCAGCGATGTGTCATATGCCATTCTTCGACGAACGTGTTATTCATACGAAACCTCGAAAACGGGGGTATTTCTTCATTTTACTGAGCGGACAGTCGCTGTTATCGGGAAATGGGTGATGACAGAAACTGTTTATAATTCTTTTTAAAATGATTTTCCAATTACGTAAACAATGAAAATAAAACAGAAATAGGTACATGGATATTATGAAATCATATATTTGCCGAAAATCGTCAAGTTTTCGCTTCCTTGGTCCTTAATCTGGATGTTAACAACGTGTTAGCGTACATTTTTTATTTACAACGAATTTAATTAAGTTGTAAATGCATTATTTTAAATAATGTGAAAAACATAACTTTCATATTTATAAACCATAGGATCAGACCTTTCAAATGGTGTATAACATGTAGTAGCAAATATATTTTACAAGCAGGTATTTTCTTTGATAAATGTTGGCTTCATCTATCACACAAGAGTCTCTGGGAACTCGGTGTCCCAGCAGTAAACACTTCTGGTTGACTCGTGTTGAAAGAGTTAACATAACAGATATAATAACTGACTACGTGGCTATCGGCGGGGGTAAAAAAATGGAAATCTGATTTTATTTATTTTTACATTTTCTCAAAAATTAGAGTCGGCGGGTCCGTAATCCGAAAAATATAAAATGCCTGGCCTTATACACACACCCCATTCCACAGCTGTAATTTTGGGAAGACCGTGCGCACTATACACAAGAAAGTGTGGTACCACATTGACTGCCATACTTTAGTGTTGATTTATCCCATCAAAGATCGTTGTAGAGCTGAGATAGTGTTGTGGACAAAGGCCCTGCTCCTGAGTGTTCTGTGTTTTGTCCAGGTGCTGGTCATGTGGTATGGGGATCACACATTTACTCGGGTTGAGCCTCAAAGACTCAAGACATGGGGCGAAGGAATGGTTGCTCATCACAAAACCAGGAGGAAATACCGCAGGTACTGAGTATATGCATTTGGAAGAGTGTTATGATGTTCTTATGTTATGAAGAGATTGTTACATGCAATGTCACAGGGTATTATGACCAGAGCTCATTCACACCATATCACCCTCCCTTGGCTGTATGCCATCCCATTTGCTTTATCACGTCCCTCAGCCATATCACCCACCCTTGGCCATATTCTAATCCTATTTAGTTTATGACACCCCTCAGCCATATCACCCACCCTTGGCCGTATCCTAGCCATCTTCTGTATCGCATCCCTCAGCCATATCACCCACCCTTGGCCGTATCCCATCCCATCTACTGTATCACATCCCTCAGCCATATCAGTTCATGATTAAGAGTAATCTCCCTTGGATGCTCTGTTGTTATGATATGGTATGATATGGGAGATTGTGTTTGATAAGGGATTTAATATGAAATAGGAGATATACTAACATCTACATGATCTAGTTGATGTGAGGAAGTACATGAAGAAGTATTGTAATATCACACCTTGGGATGTACAGTGGCAGAATAAGTTTCCAGAAGCCAATGCTTGTCATCAGACCTTAAAAGGGCTCTGATGATCACAGTTTTGGCTAGTTTTGTCCTACCAAGATGGTGGCACCATGAACTTCTGTGACTGTAGGTTCACATCCCAGACTCATGAAGATCCAGCTTAGAAATGTCATGTCATTGTATCCCAATTGCGTAAATCGATGCTCAGGATATCAATCACTGGCTTGTTTGGTCAAGATTTGATTATTTACAGATTGCCTTCATATAGCTGGAATATTGCTGAGTGTGGCATTAAACTACAAACAAAGAAACAAACATCTTGACTCCCAAATTTGACCTGAATCACGCTGGGCTTTAATAGGTCTTCAGCAACCAATGCTTGCCCTAAAAGGTGCCTATGCTTATCGTAAGAGGTGACTAACAGGATCCGGTGGTCAGGCTCGCTGACTTGATTGATACATGTCACCGTATCCCAATTGCGTGAATCATTGCTCACGACATCAATAACTCGATTGTCTGGTCCAGGCTTGACTATTTCCAGACTGTCGTCGCATAGCTGGAAAATCGCTGAGTGAGGCGTAAGACAACAATCAAACAGACAAAAACAAACTCTATAACATTCAGTTATGTTTGGAACGAACACACTTATAACGAACTGACGGATATAATGAACTGTTTTTTTGGTCCTGTCTGTTTGCTGTATATATGCTGTATATATGCTTCTAACAAACGTCAGTTATAACAAACTAAAATTAGAGGTCCCTTTGTGTTCGTTATAAACGGAGTTTACTGTACTTAGCTGATCTGTCAAGAGGGAAACAAGCAAACCTTGGGAAATAACCATTGGAATCCAAGTCAGTTTTTGAAGCGTTATATTTATGCCCCATGTTTTTGCAGAGGCAGGAAGATGAACTCCCATCTGGAGGCGGCTATCCAGGAGGCTGTGAAGGACATAAAAGACATGCCAGTCGTGAACTCTGAAACAGCCGCAGTGAAACCTTCAGTGAAGGGGCGTGCCACAAAGAAAAGGAAGGCTTGATGCCGCATGGATTATTTCAGTGTACAGTCAAACACTGAAGAGAGCCTACATTCATCCACTGTTTTATGGTTGGACAGTGAATGTCCAGGGATATAGTAGGATAATGATGGAAGACATTGACGATATATGACATGCGATGGACAGTGTTTATTTATGTCCAGTCATTAGGGAATTTACTTTCCTGGGAATTGAAGTTTGAGATTGATGTGATGTCTGTTTAGCTCAGCAAAACCATTTTTGAAGGATTTTGAAATTTTGAGAACCTGCATTTTGAAGGATGTCTGCTGGTTTGTAAACAATATGTACAGTTCATTATGGCATGAACATTAATTAGGCTCTCCTCACAACAGTTTATGAGTACTACCTACAATATCAGCTTCATCTGATGAAGTCATGACTTGGACAGCATACTAGAATTTGAAATTGAAGATGAAATATTTTGTGCCAATGTTGAAAGTCTAAGGACACGGTGTGGAAATTGTGTTATTTTGTGACAGATGAATTACTACCAAGTCTGATGAAGGGGTTCTTTTTCGAGTCCAGGTGGGTGGTGGGTGGGATGTTACCTGCAAAAAGTTTGTCGTGTCGTCTTCTTCGATGGGTTGTTATGATGTCTCTCACAAGTAACAGTTATTGTAGTTTCTGCCTCGATATGTTCTCTTGAAATCAAGGGTTGGGTGACTGCCAATTGATTAATCGACGGAGATTGACAAATGAGGAGTCACTTCACCCTTGACATCTAATAAGGCAGAGGGAAAGCATACGATAATTATTTTCACCAATTGTCATCCACATTAGGTGGCAAGAATATGCAAAGTATTCATGAGGAAAGATCACAAAAGAAAAGGTGCAGTCAACGGTTGAAAATTCCATTATGATTGGGATGTGCCTGGCAATTGCAACAGACAATTTATTAGATTTTTGACTATTTGAACTGCAGGTCCAGCTGCATGCCTCATGCATTGAAGCGATGTTGATTGATAAAAGTGACGGCACTTTTGATGAAAAATCCAGTTGTGCAGTCGTCTAGTGCGAAAAAGGTGACCCCCTTAAATTCAAGAAATAAGTCAGTTGAGACTTTTGTTAAATAATTGTTTCGACCATGGACGTATTCACAGATATTGAAAGAATGAAACAAACTTTCCGTAATCTAACTAGAAAATAGTTAATTGCCCAACCCGTCCTGGGTTCATCAAGTACCTTGTAGTTCAGACAAGGAGAGTGTCAAGTTGAGGTCTTATTTTCAAAGAACAGACCATAAGTCAACATGGTTTCCAAGGTTTGACTGAACAGAGATAAACACTGGTGTGGCAGAGAGTGTCAACTTAATGCTATATTATCAATGAGTAGGCCATAAAGTGTCATTGTTCCCATCTTGTTTTTGAGTAAAGGACCTCAGGTTTGCAAGGTTTATCTGTACAGAAACAGGTTGGTCTGGCAGAGTGGTAGCATGGTGGAGAGTGGTTTGGTTTTATTTTGTCAGTGTTCCCCAGTGTGGCTGCGGAACTGCCACAAGAGCCACAGACTACTCACTTGTTCTCATTTGTGACAGTTTCTTTGCTGGAAGAGTTCCGCAGTGCGGCAGTAGAATTACCTACCACAAGGCCCATGAACACCTCCCTTCACTTGTGAACATTGTGGCACCACTGTTGGTGTTGGTGTTGGGTACTATCATGACAGGCTCTCATCGCTCTTTTCATAAACATTTTGAAGAATTTATTAAAATGTAGGTCATTCAAGGGTTGGTTTTCTGTTCTGTCTATGTCTACAATGGTCTGGTGTGTTCATTGAGCATGGCTATGTTAATCTGAGAAATTGTTCATTCTGTTTATAAGTTGTGATAGGTAGATCTGTTTCAAAGTTCTGCGATATGATGTTAGTCACTTGGGTATGGGATTTCCTTTAAAGATGAATGATAAAGTGCTGTGGTGTTCAGGCCGGAATTTGTTTAATGCAGTGTTGGCAGAAACTGAAGAGAAACAGGCTGAAGGCTTCTGTCAGTCAAGACATTCTTGAATAGTTAATGGATGTTTTACTTCACAAGTTGGTGGGAAGGTCATTTATTGGACGGTGTAAATTTTAGTTTCGGAAGAAAATTTATTTTTCTAAGACGAAACATGAGTTGTTACCTTCTAAACCTCTCTGTATAGTACTGTCCCAGCGAAACATGATCTGAAATATTTCAAATGCACATGACATGCAAATTCTATGTATGTTTGTCCGTGTTGTTTGGGGCATAATTGCATAATGTAAACACAGGCAATATTGACATTTGTTTTCTGAATTGATGGACAGTTTCATGTTGGTAATTTAATGTTTGGTAGTGTTCAATAATTGGTCTTGTGTTCATTTGTCAAGCACAGCTGCTGTTGCTCAGGTAATGTTTCCTGTGTAAATGTGTCAGGGGGTTGATACAGCTCGAACCTTACTCAGAGCCAAAATGTGCGCTCCAAAAAGCAGGTTTAGATAGATTTTCAGATAAACGGTTAACAGTAAAATTCTAGGCGATTCTTATTATTAAAACAGGTTATTGGATCCTCTAAAATGAACTACCTATTTGAACAGGGACCCATTCCACATTGCGATTTTAGCTCTAAGATGATCGTAACTCCCATACTTTTGCATAGACTTACTACAATCGTAGCACTAAGATGATCGTAACTCCCATGCTTTAGCATAGACTTACGACAATTGTAGTGCTAAGATGATCGTAACTCCCATACTTTTGCATAGACTTACGACAATTGTAGTGCTAAGATGATCGTAACTCCCATACTTTTGCATAGACTTACGACAATTGTAGGTCAAAGATGATGGTCACTCCCATACTTTAGCACAGGCTTACAACAATCATAGCGCTTAAATCATTTTGTGGAATGGGGCCCTGAGCTAGCAGTATGCACATTTATATTTTGACCCTTAGAAAAGCATCCAAAATATTTTACTGCGAGACCAATTAAATTTGAGATCAAGGCCCTGTTGCACAAAGCAATCGTAGCGCTACGTCTGTCAAAGGCTATGTTAAAGTATATGATTAATGAGTCATGACCTTATGATCGCTTTATGCAACAGGCCCTGAAAAAAATTTGAAATGATCTTTTTGCTTTCTTACTGCTGTTTTCCCCGCCTAGTGATAAGGATTTTGAAAGAAAAATACAGACATTAATAAATAATGATAATTCCAACAGATTTTGCTCGAGGGAGATTTGGTAGTTGTTAAGTGTTTAGTTCTGTTCCTACTGTGAGTGTAGGAGCTATATTTTATGAAGTAGTCAAAGATATAACTGTTGTTGGCATTTCCATGTGAGGTAGTGTATGTTTAGCAATGATCAGTGCTTTGTTTGAGGCCAGGGTCAGTGACTTATTGTCTGTTATTGTTATGTTTTGGGAGGGACAGTGGACAGTACACTGGCGGACATTCCTGTCCCCCATCTCCGACAACTCGGAGGTTTCAACATGTATGATGATGATTATTTCTTGAGCAATAGACGTACCTTCTCCATCAGTTGGTACTGCCGAAATCGGTGTCTGGGTATTTAATCAGACTTATATGATGCATTTTCAAATTTACTCTGTGCAAGAGAGATGATTTATTTTAACACTTTCATGCTTAATTTATTGTTACTGAATTTGTGACTGATATTGTCTTCATTAAAAACCGGAAATTGATGGATGCAGATAGAGCAAACCACATCCTTAATGTGTTCATGTAGAAATATTTAGTTCTGATATTTTCCTACCAAACCCTCTGTGTGTTGTTCAGCTTGGTGTGTGTTTTCAGTTAAAGCTTCATGGTTACTGTATGGCTCTGTGATATGTCCAATGTGTACAGGTGTTATTTATTTGTGATACTTCCTTTTGCATAATACCTTGCAGATTTACTTCACTCTTAAGGCTTAATTATATAATAATTCTCTATAAGCTTAAAAGTTTATGCCTGTGAATTTATTGAATCAGAAACTCCGTCACAAACATATTACTTGTACTTTGAAATATATATATTAATCAAGAATTTTTTGCATAAGGACATCCTTTGTCTCTTCCATTGCTAAGCATAGGGCAAGTCTATATATTGTATCTCTAGCTGTGTGTTAAGTGTAATATCCTATATCAGCTGAAACTACCGTACACAGGACTGGTCAAGTCCGAACGTGAGCACCCAATCAGAGACAGGGTATCACTTAAGCCTTACCTCATTGGGCTAAGCTCAGTTCAACACAAGCATGAACACTTACTATATTTTGTTTTGGTTTGGAGGAGTTACATAGACATTTTTACACCATAAATCAAACAATTATTTTGACAGTTGGGTTGAATACAAAATTGTATATTTTTTTTGTTAACTTAGTTAACTTATTTGCTCTGTATGAAGAATATGTTTGAAAATTTTGTTGTGGTTTGAAATGGTTTCATTTTCTTGACTCCAGGCAGGCAGGATTGTGGGAATTGACAAATGAAACTCCTTGAAAACATTAGGTATTACTAAGCAATGTCAGAAACATAATACAGATAAGCAAATCTCTCCAATTTTGGAGGCGAGCTTGAGAAAGAATTAACTTATCTTTACAATCAAGTTGAACTTTCAGTATTTTTCAATTACATTCAATCTATGCTTCGATGCAGTGACTGATACCATCCTTTCATTTGGCCTGATTAATTTGTGGTTTAACAGTTGTATTTGTTGATGATTTGTTTAGGGGACATTGGGGCCAGTAAGGTGCCACATGTTGCTGTGAACAGTTGATTTCTTCGTTAGGACAGGATCCTTTAATCATATGTTTGAATCCCAGGTTTACCCTGGTCAATATTCTTGGTTTGTCAGCACCATATCCATGTTCATCAGGACAGGATCCTTTAATCATATGTTTGAATCCCAGGTTTACCCTGGTCAATATTCTTGGTTTGTCAGCACCATATCCATGTTCATCAGGACAGGATCCTTTAATCATATGTTTGAATCCCAGGTTTGCCCTGGTCAATATTCTTGGTTTGTCAGCACCATATCCATGTTCATCAGGACAGGATCCTTTAATCATATGTTTGAATCCCAGGTTTGCCTGGTCAATATTCTTGGTTTGTCAGCACCATATCCATGTTCATAGTCTTCACCAAATTGGTCCGCGTGAAAAAACGATGGATCATTTTGGACTTTCTTGCCTCATTTGGCTTATTGACATGCTGTGATTTAGCTGAAATAGTGTTAAAAATGGCATTAACCCAACTCACTCACTCACCCACTCTGATTTGTTCAACCTTGATACATACTGTTCTTCATTTATTCAGGTTTGGTGACTCCTACTATGATCTGAATTGTTTTTAGATTTAATTAGAAATAGAGACCCAAAATTGCAGAATTTGGCATAATATTTGACAGTGTAAACAGACCTGAAGTAAATGTTAATATGAGTTTAACAGTTCAGTTATAAGATGTCAATAATTAGTTATAGATTAACAAATTATGTTGTTGCTGGCGTTAAGGAAAACATTGAAGCTTTTTGTTGAAAGTTTAATTTTGTTCATTAATGTTATATTTGTTTGCAATGTTGATGGCATTATATTTTTATCATTGAAAATAGACTGACTAAAAGTGTATGGCATTTTTGAAGATATTGCGTTTATGTTAATTTCTCTCCTAAGTATTTGTTATGTGTGCAAGATCAAAGATAGTTTACTTTGTAGTTATACATTTATGATTAAATTGACTAAGGAAACGTTCCGAGGTTCTATGTGATGTCCACTTTTGACCAGGAGAAGATGCTTCAGGCTGCTTGTGCTTATGTGGTTACTGTTAGTGCTTATGTGGTTACTGTTAGTGCTATAGTTATTACTGTGTGTTGTGCAGATTTAATTTAAGCTTGTTTGTTTAGAATCTCAGAATATTCTATGGTGTTCAATGTTGTGTGAAAAGTGCTTCAAAGGGAGACAACTGCCCATTTTACTGACCCATCGCTCACAATGCTTGCAAATGGCGAGATTGTGTTTATTGTGTCCGTGGTCAGATTCCGATGTATTTGTGTTTGAGCATAGAGATATACACATATTTTATTTGTTGTTTTGTTGGACAATCTTTTTTTTTAATTGTACATAAACATTTTATCCCTAATGCTACACCAGTAGTTATAACTGACCCAGTTTTAATGCTGATAAAAGTTGATTTCGTTTGTATATATTGATAATTAATATGATGTTTTGTACATAGTCAACCATTTCGTGCCATGTATGGATACAGAAGTATACTTATCTTAATGTTAAAAGTCCTCATGTGCTCAAAGCACACAACCGATGTCGTGTACAGAAAATTTGTATAATGTGATATCATGTTATTCAGTGTTTATTTACAGTCTTAATCACAGCTTAGTGAGTCATGTGACCAGGGTCATGTGACAGGATCAGATACCGAGGGAATCATCGTCTTGCATATATTTCTGTGACTTGTTTATCAATAACCATTGAGACAGTATGCCACAGATGAACTGTGGGTCTACTGAAGCTACTTGCCTGTCCTTCACAGGCTGACACAAGCAATGACGGATAGATGTATTCCCATGTTTATCATACTCCCAATGTTCTGTATTAAACTTCAGTTTATTGTTCACACTCACATGTTCTGTCATCTTTGCCTCATTTGCAGGGGACCCGTGGCATCGGGTGGTCAGGCTTGCTGACTTAGTTGATGCATGTCATCGTGTCCCAATTGCATGGATTGATGCTCATGATGTCAATCACTGGATTGTCTGGTCCAGACTTGATTATTTACAGACCACCGTCATATGGCTGGAATAGTGGTTAGTGCAGCGTTAAACAAAAAATAAACAAACAAACATTATTTGCAAGGGTCAGGGTAGGCCCAGTTATCTAAAGCACCACAATTCGATAATTCGAGTTCCGGTTTGCCCTGATCATGTTTCCAGGTTTGTCAGCACCATACTCGAGCTCGTGGGTTTTACCAAAGAGGTAACGACTGAGGCCTGCATCACCTCGGGCTTTCCTCCCACAGTAAGTTGACATGCTGTGATATAACTGGAATACTGTTAAAAGCAGAGTTAAACCTAACTCACTCACTCACTCACTTCAGGGACCTCTGTGGTCGAGTGGATAGAGCGTCTGGTTGGAGAGTGAAAGATCTGTGGTTCAATCCCTGACCGCGTCGTACCAAGAGACGTGAAAAGATGTTTATTTTTGTTAACATGACTGGTGCTCTGCTTTATGGGGATTAGTTCGGACAAGTACAAGTAGCCACACACACACACACACGTACATCATGTCGCTGTATGAGTGCAACATTATGTCCCATTTCACATCAACTCATTTGCAGGCGGGCTTTCTTTCCTCCCACATCAAGCTAAAATTAGCGGTATAATGGCAGTACTGTCCAAAGTGACGATGATAACAGTCATCTGCAATCTGAAGACGCAGTTTTATTCCCCACATTGTAATTTACTGCATTGTGTAATGGCATTTTTCTCTCACTTTCATTTGCCTGTCACCCAAAAGACCCTAGATTTAACAAACACTTTATTTATTACATTCAAGTGTTAGTCATCTTTGATTTGCAGGATGGACCAGTCATGGATTTATCTAGACCTGCTCAGAGGCTGATATTCAGCAAATATCAGTAACAGTTCTCAAATTTGCAGAAGTGACTTGCATTTCACTGATGACAGTACCAGTAAGGGGCACAGGTGGCCCTGTCATCTAAGGCGTTGCAATTCACTGTGCAGAGCTGCATCCCTTGGCCATGCCAGAAACCTATGATTGTGGGTTCGAATCCCGGTTCACCCCAATTGTTTTTAAGTTTGTCAGCTCCATACCTGTGCTCGTGGGTTTTACCAAAGTGGTAAACGTTCTATACCTGCATCACTTCAGGCTTTCCTCCCACACTAAGCTGACACGCCGTGATATGACTGGAATCCTGTTCAAAGCGGCGTCAACCTTCCCTTACTCACTCACTCAGTACCACTAAACAAGAAGGAAATGTAATGTTCAGTTTGATGTTTTTGCATTGAATAAAATGTTAAATTACCCCTGAATATGTGTACATAAGGACTTAAGAAAATAAGAAAATGCCAAATTAAAAAAAAAAACCCATCTTTTTCCACAGTTTGTCTGCCATGGGCACTTATGTGGAATCCTTCATAAACCCCTCCGAGTAGTTACAGTATTTACTTGTCACCCAGAAGATTCAGAGTTTGATGCCCACATTGTAGGATGACTGTTTGTGACACTCAAGTGTCCTCTGATGTTTGTCTGATTTGAAGGTGGACAAGGTTGTTGTCATCAAATCCTTCTCTCCACCCATCTCTCTGCTGTTCAACTGAGGAATGGCTGATCCAGGGATTCCGGGTCAGAATGGGTACCCAGCCACCTTTAATCCTGGATGTAAGAGGCAGCTTCATGGATTGGATTGTCAGGCTCAGTGACTCGATTGATTGTCATTGTATGTATCTGGATAAGATGCGCTATATAAATCTATAATTTATAATGATTTATTATATAACTGGAACATTACTGAGTGTGGTGTTAAACAACAACCAGTCACCACAAAGCCTTACTTTGACAGTGAGGGACGGTCGGCCTAGTGGTTAAAGAGTTCGCTCGTCACGCCGAAGACCCGGGTTCTATTCCCGACATGGGTACAATGTGTGAAGCCCATTTCTGGTGTCCCCCGCCATGATATTGCTGGAATATTGCTAAAAGGGGCGTAAAACCATACTCACTCACTAGTTTGACAGTGAAAACCTTGTGTAGTTTGCATGAAGCCCTGGCAATTGCAGTAAATGCTTGTCACAAGCAAGAACCTTGGTGCGAAGCCACTGTATGTTTACCATGGTTAATACTTGGTAACCTATATAAAACTCACTGGAACTTGCTGTTCAGTTTAGTGAGCATGACATGGCATATTGTCCATCATCCATCATCCATCCATGGTTTGGGAAGGATTTCTAGTACATGTGCAAGTAGTACATTGTACAATACTTTCTAATACCACAACAGAAACTGTACAATAAAATAATATGGATTTTTATTCTAAACAAGGATACAGTATTTGTTGTGTTTAGCACCCAAATGCTTTTAAAGCAGAACAGTGTTTATTTACTTGCAAAATTTTCAGTTGAATGTCCAAGAAAAACTGTCAGAATATGGACAATATGTCTGTGTAACAGAAAATTGTGTGATATAAGATTACAAGAGGAATTTCTAAAACTTGAACTGTATTCCCTGTTCTGGTAGGCTGTTCTAAATATAATCAATATCACTGTGGGTGTTTTCATGTATAAGATAGCTATGCTATAAATCACACAGAATAATGAATGAGCCATGGTTTATTTCACGATAAAACATTTTTTTGAGTACAATAACCCTGAAACAGCAATTACCTTCAAAATGAGTTTATAATCAAGAAAATATGGGCTGTCATGTAAAATTTCAATATACGTTCACTGCGCTTACAGTGCTTACTGGGGCCACAATCGGCCCACTCGTCTAAGGCGCTGCAGTTCGCTGTGCAGAGTTGCATCCTTTGGGCACACCAGAAACCTATGATCATGTGTTAGAATCCCGATTCGTCCCGTTCATGTTTCTAGGATTGTCAGCATCATACCCATGCTCGTGGGTTTCACAAATGTAAATACCTGAGACCTGCATTACTTTGGGCTTTTCTCCACATTAAGCTGACATGCCGTGATATAACTGGACTACTGTTCAAACTGGCGTTAACTAACTTACTCACTCACTCACTCACTCACTCAGTGCTTACTTGCACTTTGATCTTGAAGTTGGTAAGGGGTGTTTGATATGGCGAATAAGGTAACATGAGTATTATAATACAATCTGGCTGATGCTTTTTATTGTAAATTTAACAATCAGCGAAACCTCATTAACTAGTCCTGAGTAGCATTGAAAATATATCAACTGATCCGAAGCTCAAATACCGACATGGAATAGTTAACCTACAATGCTGGTAATGAGCTGCCGGGACCTTCCATGAAGTTCTAGTTAAAGGGGTGTGTCACTGCGTACAACAACAACAACAACAACAACAACAACGACAACAACAACAGTGGAATGATCCTTTGGCGACACCTTTTTCTAAGTTTCAGGATTCAACCAACTCGAGTCAGAGAGCCAAAATCATAATATAAAACAAAAACAGTTTCATTATATTTACTTTTGCACTACTGCACTACAAATATAAAATAACTAACTTTTTTAAAATGGTTCTTGATAAACTGCATTGTATGAAGTCGGTCATCTTCTTGAGGTAAGAGAGTTAACTGACTATAAAATTCCAGTTTCCACCCTTGCCGAACAAGGCTGGTATTAGGGAGTTACATTTTGGCTGGACTAACGAGTCTATGCATAGTCCAATCAAAATTGTTCAACAAAATCGAAATCCAGTTCGTAAACTGTCATGCAGATTTCGGTTGATTGCAGGATTTGCAAGGCATTTGCACCGCCAACACGTTGTCAACAGATATTTTCCAAATCTTTTCATGTTTTTAATCAAGGTGCTCACGTGATTTGATGCATTTCACGATACAGACCTTGATTACTGATCAAATCATCCTGACTGGGTGTGGCCATTTTGTTTGAAGCAAATGTAAAAGATACGAGAGGTGGAATCTGATTGGTCCATAGGAGTGGCTTAGAAGGGACATAACACGTAATAGCCACTGGTGGCGCTACAATCGAGCCAAGGAATTCCAGCCTAGTTCAGCAAAGGTGGAAACTGGACTTTTAAAGTCAGTTGACTCTCTTGCCTCGGGAAGATGGAAGTCAGTCCACTGCAAGATAACAAAGCTTTTTCAGAAATAAACATGTATGTTACTGTTAGAATACCAAGTATTTTGTACTTCATACAAAAATCTACAGTAGCAGCATTCATTTTTCAAATTTCAATGGCCCAAACAAGGTCATGCCAAATTAAAAAAGAATATTGAGCTACACAAAATTACTTCTATTTTGACCGACAGAACAAATTGGTTGGCAAAATATCTGTAAACCAAAAAATATAAAAGGTGTGGATTTATAACAGGGATGCATGTATTGTGTAAAGAATAAATACATACACACAATCATTAAATCACAATATCACAGCGTATATAATTTTAAAAAGAATATGAAAACAATGGTAAAGAAATATTTAAGGTTGTTGATACAAGATGATTTCGAAACAATTGCCTTCATAAGTGAATAGAAATAGCCTTCTGTGCAATGGAATTGTCATAAAAATGTAAAAAATTGTAAAGGCAAATTTATTAGGAATTGCATATGAGGCATCTTCATGAACTTATTAAAAATACAACACAAAACTTCCATACACACTATCATACTGTGTCACCATGGCCTCATACACATCATGAAAATGCAGATCAATAGATTCTTTTCCAATGTTGATGAGTGTGTGAATATCACAAGAATCCATAACTATCATCACATAAGGACTTTTGAACATTTTGGGCCCGTGAAGATCCGGGGTAGAATAGGTCTTTACCAACCCATGCTTTCAGTAAAAGGCAACTATGCTTGTTGTAAGAGGCGACTAATGGGATCAGGTGGTCAGGCTCGCTGACTTTGTTGATGCATGTCATCAATCCTAATTGCGTGGATCGATGCTCATGTTGTTGTCAATCACTGGATTGTCTGATCCAGACTCGATTACTTACAGACCGCCGTCATATAGCTGGAATATGGTTGAGTGCGGCATTAAACAACATACAAACAAATTTGAACATTTTGTCACAATGAAGACTACTATATACTTTAGTCTGACAACCCTTCTGTGTCCCATATATCTTCATCTGCTTCAGGGGGCACGGGTGACCCAGTCGTCTAAGGCGCCGCGATTCGCTCCCTTGGGCACGCCAGAAACCTATGATTGTGGTTTCAAATCCAGGGTCGCCCCGATTATGTTTCTAGGTTTGTCAGCACCATACCCGTGCTCGTAGGTTTCACTGAAGTGTTAAACGTCTGAGACCTGCATCACTTTGGGCTTTCCTCCCTGCTGACACGCCGCGATATAACTGTAATACTGTTAAAAGCGGTGTTAAACCCAACTCACTCACTCACTCTTCTGCTTCAAGCAGCTGCTCCTCATGTAGCCTTTGTGCTCATGCCATGAAATAAGCTGCCTTGTGGTTGTCATCTCGCCTCACTTCTGCAGCTGTCTTGCTATCCAACATCCCTTCTGTTGCCTTGTTATTCCCATCTTGCCTCACCTCTGCAGCTGTCTTGCTATCCAACATCCCTTCTGTTGCCTTGTTATTCCCATCTCGCCTCACTTCTGCAGCCTTCTTGCTATCCAACATCCCTTCTGTTGCCTTGTTATTCCCATCTTGCCTCACCTCTGCAGCCTTCTTGTTATCCAACATCACTTCTGTTCCCTTCTGATTCCCATCTTGCCTCTCTTCAGCCACCTTGCTCTCTGTCAGTTTATCTCCTTCAGCTGTTGCTTCAGACTCGTGAGGTGGTATTGGAAGCACCATCTCAATAACAGACAGATCAACAAGTTCATCCTTGGAATGCCCTTTTGGTACTGGGATATCAAATATGATCGGGTTCTGGATTGGACGATAACCCTTTGAACACATTGCTGCGTTGATGAACTCTGTTTGTCCATCTGTGTAGGCTCCATAGCCTGGAAAACAGAAGTGGTTCACAAGAGCATGACTTCAGGAAACAAATGTGAGTATTCATGAAAGACATTGTAATACATTGTCTCAGACTTGTGAAAGAAATAACTGCCATGAGATTTGAATCTGGCTGTAATGATTTTGTGTCAAGTCCCTGAAATAAGCATAGTACCAGATGAAATAAGCATAGAACCAGATAAAATAAGCATAGAACCAGATGAAATAAGAGTAGAACCAGGTGAAATAAACATAGAACCAGATGAAATAAACATAGAACCAGATGAAATAAGCTTAGTACCAGATGAAATAAGCATAGAACCAGATGAAATAAGCATAGAAACAGATGAAATAAACATAGAACCAGATGAAATAAGCATAGAACCAGATGAAATAAGCATAGAACCCGATGAAATAAGCATAGTACCAGATGAAATAAGCATAGAACCAGATGAAATAAGCATAGAACCCGATGAAATAAGCATAGAACCAGATGAAATAAGAATAGAACCAGATGAAATAAGAGTAGCACCAGGTGAAATAAACATAGAATCAGATGAAATAAACATAGAACCAGATGAAATAAGCTTAGTACCAGATGAAATAAGCATAGAACCAGATGAAATAAGCATAGAACCCGATGAAATAAGCATAGAACCAGATGAAATAAGCATAGAACCCGATGAAATAAGCATAGAACCAGATGAAATAAGCATAGAACCAGATGACATAACAAGGTACCAGATTAAATAAGAGTAGAATCAGATGAAATAAGCATAGAACAGATGAAATAAGCATAGAACCAGATGAAATAAGAATAGAACCAGATGAAATAAGCATAGAACCAGATGACATAAGAGTAGAACCAGGCGAAATAAGCATAGAACCAGATGAAATAAGCATAGAACCAGATGACATAACAAGGTACCAGATGAAATAAGAGTAGAATCAGATGAAATAAGCATAGAATCAGATGAAATAAGCACAGAACCAGATGAAATAAGCGTAGAACCAGATGAAATAAGCATAGTACCAGATGAAATAAGCATAGAATCAGATGAAATAAGCATAGAACAAGATGAAATAAGCATAGAACAAGATGAAATAAGCATAGAACTAGATGAAATAAGCATAGAATCAGATGAACTAAGCGTAGAATCAAGTGAAATAAGCATAGAATCAGATGAAATAAACATAGTATCAGATGAAATAAGCGTAAAATCAGATGAAATAAACATAGAATCAGATGAAATAAGCGTAGAATCAGATGAAATAATATAGAACCAGATGAAATAAGCATACCTTCATGTATATGCCCACACACGTGGTACTTGGGCCGCACTCGGTTCCATACAGTGTTGAGCAAATCAACGCATCCAGCTGGGCGGCCATTGTGTAGCGTGTCTCCATAGCCTGCAGGGAGAGTGTACGACAGTTGAGGTAAGGGAGTGCAAGTAAAACCAAAATTCACTGACAATGCATTGATATTTGAACAGTACAATATGGACAAACAAACTTGAAACTCGTGCTGTAAAGCTCGATGAAGCTGCCTTCTGATTGGCTATTGTCAACTTCTTGCTAGTCATTCCATTGGTTGGTCAAAGTTCGCGAAAGTTCGATCTGACGTGACCCGTAATGGGATGTCCTCAGATCTTTGTTTAGCGGTAGCGAGAACTAAGATGTGATTTTAATGAAATTGGTGAAACATACGAGCACAAGCACTTGTGGTCATTCCTAGAATCATGATTTGGGTTAATTCCAACCCATGACCTGCAGATCCTGGCATGGCTAAGGGGCTCAACTCTGTACAGCAAACTGCAGCACTTACAGCCCTGTGCCCCCTGAGCCACCACACATATATGCACACAAACTTCCAGGTATGGTAATATTTACAGGCGACTATGCTTGTTGTAAGAGGCGACTAGTGGGATCAGGTGGTCAGGCTCGCTGACTTGGTTGATGCATGTCATCGTATCCCAATTGCGTGGATCGATGGTCATGATGTTAATCACTGGATTATCTGGTCCAGACTTGATTATTAACAGACCGCCGTCATATAGCTGGAATATTGCTGAGTGCGGCGTTAAACAACAAACAAACAAAAAACTTCACCATTGCATGAAGAAATGAGACCTTTTCTACTAACAATGAGTGACTATGTTTGTCGTAAGAGGGGACTAACGGGATCAGGTGGTCAGGCTCGCTGACTTGGTTGATGCATGTTATCGTATCCCAAATGTATGGATCGATGCTCATGATGTCACTCATTGGATTGTCTGTGCAAGTCGGACCTGTATCTAATGCACATTCTTCACACCAAACTAGTCTTGCTCTGTCAACTCACATATATATAGCGGATTGCTTTAATGATAGATGTATGTGTTACCCATATCCTCACTCACCCACTGGTGGGCCATGTGTCATCAGAATATCGGTATCCTCTGGAATGAGGTTCCATCGTCGGAGTAACGGTATCCCACGGGGAAGAGTGAAGGCATTACTCTGACATAACCCATTTTTAGGGACCCTGCGATAAAAACAACAACATTTTTTTCAGTTGTCTTTTACATATTTATGTCCTGCTAACAGGAGGACCATTTAACATTATAGGCTTGGGGGGAAAACCAGCTCACCAATACTTGTGTAATACCTTTTACAGTCACTGAACCAGCAGAATAATAATCTAAAAGTAACAAAATCTGTGATGACAGAAATCTCTGCTAAAAGCAGAGTTCATTGTACGAGTCTGACTACATAAAAAAAGTGTGTTTATGAATTACTATCAAATAGTGCATTCGCAATAATTTTTTATTTTACACATTTCTTTCACCTAAAATATACCCAAGACACAGTTCAATCATACTGTATAATTCCGCACGTCCCGATGTGCTATAAATTGCATCTGAAATATATATAATATATGGGAAATATATGTGAGCAATTACGCAACGAGTTGACAATTGTTTTAGGTATGCCCATTTGCGCTAAGACGGAACCCAGTCGCAAAAATGGTCATGAGAGGGACACGAGTCGCTATTCGTCTTGTCCCGGAATAACACGAGTTGGTCACGAATGTCAAATAGTGATGACACCTGGTATTTGCGAAAAGGTGAGCACAGCCTGCCCCACCGGTGGCACCCATCACAAACACAAAGTCAGATAACCATTGGTTGATATAAAGTCAGTCCAACTATCAAGGTTGACATAAGGGCTGGGACGGGTAACTCGGGTACTCGGGTACTCGGGTCCGGTTGGCCCTGAGAAGGACGCGGGTACCAACAGGACTACGTGGACCTGTGGTTTGTCACGTGATGTATTGTTTAACGACAACAAGGCTTAAAAACTTGAAAAATTGGTTCTCAGGTAATGACTTTTGAAAACATAGTGCAGGCAGACTGTGTTTTTTGTTTAGCTTGTTCAAACTAGTATGTAACCAAGTAAACAGTTGTGTACCATCAACCTTGGAAAGGACCTCCCAACATAAAAAGCATACAAAGTTCTATTGCCGCTATGAAAATAACACGAGATGTAAAATAAAACAGTGCACTTGTAAAGGGAAGTAACTGCATGCTATTTTGGATTGCATTGTGTTTAAATATAAGGATTTTTTATTTCTTTGAAAATGGAAATAAAAGCAAAACATCCTCCAGACGTGCTGCAAGACAATTATTTTATGAAGCCTTTGAATAATACTCTGTGGTTACACTACAAGTTGCAAATCATAATGTTCTCATTTCGTCTGACTTGTGTATGTTTCAGTAAAGCTTCAGTCAACTTCAGTGTATGCATATCATACCTGTATCAAAATAGATTTTGGATTCGTCCCAGCCCTTGTTGAGATGTCTGCAGACAATCAAACTTGGTGTCATGTCAGTGGGACACCCCGACTAAACAGCTGCAACAAAATGACAAGGTGAGGATGTCCCAAGTAAGAGCAACCGCCTCCCTGGTCTAGCGGATAGAGCATCCGCCCAGAGAGTGGTAGGCCGCGGTTCGATCCCCGGCCGCGCCATACCAAAAGATGTTTAAAGATGGTCTTTGTTGTTATCCTGCCTGGCGCTCTGCATTAACAGGCTTAAACAAGAACTGGTCGGCTCGGAGTGTGTCCGAGTGGGGTATTCATGTTAAACTGCGGCATGGTATCTCATTGAGCTAGCACTATAAAATTGACATGAGTCCGGATTAGTACACGCAGACACACACACATGTGCATGCATGTCGCTATATAAGTGCAATAATCATGGACACAATGTTAAATCCCATTTCACCTCACCAAACAAGAACGATATTCACTGTAAATCAATACAGAATTTCCAACAGATTAGTGCAAACACTGGAGTATTCTGATGTTATCCTACCACGGTGCGCCATATATCTTGATCCCATACACTTCCACCATGGCGTCCTGGAGGTAGGTGAAGTTGGTGAGCAGGTCGCGACTCTTCTGGACTGTTTCCGCAGAGCTACTGACCGGGTCAAGACAGCCATCATGGTTACCTGCGATCAGCAGTTTCACTTTGTGGGGAAGAGAACCTGGAACAGACAAGATGGCTACTGACACCTCCAACTCTTAATGTTCTGTCTCTTAGTTGTAGGGGAGATTCTGGAACAGACAAGATGGCTACTGACACCTCCAACTCATAATGTTCTGTCAATTAGGTGTAGGGGGAGATTCTGGAACAAACAAGATGGCTACTGACACCTCCAACTCATAATGTTCTGTCTATTAGGTGTAGGGGGAGATTCTGGAACAAACAAGATGGCTACTGACACCTCCAACTCATAATGTTCTGTCTATTAGGTGTAGGGGGAGATTCTGGAACAAACAAGATGGCCACTGACACCTCCAACTCATAATGTTCTGTCTATTAGGTGTAGGGGGAGATTCTGGAACAAACAAGATGGCCACTGACACCTCCAACTTATAATGTTCTGTCTATTAGGTGTAGGGGGAGATTCTGGAACAAACAAGATGGCTACTGACACCTCCAACTCATAATGTTCTGTCTATTAGGTGTAGGGGGAGATTCTGGAACAAACAAGATGGCCACTGACACCTCCAACTCATAATGTTCTGTCTATTAGGTGTAGGGGGAGATTCTGGAACAAACAAGATGGCTACTGACACCTCCAACTCATAATGTTCTGTCTATTAGGTGTAGGGGGAGATTCTGGAACAAACAAGATGGCCACTGACACCTCCAACTCATAATGTTCTGTCTATTAGGTGTAGGGGGAGATTCTGGAACAAACAAGATGGCCACTGACACCTCCAACTCATAATGTTCTGTCTATTAGGTGTAGGGGGAGATTCTGGAACAAACAAGATGGCCACTGACACCTCCAACTCATAATGTTCTGTCTATTAGGTGTAGGGGGAGATTCTGGAACAAACAAGATGGCTACTGACACCTCCAACTCATAATGTTCTGTCTATTAGGTGTAGGGGGAGATTCTGGAACAAACAAGATGGCCTCTGACACCTCCAATTCATAATGTTCTGTCTATTAGGTGTAGGGGGAGATTCTGGAACAAACAAGATGGCTACTGACACCTCCAATTCATAATGTTCTGTCTATTAGGTGTAGGGGGAGATTCTGGAACAAACAAGATGGCTACTGACACATCCAACTCATAATGTTCTGTCTATTAGGTGTAGGGGGAGATTCTGGAACAGACAAGATGGCTACTGACACCTCCAACTCATAATGTTCTGTCTGTTAGGTGTAGGGGGAGATTCTGGAACAAACAAGATGGCTACTGACACCTCCAACTCATAATGTTCTGTCTATTAGGTGTAGGGGGAGATTCTGGAACAAACAAGATGGCCACTGACACCTCCAACTCATAATGTTCTGTCTATTAGGTGTAGGGGCAGATTCTGGAACAAACAAGATGGCTACTGACACCTCCAACTCATAATGTTCTGTCTATTGGGTGTAGGGGGAGATTCTGGAACAAACAAGATGGCTACTGACACCTCCAACTCATAATGATCGTCTGTTAGGTGTAGGGGGAGATTCTGGAACAAACAAGATGGCTACTGACACCTCCAACTCATAATGTTCTGTCTATTAGGTGTAGGGGGAGATTCTGGAACAAACAAGATGGCCACTGACACCTCCAACTCATAATGTTCTGTCTATTAGGTGTAGGGGCAGATTCTGGAACAAACAAGATGGCTACTGACACCTCCAACTCATAATGTTCTGTCTATTGGGTGTAGGGGGAGATTCTGGAACAAACAAGATGGCTACTGACACCTCCAACTCATAATGTTCTGTCTATTAGGTGTAGGGGGATATCCTGGAACAAACAAGATGGCCACTGACACCTCCAACTCATAATGTTCTGTCAATTAGGTGTAGGTGGAGATTCTGGAACAAATAAGAGGGCCACTGGTGTTCAAACTAGTATGTAACCAAAGAAACAGTTGTGAAACCAAATATACAGTTGTGTACAATCAAATCAACCTGGGAAAAGGCCTCCCTAAAAAAATGCATTCATTGATGAGTAAAATAGTGGAATATAGTATCTGACTACCTTTCGTCTTGGAATATTTAAGGATTTCTTTGTTCTTTAAGAAAAATGGAAATAAAAATGACACATGCGGCAAGCTTTATGATGATGTGGGCGGTGCCTGAGAACCAATACTATTATGTTTTTTTAGCCGAACATATGGTTTTTATAATCATTGATCTAAGATCACTTTGTAGATATACTAGAATGGCTAAGAAGTTCAGAATAATATTGATTTTAAGAAATTTTCTTCTCCCTTGCTACCATACAAGGTTACACAAAGTACATTTTGCACTTAGATGATCATAACTCAGATACTTTAACAATTAGTGCATAATCATGGATTTAAGATCACTTTGTGGAATGACTACAAAGCCAGTACCACAAACCATCCTTACCATAATATTGGTTGAAACGGTCGACTTCTTCTGTGTTGCCATACATCGTGAAGTCGCCAACATGGAGGAGTACATCACCTGGGGGGATCACAGCAGACAGGTCGCTGTTCCGCTCCTCATGTCTCATGTGGGTGTCGCCAATACAAACAAAGCGGATGCAGTCTTTTTGGATTGGAGGATATGGAAACAAAGGTTTCAGCTTTTCAACTCTCCTCTCAGTTTTCAGCTGTTTCCATGCCTTACTTGGTGAGAGTGTCAATGGATGGACAGGGATTTTCATGGGTCTTGTCTTGTACCTAGACTCATCATCTCTGTCATGGTATTTCGCAAAAATGTTCTGCTTGATCCGTTTAATCATGCTGCTAGATCACTGAAAAGATTTGTATGTTAAAAATCTGATTGTTGAATAAGAACATCACCTGATTGTTTCCACTTTTCCCCAATGTTAGGTCAGTGCAACACAAATATTGTTCATCATTGCTTTGTGTAGGAGAATAACTACATTTCAGCAGGAAATATTAATTATTGCTGAATAGACATATTACCGTATTCGACGTAATAAGCGCCCCGCTCTAATAAGCGCCCACAGCGATATTTGCTAATATATTGGCTAGTGAACAATCCCAATCAGCACCCCTTCCGATTGATCCATGTACACAAGACTTATTTATTCGTGCATAATACGCACTCGTGTGTTATATCACCCTTAATTATGGGCAATTAAATTCTTGAAAAATATATCTGTCGTATGTAAACATTTCAGGCTGTTAGCATAAACCACGAAATTTACGATCTTTCAACTCAAAATAATATTCTAATAAGAGCCCCTATTTCTAATTTTGAGAGCGCCCTGGGCGCTTATTACGTTGAATACGGTAATTCAAATTAGAATCCAAGAAATCATATAGATTTTTCAGTGTTTTGTTGATATGTAACATGTCCCAATGCTGAATAATTTGGCCTACAAAAAAATGACATGAATATTGTATCCATTATATAATCTATCTATCTATCTATCTATCTATCTATCTATCTATCTTCACCCCTGTTATATGACATGAAGTGTCGTATAATCAAGCACAGCGCTGGATGTTTCAAATGTTAAATCTTTATAAAAGCATTTGTTATTCAATCAATCTCATAAAAAACAGATCTTAGCGGAAGCAACAACTAAAAGATCTGATTTTAATGAGACTGTTAATTAGGTCTCATGGCTCTTGCTGGGTATCTGATTAACCATAGGAATATATATCTACCTGCACGAAAAAACATTTATTGACCCATGTATCCAGCTCTCTCTCTCTCTCTACGTGTGTATATATATATATATATATATATATATATATATATATATATATATATATATTGCTACTGTGCGTATTCTATTCCAATGGATAAACAAACTTGTGTGACAGATTTCATATTTGGAAATTATTTTATGGGTGCTTCATACAACTTGTCCTATCGGGAAATATTATGTTTACCTTACAACATTACTGCCTACTATTAAAGTAGACCATGCTGGTAAAATCGGGTGATACGCAGTGTAGTACTTTCTAATAAACACGTCGAGGTAAACGATTCAATAACTGACAATAAGTTTCGCTTACTTGTCTCACTCTCAGTCGGTGTTCTGTTTTCCTGCCGAATCACCTTATTTACTGCTGTCATTTGTATAACTGACCGACCATGAAACAACTTTGTGGGTTATCGTCGCCTTCCTGGGTGAACCATGACATGTTTCAAAGCCCCGATTTTCCCCCATGTATGTACGCTGCAATTTTAACATTGTTGGTACCGTTGGGTGGAAGTGACAAGCCGGAAACTGTATTAGTCGGCATAAATCTATTAATAGCATCGACTCATACAAAGGGGCGCAACTCTGACAAACGCAGCCGTCATGATTGTTGAAGACATAAAGTATATTATATTTTACAGAAAGCACACAAATGACAGTTTACTACGTTCTCGGCTCTTTGAAAACCAGAATTGACCTCCTGAAAAGTCTTTAATTGTATGTGATTGACCATGCATCTACTGACCGCGGCCGTTTGGAACATTAATATTAACACCCCCAACCCCTCCCCCCTCTCCCCTGCCAACACACACACACACACACACACACACACAAACGCGCGCGCGAACACACACGCACACACACGCAATGGTCCTGCGTGTAGGGCTATAGCCGAGGAGGTGTTTTCACGCACGTGTGGTGGCACGTGGTCCTGTGAGCAGCGCAGAGGTCACACATTTAGGCAAAGCAGCGTTCCTCGCGGAGAGTCCCGGGATGGGTGACCGTCTTTGGCAGATTGGGCCCTGAGATCGAGTTTTTCGGGCTTTGGTCCTGCCCCACACCAAAGCACATGTAACACATTTGGTGTCTCCCTGGGCAGGTGACTTTGTTCGAAATGGATCTATGTTTACCCAGCAGGGTACCCGGTGGGATGAGACAGCAATATTGCTGTTTGGGCGTCCTTACTTATTTTATGTTTCTCATCTTCCAAGGTTTTCCTAGAGGGGAAGAACGGTTGGAAAAAACAAAATGTTCCTTATTGCAGAATACCTATTCAACCCAAATTGTTCCTTATTGCAGAATACCCATTCAACCCATAATGTTCCTCATTGCAGAATACCCATTCAACCCAAAATGTTCCTTATTGCAGAATACCCATTCAATCCCAATGTTCCTTATTGCAGAATACCCATTCAATCCCAAAATGTTCCTTATTGCAGAATACCCATTCAACCCAAAATGTTCCTTATTGCAGAATACCCATTCAACCCAAAATGTTCCTTATTGCAGAATACCCATTCAACCCAAAATGTTCCTTATTGCAGAATACCCATTCAACCCAAAATGTTCCTTATTGCAGAATACCCATCCAACCCAAAATGTTCCTTATTGCAGAATACCCATTCAACCCAAAATGTTCCTTATTGCACCTATTCAAGGTGGTCAAATCTTACAATGTGCTACCACGGGGCTAACTATGTACAGGCTCAGCTTTGACGATCTACACCAGTTATTTGACAATATAAGCATTTGTCTGGCTGACTATTGAGAGCAAGTTGAACCTTTGTGGAAAAGGATCTTAGAGGAAAGCACCTGAAGATAAAAGAAAATATCATCAAGTCATATTGTAATTTAAAAAACATTCTACCATAGACTTATGTTAAGTCACAAATGCTGCATAAAACGTGAACGAATCAGTTCTTAAATCACTTTTTTTTTAAACAAATAAGGCAGCTTGGGTTGTATACTCCCCAGGACGCCGAGAATGAAATTCGATTGTACACTGATCCATTCACGGGGGTAATAATGCGCTTTGAGCATGGTATTCAGCATGGAAAAAGCGCCATAATGGCCTGTTATTATTATATTTCTTTTCCACTGACAGGAGGGGCACGGCTGGACCAGTCGTCTAAGACGCCGCGATTCGCTGTGCAGAGTTGCGTCCCTTAGGCACGCCAGAAACCTATTATTGTGGATTCGAATCCCGGTTCGCCCCGATTATGTTTCTAGGTTTGTCAGCACCATACCCGTGCTCGTGGGTTTCACCGAAGTGGTAAACGTCTGACACCTGCATCACTTCGGGCTTTCCTCCCACATTAAGCTGACACGCCGTGATATAACTGGAATAATGTTCAAAGCGGCGTTAAACCCAACTCACTCACTCACTCACTCCACTGACATGATGACATTACCCTTGGCTATTGGATATCGATACACGCTTTTCACAGATGTATCAGCAGTTTAATACTAAACATTCGTTTAAATATTTCAGCACATTTATGTTTGACGGTGAAGTGAAAAAAGAAATAAAAACAAATAATGCGCATTCTGACAGTTAATCTCACCATAAAAAAAAGTAAAAACACAACCGGGAATAAATGTTTAGCATCTTTTTGTCCTACGTCTTAATGGCACACAACTATATGCATATGCATAAGGGTGCGTATATGGCTTCATTATAACAAGACCCGTGAAGATCCAGGGTAGAATAGGCCCTCAGCAACGCATTCTTACCGTAAAAGGTGACTATGTTTGTTTTAGAGGCTACTAACGGGTTCGGGTTATCAGGCTCGCTGACCTGATTGATGCATGTCATCGTATTCAAATTGCGTGTGGGGTGGTCGGATAGCCTAGTGGTTAAAGCGTTCGCTCGTCACGTCGAAGACCCGGGTTCGATTCCCGACATGGGTACAATGTACGTATGAAGCCCATTTCTGGTGTCCTCCGCCGTGATATTGCTGGAATATTTCTAAAAGCGGCGTAAAACCATACTCACTCACTCACTCAAATTGCGTGGATCGATGCTCATGATGTCAATCACTGGATTGTCTGGTTCAGAATCGATTGTACAGACCGCCGTCATATAGATGGAATACTGCTGAGTACGGCGTTAAACAACAAACAAACAAGCAAATCATTGTAACAAATAATATTATAATGTATTATGCTTTCATTATGTTGTTTTTTTTCCCTTTAACACTGACCAGAAGGGATTTAACGAATTTAAAGGGACATATAGCTGGCTTTCAGACCCCAGCTTGGATCGCTCTCTCTAAATCCATAAAGAATATGTTTACGTTTGTGATTGTGTAAACAATGTCATATGAGAAGCGAGAATTGGTGTTACCTCCCCTGATATCTAAAATTAGTATACTGAACACAACACATCGAAATGCGTGGTACTCAAACTTAGATCATCATCACGTTCAGCATGTAGGACGACCTATTTCATAAAGAGAACAGAAAAAAAAATCAGAAAATACTTCAATCTCTGCAGCCTTCCGAATGTCCAAGTAGGTCAATTGATTGGTTGCTATTTTTAGAAATAACTCAGCAAGGACATACCCGACTAATGGCCAGAGTGAATACAGGTCATTAAGGAGGAAAGAGTTCCTAAAGGTTTATAACGGTAAAAGTAATGATCAGCGATAAGAGACACATGCATGCCGTACCTCCAACATATATATTATTAATGTTATCCTTCATAAAATGCTCGCATTATTCTGAAATGTACCCGCGGGACGTTCCAAGTGAGTGACTTTACATCGTGTGTATTTTCAGACGCCATGTTGGAGAGCGATTACATCTTATACCATGGACGTGTATGATTAACTATGTTCACAAACTCTGTGCTGCATTTATGGAAGGTGCAAGCCAGTCACGCACAAAAGACGCGGTATTAGTTGATTGTTAGAAATGTCAGAGGACGTATCACCACGCTTACCCGTGTTTAACGGTTCACAGAGGGTGATCATTCCCGAACTGTGGATGAGAAAATTTGAAGACTTTTGCCATTTGATGCAGTGGAGCGACGATGAAGCCGTTCGACAATTTCGACAACATCTATCAGGGAGCGCCGAGTGTTGGTATCATTCTTTACAAGAGGAAGACACAGAAAGTTTTAACACTCTTAAAAGGCTATTCATGGAGAATTTTTATCGGATTAACATAGACCCAGTTGGCTTAAAAGGAGATCTGGAATCCAGAAAGCAGGCACCAGATGAAACCGTAGAGGATTATCTTCACCAGAAGTTGATATATGTGCTTCAGTCTGACATGATCCAATCGCCAGAAGCAATAGATCTTGTTTATAACGGGTTTCTTCCTGCGATCCGGGATCTAATCAATATTCAACACATACGTTCCTTGGAGGCATTGCAACGGTCAGCAAGGAAGCAGTACGTCCGTATATCAAGACGCACCGGTTGTTCACTGAGACGTCCCGAAAGGAACGCTCTTGAATTTGGTAAGTTTCAGTTGTCCAAGGTTACACACAACCAAATGTTTTCCCATAGACTTCTGTAGTAACGTTATATTTTTAAAAAAAATAACTAAGCATTCAACAGCTATTACCTGTACGTGTGTGCACAGTTCGGCCTTAGAGCAGCAATAAAAAAATAAAAAATGACTAGCTTAGCCAGCTCCTTTTCCGAGTACAGGAAGCTAAACACACCACCCCCAGTTTCGCACCAAATGTCACCTACTTGAAAATAGCTGTGGTCATATTCAGCATAAGTCATCATGTTGAAAAGGACGGTGCTAAATATAGAAAAACATGGTCAGTTTTAATAACTGGATGGATGTACATTTGAAAGACATAAAACTCTTACAGAATATCCTCCATTCACAGCCTGCAGATATCCCTCGATCTTCACTGAAGGCTCCCTACGAAAACCACACTGTCCAAACTGGTTCTGATTTGGTGTAGTAGAACCTGTACCAATGATGGAAACTGATCATTTGAACTGATACACAAAACGTGTTAAAGTTGCCTTTGCCTAACATACAAACCTGGTTTTATGGCAGAGCAGAAGCCTAACTCCATGTCATCCACATCTTTCAATCATCGACCAAAACAAGTCTCACAGTAATCGCTGGAGGCCAAAGAACCCGACCAATTAGGGCAGACAGATAGAGTGATATAATTTTCAAATATTTTCAAATGTTCGCTTTAACGATTATCAATGCTGAATGGATCAGTTGAATCAGTATCATATGACGTCACGTCTACCATATGGGTAGAACGACGATCTTGTGTATTAAGAATCCGAAATTTGGACATGTTCGTTTTAGCGAGTATGAAGGTTGATTGGTCAGCTCAATGGATTTGACGCTACACTTCTTCATTGTTGAGATGGGGCGGTCGGGTAGCCTAGTGGTTAAAGCGTTCCCTCGTCACGCCGAAGACCCTGGTTCGATTCCCGACATAGGTACAATGTGTGAAGCCCATTTCTGGTGTCCCCCGCCGTGATATTGCTGGAATATTGCTAAAAGCGGCGTAAAACCATATTCACTCACTCATTGTTGAGATACATACGATATGAAGTCATCTATTGTACATGACGTAACGCATTTGACATTACGTCATATTAAGTCTGAAGCGTCGACACTTTATACTTTTTTAAAATTTTCTTTTAAAATGACAATGAACAATATATTTACAAAAACCTACTCAAAATTAAGACACGGATTTTTTGTCTCTTGTGATGTTCAATAAAATACTATTTGACACCATACAGTATTCGTTACGACATAAGGATAACAGGATGACTTAAATTTCTTTGTAAATGTGCTGACGTCTTATGCTTGTTTCGTTTTGTTAAAATGGTATGCTGTTCCGGAATATCTGAACAATAAACAAATTTGTATATTGAATGCTTTTTAAGGTAATCGTTTTTTTAGAATATTGATGAATTGAGAAAAATTGTACAACCGTTGTTGGTTTATGAAGAAAAGAGGATAGAACATGAGTTTGTCCCAACGAACGACTGTTCTTGTCTAAACGTGTGAACTGTTGCAACCACTAGGCAGCATCATTGGCGTGGCAGATGGAACCGTCGGTACAGCGAACACAGCAGCGACTGTCAACGGAGGGATGGGCAACACCAACGTGCATCTCAATAGTATGTTATCACACACATTGGTTTTGTCATTTTATTTAAAAAGGTAAAGTCTGCAGGTATTACCACCCCACAAACCTCCCCCCTCTCTCTCCTCTGTTTCTGATCATCATAAGGTATGACCAAGTCCTTTCTTCCTCAGTTTCTTATCACCATATGGTATGACCAAGTCCTTGCTTCCCCTGTTTCTTATCACCATATGGTATGACCAAGTCCTTGCTTCCTCTGTTTCTTATCACCATATGGTATGACCAAGTCCTTGCTTCCTCTGTTTCTTATCATCATATGGTATGACCAAGTCCTTGCTTCCTCTGTTTCTTATCATCATATGGTATGCCCAAGTCTTCCTCCTCTGTTTCTTATCACCATATGGTATGATCAAGTCCTTGCTTCCCCTGTTTCTTGTCATCATATGGTTAGACCAAGTCCCTGTTTATCCTGTTCCTTATCACCATATGGTATGACCAAGTCCTTGCTTCCTCTGTTTCTTATCACCATATGGTATGACCAAGTCCTTGCTTCCTCTGTTTCTTATCACCATATGGTATGACCAAGTCCTTGCTTCCCCTGTTCCTTATCACCATATGGTTAGACCAAGTCCCTGTTTATCCTGTTCCTTATCACCATATGGTATGCCCAAGTCTTCCTCCTCTGTTTCTTATCATCATATGGTATGCCCAAGTCTTCCTCCTCTGTTTCTTATCACCATATGGTATGATCAAGTCCTTGCTTCCCCTGTTTCTTGTCATCATATGGTTAGACCAAGTCCCTGTTTATCCTGTTCCTTATCACCATATGGTATGACCAAGTCCTTGCTTCCTCTGTTTCTTATCACCATATGGTATGACCAAGTCCTTGCTTCCTCTGTTTCTTATCACCATATGGTATGACCAAGTCCTTGCTTCCCCTGTTCCTTATCACCATATGGTTAGACCAAGTCCCTGTTTATCCTGTTCCTTATCACCATATGGTATGACCAAGTCCTCGCTTCCTCTGTTTCTTATCACCATATGGTATGACCAAGTCCTTGCTTCCTCTGTTTCTTATCACCTTATGGTATGACCAAGTCCTTGCTTCCTCTGTTTCTTATCACCATATGGTATGACCAAGTCCTTGCTTCCTCTGTTTCTTATCACCATATGGTATGACCAAGTCCTTGCTTCCCCTGTTCCTTATCACCATATGGTATGACCAAGTCCCTGTTTATCCTGTTCCTTATCACCATATGGTATGACCAAGTCCTTGCTTCCTCTGTTTCTTATCACCATATGGTATGACCAAGTCCCTGCTTCCTCTGTTTCTTATCATCATATGGTATGCCCAAGTCTTGCTTCCCCTGTTTCTTATCATCATATGGTATGCCCAAGTCTTGCTTCCTCTGTTTCTTATCATCATATGGTATGCCCAAGTCTTGCTTCCTCTGTTTCTTATCACCATATGGTATGACCAAGTCCTTGCTTCCTCTGTTCCTTATCACCATATGGTATGACCAAGTCCTTGCTTCCCCTGTTCCTTATCACCATATGGTATGACCAAGTCCCTGATTCCTCTGTTCCTTATCACCATATGGTATGACCAAGTACTTGCTTCCCCTTTTTCTTATCACAATATGGTATGACCAAGTCCTTGCTTCCCCTGTTTCTTGTCATCATATGGTATGGCCAAGTCCTTGCTTCCTCTGTTTCTTATCACCATATGGTACGACCAAGTCCTTGCTTCCTTTGTTCCTTATCACCATATGGTATGACCAAGTCCTTGCTTCCACTGTTTCTTATCACCATATGGTATGACCACACCTTGCGTCCTCTGTATCTTATTACCATATGGTATGACCAAGTCCTTGCTTCCCCTGTTTCTTATCACCATATGGTATGACCAAGTCCCTGTTTATCCTGTTTCTTGTCATCATATGGTATGGCCAAGTCCTTGCTTCCTCTGTTTCTTATCACCATATGGTACGACCAAGTCCTTGATTCCTCTGTTCCTTATCACCATATGGTATGACCAAGTCCTTGCTTCCCCTGTTTCTTATCACCATATGGTATGACCAAGTCCTTGCTTCCCCTGTTTCTTGTCATCATATGGTATGGCCAAGTCCTTGCTTCCTCTGTTTCTTATCACCATATGGTACGACCAAGTCCTTGCTTCCTTTGTTCCTTATCACCATATGGTATGACCAAGTCTTTGCTTCCTCTGTTTCTTATCACCATATGGTATGACCAAGTCCTTGCTTCCACTGTTTCTTATCACCATATGGTATGACCACACCTTGCGTCCTCTGTATCTTATCACCATATGGTATGACCAAGTCCTTGCTTCCCCTGTTTCTTATCACCATATGGTATGACCAAGTCCCTGTTTATCCTGTTCCTTATCACCATATGGTATGTCCAAGTCCCTGTTTCCTCTGTTCCTTATCACCATATGGTATGACCAAGTCCTTGCTTCCACTGTTTCTTATCACCATATGGTATGACCAAGTCCCTGTTTCCTCTGTTCCTTATCACCATATGGTATGACCAAGTCCCTGTTTCCTCTGTTCCTTATCACCATATGGTATGACCAAGTCCCTGTTTATCCTGTTCCTTACCATCATATGGTATGACCAATTCCTTGCTTCCCCTGTTTCTTATCACCATATGGTAAGACCAAGTCCCTGTTTCCTCTGTATCTTATCACCATATGGTATGACCAAGTCCTTGCTTCCCCTGTTCCTTATCACCATATGGTATGACCAAGTACTTGCTTCCTCTGTTCCTTATCACCATATGGTATGACCAAGTCTTGCTTCCTCTGTTCCTTATCACCATATGGTATGACCAAGTCCTTGCTTCCTCTGTTACTTATCATATATGGTATGACCAAGTCCCTGTTTATCCTGTTTCTTATCACCATATGGTATGACCAAGTCCCTGTTTATCCTGTTCCTTATCACCATATGGTATGACCAAGTCCCTGTTTCCTCTGTTCCTTATCACCATATCGTATGACCAAGTCCCTGTTTCCTCTGTTCCTTATCACCATATGGTATGACCAAGTCACTGTTTCCTCTGTTCCTTATCACCATATGGTATGACCAAGTCCTTGCTTCCTCTGTTCCTTATCACCATATGGTATGACCAAGTCCTTGCTTCCCCTGTTTCTTATCATCATATGGTATGACCATGTCCCTGTTTCCTCTGTTCCTTATCACCATATGGTATGACCAAGTCTTTGCTTCCTCTGTTTCTTATCACCATATGGTATGACCAAGTCCTTGCTTCCCCTGTATCTTATCATCATATGGTATGACCAAGTCCTTTCTTCCTCTGTTTCTTATCACCATACGGTATGCCCAAGTCCTTGCTTCCCCTGTTCCTTATCACCATATGGTATGACCAGGTCCTTGCTTCCCCTGTTTCTTATCACCATATCGTATGACCAAGTCCTTGCTTCCTCTGTTTCTTAACTTAAGGGATAACTTCCTTGTTCCATGGGGCGTTTGTTACAAAACGTTGTTACCACAGATACAGTTTTATATCTATATTCAGAGGTTCAGGACCAAGTTCTTATGTCAATTGATCATCAGGTATCGGTAGTATGTATGGCACTGTGTTCGATGTTGTATGTAAATACACCCTTAGCAAACATGGTAGTTGGGAATATATGACCACTAAGTAGAGTTGTGCTTAACAATGTTCTAGGTGTATACAGATCAGATAATCATCTGACATAACAACATCGCTTTTCAAAAATATAATATAGAATAAATCAATGGCTGCCCACACATCATAAATTCGTCTGTTTAGGAAACAATATCGACTTTAAAACTGGTTGACGAAAGACAGACGAGTCCAAAAGACCATTTCCTGTCGATTTAATTTTTTTTTACGAGGTCATTTCAATGTTCGAAAACATTCACCTTTGTCAAAATTGTAATGTGTTCAAATCAGTACAAGCTGTCCAGGAAAAAAGTTCAAAGTATGCTCACGGGTCCTGTTTGGGTGGTTCTTGTGACCTGCATTTATATATACCGTGCTTACAGAATGGATGAATTCATTCAGCTGTTTGTGGGCGGAATTATCCACAAATCACTCCCAAGTAGCCCCAGCTTAGGTTTTGTATTTATGGGTTTATTGACATTATGGCAAGGCTCGATAAGTGTGCCAGTCTGTGGGAGGCATATTGAATTTCCTATAACAGAAGCAGTTAAAGTAGTGTTTGTGGTGGGGTGGTGTGTATGTGTGTGTGTGTGTTTGTGTGTGTGTGCGTGCGTGCGTGCGTGGGTGTGTGCGCGCGCGCAAGCATTTGTGTGTGTGTTTGTGTATGAATGTGTTTGTCACTTTCTGTGTATGTGTGTATGCGTTTGTGTGTGTGTATGATTGTATGTGTCTATTTCTGAGTGTGTGTGTATGCATTTGTTTGTGTGTGTATGAATGTGTGTGTCTATTTCTGAGTATGTGTGTAGGCATTTGTATGTGTGTGTGTGTGTGTACGTGTGCGTACGTACAGTGCTTGTCATTCTGCTGCATTTTAGATACATTTTTTAATACCATTTGTTTATTTTTGACACTTCTGGTCAATTTGATTTAAACTTTCAGTGTACCAGGCGACAACGGAGGACAGGGGCGAGATTGTTATTTCCTGTCTGCGGGCTCTAAACCGTGGCGAAGGTACGCACAGTTCTCACGTTACAGGTATAGAGGCCGAGACACAGGTACTTCTAACAAACTGCCTCCAAAAGCTCTGCGAGATGAAGCTACCTCCTCCAAAAACTATGCGAGATTAAGCTACCTCCTCCAAAAATCTATGCGATGTGAAGCTTCTACCTCCAAAAATCTATGCGATGTGAAGCTACCTCTTCTAAAGACTGTGCGAAATGAAGCCACCGTCTCAAAAAGCTCTGCGAGATGGAGCTACCTCCTCCAAAAACTATGCGAGTTGAAGCTTCTACCTCCAAAAATCTATGCGATGTGAAGCTACCTCTTCTAAAGACTGTGCGAAATGAAGCCACCGTCTCAAATAGCTCTGCGAGATGAAGCTACCTCCTCCAAAAACTATGCGAGTTGAAGCTTCTACCTCCAAAAATCTATGCGATGTGAAGCTACCTCTTCTAAAGACTGTGCGAGATGAAGCCACCGTCTCAAAAAGCTCTGCGAGCTACTGCTTCTCACAAATAATGCGAAGCGAGCGACTGTCTTCACAACTATGCGAATTAAGGGTACTACCTCCAGGAAACAATGCGCAACAAGGCCTTTGCCTTCAAACATTGCGAGCCGAAGCTGTTTTCGGAGATAGTACCTCTGTGTCTCACTAATGTTCTCTATCTTACTTTAATATCCCGTTTTGCATGGAATTCACATGCAGCACAAAGCCCGTTAAATGTATTGCCTGCGGAACAGTTTTCGAGGTATAAATGTATAGCAGTGATCGAATGGCGATCTCTCATTGGACAACTTCTCCAAACTGTGCATTCATTGATATTAGGAACCATCAGTTCTGTATGGATATCGTCATCACCCAGTCTTAACGTTTTAAGGTAGTATCTGGAAACGTATTACATTAATTATTGTCGGAGCATGTAAAAGTGTAAATACTTTTCGAATTACTTCATTCCCGAAGCTGCATTCGTCATGACGCTTTGGCCATTGGCAAATGTTAGTATGTAATCTGACATATCAGCACTGAGATTTCTTGCTTCTGTTACTGTGAATTATACTTTTTGTTCAACAGATATAGCAAATTTAATGAATGAATTCGGGGAGGCCAGGAACACCAACAGCATGCGGCCGGAGCCCGCGAGGACTCCCCAAACCCACTGTACGTTAAGTGAGGCAGTATTCAGTATAGTTACCGACCCACTGTATGTTAAGTATGACAGTATTCAGTATTGTTACCGACCCACTGTACGTTAAGTGTGACAGTATTCAGTATAGTTACGAACCCACTGTACGTTAAGTGTGACAGTATTCAGTATTCAGTATAGTTACCGACCCACTGTACGTTAAGTGTGACAGTATTCAGTATTCAGTATAGTTACCGATCCACTGTACGTTAAGTGTGACAGTATTTAGTATTCAGTATAGCTACCGACCCACTGTACGTTAAGTGTGACAGTATTCAGTATTCAGTATTCAGTATAGTTACCGACCCACTGAACGTGAAGTGTGACAGTATTCAGTGGTCAATATAGTTACCAACCAACTGAACGTAGAGTGTGACAGTATTCAGCATTCAGTATAGTTACCGACCCACTGAACGTTAAGTGTGACAGTATTCAGTATAGTTACCGACCCACTGAACGTTAAGTGTGACAGTATTCAGTATAGTTACCGACCCACTGAACGTTAAGTGTGACAGTATTCAGTATAGTAACCGACCCACTGTACGTTAAGTGTGACAGTATTCAGTATTCAGTATTCAGTATAGTTACCGATCCACTGTACGTTAAGTGTGACAGTATTTAGTATTCAGTATAGCTACCGACCCACTGTACGTTAAGTGTGACAGTATTCAGTATTCAGTATAGTTACCGACCCACTGAACGTGAAGTGTGACAGTATTCAGTGGTCAATATAGTTACCAACCCACTGTGCGTTAAGTGTGACAGTATTCAGCATTCAGTATAGTTACCGACCCACTGAACGTGAAGTGTGACAGTATTCAGTGGTCAATATAGTTACCAACCAACTGAACGTAGAGTGTGACAGTATTCAGCATTCAGTATAGTTACCGACCCACTGAACGTTAAGTGTGACAGTATTCAGTATAGTTACCGACCCATTGTCCGTTAAGTGTGACAGTATTCAGTATTCAGTATTCAGTATAGTTACCGACCCATTGTACGTTACGTGTAACAGTATTCAGTGGTCAATATAGTTACCAACCCACTGTGCGTTAAGTGTGACAGTATTCAGCATTCAGTATAGTTACCGACCCACTGTACGTTAAGTGTGACAGTATTCAGTATAGTTACCAACCAACTGTACGTTAATTGTGACAGTATTCAGTATTCAGTTTTCAGTATAGTTACCGACCCACTGAACGTTAAGTGTGACAGTATTCAGCATTCAATATAGTTACCGACCCATTGTACGCTAAGTGTGACAGTATTCAGTATAGTTACCGACCCACAGTATGTTACGTATGACAGTATTCAGTATTGTTACCGACCCACTGAACGTAAAGTGTGACAGTATTCAATATAGTTACCGACCCACTGTACGTCAAGTGTAACAGTATTCAGTATAGTTACCGACCCATTGTACGTTAAGTGAGGCAGAATTCAGTGGTCAATATACTTAGTAACCAACTGTACGTTAAGTGTGAAAGTATTCAGTATTCAGTATAGTTACTGACCCTCTGAACGTTAAGTGTAGTTACCAATCAACTGAATGTAAAGTGTAACAGTATTCAGTACCATTTTGTAGTACAGCATATGCTTTGGCACACAAGGAAACTGAATATTGAGATAGGAAAACTAGTTCAACACAGCAAGCAAATGTGTGATGTTTTAGTCTCTCGAAGTAAAAGCATATGAGAACATCTTTACTATGTGAACGGCTGGGTACATCGTCAGACCATAAAACAAATTATGGCCTCTGGTCACATCAAAATGCATATTCCGTAAATATTAATGATGCAATAAAAACTTGTATCTGAGGACAGATATTATATACTTGATACTTACATAATATTTAATAATCAAGTAGTCAAACAGTTGATGGTATAAAACCCCATTGCTGTTACTACATTTCAGTACTATACACAAGTCACCATCCATCACTGGTCATGGAAGAGCCTGTCACGGGTGAGAGCCACAACCTTTCCAGACACACGGATGACAGTTCGGGAACAGAGATGAGCATGGACCCTGCTCAATGTGAGTGCAGTAGAAGTTAATCAGTTATTGTAAGGCACATGTTTGCCAATGGATATATCAATCCACTTCATGAAGAAATAAGACTTAACGTAAATTGTAATGGGGGTCTTTTGAACCAAATATAATCGCGAGGAGTCACTGTTCTGATGTCTTTATTTCGCAGGTACTGTTAAGCACCGGATCAGTGACAATAGCTTCGTTGCTCACCCTGAAGACGATACAAGTGCAAGTCTCGCCGGATCTCACGAGATATTGTCTCAGAGTATAACAGACCTTGCTCCGTGTACGCTAAGTATATCTTCATATATACTCAATCTTGTTTTTGTTGAAAAATCGAAAGGTTTCAGTCAAAAATAAATTTGTTAACAACAATCTGGATCTAAGTACCAACTCATTCTTCTTCAGATAAGGACACCACAGGTCGGAAAGTCAGCAAGTGTCACGTGACGCACCCTGAGGAGGATACGAGTGCAGAGGTCAGCCTGGAAATATATTCAGAGAAGATGAAGGCGACCTCCATCCACAGTAAGTACAACATTGCTCATGTAACCGCCTGAGCATCTTTCGATCTTACCGAGGCAAGGGAGCTAACTGACTACAAAAATTCAGTTTCTATCCTTGCTGAACTTTGCTGGAATTTTGTGTCTCGACCGTAGGGCAACCAGTGTCTATTACTAGTTACGTCTCTTCTATGACGCTCCTACTGACCAATCAGATTCCACCTTTCAAATCACTTGACACTTGATCACAGGACAATGGTACGCTTTGTTAATCTCTAACTTTGTTAATCAAAGCAACATGGTTTACTGTTTGTTTGTTTGTTGTTTAACGCCGCACTCAGCAATATTCCAGCTATATGACGGCGGTCTGTAAATAAGCGAGTCTGGACCAGACAATCCAGAGATAAATATCATGAGCATCGATCCACGCAATTGGGATACGATGACATGCATCAATCAAGTCAGTGAGCCTGACCACCCGATCCTTTTGGTCTCATCTAAAGACAAGCATGGGCGGCTCAACCCGATGCAAGGGAGATAACTGACTATAGAAACGGTGAATATTATGGTCAGTTAACTCCCTTGTCCCGGAAGTTGGTCATGATCAAGAGTGAGTTTACTATATGAAAGTCTCTTGCCCAACTGCGTTTCATGTGTTCTTACGTATGAACTAGCAACGTATTTTTGACTGGGAATGCTTACACATTTTGTTCTTTTCAACAGGTGCGCGGTACACCAGGATCAGTGGCAACTGGCTTCGAACTCATCCAGTGGAAGATCAAGTCTCCCTCTATACCATTCCGCTGTCTCAGTCTGTGAAGGATGTCACAGACCTTTCCCAAAGTGAGTTTATTCTTAAGACTCTTCACCATAATGTGAAGATATGTGGTTCAATTAGGATCGTTGTTCAACTTGAAATAGCTTTATGTGAAAATGTATGGTTCAATTAGGACCGTTGTTCAACTTTAAATACCTTTATGTGAAAAAGTAGGGTTCAATTAGGACCGCTGTTCAACTTGAAATACCTTAATGTGAAAATGTAGGGTTCAATTAGGACCGCTGTTCAACTTGAAAAAGCTTTATTGATAAATGTATGGTTCAATAAGGACCGTTGTTCAACTTGAAAAAGCTTTATTAATAAATGTATGGTTCAATTAGGACCGTTGTTCAACTTGAAATACCTTTATGTGAAAATGTAGGGTTCAATTAGGATCGTTGTTCAACTTAAAATACCTTTATGTGAATAGTAGGGTTCAATTAGGATCGTTGTTCAACTTGAAAAAGCTTTATGTGTAAATGTATGGTTCAATTAGGACCGTTGTTCAACTTGAAATACCTTTATGTGAAAATGTAGGGTTCAATTAGGACCGTTGTTCAACTTTAAATACCTTTATGTGAAAATGTAGGGTTCAATTAGGACCGTTGTTCAACTTTAAATACCTTTATGTGAAAATGTAGGGTTCAATTAGGATCGTTGTTCAACTTGAAAAAGCTTTATGTGAAAATGTATGGTTCAATTAGGATCGTTGTTCAACTTGAAAAAGCTTTATGTGAAAATGTATGGTTCAATTAGGATCGTTGTTCAACTTGAAAAAGCTTTATGTGAAAATGTATTGATCGATTAGGACCGTTGTTCAACTTGAAATACCTTTATGTGAAAATGCATGGATCGATTTGGACCGTTGTTCAACTTTAAATACCTTTATGTGAAAATGTATTGTTCAATAAGGACCGTTGTTTAACTTAAAATGCTTAATAGACATTATAATCGCTACACGGCTTGTTTCAATAGCAGTTATATCACTCATCATATTCCTTCGCCACCAAAATATTTGTTCAGCGAGTACACATAGTTAGGTAATACATCTTCCGGCTGTTGTGTTACAAAGGTACTGCCAAAATATTCCTTCTACCTCATGATTTCCTGTACTCGTTAGACAACACATCTTCCGCCTGCTGTGTTACAAAGGTACTGCCAAAATATTCCTTCTACCTCATGAATTCCTGTACTCGTTAGACAACACATCTTCCGACTGTTGTGTTACAAAGGTACTGCCAAAATATTCCTTATACCTCATGAATTCAGGTTGCTATATGATAGTTTCTTATGTATTTTGTTTATTCAAGATAACCAACATCTTTGATACCACGATAAACCGTATGTTTACTTTCGGAATCGTACAATGGACACTGCTGTGAGCATAACATCCTATGATGATGGAAAGGGTCTTTTTCGCTTGTATTTACATGTAGATACGTCCAGCTGCGTTTATTGGATCAATTGCGGTAAATCTAAACCGATATTAAACCCACACCGATATAAACTGTACATTAAGTCTTTTACAACTGTTGTAATCATAAGAGAATACAACTCAACAGGTGTGGTGGACACGACTAGCATGGGTCACCACAGTCTCGCCGCCCATCCAGAGATAAACAACAAAATCCACAGCCTCATCAGAACTCCCCACGTTTGCACCGAGGACACGAGCGACTTACCTCCCCCATGTAAGTCAGTATACCAATATGTAGATCCAATAGTATTCTTACCTGTTTGTTTGTTGTTTAACGCCGCATTCAGCAATATTCCAGCTATATGGTTGCGGTCTGTAGATAATCTTGTTTGAACTAGTCAATATAGTGATAGACATCATGAGCGTCCATCTAAGAAATTGGGATATGATGTCACGCATCAACCATGAGCTTGCCTGACCGCCCGATCCCGTTAGTCGTCTCTTGGGTTGCTGAAGACGAATTCTAACCCGGATCTTCACAGGATATGGAGTATATCAGCAGTTTCATGTATGGGCTACATATGTTGATGGAGCGGTCGGGTAGCCTAGTGGTTAAAGCGTTCGCCCGTCACGCCGAAGACCCGGGTTCGATTCCCGACCATGGTACAATGTGTGAAGCCCATTTCTGGTGTCCCGCGTCGTGATATTGCTGGAATTTTGCTAAAAGCGGCGTAAAACCATACTCACTCACTCACTCACACACAGTAAACTACGGTTATAACGAACTCAAAGGGACCACTAATTTGAGTTCGTTATTACCGTAGTTCGTTATAAACATATACAGAATATATGTACAGCAAATGGTCGGGACAAAAAAATAAGTGCGTTATATCCGTCAGTTCGTTGTAAGCGTGTTCGCTATAAACGTAGTTTACTGTATATTGATGCTATAATTCATCTTCCAACAGCTGTGACGTTCTTTAGTATGAGGAACAAGTGTTTCGTCGGTCACTCCGAGGGGGAAACAGTCGCCAGTTTCGACAGGACAGAGGACATTTTAGCTGAAGACACAACCTTTCGTAAGTTTAGAAGATATATAAAGGGATATCACAATTGTGTTTAAAAGGAGTCAACAGTATCTAACTCTGTTAAAATGGTTTGCATTGACAGTTTGTATCTATTTAAATGTTTAAACTACCAATTAATATATCTGTCATTTTCCACTAACCGTTTGTTACATTGGGAATTTAATTTCCTCACCAGGTAAGACGGTAGATAGCACCAGCAGTATCAGCAGCCAAGATGATGATCACCATGGCGCTAGTCTGACGTACAGGAAAACCTTCGACACAGTCAATATGCAAGAGGGGGTCAACCGTCCAGGTACGTCAATCTCATACTCATACCGTATTCGACGTAATACGCGCCCAGGGCGCACTCAAAATTAGAATTAGGGGGCTCTTATTAGAGTATAATTTTGGTGAAAGAGTTGAAAGATCGTAAATTTCGTGGTTTATGCTGACAGCCTGAAATGATACCAAAGAAAAGTCTGTGCGTATTATACACGAAAGATTTATTTTCCCCGAATTTAATTGCCCGTAATTAAGGGTGCATATAACACACGAGTGCGTATAATACACGAATAAATAAGTCTTGTGTACATTGATCAATCGGAAGGGTGCTAATTCGGATTGTTCACTAGCCAATATATTAGCAAATGTCGCCTTGGGCGCTTATTAGAGCGGGGCAAATATTACGTCGAATACGGTAATTTGAATGAAGACATCAGCGCAATTAGAACAAAACTAGGCCAAGGTGAACACATGACAACCAAAAAACAGATACATGGTTGGTCTCCCCCTTGGTTCTTGCGACTGTACCCATGTATCCCGATATCCTACTGTCATCGTTGGCATAACGAAGGATTAGAATTAGTTGTCAAACACATGTCCAAAAAACATAATTGTCGTGTGTCACATTCCTCATCACAGTTGAATCAAAGCTGAGGTAACGTCACAGATAACTGACCAAAGTATCATCATGCATTGGTTTCCAGGACGTTTGCATGTATTACAGACCCGTGATGATATAGGTCGGGTTAGAATAGGTCTTCAGCAACCCATTCTTGCCGTAAGAGGCGACTAACGGGATCGGGTGGTCAGGCTCGCTGACTTGGTTGATGCATGTCATCGGTCCCGATTTCTTGGATTGATGCTCATGATGTCAATCACTGGATTGTCTGGTCCAGACTCGATTATTTACAGACCGCCGTCATATAGCTGGAATATTGCTGAGTGCGGCGATAAACAACAAACAAACAAACAAGGATATATTACAGATATACAGCGTAATATTCCTTTAGCTTATGTGTATTTCATTTACATGAACACATTTAACGTCTTAGTCCTGTTATGTTCCACGTTCCGCTATAGATCCACTGTATGAGCCAGTCACGTTCATGGACACAGACTTCCACAGCATCAACGGTACAGATCCAGGGAGCGTCCCCGAGGATGCTTCATATTGTACGTAAATACCACAGAACGTCCAAGTATTCAACCAACTAACATGCTGTCAAGACTTTCAGACATAATTACATCCCTCCTGATATTACATCGTGTAAATCCTGAACGATAAAGAAAAATATACATTTACATAAAAATGTAAGACTTAAATAAACATGTCATTTTTTTTCACTTTTCAGGTTTTGTCGGTTTACTCGATACCCCAATGTCAGGACATATACGCCCCGAAGAAAAGAAAGATGGCTTCTTTATGTATGGTAAACATCAACGAATTAGTATCTAAATGACGAAGTGTAACTTTATTTTTATTAAAGGAGGTGTTTATTCACAAAGGGCGAAAATATATTCTTTGTAAATACCTTCAGTCTGAGGTTATTACTGTATGTTTAAGACTTTAATGACACTTAATTTAAAAAGCATCTTCAGAATGACCTGTTAGCATGGCCTGATTCTTACGGGTACCAATTTTATCTACAGATGTGGATGCGACCAGCGTTAATGGACCATTGTCCGGTACAGACCTCACCATGTGTCTGGACAGTGCGGCTGACCCAACGCCATGTACGTATTTTGTTTGTTTGTTGTTTAACGCCGCACTCAGCAATATTCCAGCTATATGATGGCGGTCTATAAAATAATCGAGTCTGGACCAGACAATCCAGTGTTTGACATCATGAGCATCGATCCACGCAATTGGGATCGATGCCATGTATCAACCAAGTCAGCGAGCCTGACCACCCGATCCCGTTAGTCGCCTTTTACGACAAGCATAGTCGCCTTTTACGGCATGCATGGGTTGCTGAAGACCTATTCTAACCCGGAATCTTCACGGGTACGTATTCAGACAGAAACGTTAATTTACTCCGCAGTCATTAATATTGCAGCATTAACACCACAACCTGTAGATGAAGTCTGAACTAGACAAACCAGGGGCTGATTGCACCGAACTTCGTCATCGTGATACGATAAAACTGGCACGATGTCACTGGGCCATACGCAATATGTCGAGGTGGTGACAGCACATTGCGACGCCTTACACCCGTCTATCTATCGAATGTAAGGATTTCGAGTCAACGAGGTTTCATTGTATGTTTATACATAGAAGAGGTGTGTGAGTGTGAGTTTATGCTTTACGTCACATCGGCAATATTTCAGCCATATCGTGACGAACATAGACGAGGTACATTTCAGGTATTTATTAAATAATGACTGATTGATGGACGACAAGCAGCCATATTCTGATGGTATTCATTCTTTTATCTAACATCTTGTGGAATGTACCATGTATCATTAATAGCATAACATTATCATTTATTGAATTAATCTCGTCGATTTCTTCACAGGTGTGATAACTACGACGATGCAAGCACACGCCACACAGTCCAACGAATATCGAGGATCAGGACCCAATAGTCAAGACGGCATTTATCGACTGAAATTTGACATAAACCTCACGTATGGTACGTACTTAACGTAGATATAGAGTATCCTGGGCCCTGTTCTCTGCCATTAAACTTTGTGCAAACTTTACGGTTGCCAGTAATGATGTATCTGTGATCAAATAACTTTTGAGAAAAGGTTGTGTGATTGTGTGTGGACTGTGCCTAAAAGCTGTGCAATTTAGACCCTAGACTAACATTTAGTCTCTGAGTGAGTATGGTTTTACGCCGCTTTTAGCAATATTCCAGCAATATCACGGCGGGGGACACCAGAAATGGGCCTCACACATTGTACCCATGTGGGAATCGAACCCGGGTCTTCTGCGTGACGAGCGAACGCTTTAACCACTAGGCTACCCGACCGCCCCTTTAGTCTCTGAAATATTATAATACACAATATCCTTCTTGACTCTAAAAATATAAAAAAATCCCTATGCTGATTTCAGAATAGAGCCAGCTTGAGCTGGCTAGACTTGCTATTGTATGCATTTCTAGAAAAAAACATTTTTTTTCATAAAATAGATATATTCTACGGTCATGGTGCAGGACCATTTAGACCCCAGAGGCATGATCTACAGGATTATTGCTCGACATAAAAAGGGAAGTTGACTACTGGAAAGTTGAAGTCATCCCTCTTATCATACAGTCAGGGGAGGGGGCGCATCGAATGAAAAAATAAATTGTTCTCGAAAGTTCTTGGTAAAAATATGATTCAGACTGTTGACAAAAAAGAAATTGCTTGACATAGTTTTAAATGTCATTTAAATAAAAATTATATCTGGTTTTGTGGCTGTAGCTGAAAAATATCTAATCTCGATAAAAAAAAAATCCCAGCAGGTAAGGCCGATACCGGTAACTGCATCAAGCCAGCTGATCTCTCCAATACAGAGTCATGGGACCACGTGTTGCCAGAAGAGTCGCACTCGGGCGGCTTTCATTGTACGTATACTAAATTTAGGAGCAAAAGTAATTAAACCTCTCACTTGATTTTATGGTATGTTTGATTGTCAAATGAAAATATCTAAAGTCAGCCACTGCTTAGCAAGTGGTTTTAGTGTTTAATTTGCTAAGCAGTTGCTAAAAGGATGCTGATTGAGTGAGTGAATTGGGTTTAACGCCGCTTTTAACAGTATTACAGTTATATCGCGGCGTGTCAGATTAATGTGAGAGAAAAGCCCGAAGTGATGCAGGTCTCAGACGTTTACCACCTCGGTGAAACCCACAAGCACAGGTATGGTGCTGACAAACCTAGAAATATAGTCGGGGCGAACCGGGATTCGAACCCACAACCATAGGTTTCTGGTGTGTCCAAGGGACGCAACTCCGCACAGCGAATCGCGGCGCCTTAGACGACTGGGCCACCCGTGCCCACAAAAAGTTGCTTAGCAGTTGCTACATTTTGCTTTGCTGATACAAAAATGTACCACATATTTTTTGTAAAGTTTAGCGTCTTACCGCATCATGATGTAATTTTATGTGAATTGATTTCTTACCCCCAGTGCCTATACTACTGCTTCTACACGGTTTTAAGTGGAGCGTAATCTAATGAGAATGTTAATACATGGTAGAATAACAACACACAATAATGACATATTTCGATGAGGAGTTTCACTGTACATGCAACTGGTGATACTTTACTTTAATTACATAGTTTACTACTTATGCTATATGTATTTACGTTTTCAGGTAGAGTGTCTGAAGTTTGGGAAGAGATATCTTGACATATGACAAGTCTGGCCATGTGAAATGTTACTGGCGCCGTCCATAGGCACTGTATAAAGGCCATGCGACAGAAAATGACGAACAGTATTTGAAAGGAAGGGATAATATTTTCACAGCATTATATCTGTATGACAAGGCTTATACACAGTGGCATGGTGAAGAAAGATGCGATTCCCTAACGTGGTCATTGCAATTGTATGTTACAAATGACAAAGATGTGTCATGTGGATGTTCAGATGATGAGCGCAACAAGCGGCGTTAACTACTTTGTCATATGTATGTTTCATGTGTGTATTGTGTACTGCACACAGGTCACATATCAGGAGAAAGCAATCAACGTTGGTCGCGGAGAGTGGGTGGATGGGTGATCTTGTTCGACACAGCCTGTCAATAGTTTCTAGCTCTTCGCCCGTTCCCCACACTGAAACACGAGAGTCTTTGGGCGAAGTACGCCTCAGTTCACCCATCAGTGAAAGAGTACCCGATCGAGAGGGTGAGATGGTTCAGCGCCCCATAAGGCAACGATGGTTGTATTTTCTCCAGGGAAAGGAATGAAATGTGATCCACTGACCGGGTAATAATGATGTAAACCCGTGATGATTCACTTGGTGAAATAAATGGCGCTTTATAAATGTACTTATTATTATGGTATGCTTTACACTGTGACAGTATTACAAATGCTTACGTGGAGAAGTAAGGAAATCATTTACCGAGGATGGCTTCGCAGCGAACAGCGCGGCATAGTCCATTCGGAACATTCAAAAGATGTGTGAGACAAGCGGTGCAAACTATATTCAATTTGTTATAAAGCGACAAAACCCTTTCCATACCCAATGGGATTGACAAACCTTGAAACACAATCGAGGCGTGCCGGGATTCGAACCCACAATCATAGGTTTCTGGCGTGCAACTCTGCTCAGCGAAGTGCCGAACCTTAGACGAACGGGCCTCCCGTGTCACCCTAGGAAAGGGAGAGGCCACATGTCGCACGCTCCACTGAGAGACAACAAAATACTCGGTATGTTTAATAATAACATAAAGAAATATCATCGTACTTCATGCGTCCAGTTGTCATTATGTTTTAGTTCCACTCTAGTTTAGATAATGGGGGAGGGGGTATTTTCAATGTTTAAAATCACTCTCGAAGTTGATCTTAAGTTGTTTAAAAGGGGTATTCCTGACATATGGGATTCCTTTTCATTTTTCATAGAATTTGCACTTGACTGTATGTAATATGCTGAACGATGGTAGCATGAGTTTTGAAAGTATTGGAAGGCTGCATGCAAGGACTTAAATATATATGTCACCCAACAGAGGATTTCAATTGTTGACAAATGTTATATTTACCTTATTGGTGAGGTGAAATAGGGTTTAACGTCGCGTTCAAGATTTTTGCATTTAAATAGTGCGTGTGTGTGTGTGTGTGTGTGTGTGTGTGTGTGTATGTGTGTGTGTGTGTGTGTGTGTGCGCCGCTTGTACAAGTCCGGAGATATACGGTTTGTTGACTCTCTATCCACTAATCCACGGGAGAGGCCGTCGTTTGTCTTACTGAGTTGCCAGGTAAGAATCAATAGTTCTCTTGGTGAAAATATCAATTCTAACCAAGATTCGCGATGAGCTGAACAGAGTACCCAAACGCAGCAAAATGTTCTTAGTCCAGTAAAATCTTCCAATTCGGACTCGGTTGAGACTGGTAAAAAGTCCAGTTTAGGACGAGGTCCGGATTACAAAAAGCAACGACAATTCATCTCTGTTGGCACACACATACATTGTACATGAAATATTGACATGGTCTGGCATTAAATACACAGTCATTACATAATTGAAGCTTTAAGTATAAGTCTAAGTGTGATACCATCAGAGTTTGGAACTAGTTCTAACTCTAAAGATCAATGGATAATAAACAAAACCCTACAGTTATCTGCAAAAACCAAACCGATAACGAACATAGTGCTGACGTGATACCTCATGCATAAATGATACAATGTACGACGGTTGTTATCGCGAAGGAATACTTATAGTGAACAATCGCTTTTTACAAACAGCTGACCATCTGCTTATAAACGTTTAGCGTTTCTCATTAATCGAAAAAGCACAAGGATTTGACCGAAAGTATTCATATACAAACAAGTCAATTGCTAATTATCAAGCGCCGAGAAATTGTGCCTTAAAATCACGGTTTTTCTCGTGACAGTGTTCACTGGGCGATCCTGACCTTCACCAGTGACCTTCAACTTGTACCAGGACGAATAAAATGTCAGAGAACCTTAGCTTTGACATGGAGATGACTGCCATACATTCTGTTGTCCTCGACATAAAATGTTGACTGTCTGATTTTACACAATTTTTCAAACAGCAACAGGTCAACACATTGATAATATAGGTTCGTAATTGACAACCGTTGTCCTTTGTGTCTGCCATACAACGTCGATTGAGAAATGATTTTCCCCGTTTATAGTTATTTACATAGGCGAGGATGTTATTCTGTTGTAGAGTAGGTCTACTGGTGTATGAACAGTAAAGTCAAAATATTCACCGTTAATATCGATGCTGACAGTTGAGGTGAATATACCCTAGGTCCACTCATGAAGTCACGATGCGACCCCTTAATTTAATGTATATCTCGTGAATAAATGATGACATTTCTTTTGTTTGGCTTGGTTGATACTGCGCCAAGTAAACAATCTTTTCTATGTTTTCCCTTGTGTCAATACACAAAAACCTATCCGGTATTCCAGATAAGTCAACAATGATTGTACAACAATGAATGCTGTCATCGATCTTTGGTGGTTGTGCTGGGTTCACAATCACTTCCCTAAAGACCAAATCATCCAAGAAGCTATACAGTTCATTCAATTGGACAGGGCATAATTCGGCTATGTGAACTGTTCTTAAAATATTGAATTTAGTCTTAACTTGAAGTTGTATCTGTATATCCTTCAAATCTACTTCTATCTTCAGGTTTGCATGTAGCAAGGACCTCTTCATGCTATCCTCGCGACCTCTCTTCGGGAACACTGACGCCTGTGCTACGACATTGCTTTCTGATTCCTGCGATATACAATCGGAAGAAGGTACAAATTCATCTGCTGCTTCTTCCTCTAATGAAGTTTTATCCACTCTATTCTCAGGTGTCGTTGTTACACTGCCTGACATGTCTATGGAGGGACTCCCTGAGGAACGTTTTGTATCCTTGCAAAGGATAGAACCACTTTGTGACAGGCTGGCTTGATTTGGAAAGTGTGATTTTAAACTCCGTTTTGCAAGTCCAAGGCAGATTTCCCCTAGTGCATCTGCATTTAATGTTCTCATTTGGTCACATATGTTTCTGTAGTTGTCGGAAATATTCTCGGAACTCGCTTGTTCTTCTAGTGCTACGGCTTGTGTAGCCGGCGTCTTTGTCAGGTCTCTGTCACCGAATTCGTCATCCGATACCTTTTCATTTGCTTCAGGTGAACTGGATGTTTCATTCAACATCGCATTACATTCTAAACTATCGTCTGCTGTCATATCTGAAAAAGAATATATACGAATTTTTTAAAGTTTTTCATAGTTTTGGAAAAATAACGCATACTTGAACTCTCTTGAAGTCCTAGATCAACACTGAAACATGGTGGCGGTCACTCAAAGATTCAATAGGGATGGGTTTTTTTAGTGTTAATGTATGGTAAAATGAATGATGCATGTTTTCTTCAATGACATCTTCAATGCCTCAGTCGTTCAAGGCGTCGTAGTTGGCTGTGTAGAGTTGACCTGTTCCTACGGTAAATGGTTTGAAACCCAGAATTGCCAGAAATCCGTGCTCGAGGGTTACACAAAAGTTGAAAACGTTTACGACCTGTGACGATTCGTTTTTCCCCAAACATCACATTGTCACTTTGCGATATAACTGAAATACTAAATAAGATGACCTTTTACTCGGCCCACCCCGTCATCACCCTTTCACAGAGTGTTGTAACTTGTACATTGCTCTTTTATGATAATACTTATTTAACGTCACATACATATATTGTACTGACCTGGGATGCTCTCTGTCGGTAGTTGTGTCCTATGCCCAGTTGATGTTGTTGGTTGGACTTGTTTTCCAGCAAAACATCCAGTGTCCGGCAGACCTTGACCACAATTTTCATCCATTAATTGACGACACATACATGAACTAATAACTCATACTGTTTTCGAAGTTTAGATTCATTTGAATGTCGTAATATATCCTTCAGAAAAAAGAAACGCAAAACTGATATTTTAGGCCATAAAAATCAAAATTAGCAGACCAAGAGGTGCAAAATAAAAGGGTTTAATGTGTTATAGTGTCAGTGACAAATTTCCCGGATCAAAATGATCACAACAAGGACTTTCAAACCATTAGTCGGGTAACACGTACGATTCGGAAAACAAAATGGCCATGGAGCTGCACGCACTATACGTGCAGCAGCACTCTGAACGGTATTAAAGTGCAGGGTTTTTGATTGTCAGGCATCTGTGTTAATCGAACAGTGACAGTTCATCATCATGCCAAGATTAACAGAAGTGCAAAGAAACAACGTCAAAGGCCGCTTGCATGTAGGGGAATCACGATCAGCTGCAGCAATGTTTTTAATATAGCGCCCAGCACCATCACACGGCTATAATTTCAACAGCATGGGACAACGCGTGATCGGCCAAGGTCGGGACGACCAAGAGTAACCATCCCCGCCCAAGATCGCTACATCCGACTGCGCCACCTACGTGAAAGGACGACCTAAGCCACCTCAACCCATCACAAATAACCGGACTGCACAGAAACTCCGACAAGACCCTACGAGCAAGACGTCCTGTTCGACGCGTCATATTGAGTCGACAACATCGCCAACAACGACTGCATTGGTGTCATACACAGGGTATGGTCTCAACTGCCATGGAGGGATGTCTGGTTCAGCGACGAATCAAGATTTCTCCTCCGTCGAGGGGATAGAAGAGCACGGGTCTACAAACGTCGGGAGAACGTTACGCCGGAAACTGCGTACTGGAAGTGGGCAGGTTTGGTGGGGGTAGCGTTGTGTTGTTGGCGGATATCTCTCATCATGGCAGGTTTGATCCATATCCAGGGCGATCTTACGGCTCAACGATACATCAACGTAATTCTCCTACAACACGTTCTCCCAATTGTAGCCAACGGCAACGGTGTATTCCAGCAGGACAACGCTCAACGCATACATCACGGATCACAAGATCCTGTCTACACATAAACAACGTTGATGTTGGCCCTCCAGATCCCAGGATTTGAACCCGATAGAGCACCTGTGGGGTGAATTGGATAGACGCCATTAGACGGCCACGCCGACGTCAACCACAACCCCAGACGTTGCACCAGATTGCTTTTGCGTTGCAGGCCGAGTTGGGTACCATTCCCAGGATGGACAGGAGATGTCAGGCTGCTATCGATTCCAACGGAGGAAATACGCGTTATTGATGGTAGCCGACCTTCACCTTGAACTTTTCCTATGTACCGATAACTGAGATGACTTCAATCACCAAGTGTTCTCTCCACAACATTGTGGCTCAATACCCTGTACGGTTCCTCGTATAAATGTATTTTCCTACCACACCCCAATCTGGCTTTGCGTTTCCTTTTTTTGAGGAGTATATTTTAAGTAAAGGTGTTGCATCATAGAATGCCGTGCTATACACCAACATATTGACATGTAACAACATCCTTTATTTCCGTGAAGGAACAGCTATCCAGGGCCCGTTGCTCGAACGATTTCCCGACAGTAACACAAGTGTGCTCTCATTGAATGTTGCATGTACTGTGTTACAGCTGCGATACGGAAATGTCACAAATACGTAACCTTGACTGAAGATTATCTTTTTTATTTGTTTGTTGATAAACGCCGAAATATTCCAGCTATATGACGACGGCCTGTAAATAATCGAGTCAGGACCAGACAATAAAGTGATTAATATCACGAACGTCGATCCACGCAGTTAAGAAACGGTGACAGACATCAACCAAATCAGCGAACCTGACCTCCCGATCCCGTTCGTCGCCTCTTACTTCAATTATCGGTTTCTCAAGACCTATTCTGACACAAATCCAAAAGGATAGAACGAAGGGTAGGGTAGGGCTGCTGGGTATGACAGACACCATCGCCGCCACATAGTACCTACGTTATCTATATTTCGGTTTGGTTTATTAATGACGCCACCGATCCAACCAAGCATCCAATGATCAAAATGAACTGAATGTCTATAGTATGTTATAGTATGTTTTATAAACTTTAACCAAACAAGATATGAAGTTAGATATACATACCAATAGCCTTTCTGTGTTGGCTATATGCAGCATTGGAAAGAGGATAAACTGAAACGATTACGAACGCTTTAAGTGTCAACAAATAGAATTAAATCGGTACATATATTGAGAACACTTCATCAGTCCTCACCACAATTGATATGAACAGTGATTAATGAGAGTAGGTCTTGAAATTGTACCATCCGCTTTGGTTCCTGTAGTAGAGTTTAACGCCGCTTTTAACAATATTCCAGTTATATCACGGCGTGGCAGCTCAATGTGGGAGGAAAGCCCAAAGTGATGTAGGTCTCAGACGTTTACCACTTCGGTGAAACCCACGAGCACGGGTATGGTGCTGACAAACCTAGAAACATAATCGGGGCGAACCGTGATTCGAATCCACAATCATAGGTTTCTGGCGTGCCCAAGGGACGCAATTCTGCACAGCGAGTCGCGGCGCCTTAGACGACTGGGCCACCCGTGACCCCCTGTAGTAGAGATACCTATTAGGCATCAACATTTGTGTGATCGGACGTTTGATACTTGCCACCTCAATCAGTTCCATAACGAAAACGCAATGTTTATTTCCCGTGGAATACGTATGCCAGTGAAGGTAAATAGTAAACTCTAAGTATCATTTTTCAAGATGCTTTGTTATGTCCGAGGGAATTCTTGATATAATATTTGATGACATCTTGTGTTATTTGGAATATTGGTTGAAAACAACAAGACCTCTTTTCAACGAAATATCTACAATTCAATGTCTGACGGCCCTTATAAAAAGAATAAGTGGGTTAGTATTTTAGTACTTAAGGCCGCATTAGCAATCTTGCAGCTATTCGCGGCTATAATTATGAAAATTATTCAGTCCAATGTCACAGTAAAAATAAAAACTATTTTTCAAAGCTAAAATCAAAACCTTCATTTTTTTCAAATATTGCTATTATCACGTGATTAGAAATAGTATTACAAATATTAGACACAGTTTGAGAAGTGTAAAAACGCCGACGAATCATAAAAAAGGCATCACACTCCAGCAAAATGTACTTAGTAGTGAGTGTGAGTGAGTGGACTCTTACAGGCAACACAGGCTATAAAAGATCGTTAGAGTTGGATGCAACTACAAGCCCATGTAGGTAAAAAACATAGATTAGTTTTTCATGAAGAAGTGAAATGCTTATCTCAAATGATTTTCCACCACTTTTGCATAACTGGTACACAAAACCATTTTACTCGCAATTAATAAAGTTGTACAATTGAATATAATATTCTTTCCTTAATTTAAAGTGCGATTTTGAGTCAGAAACTTACAATAATTAGTGTTAAATACAGTCACTGTTTTCGTTTCCATTTGTCCGTTGTTGACCCCTGTGCAGTTCGAACCTGTAGCGTGACCATCGGCAACCCCAGACTGTGAACCTGACTCGACTGGCGATGAACTTGTGTACTTTGATCTTATGTCTGAAACACATGAAAATACATCGCCTCTATTCTCTTTGGGTGAATCTAACATTTCACCTGTGTGTCAACTGTTTCATAATGGACACAAAATACAGCAAACGGTCAGTTTACCAAAATTCGTGCTGTCTCGTTTCGTTGAAATCGCTTTGGAGTAGAAGTTAATAGATCACAAAAGACAATCTACATATATGGTTGCAACACATAAATGCTTTTACCATGTTTAGTTATGTCTGTTCTTTCAACTGATACACCTGGGGGCCTTGTCTCTGCCAACTCAGATTCCGAGTTGGTCACCTGTCTCGTTATGGTATGTCCATCGCTGGAAAGTTCCATTCTGCGCCCAATGACTCAAACGTCTCTTGTCGATGCGAGAGCTTGAAATGGCAACAAACTATTGTCAACTTAAGATGCACAGAGTATTTTCCTTCTTTCTTTTATCCTACCCCAAAAATGAACCATTACGCAACGAGTTGACAATTGTTTTAGGTATGCCCGTGTGCGCTAAGACGGAACCCGGTCGCAAACATGGCCACGAGAGGGGCACGAGTTGCTATTCGGCTTGTCCCGGAATAACACGAGTTGATCACGAATGTGACATGTACAGATCAAGGTGTATATATCGAGTATGACGTAAGCAGTATTTGGTGTAGGTGCTCTTTTCCTGGGGAAATATAACCTTGCGCCTGTATAAATAGCTTTATGCGGCCTTTAAGCTACTATTACACAATGCAGCATACAACGACGCAGTCAAAACGATTAAAGCTGACGAAATGGGCTTCCCGACTGTTCTATCGCAACGCCTGAGTCCGTGGTAAAATAGTTCAGGGGCCATGAAACTTTATTTCTTTTCTCTAAAGGCAAACAGAAGTAAACTATGAGTCATTGTTTTCCTGTGTCGGTCATCAGCCATTTACTTGACCAGGCAAATTGCTAAGAAGAATCAGGTCAAAATGTATTTTGTTATAATAACTATTTCACGGATCTATTCATGATGATTGAACGTCAGTAAAGCAACGTTTGGAACCATACATATCGTTTTAAAAAGTGTCTTACATTGGAGTAGATACAGTACCTATTAATAATCGAATACGGATGACATGGTCATGATAGACACTATCGATGTAAAATACCTAAATGCCCTCACCGTGTGTCGTCGTTACTGCAACAGGGTGGACAAAACTGGTTATCTTGTCTCCTCTGATTCAGAATCCAGGCTGTTTCATAACGGTATATCCATCACTATAAGCTCCTTACTGTACCAAAACATATTCACGTCAATGTGCGCAAAGCGAACTGCACTGCAAATCAGATGGGAGTCGAAGGTAAATAAAGAATATGATTTATGAACTTCGGGGCTAAGCCACAAATCAACGGATGCCACGTATAAGATGTGCATTCGCTGTGTCACCTTGCGTCAGTTATATAAATAGTACATTTTCTCGGGAAACACTGTCACGTGCTTTCCACACAAGTCATAGATAGTTTTTGTATAGCTTTACACTATCGTGCTCTATAGCCAGTGTATTTAATATATATTTATATATTATATCGCTTATTTTAATAGACAATAATGCGTCTATATCAAAACGGACAATTACTTCCCATCTTCGACATGCTGATATATACTTAAATTACTCTCCAAACATTTGTGACTGATCAAATGAAAGCAAAGCCACACTTTTAAACTAACTAAAACTTTTAAATGAAATTCTTAATCCAGGTTCGGCGCAGCCTCCAAATGAGAACATCACAGTAACTGAACCTAATACATACACCGCCGAATAAAGGCACTTAAATCAATATGTTTATTGGTATTTACACGGTTGTTATAATCTCTTTACTGGGTATCATGGGGTCGGTGTGGCGAACAATTATGCAGGTTCTCTTTACACATGAAACTTCATGCGAGACCTGAACCTAAACTTCGAGTAAGAACCTGTATTAAAAAAGAGTTGGTTGCTTGGTTTGTTGTTTAACGCAGCACTCCATATTCCAGCTATATGACGGCGGTCTGTAAATAATCGAGTCTGGACCAGACAATCCAGTGATTGATATCATGAGCATCGATCCACGCAATTGGGATCGAAGACATGCATCAACCAAGTCAGCGTGCCTGACCACCCGATCCCGTTAGTCGCCGTTTACGTCAAGCATAGTCGCCTTTTACGACAAGCATAGCCGCCTCTTACGACAAGCATAGTCGCATTTTACGACAAGCATAGTCGCCTTTACGACAAGCATGGTCGCCTTTTACGACAAGCATAGTCGCATTTTACGACAAGCATAGTCGCCTTTTAGGGCAAGCATAGTCGCCCATTAAAAAAGAGGACATAGCCAGGTTATCAAGTGCAACTGTACATTCAACTTATCAAAGCATGACCCATTGACGATCGATTGAATGTCTAAACTATACCCTGAAATATAAGATAGCTACGCGATGAATCGAAAAGAACAATGAAGAACGAAGCGTGGTTTATTTCACGATAAAACACTGTTCCATCATGACGTCATTTCTTGAGATTAGACCATGCGCTCGCAACTTGATGACAATGGCCGAACGATCGAATCCAAAATGTGCAAAAGTGTGCAAGATATGGCAAAAAGATAAAGACAGTGGTCGTGAGAATTGAATTTTAGGAGTCTTTATTTAAATAGAGGTTAATATTTCTAAAGCTTGTAAACTTTATTAACACCCTTAAAGAGCCTGTAAATAATGTTGATATCTCATAAAGAAATAAACTACCGAGATCGGTGTTTATTTTGCCTCAAAGTGAGATTGACCAATCAGAGAGCAGAACTTCTGACCCCATATACCGTCAGTAAAAATCCAAGATGGTTGATACTGACCTAATATGAGACCATATGCCGTCAGTAACAACCATCTTGGATTTTCCAACACCCACCTCACATATTTAACATGGAAATACTGGTACCGAAATTCGTTATTTGACACTGTTTTGTGTTTTACTATCATTAATCGTGATTTGCAAGAACATTAATCTGTTTTTAGATAACATTCATGACTTTATTCATAAAGATTATAGTTAATATTTTCAACAAGGTTTGGCCTCTAAGGCTTAAGGAGTGGTCTCCCTTTGACATTAGCAAACGCTGTCAAACGCCTTGTTAGTATCACCGATGAGGAAATCTCTGATAAAAGGCAAACTGTGCGATATGGATACCAGAAAGTGTAAACTTTTCGGCATAATAAATTCGTTATGGTGTCTTTAGTTGCCGTATACGGTGTCAAATTAGGTTAGCAGAAACATACATTATTTTTCTGCTGATCTAATATGACACCGTATACGGCAACTAAAGACACCATAACTAATAATATCGTACAATAAAACACTGCAGTCCGCGCCCCTCATGGCTAGTTCTCCGTATTGCAAACACCTCGTCGTTTATTTCGTAAAATACACTTCGCGAAAACGTAACATTGTATTCCACCTGTTGACAGCATACTGTATCTTTGATGAGCCATATATTCACCTTGTTGTTAACTTTCATGCAACTTTGCATACAAGATGCAACCATTAAGCAATAGATAGAAACATGTTTCTAAACAAATGTCGCACATAACAAGATAATTCCACGTGAGGTACACCCTAAATAGTTTGCATGTATTAAGTACAATCCTTTCCTTGCCTACGGGTTGCATCTAAACAAGACGCACAACCAGGCGGCTTATTTCTGAAGGTATTAGTTATCCTAGGATGAACATGAAGAAAACTGGTGACCGCGCTGCCATCAAGTATCTCCAACTGATGGGATTAACAACCATCCTTGTGGTCAAGGTGTCAACTTTGGGAATCATGCTCCTTCCTTTTCTCTGTGAAGAGGTGGACAGCGGGGTTCAAGAGGAAGAGAGGCCATCGAAAATGACCCAAGATCAGGAAGACCTTCATCTGCCACCACTAAGGAAAATGTTGCTATAAAGGACATGATTAGGGCTGATCGACGACTCACCACAAGCACATAGCCAAAACAGTTGGCATCTCTCACGAGAGCGTTGCGGACATTCCGAGGCCCGAACTGGGCATGACAAAGGTTTCGGCACACTGGGTTTCAAGTCTTCTGGAACCATATATGAGTCTTGGGTTCATCACAATCAGCCACTGATTAATCAACGGTGAAAACAGTTGGAATCTGTAGTATCTCCTCCTCCGAATAAGGCAAAGTTTTCTTGGATTCCAAAGTAATCCTACCGGTGGACTATCTCACGAAAGGTCAGTCCATTACGGCTGAGGCAACTGCGTGGGAATATAGAGTATAAACGTCGTGGGAAACTCACGCCAGGAATGTTGTTCAATCAGGACAAGGGGCGGTCCGGTAGCCTACTGGTTAAAGGGTTTGCTCATCACGCTGAAGACCCGGGTTCGATTCCCGACTTGTGTGAAGTCCATTTCTTGTGTTCCCGCCGGGATATTGCTGGAATATTGCTAAAAGCGGCGTAAACCCATACTCACTCACTCACACTCAACCAGGACAATGCACCTGTACATAAATATGTTGTCGCCATGGCTACAATGCATGACTGTTGCTTTGATCTCATCGATTGGATATCCTCCGTATACACAGGACACAGGACACGCTACCCCACGCCTGGTTTGCGCCATGGGTCAGGTTAATAAATCTGTTGGTAAAACCTCTCCAGTGACGGACAGGTCAATAAACAACCTGAACAACTCTACCAGAAAGGGACAAGTTAATAAATCTTCAGTATGGACCTCCCTCTGATCAGCAAGTATACTTGTTGGATAATCAGGAGTGAGCGGTACATGCAGACTGGCGGTCATTCCACGATAGCAATGCACCCACGAAACAATAGACATAATTTACCCTAGGTTTCTAATCTCGGATCTGTCGAACAAACTGCACAACAAAATTACATGTACATATTGAATGTTACAAATGGATGAATAAATTATATAAAACAGTACATACATGTATTTTATTGTGTTACAATATGATTACCGATGTGGAAACTTAGTATGAAATCCAAGATGGCTGTTCCATTGAATAATCTCTTATGTAACATAATATTTGGTTCCGGAAATTCACGTTGTTGGTTGTCTCGAACTATCCAGGACTTCGACACAACGGGGTTCGACTGAAACTTTGAAACAGTAATATCAATGAAATAAGATTATCAGATAATACTAAGATGGCATTAAAATATATAGCATATACAAGCACAAACATAAACATTTACATTCGAACACTGACTATCACCCTAACACATTCTTGAGCTAGGGGTCAACCAATAATATCTGTCGAGTTTAACGATTTATTATTGAACTTTTATAGCGACGTGCATGCATGCGTGTGTGTGTGTGTGTGTGTGTGTGTGTGTGTGTGTGTGTGTGTGTGTGTGCTTGTACTTTTGTTCATCAAACTTAGCAATATCCCAGCTACATGAGGGCTGTCTGTAAATAATCCAGTCTGGACCAGACAATACAGTGGTTGATATCATGAGCATCTATCAACGCAATTGGGATACGATGACATGCATCAACCAAGTCAACGAGCCTGATTACCCTATCCCTTTTAGTCGCCTTCTACCCTAAGCATGGGTTGCTGAAGACCTATTCTAACCCGGATCTTCACGGGTCTAATGCTGGTATTATATCGTTAGCCCACTGAGATAAAATGGATGACCGACCCAGACACTACGTCGCTAAGCATACTCTGAGATACCCAGCCCTAGAATAAAATGGATAGCCCTCTCAGACTCAGATACCGCCTACGTGGTCTAGTGGATAGAGCGTACGCCCGGAGAGCGGAAGGTCGGGGTTCGATCTCCGGCCGCCTCATAAAAATACGTTAAAGATGTATTACTCTGACTGGCGCTCGGCATTAAGGGGCTAAACAAGGACTGGTCGGCTCGGAGTCAGTACACTGTGTCTGAGTGGGATATTCATGTTACACTGCGGCATAGTATCTTGGTGGGTATAGCACTATAAATTCAGCTTTAATCCGGACTAGTACACGCAGCCACATACATATACATACACGTGGCTATGTAAGTGAAAAAATCTCCAACGCGACGTTAAACCCCATTTCACCTCACCTCACCTTACCTCACCGCAGACAGTATACAGTATGCTATGTGGAAAAACGCGTTTGAATCCAGCATAGCTCTTATTCTATCATTTATATCAAGTAATAAGATATCGTAGGTATTCTATCCGCAAATTAAGTCAGCGTGTGCTTGAATGCGTAAATAATTTGATGAATAAAGCGGGACATTTAGTCCGTGTAAATGTCAAAACTCCCAGCTATTTGTAGCAAATAATACAATGTGGATCATATATGGTTGATAGGGCATAAAGCATAAATAATAAAAAAGACCCCAAAGTGTTATATTCAGAATATTTACGTAAAAACCTAAGATCTTATTCCGCATAAAATCAAGTTCAAGTTTTCAGATGTCGTTGTGGTGTCATACAACTGTTGATCTTTTATTATAGCTCGAGGTGTATGCAGGTCAAGGTCGCGATATCCCGCACCTGACACGTAAACAACACACCGTTGTGGTCATCCAGGCGAATCTCAAGTTTGGATGTACAGAGAGAGAGAGAGAGAGAGAGAGAGAGAGAGAGAGAGAATAATGTTTATTATAGTGTCACATGTTATATACACTTCATACTAAAACATGTACATGAACAGTAAAATATAACATCCGACCAGGTATGGCCTACGAGACACTAGACATAAAAGCAAATTATAACGTCATGATCTGGGTAAGGTAAAATAAGACATATACTAACACAATGTTTAAAATTAAGGTTGGGTTATGAACACGCACGCACGCACGCACACTCACACTCACACGCCAAATTACTTATAAAGTCACGCACACAATCATACACAAACACGTAGGTACACACACACACACCCCACCATACCATGCACACACACACGCACACGCACACACAAACACACGCACTCACACATACATACCCTACGTACATTACAACCCCCCCCCCCCCACACACACACACACACACGCACTACGCACACACGTACACATATACCATACGTAGATTATACGCCCCACCCCCCACCCCCCACCCAACACAGGGGTGCATTTATCCTCACCGACACTCAACATACCTATTTATAGATCATGACGCTGTTACGTGAGAAGTAGTTCGGGTTAGAAATGGTCCTACACGGGTAGCTGTCTCAGGCGTCCTTTTGTAAACAAACGAACAAAACAATTCAAACAAAACACTTGTCGCTGTTGCCCAAATAGTAGAAATCAACGTGCATTTTGATGTCACACAAAATAATGTGACAATAAAGAAGCTAGAATGTCTTTTCTGTAGAACATATGAGAACAGCATAAATTTTCTGGCCATCAGCTGACAATTTATAGATATATGGGAATACTTATGTAAGATATTAAGCTAAACAAAAAAATGTGATGCCGTAGATATTAGATCATAAACAGACAAAAAACTACCGTTAGGTTATTTGAATTTCGTTTTCTCTCATGTTTTGACTTTGGGTATTCAAATCGTTATTTAGGCGAGTAATTATTGTGATCAAATGGCGTAAGAAAGTGTCAGAAATGACAGAACAGAAAGTGAACAGAAATGACAGGTATATGTACATGTAAGTGCCTGCAATAAATATTTTACTGTAGTAATTAATAACTTTTTTAAGGGTAGTTAGGAGTGAGTGAGTATGGTTTTACGCCGCTTTTAGCAACATTCCAGGAATACGACGATGGTGGACATCAGAAATGGGCTTCACACATTGTACTCAGTCAGGTTGGTTGGTTGGTTTGTTATTTTACGCCACACTCAGCAATATTCCAGCTATATGACGGCGATGTGTAAATAATCGAGACAATCCAGTGATTGACATCATGAACATCGATCCACGCAATTGGGGTCGATGAAATCTATCAACCAACTAGCCTGACAACCCGATCCCGTTAGTCGCCGTTTACGACAAGCATAGTCACTACTCATTTAGGGAATCGGACCCCGGACTCTAACCAACAAGCTAACCCCTGGGTGCAATGTGTGAAGTCCATTTCTTGTGTTCCCGCCGGTATATTGCGGGAATATTGCTAAAAGCGGCGTAAAACCATACTCGCTCACTCACTTTTGGCCAAGTGGGTAGAAGATTAACCCTACAACATCACCATGTGCATGGCAGATCTATCAAATTATCTTTGACACAATTGACAATTTCGTGTTAAACCCAACTCACTCACTCACTCACTTTTGGCCAAGTAGGTAGAAGATTAACCCTACAACATCACCATGTGCATGGCAGATCTATCAAATTATCTTTCACACAATTGACAATTTCGTGTTAAACCCAACTCACTCACTCACTTACTCACAATTATTAAACCAACGGGAAACCTATCAACTGATTACTTAGTTCGCACACTAATTCATAAATTCATCTGTCACGGCATGAGTAGTATATTTGCATTGTAATGAAATGCTTTGTATTTGTGTGATTTGTTATGAAAGAGCAAACGGGACTGACCTTTGACAGACCGCCAATTCCGGATGGGATGTTTAAACGAGAAGGACTGTCACCCATTAATGAAATCAAACTGAATAATAATAAACATATAATTGACGATTAACTAGATTGGAAATAGGGAGTCATTAGGTTTATTAATAGACGGTAAGTCCTGCCGGATTCTGTGTCACCACTATAAGGGGTGATCAGATGGTGACAAATGGTCCGGGCGGACTATTTCTCACCCCGACGATTTACACTTAACAACGCCATGAAAACACGCAGAAGTGTGTTTACATGAAGCTTTGTGTTGTATTTGTACCCACGTGGAGGGAGTATGTCCCTTCTCTATCATTAGACAAGGATGATAACAGGTTTTTAACTTCCTTTCGTTCAATTTAACGAACAAATTTAATCGATTACGTGTTGACAGAAATCATGAACGAAGGAGACGATCCGGGGCTCCTGGCTGTCTTTTATGGACGAGAAGGTGAACAAGTCCCGGAGTTGTGGTTGGATAAATTCGAGACTTATGCCTGTCTAGAGAAGTGGCGCGATAATGAGACAGTTTTGCAGTTTCGACAGCGTTTGTCGGGGAGAGCTGCTTTGTGGTATCGGTCTCTAGGCACTTCACACAGTGAAACATTTGAAACATTGAAACACGCATTTCGATGCCATTTCTTCAGAGCTGAGATAGATCCGTATCGGTTACGGTTAGACCTTGAAGCGAGGCAACAGGAACCGGATGAATCAGTTGAAAATTATGTTCATCACAAAATGGTATTTTTGTATCAGTCCAACAAGCTTGACCCGGAATCCTCGGAAGCTATAGATCTTATATTTAATGGATTTCACCCCGGGCTTCGGGAACGATTGTGCCGGGATAATATAAACACGTTACAAGAGTTGCAACTCTGTGCAAGGAAGACATATGCTGAGCTTTTCAAACCTTGCGGCAAGGTTGTCACAAGGAGAAATCACAGGACAAATTCTTTTGAAGGAGGTAAGCATGCGTCGTTTCCATCTAGCATATAGGCACGAATTCACTTACTATATCATCTAGCAAAGGGGTTTACCCATAGTGTAAACATATGTCATCACGTATCATTGATCCATTTCATCAGATTAGAAACGAGTTTACAGAAATTCCAAGAATTGTGAGATCACTAACGGTAAGCGTTCAGGGGAACGAGGGCGGTCGGGTAGCCTAGTGGTTAAAGCGTTCGCTCGTCACGCCGAAGACCCGGGCTCGATTCCCGACATGGGTACAATGTGTGAAGCCCATTTCTGGTGTCCCCCGCCGTGATATTGCTGGAATATTGCTAAAAGCGGCGTAAAACCATACTCACTCACTCACTCACTCAGGGGAATGAGTGGCCAAGTCGTCTTTGGCGCCGACATTAGCCGTGCAGAGTTGCGTACCTTACTCGAGCCAGGATGATGTATTCTTGGGTTGAAATCTGGGATTTGTCCCGATATGGTCCTTGTATTCCCACATGATGTCCGTGCACGTATTTTTCTGTGAGATGGTAAACGTCTACATGCGTCACTCTTCTCTTACAAGTTCGCAGGCCGTGAGATTCTACAATACCGTTTAAACCGGCACCAAACATCCCGTATCCATGAGAGTGAGTTGGGTTTAACGCCTTTTTAACAGTATTCCAGTTATATCATGGCATGTCGGCTAAATTTTGGAAGAAAGCTCGAAGTGATGCAGGTCTCAGACGTTTACCATTTTGGTGATACCCACGATAAGGTATGGTCCTGATAATACCTAGAAACGTTATCACGTCGAACCGGGATTCGAACCTACAATCATAAGCTTCTGACGTATCCAAGGGACGTAACTCTGCACTGGGCCACTCGTGCATCCCCAGCCCCCTCCGATCCATTTGGCATAGTTATTGTAACGTCGTATCGTACCATGTCATAACTCGCATTCACTGACTGTATCCTTATGAAGCACGTATATTTTACCCATCACCACTGATATGGACATGAAGTAACTTTCATATCTGTACCCCATTGTCTCTGGCTCTTTTGAAGCTATCAGCATGCATCGACACTTTATATCGGTCATTACAACCATTCTTATGTATACAGACATCACCGTGACTGGTGTGACGGGCGGCAACATGCACACCGCTAACACCGCCGGAAGTGTCCGGGGTGGGATGGGAAACACCAACGTCATCTATATGTACGGTACGTGCAAATCGTATTTGGGTATCCGCAGACTGTTTCCCGAGCACAAAATGCTTGTAACACGAGCCAAATGAAGATTGGATGGACAGAATGTATGACTTATTCATTATACCCCTGATTGTATTTATCGTACCCCGACTGCAGTTTGCCTGGTCCAGACTTGATCAATACCAGGCGTTGTTGTGAAGCTTAAACGTCGCTGCGGCGTAAAACAATATTTATTCCCTCACATAATATTTGGTCGTGTGACGTCATTAATATGTGTTATCCAGTGGTTATTTCGATACTTCTTTCTTGTCACAGATTAACAAGAAAAATATACCCATTTATAAAAACACCGATCTGAATGTTTTATTTTCCCGTTTGCCGGAAATGGTTGATATTTTGTTTAATTTCTTTAGTCTACCAAGTGATGTCTGAAGATTTGGCAAAACTACTCTGTTCTTGTGTTGGAGGAGTAAGGAAAGATACCGGTGAGTGTAACAGGCAGCAGCATGCGTTTATTGTAGTCTGTAGAACATCTAGTCATAGACTCCTCATAGAAACTGGAAGGCTATCTTTCAAAACCAACAAGTGGTATACAATCAAAACATGTATTTCAAAATTCACTAAGTGTACAAATCAATACAAATTACTGCACAGCAATTACAATTGCAGTAAACTATAGAGTGGCAGTACAATATTCAATGACAGTATATAATATGATGGAAGTGGTATGTATCAAATACACAAATACAGTGGTGATAGCAAAAGTCAGTGATAATAACATATATATTCACCCTCCGGCGACAGTGGTCAGGCTTCCGAGATGGGCTAGGTAGGGAATCAGGTTGATGAGCGATCCTCACATGAAAGCGGGTCTTGACGTGATGAAAATGTGTGAGAGATGCGAGAGGCGGGCTCTTGTCCCCTTATATACAGTCTATCTATCTTTCCAAACTTTCTAGATAGTGCTGAAAGGTTCAATGCAATGCTGGACGAGTCTCGCCGTTTCCAGAAGTTACCACATTACTCTAGCATCTAAATGTAGTAACTTCCTGACCACTGCTTACCTTAAATAGTACGACATTCCTGACAACTAATCACGGCCCAAATAAAATCCAATGAGCGTCTACCGAATATCAACCAAAACAATATGACACAGTTACAATCTTTGTTCAACAATAAAGTATAACACAGTATTTATGGGGTTACTCACTGTACCACCGATGGTGGATTTCTATTTGAGTAAAAAACTTGTAACTAAATCAAATCAAATAGTGAAGCCCCAGTAGCCACAACAAGCTTTCTGAAATCACCAGGTATTAGTACAGCTATCTGACATAGTCGCTCCCCACCAAACTGTATGCGACATATCTTCGTCCACATCATAAATATCTCCAACTATATCTGACACAACTGTTTTGACAAATCGTTCTGCGATATAGCATCCCATCGATGCATGGAATAAATGTGCGTCTATAATATGACTTTGATGCCCTGACATAAATATGCCTAGGGCATCCATATTTGCTGCCCCACATAGTGTGGAATTTAGACGCTAATGCCTGATGTACATACAAACGTTTCTTGTAATTCATAACCAGTCGACCCTAAAAATCGGTCCGATCCTAGAGTTATGTTTTTTTGTGTGCATGTTCACTTCGGTTCTGGCTCCGAGTTATATAGACTTATTTCTGTGATATAACTGGAATACTGTTCAAACCCAACCCAATCATGTTGTATTTTAATGAAACGTGTGTACATTGGAGACGACCATCTTAGTAACACACCCATTGAAATATGTTTTGATCACAATACTGTTGTATTAATAATAACACTGCCACTTACCCTACTATATGTACTCTATCAACGTTTATTTCAGGAACGGATGAAGAAACTGATGAACCAGCAAATAGAAAATCTACCTGCACCATTGACTCGGAAGGTGAATATAGATGAATTGCACATAGTTTCATTTATAGCTGTATGTCAAACATCCACATGATACACGAAACATATGGCGAAGACAAGTCACTGGCGTTTAATTGAGAACTGACTTCAATTGTATGTTGTTTTGTTACCTTTATACCTCCAATAATTCAGTATGTTAACAATAATAACTTCACAGACGGCTTGTTTAGTGACTAACGTAAAAGACTGTACTAGTCAACAGTACGAAATCAGCGACATTGCTCAGCTCAACAATTCAATACCAACCCTGCCTACCCTATTATCAGCCAATCAGGAAACAGTAGGTCGCTAATATCATAAACGCAAAATGAATTGCTTGGTTAGCTAATCAAGCGTCATGGAATCACTTGAAAGTTTGAAACAACTTTAAAGATGTTTTTGGTTGATGATTCACAACCATTAAACAACCAATTTAAGTATTTTTTTCATATACAAATCTGGAGTCAAATTAACATATTAATTATAGGTGAAGCATGCATGCTCCTGTGCTAAGTCGCTCAGTATATTCAAGGATGAATAAACGCACAAAATTCCGGTATCAAAATAATATTATGTAATGTATTTTACAGGAAAGGAGCGGCTTGTGGATGCTCTGCTAGGTAAGTTCATGCAATACAAAGCAAGAATGGTTGGTTGTGTTTTTTGTTTAACGCCGCACCCAGCAATATTCTGTCTGTACATAATCGAACCTTGACCAGACAATCCAGTGATTGACACAATGCGTATCGAATATTGCTGAGTGTGGCGTTAAACAACAAACTAACAAACATGCTTACACTGTAGATGTATATTTGCCCAACTTTAGGATAGTTTTTTTTATGGAGTTCTTTGCAGGTCACATCCTCTGTTTATTGAAACTGGGTCACGGATGACCTCGCTAGACTTTCAGTGAGATGAGTGAGTGAGTATGGTTTTACGCCGCTTTTAGCAATATTCCAGCAATATCTCGGCGGGGGACACCAGAAATGGGCTCCACACATTGTACAGGAATGTACAATGGGGTCCACACATTTCGGGAATCGAACCCGGGTCTTCGGCGTGACGAGCGAACGCTTTAACCATTAGGCTACCCGACCGCCCCTTCAGTGAGATGAACTAACACTGCGAAATAGTGTAGAATTAAAACCTCCACCAACTCCCGATTAGAAGAAACGTCCCGGAAATATGTTACTTGTTATTCAACATCAGATCTACTTCTTGTAATCTACACTTCTGTGCATTGCCGATGCTTCAGAGTCTCTTAGTGACGGAACCGCCAACATCGTGGTCCGCAAAGATGCTTACAATGACCAAAGTGATCAACACCACGGCGCTGACTTAAAAGGTTCGTATGTGCGTCTGTCACTGTTGTTTTGTTACGTAACTTACCTATACATGGGTGACTTGGTCATCATTCAGTTCTGAGTTTTCACTGTAAGTGTTGCTGTTTGCATACTGACCTAGGGTAAATATGATAGGACTAAAGTTGGCAATAGCTTACAGTTATAATCTGCAAATTTGATCTCTACTTAGACTGAAAATGTAAAAGTCCTCAATAGAAATCACCCTGAATGTACACACACCATGTGAACTACGTTGCCATGATGATTAACTCTCCAGCTCATCACCAACAAATGAAGTATGTCCTTATTGTTATCCTTCTTAACATCTACAGTTGTGAGGAAACCTCATACCCGTGAAGATTCCGGGTTAGAATAGGTCTTCAGCAATCCATGCTTGCCGTAAAAGGCGACTATGCTTGTCGTAAGAGGCGACTAACGGGATCGGGTGGTCAAGCGCGCTGACTTGGTTGGTGCATGCCATCGTATCCCAATTGCGTGGATCGATGTTCATGGTGTCCATCACTGGATTGTCTGGTCCAGTCTCGATTATTTAGAGACCGCCGTCATATAGCTGGAATATTGCTGAGTGCGGCGTTAAACAGCAAACAAATAATACAAACAAAAGGAAACGTCATTGAGTACTGTATATGCATTCAGCTATTTATGTGAACTGCCAACATATAGCTTAAGGTTCAATGTACACTTCACTGTGACAACACTACAGCTGACATCTGAAATGAAACATTGCTGAACGTTTCAGACGGTTTCACAAATGAATCACTCAATACCATAGTTCGCTTTGCACTTGACACAAGTCATGTTGAGGATGACCAACACCACATCTGTGATGACAAAGGTTCGTATGTCATTATTGTGGTGTCTTGTGGACAATGTATTGATATTAGTTGTCGTCCAGTTCAGATATGGGCGATAAATACGTTCGCAATCGACTCAGTGCAATTAGTGAGTGAGTGAGTTGGGTTTTACGCCGCTTTTAACAGTATTCCAGTTATATCACGGCGTGTCAGCTGAATGTGGGAGGAAAGCCCGAAGTGATGCAGGTCTCAGACGTTTACCACTTCGGTGAAACCCACGAGCACGGGTATGGTGCTGACAAACCTAGAAACATAATTGGGGCGAACCGGGATTCGAACCCATAATTATAGGTTTCCTGCGTGCCCAAGGGACGCAACTCTGCACAGCGAATCGCGGCGCCTGAGACGACTGGGCCACCCGTGCCCCCCTTAATGCAATTAATGTATTTGTTTTCAACTTAACCGACACCGCCGCTGACTTCAAGAACGATTTTCAAAACGTCAGGGAAATGAATTAAGGTAAATATTAACCATCAACGCCAGAGAATAATTAGTCTTGATGATAGTCACAAACAGTTCCAGCAGGATACGTATGTAACACCCAAACCCTGACTGCAGGTAGAATGTACGCTGTGTTAGGTTATACTGAGATGATCAGCGCGAGTCTATATGTTGGGATTTCGTTCATCTGCCGTTGTTCAACGTCTTCGCCCAAATAATGTACCATATTTGCGTAACATAATACTAGAAATTACAAACCAATAGAATAACCGGTCTCGATTATCCGCCGGAACAGATTGCAGTAGGCGTAAAAGGTAAAACTGTGATGCAAGTTGAATGAATGACTGAACATAAGTGATGGCGCCCGGTGTCCTGAAACAAGGAATGGTTTGGAAGAATACAAACATTATGATACAGTGTCTACCACGGAGTCGTCTTTTCTAAAAGTGGATTAAGTTTTCTCCGGAGACACAATGCTAACTGTAGAGTGAGTGAGTTTGGTTTAACCCGCTTTGAAGACTGAGCGTGTCAGCTTAGCGTGGGAGGAAAGCTTGAGGTGACGCAGGTTTACCACTTTGGTGAAACCAACAAGCATGGGTATGGTGCTGTCAAACCTACAAACATAATCGAGGCGAACGGGATTCGAACCCATAACCACACGATTCTGGTGTGTCCAAGGGATGGACACCGAGCCGCAGCGCAATAGACGACTGTGTCACCTGTGCCCCGAAACCTTTATAGGTACCCCAATATCAAATATTAACCAAGATGTATTCATTATATGTGTCTCTGTTATATATTCCGATGTCAGTAGACTTTGTTCCGGTTTGTGACTATTGTATTCACTGAAGGAAATGGTCACTATTTTGCCTTTTACGCCCATGGAATTATATGAGACTGGCTTGACGTTTTTAACGTAACTTGAACTATAACGCCCTTCTTACCACAATAACATACAAGCGGTGATCCTTGTGATGTGACTGTCACATCTCAGCACCCTTTGTTTAACTGGTTTTATAGGCCCGTATATAGTAAATTTCAATGGCCGCTATCATCATATACGAAAAAGCATTGTGAGGTTGTTGATGTTTAATTGACAAAGGAATATCAATCCTAACGCTTATCGAATATCATTGATTATCACAGAACATCATGGACCATCTTCTTTATTAATTGAACTAACAGGTTCATCTGACAAGTTCAAGGCCGATGTGAACCGATGTTTTAAGGACATCCATATGTCGAGCAGCAAGGAAGATGAAGAGAATAATGCCCCCACTGATACAACATCTCATACAGATAGAAGTAGGTACAGCTGACACACCATGACGTTAATGTTCCGCAATACCTTTCGTGATGCAGTCCACAATGGGTGTGTACCAAGGGTCTCTGGTTTGCAGAGTCTGATGTACACATATCTCAGCTAGTTTACTAGTTATCGAGTTGGAAAAAAATGTGTCCACATGACTCGAATTTCTGGACCCCTCTTACAAAATATGCACTCACATTTTTAGGATTTATTCGATTTGTAGGATGGTCGTCCTCTTAGCATTACGTCCACAATGAATTAACTGAGTTGTGTTTGAACAGTATTCCAGTTATATCACGGCGTGCCAGCTCAGTGTGGAAGGAAAGCCCGTTGTGATGTTGGCCTTAGACGATAACCACTTTGGTAAAACGTTCGAGTACAAGTATGGTGCCAACAAACCAATGAACAAAATCACGGCGAATCTAGGATTCGAACTCCCGATCATAGGATACTGGCATACCCAATGGACGCAGCTCGGCATGGCGAATTGCGAAGCCTTACATAATTGGAAACTACAAACTCACTTTATAAATGATAAAGGCTCGACAGCAGGTCAATTTTGTCTGACGATTAAGAAAAATAAACATGCATCATCAGGAAGCAGGACCGCCTCCGTGGTCTAGTGGTAGGGCGCCCGCCCGGAGAGCGGAAGGTCCGGGGTTCGATCCCCGGCCGCGTCAAACCAAAAGACGTTAAAAGATGGTACTTGTTGTTACCCTGTCTGACGCTCGACATTAAAGGGCTAAAACAAGGACTGGTTGGCTCGGAGTCAATATACTGTGTCTGAGTGGGGTATTCATGTTAAACTACGGCATGGTATCTCAGTTGGCTAGCACTATAAAATCGGACAAGTACAAGCAGCGACACAAACACACACACGTGCAATAATCTTGGACGCGACGTTAAACCCCGTTTCACCTCACCTCACCTCACCTCACCATATCCGAATCCATGCTGTATCAATATGTCTCATCTAAAACGAGAATACGTTCTCGGCAATGTGAACTGTATATTGCATATTATAAAGGTTCCATGAAATATGAAATATCTTAACATGATATAACTGCCTGCTGTGAACAGAATCGGATGCGAGAAGCAGGACGGATCCACGATGGGTGCCCGACTCTCAGGCTCCTCTTTGCATGCTGTGCAAGGTCAAATTTACTTTGTTCAATAGAAAAGTAAGTACACCTCTTCACATATACATAAATTGGACAAGTATAGTCCCTTCACCCTTTATCCAGATTATTGTTGGCCAATACGCCTGACCTAATTTGGACACACTTGAGTGATTGTGTGTGCTGGTTGGTCAGTAGGTGAATGAATGAGTTTATTTTAACGCCGCTCTGGACAATATCCTGTAAATTCACTGCACGTCAGTTTGACGTTGGACGAACGCCAAAAGTGATCCATGAGTAGGTTGTTTCTCTTTGGTCTCTTCTTGAAAACATGTCCACTGACAGTGACTGCATGTTGTCTGCTTTGAGAATGTAAATAAGCACAGGTTCATCTAATCCGAAGGGGCACGGGTGGCCAAGTCGTCTAAGGCGCCACGATTTGATGTGCAGAGTTGCGTCCCTTTGGCACGCCAGAAACCTATGATTGTGGGTTCGAATCCCGGTTTGCCCCGATTATGTTTCTAGGTTTGTCAGCACCATACCCGTGCTCGTGGGTTTCACCGAAGTGGTAGACGTCTCAGACCTGCATCACTTCGGGCTTTCCTCCCACATTAAACTGACACGCTTTGATGTAACTGGAATATTGTTAAAAGCGGCGTTACACCCAACTCACTCACTCATCCAATCCGATCGTTGTATAATATGGGGTGTATTCACTTTCAATAGCTTTCGCAAATATAATTAAAGCGCCCATTTGCCTGGAATAATTCGGTTCAACTGTTTGCAATGTGCATCCATTCTTACACGTGTTCTTTTCTCTTCGTTACTTTGGAAATGTGCACAACCAGATTCTGGTTCTGTGATAAAATATAAGCATATACTGGCACAGTATAAAAACGCATAGTGGAATTTGGAAAGTAAGCTTAAGCAAAGTGACAGATATCAGAAGAAATTGGTATGTGGTAGTGAGGCAACATTGCAATAATTTGTTTGTATCCCTATTCACGTTGTCATACCTGGACAAAAGATTCAAGTCGCTTGTTATTTATCAAGAGTCTAAACCCACTACATGTATATGTTTTTAAAGTGACAGATATCAGAAGAATTTGGTATGTGGTAGTGAGACAACATTGCAATAATATTGTCTGAGTTTGAATCCTTATTCACGTTGTCATACTTGGATAAAAGATTCAAGTGGCTTGTTATTAATTGTGGGTCTAAACCCACAATATGTTTTTAAAGTTTTTCAGTACATATAATGTACTCCACTGGCAATTATGTAATTGTTAACTGTATCAGTGCTGGTGGGTTACACCAAATGCGTCATGAAGGACTTCAACATTAAGTTGATACATCTGCCATATTATGTTCAAGATGGTATTAAACCCAAAACCATTTTCTTTGATTTTTATTGTTTCGTTAAAATAACAGTATCTGTGTCTTTTATTTAACCATATATCTCTATGCAGTTACTTGTTTTTAGCAATATTCCAGCAATATCACGGCGGGGGACACCAGAATTTGGCTTCACATATTTTACCCTTCTGGATAATAGAACTCAGGTCTTCCACCTGACGTTCGAACACTAACTACTAGGTTACCCCACCGCCCCTTCTGTTTTAGAAAAGTCATATTTGTTTGTTAATCATTATCCCTTCAAGGATGACTTTTTAAAAATAAAATACGTTATGTGCAATATTCAATGACAAGAAATTATTATCTTTATTTATATTTATGTAGCACCACTGTCGAAAATGCGGTATCGTGGTGTGCAAGACGTGTTTCACCAAAGAAGATTCGGAGATGGTATGCAAGACTTGCTGCACGAAACAGTCCTGTGACAACTGAAGACTATGGCAGACAGCTCTCGACTTAACTCTCACGGATGTCACAAGTGACATGACAAGACATTGTGTCGCGTGCCAACGTTCGTCATTACAAGGGTTTTCGACCCGCGTTTCCTGATGGCCATGACATTCAATGGCAGCCAATAGAAAATTGAAAAATGTCCCCAGGGGAATGTCGGGGGTGTTCCAGAGATGATGTGTCGTTAACACAAGGAGTAGACACTAAAGTGGGAACTGCTAGACAGAAATATTTTCATTATGATCAAGAACCCTGGTTTTGCTCAGTTGTTTTTTAACTCCTTTTTCAAATCACAACCAAACGGTTGATTTGTTTATTTATTTATTTATTATTATTATTATTATTATTATTATTATTATTATTATTATTATAATATTCCGTTACAATTCAGAATTGTTTAGGACTAAGGACATGATTTATATGTATTGATATAAGCTATGTATAAAAAAAGGTAACATTGTCTCACATATAATAAAGATATATTTTTCTGAAATTATATCATGCATCTTACAATACACATTTATGGAGGCATCTTCTCGACATTTTATGAGAGCATGATACTCACACGTTTTGTTCAATGTGAACAGCACACAATGATTGGTTAGCTATCAGGTGCTCATTAAAAAACTTTATTTGAACCGTAAATGACGCTTACGCAATTCCACGGTTTGTGGAAAATCAACGTCTCCGCGCCGTTGTGATGCTGCAAGACAGGAATGGTGACATGCTAGTGTTTATTGATACACAATATCTACAGCAGGGCAAGACTCGTGACTTGCCACTGGCTGGTCGCCACGTGTGACCTCACGTCAAAACGAAAACCATATTCGGTTGGTGCATCTATGACATCGATACCAAACTGCACATTCACAGTTCGGAATAAAAGCGACAAAACCCTTTACTGTAGTCATAAAAAATCTCATCCAAAAGCAGAGTTGATAGTTCGATTCCGACTTTATTTTGAGCATGTGTTTATGAGTTACTGTCGGTGGAAGTCACGTTGCAGGAGGATAATGCCGCCCACGTTTCACGTGTTGTAACAGATTGTGTTAGGCATCACAACGTTGTTGTTCTCCATGACCGGCATTTTCTCCAGACCTCTTCCCTATAGACCGGCATCTACGACTAGATGAGAACACAGCGATAACGCTAGCTCAGTTAACCAATCTTTGGTTGACATTGGAACATCCAACAGGCTGTTTACAATCATCTGGTGTCTTTTCTGAGACGCCGCTGCCTCGTCTGCATCAACGCCAATGGTGGGCACACCCGATATTGACATTGCTAATTGAGTTGTTACACCCCCCCCCCCCCCCCCCCCCCCCCCCTCCCCCCACCCCTTCTTTTAGGGCGTGTCACCCTGTCTCCTGTTACCAGGTATGGTTTTGTCAGTGAATTTGATGGGACAAAACATTGATCAGGCGACCAAATATTATATTGTTATTTTCAACACCATAACATTTACACTACTTAAAACGAAGTACATTTACTTTTCTTTCCGCTAGCATATATCAGGTATCAACTCCTAGTAAACAGCGCGTTTCAAAAATTGAACTCCCTTCAAGTCGTCAAGCGTCAAGTTTTGTCGTGCAGATTTAAGTCAGACTTATATGATCGTGGGTCCGAATTCTGATTCTCAACAATTATTCACTAGTGGTATCACAACGGACTTGTTTCTCACATTAATTATTCCCGACGTGATAAAACCGAAACACTATTTAAGGCGGAATTAAACTCACTCACTCACTGTATTGACCCAGCAGGACTGCACCAGTTGTGAAACAAGAAGCGCATGCAGTTCCCCGGATCCAGTTTACAAGCAAAGGTACAAGTGACACTTGTTTCGGAACAATCATTTATTTGCTTTGAGTTTGCAACAAAGGTACATTCAAAATATTAGTCGTTACTCCAAATACAACTGAACGAAAACAAGATTCAACATAACTCATAATCAATAATAAAACCTTGAACCAAATAAAAAGAGCATAAGGTAAGGATTTCTACGCTGATATGCTCATACAATCTTGGTAATGAACGAAGATGTTATCAGTAGTATGACCTGCATTCTTTCCAAGGGGATCTCAGTTCATATGCCCAATGTCGCTGCAGTCGAGGATTGACGCTAAAAATACGGAAATGGTACGTTGTAGAAGGGAAGGAAAAAGGATGTGGGTTTCCGTGCACCAACTTCAGTCTCAAATAATTTTACCCCTTTTTCTCAGATAGATATCTTATTTCGGTATGAAGGCCTTAGGCCAAACATATAGTCAATATCATAAGGAGCCACGTTCTGTACAAAACAGAGTGAACATAAACAATTAAAGTCAACACAGTTTGGAAATTATTTTATGAATACTTTTATTTTATTATATTTTTTTTTATTGTTTATTATTTTATTTATTACACTTGTCCGACGATAAGGAGCTTAAAGAGTAACCAGCTTAAACGGATTGTGTCAAAAAGCATAATTTCTTTGTACTGTAAGAATTGATGTGCTGATCAAGACGACGTACGTACTAAACAAATGTCAATGAAACAAGATAATATGTTTGGTTACGTAGATGTACAATACTGTGTTATGGAAATGTTCACTTGCAAAGTCAGTCTTAACCTATTTTCAGAGTCAACAATGAATGTGTACGTTTATAACACTGCGATGTGAGAGAGGGAAATACCGGGATGGTATCTCTGATCAGTCCCTGTAGCATTAATACGATTGGCTAGCATAAAACACCAGTGACAGAACCGTAGAAATTCATGCTGCTTGTAGTATACAAATTGAATGTATATTATGAGACTGACAGAACAAGCGCGGATGGATACACGAGATTGACGAGAAAAGCGTGAATGGATATACGCGACCGACAGAACAAGCGCGGATGGCAGAACAAAAGCGGATACACGAGACTGGCAGAACAAACGCGGATGGATACACGGGAATGGCAGAACAAACGCGGATGGATACACGGGAATGGCAGAACAATCGCGGATGGATACACGGGATTGGCAGAACAAACGCGGATGGATACACGGGATTGGCAGAACAAACGCGGATGGATACACGGGAAAGGCAGAACAAACGCGGATGGATACACGGGAATGGCAGAACAATCGCGGATGGATACACGGGATTGGCAGAACAAACGCGGATGGATACACGGGATTGGCAGAACAAACGCGGATGGATACACGGGATTGGCAGAACAAACGCGGATGGATACACGGGATTGGCAGAACAAACGCGGATGGATACACGGGAAAGGCAGAACAAACGCGGATGGATACACGGGAATGGCAGAACAATCGCGGATGGATACACGGGATTGGCAGAACAAACGCGGATGGATACACGGGATTGGCAGAACAAACGCGGATGGATACACGGGAAAGGCAGAACAAACGCGGATGGATACACGGGAATGGAAGAACAATCGCGGATGGATATATGGGATTGGCAGAACAAACGCGGATGGATACACGGGATTGGCAGAACATTCGCGGGTAGATACAGGAGATTGACAGAACGAGTGCGGATACATTTTTGGAAAGTAGTTTACGTTTTCAAATCCAAAATTAACACACAGGTAATGAGCGATGATTGCAAACACATCGCGACAGAATCGCAGGAATTCAGTATCACAAGTGAATTATGAAATTGACTGAATGCTGGACTTGAGTATTTAAAGGGGAGATAATCGCCTCGGAACATGCGGTTTGGTCCCGCGACTTTCGTTTTGCTTTTATCTTCACCACTATGGCGAAAAACACTGCACTGAAAGCACGATATCTCGCAGAAGTGTTGTAAACATAGTGGACGAAGGTAACCGTTGCCTAGTTAAAAAGCAATTTTGTCTGCACTTGATACAAGCAAAATATTTACAAACATAAAAGATTGCAAAGGTACTAAAGTGAAAAAGATTAGAAAATCGTTATTATTACGATCACAGATACTTGGAAATATGTACAATGTAAAATAATATATCGGCATAGACAATATAACTTCATATCTTTAAATAATAATGTGTATGGATATGATTCATAAACACCAATAGCCAGCCGATGTTTACATGTACATTAATATTGAGATGGATTACATTTGAATTCAGCACCACTACACACATTTAGCTAACAATTATTGTTGATCTCCTGTCAAGCAACGTTTCGTAAGATCAAGCGAAAGAATTTATCTAGTAATACTTGTTCAACTATTCCTTTATTAGTGTGATATTGATAATGTAAACTAATGACACATTCCAATCCTACTACTGTTTTCCAAGTTTTCAAGTCGGCATTCAGCAAGTCTGGTTGTTTTCATTTGTCAAACTAATTTTCCTGCATGCACCACCAGACTTCCGACATTAGATAGTGCACGGGACCAGATAGTGATAGGAGTGGTCACGTGACGAATTCCGATCGCGGATCACTTTTCCGATTTCATCAAGCTCGGCTACGAATCTGTGAACAGACAAATATCATGATCATTTTTACCAGATGATTTGTTTTTCTTACGCACCTGTGGGTGAGAAACCCATTTGAGATTACTGGTATCAAACATGTGTGAGACCGAATTTCAGGTCCGTGATTGGCTAGTCCACGGTGATGACCTAAGATCAGGCTATGACGGACTACTTTCCTGATCTCAAGTCATTGATAAGTTACTGTGGTTCAATCTGTGTTGAACGGTTTTAGATTGTTAATACATGTCTCGTTATCTTATCTAGTTTGCATTATCGCCTTGATAATCCAAACATATATCGGAATATTTTCGTGTAGGGTTACATGAGGTATCAGTAGTAAGCAGTACGTCGGATGACGTCATTCATGACCGTTGTGTTATGTATTACTGCGATCATGAGAATAGACAAAATATGCATCGATTCAATGCTAAAATGGTAATATATGAGGGTGTGTAACAAACAGATTACTGCACTCGCGCCAGTCATATACCAGTTATTGTATAGATCGGTGTTTATAATTGTATCTAACGAGCTTTCGCTCGTTATATACAGTTTCAAACAACTCATTGTAAGATAAATTCTATATGACAGACTCTCGGGTATTTATCTCTATTTCAGATGTAGAAAAGCACCAAATTCCCAGCCCTCGTTTGTCCATAAAACTGTAGATACACTTTCTTAGTAGATTTTTATCGTGTTTTCGGCCAAATATGTATTGTCACACGTACATACAGCGAATCTACTCTTTGTAACATATACTTGTACATATGATTATTTCAAAATGGCTACCGTCAATGACTGAGAAAAAAGTACTTTTCTATAAATATTACATTCCGCGGTGATTCGGTAGTTATATCGGCTGTTCCAATCAGAGGTTGTTATTGTGATTTGATACCTCTGATTGACCAATCAGAATCGAATAAGTTCCAAATTCACGAAATAATTTATATTTTAGTATACATGACTTCTCGATTAAAGATCTGGAAGCCCTCAGCACGTCTCCGCCTTGGGATCAGTCTCAGTATGTGCCCTACAGTTGAACAGTCTTAGCATGTGTCCTACAAATGACCAGTCTTAGCATGTGTCCTACAAATGACCAGTCTTACCATGTGTCCTACAAATGACCAGTCTTAGAAAGTGTCCTACAAACGACCAGTCTTAGCATGTGTCCCACAAACGACCAGCCTTAGCACGTGTTCTACAAACGACCAGTCTTAGCATGTGTCCTACAAATGACCAGTCTTAGCATGTGTTCTACAAATGACCAGCCTTAGTATGTGTCCTACAAATGACCAGTCCTAGCATGTGTCCTACAAATGACCAGTCTTAGCATGTGTCCTACAAACGACCAGCCTTAGTGTGTGTCCTACAAATGACCAGTCTTAGCAAGTGTCCTACAAACGACCAGCCTTAGTGTGTGTCCTACAAATGACCAGTCTAAGCATGTGTCCTACAAATGACCAGTCTTAGTGTGTGTCCTACAAATGACCAGTCTAAGCATGTGTCCTACAAATGACCAGTCTTAGCATGTGTCCTACAAATGACCAGTCTTAGCATGTGTTCTACAAATGACCAGCCTTAGTATGTGTCCTACAAATGACCAGTCTTAGCATGTGTCCTACAAATGACCAGTCTTAGCATGTGTCCTACAAATGACCAGTCTTAGCATGTGTTCTACAAATGACCAGTCTTAGCATGTGTCCTACAAATGACCAGTCTCAGCATGTTTACGTCTTCCCTACCTTGAGTGTATCTCAGCAGCCCGGGGGTCATACAGGTAGAATGAGTCCCCATCGCCCAGAATGCCCTTGTTGACTGTCTCCGACAGGACCTGTGCCAGTGCCACGCCCTCATTCCAGCTGGTGTCTGTCTGCAAGGCTGCCAAGACGTCCGACTCCTCCCGGGGCGTCTACCAAAAAGATTTGCATTTGGAATATCGCCCTAAAATTATTAAGAGGGTGTAAAATGCACAATAGTGTTGATATGAATCGATCCCTGAAAATCAGTGACGACACCAGGTGTTCGCGAAGGGGGCGCATGTCCTGCTCTGCCGGTAGCACCCACCACTCACACAAGTCTTAATAAAAGAGTAAGTGCCGGTTAATGATAAGTTGTGGAAACTCCATATACATGTCATCGCATGGAATAGTATCACGAATCATATTAACAAGAGACGTGTCATATTTAGTAAATTATTTAGTGAATGTCTACCATAAAGTTTCTGCAATGACTTTGTTTCGGTATCGGTGGTGCCGTAACCTTGAACTGCTAAGTCATAAGCAAACTGAGAATTTAAAACAAAATTGTACATGCTCTAAATTGCATATAGTCTCACACCGCTTTTAGTAGTATGCATCGATAGGGAACCCACGAATCGGCTTCAGACATTATACACTTATGAGGAACCGAATCCGGGTATTTGGCGTAACGAGCGAACAGTTTGACTGCTTGACTATACTGCTACACTGCTTTGACAGTAGTTGATGGATATGTAATAGTAAGATCATAAGACATATGTTCACACGACAATATTATAAATGGAACATATGTCATATAAATAAGGGTATCAAAACTCATTTCATAATCAAAAGAGTGAATGAGTGAGCTGTTTTTAACGCCGCTTTGAAGAGTATTTCAGTTATATCACAGCGTGTCAGCTTGAGGGAAGCCCGAAGTGATGCAAGTCGTTTACCACATTGGCGAAACCCACGAGCACGGGTATGGTGCTGACAAACCTAGAAACCTAATCGGAGCGAACTGTGATTCGAACCCACGATCATAAGTTTCTGGCCTGCCCAAGGGACGCAACTCTGCACTCTGCATCGCCTTAGACGACAGGGCCACCACAGCCTTAAGAAACAGAGTACAGTGTACATGTCGTACATACTGAGTGTTCGGACGTCCATAAAGGACACTTTAAGTCGTACTTAGCTGACCGTGTCCTTTGGGGAATGCCAGAAGGGATGCCAGTTATCATAAAGACTATACGGGTGAATGGCGTTAGGTTGGACGTCTCTTATACTGAATATTACCACAACGAACATACAGTAAAGTACGGTTATAACGAACTCAAAGGGACTACTAATTTTAGTTCGTTATAACCGTAGTTCGTTATAAGCATATATACAGCATAACTACAGCAAATAGTCGGGACCAAAAAGTAAGTTCGTTATATCCGTCAGTTCGTTCTAAGCGTGTTCTTTATAACCATAGTTTACTGTAGTTTACTGTGCAAAGAAAGAGGTAGGAAGTGTGAGGGTGTTGGCAGGTCTGCGAATGCACGACGGATGCACAGAAGGATATAAATAAAAGCGGCAACACTCTTTTCATAATCTTAAATCAAAACGACAATATCCGTTCCCTATATTAGAAATATCTGCCAACCGGTTTCACGAATGTGATTTTCAAGACTACCTTATCAGCTGGAGGTGCGCCGCTCAGCTTCAATGGGTAGTTTGGCGGGAATCCGTACGTGTCATACATAGCCCCGCCCACCGCCGCCTGTTGCGCAGTGCACGTGAAGATGATTGACGTGACCAGATCTTGAAGCTGTTCCGGCTTACACACGCTTCCGTTCCCAGGCAGGCCCTGCAGCCAACACATGGTACGGGATAAGAATAAGCTGTTCAATGTGGAACAAAGCATGAAAATACAAATAAAATGGTAGCAGGTATCATTACGGATTTATTAATCCTGACTGTTACTGTCATGGCTTGACGGTCGCCAATGGTGACCTCTCACCTCTATTCCCATGCCGCCATCTTCCTTGCTGGTGGCCATCTCTTTCAGCCAGTTCTGTAGTTCTGTGTCGTTCTGGATGCTGTCAGAGTCAGCTGGAAGCGAATTAGATCATTCTCTTCTTAAACATACAAATATTGTTCCCTTAAACGTTTATTCTCATCGGGGGCACGGGTGGCCCAGTCGTCTAAGGCGCCGCGATTCGTTATGCAGAGTTGCGTCCCTTGGGCACGACAGAAACCTATGATTGTGGGTTCGAATCCCGGTTCGCCCCAATTATGTTTCTAGGTTTGTCAGCACCGTGCTCGTGGGTTTCACCGAAGTGGTAAACGTCATAGACCTGCATCACTTCGGGGTTTCCTTCCACATTTAGCTGACACGCCGTGATTTAACTGGAATAATGTTAAAAGCGGCGTTTAACCCAACTCACTCACTTACTTATTCTCATCGCGGGGACACTGTCCGCCAGTGGCTAGGGAAACAATTCGCATTGCAGAGTTGCATCCCTTAGCCGTGCAAGTATCCGCTGGTCCTGGTTTCCGACACGAATCCCGGTTATGATCCATTAAACATCACGACTATGACACACTCAAACACTAACTCACAAATCACTAACATATTTCTTAAACGTTTTCTTTACGTATAACCAGCAGAATATCTGCACTTGTACACAACAAACGTAATTAAAAATTAATCTGTGGTGTTTAGTTTCAACAAAGTCAGTTATCGCGCTATCGTGTCACTGGATTTTCTGGGCCGTCGATCACTTGATTGTCAGGTTTGTTTCCAGGCCGCCGTCGCACGGCACGATAACTGCTGTGCAGCCAGGCAACAAAAAAACAACTTTTTTATGCAAATTCTGTGAGTGGCTGGTACTACCGGTAGAGCAGGACATGCTTGTCCTTTTCGCGAACTCGTGACTGGTTTTCAGTGATCCATTAATATAACTGACACAGCTACTGTGCAATTACGCCTCAATGGAATCTTTTAGGAGGATAATCGAGACTGGTTATTCTCTGGCGTTGAATTTATATTTTTGCGGGAGATACTATAACTCACATGATGTAAAGATATGTATCACCCCTTAAAACCGAACTCTTAATGTATTGATGGTAAAGGTGAACGGCTTATTGTGACAATAGTCCCAACTTTCACCGCTCTATCAGCAAAGGTTGAACATTCATTGTGAGTTAAGCTTAAAGAATAATAGTGTATCATATCTGTTTGCAGAAATTCTTCGCAATTGTGGGAACGCTGTGAACAAAACGGTAGATGAGGAAATCTCTCCCTGTTTAAATTATGGGTAATCATCCGGACTCACAGGCAAGCTCGCAATCAGACCGAAGAAATCAATTTATTTTGCCTCCCTTGGTCTCATTTCTAGGTCTAAATATTATAACTATTGCCTTGCGTAAGACTTAATTTTCGTCTGATGTGATCCATAAAGGGGGTCATGGATACACGGAATACAATTTGTGTCAGCAGACATACACACAGGTTTTGAATAATTCGTATCGGACTTGCTAGGACAGCTAAAACTGGCCCGTCTCGTTCACCATTAAGTTAATCGCCAGGATACAATCTAGAAACGCACTGCGAGCGGTTATGTATAACTGGTGATACATCTTTCCTAAACCGTTATCTTAAGATGAGTTACAGCAATGACAACTGAACCCGCCAGAGATTAAACCCTTGCACTGCTGAACTGTCATGAGTGTACGTTAAACAGTGACGACACATGTATTGCTGCCGTTCGCCAAGGCTATCACTGGGTTTGGCGAATAATAGTACTATGTAATAACCATGTAATATACTCGATGTGGAATATTTTGTATTTTTGTACCTATTGTTTTAAGAATAATCATACCATAATTAAATTCAATTTCAGTTCTCAAATATTTGGTGAATTTTACGTTCTGTTGTTTTAGGCGTACAGATTTATCGCGATGTTTAGCGAGACTGCGTGGCCACAGCGTGATCTCATCATGCACATTTGCATCTGACACGTCATACGGCAGTTGTTGTATTAGTTTCTTTTTCTATATATAATATCCGGAAAATAGATTAGCCATGTAATAACAAAAAACACACATTCATAAGGAACACTCATGCCAAAATATGTCCATTCAACATTGATCTGCTGAGTCCATTATGCCCGTTAATACAGGTCATAATCAACATCATCATTATTATTATTATTTCAATGTTAATCCTAAAAGAAAATTTCTCTTATGCATGGTTTTCTTGTCATATAGGTGTGCACATAAAAAACCACTTTCACAGGGGACCGAAATCATAAGTCACTGTTGATAAAAGCTGCGCCCTCCCATGACGAAATCACCCTTCAATGGTACACTTTACAACGCACTCGTTCTTTAACTAGAAAAATCAGCTTCCATGTAAAAAAATCGACTGACATCGCACACAGGTACAGAAAAGTGTAAAAATTATTTGCGCTGCGCGTAGTATTTCCGTGTACCGTCGAAACCCTTAACGCCAGGATTATGAAATACATTTTGTTTTCTATGCAGCTACCATTTGAAGGTTTCAAACTGTTGTCTGAACAATCACGATATTACACGAAGTTATATGTATATTTATGGATGCATCAGAGTTGAGAAAACTTTTGTTTCTTGTTTAACGCCGCACTCATCAATAATCCAGCAATATGACAGCAGCCTGAAAATATTCGAATCTACCAGACAATCCAGTGATCGATATCGTGAGCAACGATCCACGCCGTCGGGGTATGATGACGCGCAATCAACCAAGTCACCAAGCCTGACCACCCAATCCATTTAGTCGCCTCTAACAACCCAGTCACCAAGCCTGACCACCCAATCCATTTAGTCGCCTCTTACCACCAGCCTAGGTTGCTGGGGGTCTATTCTAAGCCGGAATCCCCACAGGGAGAGGTTCACGTACCGTAGTATACCATGGTGTACTTGAGGACGTAGTTCTGTATGGCGTAGTAGAGAAGCATGCCGTCGTCACGGTAGTTGTAGTTGGGGAGGACGCGGATGTCGGAAACCTGTAGGTCATATATACAGTGTCAAATCAACAAACGTCTTCATCTTTGTTTTCAGCATGGATGTAAGCTTGGTTTTACGGGGCAGTGTGTGTGTGTGTGTGTGTGTGTGTGTGTGTGTGTGTGTGTGCTCGGATGTTATCGAAAAAAAGGATTATGCGTGAGAAAATAATTATGTTTTTGACTGTTAAAAAACAGAATATGTTGCGATTTAGACTCATAGTTTTTATTAAAAATATATCTGGTTTTGCAGCTGATGCTGTAAAATATATCCATCCACCATATAAAAACCCCTTCTAGGCTACTCCGGACGTATTAGTTGAAGAAGCTTTCTCTGTATGTAACCTCATTAAACCTACACTCCTGAAAGAGGTGAGGTGAAATGGGGTTTAATCCCAATATTATTGCACTTATATAGCGACGTGCATGTATGTGTGTGTGTGTGTGTGTGGCTGCTTGTACTAGTCCGGACTGATGCCGATTTGTAGTGCTAGCTTACTGAGATACCATGTTTACATGAATACCCCACTCAGACACAGTATACTGACTCCGAGCCGACGACTCCTTGTTTTAGCCCCTTAATGCCGAGCGCCAGACAGGGTAACAACAAGTACATCTTTTAACGTCTTATGGTATGACGCGGCCGGGGATCGAATCCCGGATCTTCCGCTCTCCGGGCGGACGCTCTACCATTGGACCACGGAGGCGGTCGCCACTCCTAAAAGAATTAAATATTCAGAACTTTGTTTGCATTATTGATTCTATTTATCCTTTAATATCCAGAATCAGTCCACTCACCCACTCAATCAATAACTCACCCAAACATCCCCCCTCCCCAAATACACACTCACTCACTTACCAACCCACACACTCAGTAACGCCCAGTACTACACTTAGATTTACAACAAATACGAGCTCTAAATACAGTCATATGATGCCATTGTCAACGTTTTTAATAGATTAAACCTTAAATTCGTGCCGCATACTACCCTGGTCACAACAACTTTACATATAGTTTTATGTCGCCATCCATATCGCCCAGTTTAAAAGCTTTATACTCGAACGACTTCTCAGGAATCGATAAAGCATGGGCGTTTATCGAACACCATGACACTAAGTGAATCATATTAAATTTCATTTACAGATATTTACATGTAACATACAAGTCATGTCACATATGTACTGCAATAGCTCGAAACAATAAAACCTAGCTTACTCAATACGATCGAAGTCGTACTCCTGATGCCTGGCGACAGAGCGAACCATAACCTGGGCAAGTGGACATATCACAGAACGAGTTATTGATTAGCCATCTCATGTACATCGATGTGGCTATTACACTAGCTCCTTACATAGTTAAGTGGTCGCCCTACCTACCCCTCTTTTCACGAGGTCTTCTGGTAGACAGCTGTTGACGTTAAAGCGCCATGACTCGAGTCTGGAACAGAAACGTAACCACGGTCATTTTGCGCTCCGTCACCTTGGATCTATATAATAACACAAGTACCTCTTGTTTTCTCATACAACAGAAACAACAAATTACCTGAATAAAAAAAAAAAAATTGTCTTGAAGACCAATATATAAATATATATAGATCTGACATAGACTATGTGATACTTTTATAACATAGTCAAGGATACTGTTGAAAACTAATGTAATTTACAAAATCTGCCCAATGAATGCATTCTTACTTTTTACAGTTCAGTGTATCAAACCACCGATTACCAGTTGAGCTTCTTCGGTGGAACCCTATACCTCTGTTACAGAAAAAGGTGTGTTTTAAGCCAATCTAATGATATTGGAAACGAGTATCACTACTGATTAGTTTGTGAAAACTTTGAACATGCTACTATACTGTCTAAAGATGCCTTCTATGTTCAATATGATAAATTTATTTAAAGTAAAAATACTATTATTTTAAAAAACTTTCTAGCGTTTGCTGTCAAATAATTAATAGGTTTTAGTAATATGTAATTTGGCAAAGTAGAGATAATTTATGGATAACAACTTCTATATTTACTGTAAAGGCGACGTTGCCTGACAACGGTATAAGGATTTGTACGAAACGTCACCTTAACAGTAAATAAACAAGTTGTTATCCATGAATTATCTCTACTTTGTCATCCGTCAACTTCTAAGTAATGCCTATCAAACAATGTAATTAGCCGACATACATATTTGCATATTGATCTCGGATAACTACCTCATTATGATATGCTAATGTAGCTTTGAGTGAATAGAGAAGAAGAAGAAGAAGAAGAAGAAGAAGAAGAAAATTATTTTATTTTCGTGTCACACACTGTACAGCAGTGACAATAAAAATACACAAATAGTGTGTACAGTGTCCGGCCATTATGGCTTACGAGACACGCAGGACGTCACATACATATGAGTAAAAATGAGAAATATAACAGTACATACATATACATAAAAATGAGTTATCACCAGTTATCACCGGTTATCACCAGTTATCAGAACATTCTGATACTAAGATACATGGAACTAGGCTGGTAGAGACGAAAGACACAGTTGTCTTCGCTCATACATGTGGTGAAGAAGCGCGGCTAGGGGTCTGACCACCTTATTGTTCCGCATAAAGAACATAGAGTTCTGGTCTGTTCTGTAGTTTATCCTTCTCTCCACAATCAAATTACCCCATGCGAAACATCAACACGATACGTGAACACTACTCTCTACTTTATCCATTGTAACACGAAGTACCAATACATCCACGTATAAAGTAAAACAATTTTATGTCCATTACTATAATATTGTTTATTTACTTGAATTTACAATAAGGTAAAGATGACCATAGACATATGTTTCCTGCTGTGATGATTGTATATTGTGTAGCAGTAAAATGTAAATGGAAATACAAACCCGATTACCTGTAATTAGTCAAGCATGTGTGACTTGACACGTGCTTAAATTATCATTGCAGGGTAAATAGTGATAATTAAAATTAAATCATTGCATTCATTATAGAGGCAAGGAATAGAACTCATTGACAGTCCTGCGTCCTGCGTCCAGTCCTTAACGATTAACATCATGACACAGAGATAATTTCTCAATTTCTTAATAACACATACATAAGTTCTAAAACAGAACACCAGGTCGTGACGACTCATGTGAACCAGTGTTTGCTCTGGGTGACTCTATTTTCTGTTATTTATTAAATATAGATATTAAGTAATATTATTAATATTAACATCATTGGCGGTGGTGCTATTCTTGTGAGTTAGCGTGTATATAGTGTCTCGGGGGTTTCAGCATTTGTCCAGCAATATCACGGTGGGGGACTCTGGGATGGGCGAACGCTTAAGCCACTAGGCTACTTACGGCCTGTTTTTTTCGTATTTCGTGGATGGGCGGTACGTTGAGGTCTAATGATTTCAGGTGTGTACTGATTTGTTAATTCGGAAGAAATTTCCTTCACTGTATCCAAACAAAGGTGTATTTGAGACAAAGAAGTTGGTCACTTACCAAAAGCTCTGAGACGCTCTATTTACGATATAAACGACTCGTGGTCGTTGTTTATCGTACAATAAAACACTGCAGGGAGAATAAACCATGAGGGCGCAGCCCCGGGTGACTTATTCTCCCTGCAGTGTTTTATTGTACGATAAACAACGACCACGAGTCTTTTATTTCTTATATGAGATATCAAATTTCGTGCAGCATCTTTAAGGATGTTTGTTAACTACCTGAATAGAATCCGACCACGGCAATGTCAGAGAAATCCATTTTATGAACAGGGCTTGGTCAATTTTCACAATGTTCACGCCGATTATCTGTACCTTTTCTCCCAATACCGATTTTCCTATCTCTCTCATTTTTGAAAGCTAACGTTCGGCCATTGCGTTTATCTACGTTGCCCAGCTACATCTATGGGGAACAACTCACTCGAAACTTCCGTTTACAAAAATAACGTTGTCCAATTTACGACGTCATCAAGTTGCGAGCCGATGTTCGAATCTCCAGAAATGACGTCATGATATAGCAATCTTTTATCGTGAAATTAACCACGCTTCGTTCTTCATTGTTCTTTGCAATTTATCGCGGAGCAATGTTTTATAGTCAAATAAGCCCATTTCTTGACGGAGATGCGTTGGGATTTGTTAGAGCGTCATTAATATTGACACAAATGTTTGGTTAAATACACCTGGTCCATATGTTAACCTTTAAGAGCGTGTTGTAGATTGCGAAATTAAAAACAGTTCAACGATGCACATCATAAATTGCGAATTGATTTCCATGCATGACACATCTAAATCGATATGTGTTTAGGATGTTTCAATGAGTTGTATGATTCAACGACTGATGAGTAATACATCAACGTGGAACAGCTGACTAAGACTGCTTGACTACAGATAACAGTGCAGCTGTGAACCAAGCATTGAAACAGGAACAATTATTATTTTTATACATCTAGGAATTGTTTAGAAGATATAATTAAAATAAACATAGCAGAGCTATTCAGTATTTTGGTACACATCTACATATCCCTACTGTTATTCATTTCCACTAGAAAATTATTTTAATGTTAACCTATTCATAACTATAGACCTGGAAACAATGTTATTAGCCATGCCTTTTTTTTATACATCCCGAACCTCCTCATATCTTTTGGAATTATCAGCATGTGCCATGATCATATTTTGATTTTTTTTTTAAATGTCTAAGATACCACCAAAAGCTCTTGAGTCATATCATATGATGCAAAGAAGATGAAGAAGCAAAAAGGGGAAGAAGAAATTGAAAGGGTAGTTACATAACTATTGCAATGGACCTGGTACGAGTAATGTCATTAATAGTTGATAATCGATTTCGTTTTCTGTGGTAAATATGACCATGTCACTTTGAAAACAACATATAAATTTACATTTTTGTGTTTAGTTAAAAAATAATACAAGGTGCATCTTTAAATGACTATTGTATATGGAATCATATTGTAAGCGGTACATAAAGCACAAATATGTTTTTCCTTACAAAATCTGTACATGATTTATTTTGGTTTAAAATGAATATTTTATAGAGAATCATATTGTAAGCGATGCATTGAACTAAAACAAATGTGCTCCGTCAGAAAATAATACATGATACATATTTGTTAAAAATGACGATTTCATGTGGAATTATATATAGTAAGCTGTGCATAAAACAAAAGCATAATATTTTGTGTTTCGACAGAAAATAATACATGATACGTTTTTGTTGAAAATGACTATTTTAAATGGAATCATATAGAAAGGGGCGCATAAATTGTTGCCACGGTTTACCTGCAATGTACATATGTCTCTTTCAGTAATGGGAGCGGTCGGGTAGCCTAGTGGCTGAAGCGTTCGCTCGTCCCGACATGGGTACAATGAGTGAAGCCTATTTCCGGTGTCGCCCGCCGTGATATTGCTGGAATATTGCTAAAAACGGCGTAAAATCAAACTTACCCACTATTTCAGTATTGACAGATATGTGATGACAAGGGCATATTTGACTGTTTTAAGTTACACTATTTGTCTTTACAGGAACATGTAGTGAATGAAATTGACACGCATGTCCACTAAAGCTAAAATGACATAAGACAGTTTGACAATATTTTAATGTTTCTATCACAGGTTAATGGTTCACACTTCACCACCTTCTGAGAACACCTTATTCTCTCAGCCGGTCACAGATGGCGCCGCATCAAACGACAATGTGTAATTTAATGACGGTGAATTTGTTTAAAAAACATAAGTTCATGAATAACTTTTCAGAACCGCGAATTTGCGGAAACAGCTGTTGCTGTAATTCAGTTAAATGCATAATGGAATTATCCAACCGAATTGGCAACACTTGAGTTGAGTTATAGATATTATGCTGTTGGTTTTGCGATTTCTTGTACATATTCAATACAAAATTGATTTATAAAACTGTTTCTTCCACCTGTACACGCATAGGAATTAAAGTATGTTTACATTACTTTAAAATAAAGCATGTTATTTTACCTTGGTCGAGACTTCACAAGACATTCAAGTACTACCGACATGCACTGTCATACATTATTTGCGTGATCAAATTCAATCTCGCATCACCTGTAAACATTCACAGTTATGTCACAGCCTCACAAAATCTTCTCCTAACTGAGAGTGAGTGAGTATTGTTTTACGCCGCTTTTAGCAATATTCCAGCAATATGACGGATTGTACCCATGTGGAGAATCGAACCCGGGTCTTCTACTGGGCTACCCCACCGACCCTCAAATGTGAACACTTCCGCCACCCCTGTAACGCACACAGAAACATTCGTCAAATCGCATATTTAACGAAAACATTCATACTTTATTTAATATCTCCAAAAGAAAGATTGTGTAATTTGAATTCTTAAATTATAGACAGATTTAGCAAACACGATCACAGATGCGTAACGTGTTGTGTTAGTAACATCTTCCATGACACGGCAGTATCAATGGCGGCGGACACAAGATAACGTTATGTATTAAGAACACTTACGACTTCCCGATGAGCTTCTTGACCCCCCGGGCACCGATAGTTGTCACCCTGTCGACCACGCCCTCATCTGACAGGAGGTTCTGCATGATGTCACTGTGAATGATCAATGCAAATAATGGTACAGTAAACTACGTTTATAACGAACACGCTTATAACGAACTGACGGTTATAATGAACTGTTTTTGGTCCCGTCCGTTTGATGTATATATGATGTATATATATGCTTGAACTACGGTTATAACGAACTAAATTAGTGGTCCCTGATGCTTGTACTACGGTTATAACGAACTAAATTAGTGGTCCCTCTGAGTTCGTTATAACCGTAGTTTACTGTAATTCATTGAGAGTGGTGGCAGCGCTCACTAGTTGATTGCCGAACTGAACCGACATGTATACTCATACAGTCACTAGTTAGTGAGTGAGTTGGGTTTAACGCCGCTTTGGACCTTATTCCAGTTATATCACGGCGTGGCAGCCTAATGTAAGAGGAAAGCCCGAAGTGATGAAGGACTCAGACGTTTACCACTTCGGTGAAACCCACGAGCACGGGTATTGTGACATAATCGGGTCGAATCGGAATTCGAACCACGATCACAAGTTTTTGGCTGCCAAAAGGAATCAACTCTGCACAACGAATTGCGGTGCCGTAGACGACTGGGCCACCCGTGCCCTGCGAGTTAGTGAGAGTTGTTTGTTTGCCGCACTCAGCAATATTCCAGCTACATGACGGCGGTCTGTAAATGATTAACATCATGAGCATCGATCCACGCAATTGGGATACGATGGCATGCACCAACCAAGTCAGCGCGCTTGACCACCCGATCCCGTTAGTCGCCTCTTACGACAAGCATAGTCGCCTTTTACGGCAAGCATGGGTTGCTGAAGACCTATTCTAACCCGGATCTTCACGGGTGGAGTTAGTGAGAGATACATATAAAAGCATAATATTGATATGGCATCAACATGATATTAACATTTAGTTTACTGAAAAAATACACACAAGTTGCCTTGTTGCAAAGGCGGACAACCTAGCATATGACTTATATGAACGCCGCATGAGATTAGAAAATGTTACACCAGGAATGGCAGCATTATACGAAGGTAGTATCTGTTTATTTGTTGTTTAAAGAAATGATCAAAAGAAAAGAAGGCACATTTCGTCATTGAAATATTACATAGAGTGCACAACTGTTGTTCATATCGACTTGTGTGTCACTTCCGTTCGCATCCCGTCATGATATTGTTGGACAATTGCTAACACATAGTTGTTGTCTTATAATACTTATTTATTTTTTCAAAACATCGCATTCTCATTGAAATAGAGGCCAGGACTAAGCCAAACAAAACAAATGTATGTGATCAGCAATTTACAAAATGTACCCAGATATAATTATAATGCTGATATTATGCAATAACTGCATGTTAGTCAGTGAGTGACTTGGGTTTAACGCCGCTTTAAACAGTATTCCAGTTATATCACGCGTGTCAGGTTGAAGTGGGAGGAAAGCCCGAAGTGATGCAGGTCTTAGACATTTACCACTTTGGTGAAACCCATGAGCACGGGTAAGGTGCTGACAAACCTAGAAACTCGTCACGATATGGCTGAACTACTGCCGACGTGACGTTAAATAATAACTCACTCACTCACTCACCCAAAGCTAGAAAACTAGTCAGGGCGAACCCACGAGCACGGGTAAGGTGCTGACAAACCTAGAAACCCGTCACGATATGGCTGAAATACTGCCGACGTGACGTTAAAAAGTAACTCACTCACTCACCCAAAGCTAGAAAACTAGTCAGGGCGACCCCACGAGCATAGGTTTCTGGTTTGCCCAAGGAACGTAACTCTGCACAGCGAATTGCGGCGCCTCGACAACTTGGCCACGCCAACGGCGTGTTAAAATAGACTTTGTTACATAACAAGTACCATTACGCGAAACGACGTATTAATTAAAACATCTCAACCTCTCTCATTGAGCGTCAGTGTTGAACATTAGGAGACTGTATTCAAACTGCACATGCGACATAGCAGAACACGACACCTGGTACCCGTTTCACGAACACCCGGTACTATGTTACAAAGATACTTGTCCATACACCAACAAAGTTGTTTTTCACGAGACGGAGATATACGTACAAGTGTGCGTTTCTCGATTGTGTCGCTCTTATTCACCATATCTTATTGAAAAATTCACACTACATTCTAGTACTCAGGTAAAGACATTCACGCTGACATATTTTCAATATTAAGAAAGCCACAGCTTTAAAAAACTTGAAAATATAATTTTTCTATCAACAACAATAATAATACTAATAAAAATGGATAATTATAAATAATGATTATTTTTCTGGCAGACAATATCACACTTAATTATTCCACGGCAACAGGTGGTTTCAATCTGCCTTGAGTATATTTGACAATTTAACCACAATCCAGGCCATTTCGCCGTTCATTGATCTGTGGAGACTATGCTTGTCGTAACAGGCGACTAAAGGGAGAGGGTGGTCAGGCTCTCTGACCTTGTTTGATGCATGACATCGTATCCCAATTGCGAGAATCGATGGTCATGATGTCAAACACTGAAGAACGCCGTCATATAGCTGGAATATTGCTGAGTGCGACGTTAAACTACAAAAAACATTAATTTGTGTGCGTTAACGCTACGATCGAATTACGAATGCAATGGGTTTTCACATCACAATTGATTTATATGTTACATATACAAACCGCAAGACATGGCCGTACTCTTTGCTTACATCAGAAAAAAACCTCACTAAACACATCGTTCGTGAACTCGTTTCAGGGAACACTCATTCAGATGCGCTGAATGGAACTAAACACAATGTCATGTTACTTGAAACATGGACGACGCTAAACTGAATTTGAAAAAGAACGCGAATATTCAATAACATTATGTGACGACTTTGGTTGAAGAAGAAACACTTTCCAGTAGTGAGTGAGTATGGTCTTACACCGCTTTCGGCACTATTCCATGGCACTATTCCAGAAATGGGCTTCACACAGTGGGGAATCGAACCCGAGCCTTCGGCGGGACGAGGAAACGCATTAACCACCAGGCTACCTCACCGCCCCACAAACAAGAAATTGTAAGCATTTGCAGTGGACCAGTTGTTTACAAGAGACATGCTGGTGTGATGTGTAATGTCTGATTGACCAATCAGAGTTGAGCCCGACATTATTCCCATCTAAAAGGATTATAGCAGATCGGTCGCCCTTTGCATGACAGCACCCTAACTAACCACAACCCAAACCATTCTTGAAAGTCCAAATTAACGATTACATCAATATGTGTGTGTGTGAATTTTGCGAAATATCACCTGTTTGCTGCTATGATGTTGGTGAAGTAGGGAGCCAGCATCTTGTACAGTGGATGCGAGATGGACAGATGGCGGTGCATGGAGAGACACACACTCTCGGTGAGGAGACACGCCGTGCCTTGGGAGAAAAAACACACACGAATAATTCAATAATCTAATCTCATGTCATGTAATCTAATGTCAATCTAATTTATTTGTATAGCGTAAGTTTGAGTTTATCCGTTCACTGGCGCTTAACATACAACATATATTCACATGGTATACATTCACTGTCCATTTAGATGTGATTGCTATGGATGTCATAAGCAATTTGGAACAGGTATTTATTTAACTCTCTTGGAATTGATGCTGGCGTGTGTGATGATGTGATGAGTCCTAGATGGGTGCCCCACAGCGTTGCTCCACCCTCATTGTGAACTCAGCACTCCGATTTGCACTCCGCTGTACTGGGGCGTGAAGATATACAGGTGCAGAGTGTGTGTTGAGGCCAATACACCAATGATACATGATATGTTTGATTATTTCAAAGTTACCATTCGGGTCCCTCCCTATCCCCGACTACAAATGATAAATGATATAGTCACGAAAGGCGTTTCTAATTTTGTGGCGTGTTTGTTATTTATATATATTAATAATTTGATAGTTTTGCCTAGGTATCAATTTCGTAAATGCTCTGATATTATTCCTGTCAAATCGAAATTAATAATGTTCGTAGTAATGTGTATGTGAGTCATATATTCATATGAGTCTATTTCAGTTCAGAAACCTGTGACCTATATCGACGGGGTTAAATGGAGTGTGTGTATTCCAAGGTATTAGCAATCATCACATTTGCAAAATGAATCTTATAATTATTTTGTAAATGTGCATTTTGAAAATAATCTTAATATTTTAAACGTGTTGATTCCTTAAACGAACAAAGCGCAACGTGGTATTGCTGAATGTTGACAATGTTTGGTAAGTTTGTAAGGATATTAAGTTTGTAATGCTTCGGGTGTTTGTGGTGTTAGATATCGATCGGTGTTAAGGATTGGCTTTGGCGTTGGTGATTGTGATTGTGATTGTGATAGTGATTGTGATGATGATGATAATGATGATGATGATGGTGTTGGTGTTGATGATGGTGTTGGTGATGTTGTTGGTGTAGGTGATGGTGATGGTGATGGTGATGGTGTTGGTGTTGGTGTTGGTGTTGGTGATGATGTTGGTGTTTGTGAAAGTGCTGGTGCTGGCTTTGGCTTTGGCTTTGGCTTTGGCAACCTGCTTATGCTGGTGCTTGGACTGGTGATGTTCAGATGGAGATGACGATAGGGGTGATGATTATCATGCTACACATGCTGCTGCTGCCCTACCTATGTACGTGACGGCAAGATGGTGGTTGGCCTCTGCGTTGTTGTACCACATCTTTGCTAGTAGCCAGGTATACTGGTCATCCGATGGCAGGAATACCTAGGCAGAGAGGCAGGTCAACAACGTACGTCGCTCATAATGATATATTACTCAGTTTACTATTAGATAAACTTAAAATGACACTGACATAAGGTTTATCACGAATACCCAAAAAGCTCTCATAACACAGAAGTGGCACTTGCGTTCTTCAAAGCGGGGAATAAGCCTCAAATCAATGTGTATAGTTGTCGTTGTAAGTAACAAAGTCAGTACCCGTGTCTACAACTTTGCATCTAAAGCTTGTATCTCCAAACAAACTGTGCCTAGAACTGTATCTACATGTGTGTCTGTACAACGCTGTATGTACATGTGTGTCTGTACAACTCTACATGTACATGTGTGTCTGTACACCTCTGTATGTACATGTGTGTCTCTACAACCGTATGACACCTGTCTATCTAAATCTGTATGTTATACCTGTGTCTCTACAACTGTCTCTCCAACCGCGTAAGTGTAACTGTCTTACAAACTGTGTTGCTACAATTGCAACGTTAAACGATATCAGATCATCAATTTACTTGACTCGTACGTAAACCTCTTGGCTGAATTCCTGTGCTTTGATTTTGCCAACCCAAGCAGAAATTCCGATCGACATAGAAACAGATCAGCAAGGAGGGGATCGCAATTGGTGACCAAGGGATGCCTTCGTTTTGCCTAAATCCCCAAATTTCACATAAGTGTTATCTATAAGGAAGTCCAGTATTTCACATACTGTTTGCTCAGTAACCTGCAGATGACAGATGACAGATGAAACTTTTTACCGGGTTTTCTCCATTGGGTTGTTGGAACAACTGGATAGCAATGGGCACTAGAGTGTCCCTCTTGTCCAGGTAGAACAACGCTATGGGGGCACATATCTGAAACAGGAAGACACTTACGTTAGTTCAAGGATGTTAGTTATTATTGAACTAATATTGAGTTATTATTGAAGTAATTGACTTTATTATTAAACTAGTTCAAGGATGTTAGTTATTATTAAACTAATATTGAGTTATTATTGAAGTAATTGACTTTATTATTGAACTAGTTCAAGGATGTTAGTTATTATTAAACTAAAAATGAGTTATTATTGAAGGAATTGAACTTATTATTGAACTAGTAAAGGTATGTTAGTTATTATTGAACTAATATTGAGTTATTATTGAAGTAATTGAACTTATTATTGAACTAGTTCAATGATGTTAGTTATTATTGAAGTAATATTGAGTTATTATTGAAGTAATTGACTTTATTATTAAACTAGTTAAAGGATGTTAGTTATTATTGAACTAATATTGAGTTATTATTGAAGTAATTGACTTTATTATTAAACTAGTTCAAGGATGTTAGTTATTATTGAAGTAATATTGAGTTATTATTGAAGTAATTGAACTTATTATTGAACTAGTTCAATGATGTTAGTTATTATTGAACTAATATTGAGTTATTATATAACTAATTGAACTTATTATTGAACTAGTTCAAGGATGTTAGTTGTTATTACTCGTCCCGATATGGCTGAACTATTGCTGATGTGACGTAAAGCATAAACTCTCTCACTCACTAGTTATTATTGTGTGTTAGGCAAGAAACACTTACTTGGCGGGTTCTACTGGTAGGGCAGGACATGCTTACCCTTTTCGCGAACATCTCGTGTCATCACATTTTCAGTGATCCATTCGTATAATTTTTACAGCTGTTTTGCCTTTCACTCAAATAGAATCTAGTTCGATGGAAAATCGAGACTGGTTACTCTCTGACGTTTCATATTTACAAACATGTTGACAGAAAAAATATGTTTGTATAATGGTTGATTTTAAAAAGCGACAGCGTTTGACAACTTTCCCAGAACATCTCCTCTGAATATTTGGTCTGCCAGTAAACACAGTGAAATAACCTGGACGTGACTGGTCTCGATGACACCGTAAGGGTTAACGATATTCCGGATTAAAGAAGCATATGCACAGAGTAACTAAAATGGTATAAACTGTCCTTGCTTATAGCGATGTCCACTTTAACGAGGTTTCTGTATATAGAAATATACATAGAGGTTGCATAGTGTTGCTAAAAGCGACGTAAAACCATACTCATTCACTACAGAGGTAATAACGTATCCTCCATACTTCAACACAGATAAGAGCAAATGAATTTGATTCAGTGTTGTTTGCGCGCTTGATATATCATTTAATTACTTTATCTAAACAATCCCTTTGATCTGACATGTACGTATAAATACGTCGATAAAAGTGGAACATTTGACAACAATGGGAGACCGTTGCCAGTTGTGACCAAAACACAATACAAAATGAATAACAAAGCGAAGACCAGCAACGATCAATAAAAGCACAAAGAAGGCTATAACATGCGATAATACATGAAGTACGAGGACAGGAATTTTGAAACGAATGAATAGCTTAAGGTATATTGATAATATTTTGCATCCTTTGAAAGGATAACGTGAGTTCAGTAGGTGAGCATTGTGAGTTCTGAATTGGACAAGCATACCCAGTACTATAAACAATACGAACAATATGTACTGCCAATGTTATTATGGTGGCATTTTTTCAACCACCTTGTTATCACAGGTTTCATCCCAATGTTTCATCCCTTTCTCAGGACGGCACACTATAACTTTGCCACCCTTGTTTTTCTTTTTGTTAATCTGGGGCGTCGGGTAGCCTAGTGGTTAAAGCTTTCGCTCGTCACGCCGAAGACCCGGGTTCGATTCCCGACATGGGTACAATGTGTGAAGCCCATTTCTGGTGTCCCCCACCGTGATATTGCTGGAATATTGCTAAAAGTGGCGTAAAACCATACTCATTCATTCATTCATTCATTCATTCATTTTGTTAATCTCTATGTATGCGTAACCTTAACCTATCAAACCATTCCCTATTCAGTTGTTGCTCACCTGTTTGTTAAAGGTACCAGCATCTGTGCTGAAGAATTCAGAAAATGACATCCAAAACTCTGTCTTCAATAAGTATTTCTAGTTGCGCTTGACAAAGGGTATTCTCTTAAAGCCCTTTTTTGGTCGAATCGCCGTCAAATTGATATTGATAGAAAAAAACCGATTAAAAATATTTTTTAGTTGATACATAGAGAAGTTCATCTCATTTTCTGTCGTTAAAACGTGATACTAATCGTGTTACTAATTTGTTTTGTTTTGCTTGATTTCTTCTTCCATTCTCATATGACCACGTCTGTGTCTCGACGCAGCAGCAACGCCACGTCTGACACATTGACATAAGTGTACATATAGTTATTGTTAAAAGCTAGAATTTTACACGTCGTAACATCTGGTTTTGCAGACAAAGTATTTGATCTTGAGTGAAATTTGCTCGGGGTGCCAATTCGCAAATGGCGTTCTTGCTGGGACGACATGATTCAACTTCGTCTGGGATGATATAAACGGACCCGTTTCTGGTTTAGTGAGTGCGTTGGGTTTATCGCTAATTGAAGACTATTTCAGTTATATCAGGGTGTAGCAGCTTGATGTGAAGGGAAAGCCCGAAGTGATGCACGTCTTCGAACTTTACTCCTTCGATCAAACTAAATATATTGACAACTTATATCGACCAGAGACCTTTCAAACAACCACACCTCATGATATTGATCATTATTAACAGCTTTTCGAAACATTTATACTGCTACTTTAATTGCCTACACTGTCATATATTTGGTGGGTGGGCGAGGTGACTACGTATCAATAATACTTCAATGTCAAAGCGACCCGGGTCGTATGTCAACGTTGCACTTTAACGCATACCTTCAAAAGGTAACCGTTGACAATGATGGCGAATATATTCATTGTTCCCAAAGAAAACCATACCCAACATTAATAGCGACTGGATAACCAGTTCAGTGTCAAAACGGTAAAAACAATAGCATTATACACGATTGATGAAATTTGAGATGAGATATGCAAATCTATTCACAAAAACAGTATTAATTACTATAACATTTTGTTACCTAACATAAATATGCATGTGAACGGATTGCTTAAAACATTTTTAATGAGTGAGTTGAATGTTACATTATGCGGACTTATCGCGATACATGGTACAGTGAAATGTTGATACAATGACATTCATATGTCAAACTGAAACATAGAACCAAAAAACTGATGGAAAATGTGTAAATACAATGGATGAATGAAACGTTTTCAAACAAAAGCAATCGTTTAATGTAACGATATTTGATTCAATCAGTATACACAGTATAAGGATTATTAATATCCTTTTCATGAAGCAACCTTATCTCTCATTACATGATATATTAATACCCTATACGTGTACCAACCTGATCTCATTGCTTTTATATTATACTACCACAGGTAGGCGAATTTTCAGGACCAGAAAATAGATTCTGTAGAAAGGGGTCGGCTAATCCACGGGATACACTTTCATGGTATATTATTCTTGTATATGGACTGCTGTCCTCAAGTGCAGAAATAAAGAATTGAATTGAATTGAACTGAATTGAATTAAATTAAATAACGCTACATAGCATAAAACTATATACAGATAGAAACATCAAAGTGTGTAAGGCAGCCGTGAGAATTCCGGATTCTCTATGTTGGTCTTTAGAGGTGATTTAATGGATCGGGGGGCCAGACTCGGTGACTTTGTTGGTTGTATGACGGCGTGGATTGTTGCTCATACTATCTTTCACACAACAAACTAAAAGAACAACGTGTGGTCTTACTGTCAATTCTTCACTGGGAATAACGAGGTCTTTCAGCATCTCCAGGTCACAGATGAACAGTTTATTGTTCTTGAGGGCCGTCTTCACGGACTGTCCCTCCAGGAAGGGCTTAATCATACCGTCAGTTACCGCTAGCCTGGGGAATACAATGGTGATGGATGAAACATTAATAATTGATAGAAAAACAGAAACACCTAAACGTAGACAGTTACCTAGAGAGACATGACTCCACTCCACGGTAACAATACAATCGCTTATTATTTATACAATCACAATAATAGTCACCAAAACGACATTTCTAAAGCATAAATGTTTTTATTTTACCATCCCTCGTAGTCCAAACTTAGCCATAATGCTCGTATAATATGTTAACGCCAATAAGGACCCTGACGGGACTATAAGATTTTTAACCTGAACGATCAACTTTAGAGAGTCAGAAATTAAGTTTGGTGAGTTCAACCGCTTTGAACAGTATTTCAGTTATCACGGCTTGTCAGCTTGATGTCAGCTTGGGAGAACAGCCAGAAGTGCAGGCGTCAGACGTTTTCCACTTCGATGAAACCCAGTGCGGTTCTATGGTGCTGACAATCCTAGAACTGGGATGTGAACCTAATATCATAGGTTTCTGGCACTTAATGGACCCAACCCTTCACAGCGAATTGCGGTGCTCAGACGGTTATTTGAGTATGAGTATGAGTATGAGTTGACGAGCTTGGGTTCTATCTAAACTCGCCATACACTACTCTTTTTCATAGTGTTGACATATATAGTGGCACAACACTGTCACGATTGCCCTGATAGAGAAAGGGATGAGAATTACACAACACTGTGTTCTACAGACACTAGAACAGGACCTACTTTTTTGGTATGTCAGAGCAGAGTTTGATGAGCGTTGGGTTGACACCGTTAAGTCGTTGATAACCAAAGCACCAGTCTTCCTGCCAGAACAGTTGACACTGAAGACCATACAGAAAAGTGAGTGAGAGAGTTGATGAATAAATGAATGAATGAATGAATGAATGCATGAATGAATGAATGAATGATTGAATGAATGAATGAATGAATGAATGAATGAATGAATGAATGAAATACCGCTTGGAACATCCATTTCACGAGGTGTCACCTTAATTTTGTCGGAAAGTCCGAAAGTCCGGAAAGAGTGATGCAAATCTGAAACGTTTAGCCTTTAGTGAAACCCACGGGAATAGGTAGGAGAACCCAAGAATCATAATCAGGGAGAATCTGGAATTCCTGACGACGATCGTAAGATTCTGACACATTAAATGTAGATACGGTAAACTGGGTCAAGTCAGCTGCGAACGAATTAAAAACTATTTATCACTATTGAGATCGATATGAGCGAATATGGTCTTTTTGTCCTATGTGTATTGCACTACAAGAAGAATGTTTAAGTCGTTCGTTTCATTATGAAATATGAACGTATTTGTTTTCAAATGCCGAAAGATGAAAGGAGAAGGCATCCGAAACTGAACTGTTCTAACCCTGCAAAAATTAAGTCATGTGCTCAAGCTAAAAATACTTCATTAAATGGCGGATTCTATTCACAATGACCTGCGGTGTAGCGTAGCAATATGCCCGAAGTGAAATTCTGACACATGATCGACAACAGCAGGCGAGGTAATATGCAAATCGGGATCAACATATACACATTGTCAATACGCATATGTGAACAAATACCCTCGATGTTCAACGAGGGACATGTATCACATTTTCCCCTTATAATTAAACGCAAAATACCTGCAGCGTTACAACTTGTGTATTCGCAATCTAAATTACGTACAAACTATAGTAAAGTCATATTTAGCGACAGCGATGGAATTTAATTTGAACGCCTGACAACAATGGTTCGCAGCTATTTGTAAAAACCAATCTGAATATTGTATTTATATGGTGCTACTGGGTGTGCACGTGGTAATCTCGTGTGACAGTTTCCCATTTCCATTATGTTTTATTGTAGCGCTGAGCAAACAATAAATTACTGTGGACGTCCCAAATGAAGACTGAATGAACTGAAAAAGGCTTATCTATTTCGGCTCTTCATACAAGAAACTATACCTTCGCTACTCCATGGCTAAAAGAACTTGTTGCCTTGCTCATATACATACACGAAGCAGTTAATACATCTCCTTTAATCTTGAAGAACTCTTCCTGATTGATTCGTTGTCACAAGACCTAGGTTCACCTTGGGGATGTAGAATTCCTCACTGGCGTAAATCCCTACTACATCCTGCAGGCTGGCCCACTCGTCCTTCTTCAGCTGCTGGGCCCGGGTCTCTATCAACTCCACCACGCTACAACGCTGAATACGGTGAATGTCATGAATACGGAGAACCGGGAGGAATATAGTATTTGTAAGATTAAAGATTAAGATTTGTTTTATTTGAGCAAAATGCATTCTTTAAAGGTTATTTTTGTTAGTACGGTACCAATTATACCATAGTAATACCAGTAGCCATACTATTAAACCGGTTAAAAAACGTAGCACTGACAAGCTGGTTTATGCCAAGATTGGAAACATGAAAAGTGTTTTTTTTATAGATCCAACATATGTTTTGCAGACAAATGGAACAATTATTATTATTATGATTATTTTCATGACATGCCTTTCAGATTGAAAGACACATAGAACCTTACATCCTACTTACCCCTGCTAATGCAGCTAATACACGTTTTGACCTTTAGTGTATATGTAGTGTCAGTGGTACTGTTACATAATATAATATACACACCTTGTAATTCTCTGGGAAGGCTTCATCATCGGGAACTTGTGCAGCCTATAATGGACGTCATCATCATCATCATCATCATCATCATCATCATCATCATCATCATCATCATGCATTCAGTCAGTTATAAATATTTTCATAAAAAATATCACTTCATAATTGATTATAAATTTGTCATTATGTCACCGTCGCATTCATAATAATTAGTTTTATTATAATGATGATGATGATCATCATCATCATCACCGTCGTCGTCGTCGTCGTCGTCGTTATTATCATTCCAACTATGATTTTTATCATTGTACTCTGGTATAAATATGTCCATGACAATTATCAAGTCTTCAAATCGATTTTATATTTGTCATCTCACCTTCACATTCAGTATGATTAATTATAATATAATGACGATCATGACTGATAGCAACATCATTATTATTATTATTATTATTACTATTGCCACTACATCAGAATTCGTCCCATAATCAACACCAAACCCAAAAGTAACCCTTCGCTTTAATGACTCTATACCAGGGCATGTTTACTTGATAGCTGTCAAAAGAACCCTACAAGATCGGTCCATGCAATCCTGAATTACATTATTGTATATTTACCTGTATGGGGAGTGTTGTGTCGGCAGTGGACAGTTTGTAGGCTCTTCTTGTCTCCTCCAGTTCTACCTCCCGCTGTTCGCTGCTGACGTCATCTTGCGGAAGTGACGTATCATACTGATGTATGACGTATCTATAACTTGGGCGAATCCATCTGAACACCGGGAATGTGTATAGGACATTGTAATCCGGGTCCTCTAGAATGACCGACTCAAGAAACCAGGTACTGGTCAGGCCGGTGTAGTCTCGCCAAATCTCGATCCGGTCAACAGGAGAGGTCAAGGTCGCGAATTTACTCTTAGCAAGTTGGAATACATCCTTTTTTCCGCGTTCAAAATTCGGTTCAAAGAACTGATTCAGCTTGATCTCATCCGAGGCGTTTCCCTGTTCGTCCTTTGCAACAAACCACACATTGGCGTTGGTTCCTGAACCTTTCCTGTCCCCTGTCTTCACCGTGACGATGATGTCGCTACCTTGGCTGTTCCCCATTCTCCTTGTCGGTGCTTACACCAACGATCAACTCCAACTGGCAATGTCTCCCAGCGCTGCGTTGTGCTGGAATGTGGTGTGGAACTAGTGCCATCTGTCGACCGACGGTGGTATTGTGCTCCTATCCACCTGCTGTCAGAAGCTAGCTAAGCGTGGTGAATTTATAGATTTTATTTCTTGAAATGTCACTCTGGGACACAGGCGACAATGACAATGTATTAAGAGGTAGGTATATTTCAAACGCATGGTATAATACGCTGTCTATAAACCTAAAACGCGTAGGGGTTGACAGCGTATTTGCATATCAGGCGATGTTATCTGCAAAATCGCCAACAGTCCTGTATGCAAACTGCTGATCAATAAAATATGTTGATGAATGTATCTACACATATATGTACGTGTTTCAAAAGTGATTTTATTGGGTTTCTGGGGTTTTACATAAACAAATTAAGCTCTTAAATTAGTGAATCTCTGAGTATCTACAGTATGGGCGGTTATTCCCTCTTCTATGTGATGTGTTTCAGCTGGTGGACATCTTATCAGCCTGATGGAGGTCCCGACATGGTGTGTGTGTGTGTCTCTCTCTCTCTTTCTCTCTCTCTCTCTCTCTCTCTCTCTCTCTCTCTCTCTGTTGCGAACTGGATTATAAGAAAGTATGTGAAGGTAGAAGGTTGATCTACTGTTCGTCAGACATCGGGGGTCATATCATTTTGAGAACTCAAGTACGATGTCACGCCCAGATTTAGCCCTGGGTACTCGTAAAATTGTTTGTTTTGTATGTTTGCTTTTAACGCCGCACTCAGCAATATTCCAGCTCTATGCTGGCACCTGTAAACAGCGGTTGATATTGTAAACGACACTAAACGCCGTCACGATGTGATGACATGCTATCAACAAAGTCACCCCAACTGACCATCCGAGAAATTTGCTCGCATCTTTCTTCAGACGTCTTGCAGACTTGGCAAGTTCGCTTACTGCTAATTTTAGATCTAAATGTCCATCCAAACAAGGTTAAAGATATTAATAGGCTCTTGAATAATCTACAGCCGTATTACAACATGTAATTTCAAACTTGGAGAGTTGGACGTTAGATGGTCCGAAATGTATTTGTTTTGTCTGTCATGAATCTTATTGAACATTATCTGCAGATCCTCTTCAGTCGGTGCAAGAATCATAATGTCATCAATAATACCGCAATTCAAGATTGCGAATAGTGTTGGAGGCACAAGACAACCCTGTTTTACGCCCTTCGGCACCTTATAGTAAACCAAGGCTTTAACAAACCATTAATTCTGACTGCACATTTAACGCCCTCTTTTATCTTGTACATCACACAGCTTTAGTTTTAACCACAGACATTCTCTGTTGATGTTATCAAAGTCTTTCTTCATATCCAAGAAACATGTATAGGTGGACTGTCCTGAAATTCGCCTGTAGTTGACAATGCTATCAAATCTGTACAAGTGGTCTAAACAGCTCCTTAGTTTCCTGAACCCAATTCCACCAATAACCCTGCATTTTAAAAAAAATGACGTCTATTTAGTATATCGCAGTAGATCCTGCAGGGTACCGACATTAGCGTGATCCCTCGGTATGTTAATGGCTTCCTTGGGTCTGTAGAACTGGGTTTTACAAATGGCTTGATTATGCCTTGTTGTCTGAGGCAGGGACAAATCCATTCTTGAAGCAATGATTGAACAACTTATGCAGGATGTCGATACAGAGGTCAATCTTAAGAGCCTCCGCAGGAATACTGTCAATACCAACCGCTTCACGAAGCTTGGGTCTGACTACCGCTGCCCGAACTTCATCTCTTGTAATTCCACTCTGTTCATTCGGTCAAACGTTTTTCTCTGGGAGTAATATTGTTCCCGCATAATTCTCGTGCGACTTGTCCCGATTGCCCGTCGCCAATCCCGTTCAAGTCTGCGTACCTTATCCAATTGTCCCTGAAATTCGGGTGACCAGTATGGCTTATGACAAGATTTACCTTTGGTATCATTAGACATTTGTAGATTGTGACACTGGAGACGCTTTATCCAGGCTTGTGGTTATAAGTGTTGTAAACTCATCATACGCAGTATTGTCATACAAGTGTATGTTCTGTCTTTGCAATATATTGTGGGGACACGGATGGCCCAGTCGTCTAAGGCGCCGCGATTCGCTGTGCAGAGTTGCGCCCCTTGGGCACGCCAGAAACCTATAATTGTGGGTTCGAATCCCGGTTCGTCCCGATTATGTTTCTAGGTTTGTCAGCACCATGCCCGTGCTCGTGGGTTTCACCGAAGTGAGGTGAAATTGGGTTTAACGTCGCGTCCAAGATTATTGCACTTATATAGCGACGTGCATGCACGTGGATGTGTGTGTGTGGCTGCTTGTACTAGTCCGGACTGATGCCGATTTATAGTGCTAGCTCACTGAGATACCATGCCGCAGTTTAACATGAATACCCCACTCAGACACAGTATACTGACTCCGAGCCGACCAGTCCTTGTTTTAGCCCCTTAATGCCGAGCACCAGACAGGGTAACAACAAGTACAATCTTTTAACGTCTTTTTGTATGACGCGGCCCGGGATCGAACCCTGGACCTTCCGCTCTCCAGAGCAGTCACCCTGAAGATAGTCATTTAAAATATCTCTGATCTTGTAATACGTGATACCTTCCTTCCTCTGAGCATCTTCTGTATCTCTCTTTCCTTTAGTATTGACCGTGCCACAAACACGCATCTTCACAGACCGCTCTAACAGTGAAGGATCTGGATCTCTCTCTGGGACGCATAAATCACGATCGTTGATTAAATCAGTCAAATACCGCACTGAAGGTCATCATATGAGGGTAGTTGGTCATGTGGCACAAACACATGATCTGTAACAGATTTACCTCTGGTTGAAACGTGTGTAAAATCATAACGTCCCACACGCCCGTTTAACATGCAAAGGTTGCAGTCAATCAGCAAATTTATCATGTGTTGCCCATAACTGTCATCGGGGAAATCCAATATACTGAGTGCCGGTATCTTATCTACTCCCTCAGAATCAGTGTCGGTTCTTCATGAGCTGAAATCACCAAATATGCAAATTGTTTCATAATTTTAATAGAGAAACAGAAATAGACTAAATTTATAGATTTAATTTTACCGACATGTTTTAAATTCAAAATTGATAGCAAGCAGCTGTTCCCTTGATCTGAGGTTAACTTGTGCTGTCAAGTGACTTTAATTGATTCGGTAAAAGCGTTCGGCCTTTTGCTTCGAAGCGGGGTTTAAGGGATTTATTCTGCCTCTCAGAAATGGTAGTGCAGCCTGACTTATTCGTTGTGGGGTGTAAGGGATTTATTCTCCCGCTGAAAAAAAATATTTCCCTCCAAGGTGGGATACACAGTATTTTATGAAGATCAGGTGGACCAATCAGATCTCATCATTCTGTAACGAGTTTTGTAAATGTGTTTGATTGGGCTGCATAAGGTGAAATGGGGCTTGACGTCGCGTCCAAGATTTTTGCACGTATATAGCGACGTGCATGTACGTGTGTGTGTGTGGCTGCTAGTACTAGTCCGGACTAATGCCGGACATCATCATAAATACCCCACTCAGACATAATATACAGACTTCGAGCCGACCTTGTTTAAAACCCTTAATTCCGAGCGTCAGACAGGGTAACGATAACTGCCATCTTTTAACGTCTTTTGGTATGACGCGGCCGGGGATCGAACCCCGGACCTTCCGCTCTCCGGGCGGACGCCCTACCACTAGACCATGGAGGCGACTAAGGTTGTACAAGTAAAAGCTGAGCTGAGCTGAAACAAACAAACAAACACATATACTATTTTACACTGTATGTCAGTAACATGTTTAGAGGCTGATTATGAAATGAGGACGCCTCTGTATGTTAATAAAAGGGTATTTTTCAGGGCATTATCATTTGCAGAAGCTCGAGGTCCATTAACTGCCCGACGAAGGAGGGCAGTTGAAAAGGCCGAGTCAACTTGAGTGTCACTACTCTTCGTATTGAAGGCGATCTGACGGAAGTGAATGTTGGAGATGTCCAAGTTCATTGAGTCTGTATATGCACGTGCTAATGTTTTCTTCGAGTGTTTAATCTTTCTTGAAACATCAACGCATATAGGATCCCGTGAAGATTCCGGTTAGAATTGGTCTTCAGCAAACCATGCTTGTCGTGAGAGGCGACCAACGGGGTGATCCTCGCGTACTTGGTCGATGCATATGTTATATATCCAAATTGCGTAGATAGATGCTTATGGCGTTTATCACTGGATTGTCTGGTCCAGAAGCGATTATTTACAGGTCGCTGTCATATAGTTGGATTAGTGCTGACTGTGTCGTTAAACAACAAACAAACGCACGATATAAGGGCAAGACCTATATTATTCTGAAGAACTAAGTATGTAAAGATATGTGCATGCTCATCGAAATCGTTTGATGCCTGTATGGGTGATTGAATAAGAATGGTTTAGTATCTGTAAAAGAGAGCATGAGAATGGTTTAGTATCTGTAAAAGAGTGCGTGAGAAGGGTTTAGTATCTGTAAAAAAGTGCGCGAGAATGGTTTCGTATCTGTAAAAGAGTGCATGAGAATGGTTAAGTATCTCTTAAAGAATGCATGAGAATGGTTTAGTATCTGTAAAAGAGTGCGTGAGAATGGTTTAGTATCTGTAAAAGAGTGCATGAGAATGGTTTAGTATCTCTAAAAGAATGCATGATGATTGTTTAGTATCTGTAAAAGAGTGCGTGAGAATGGTTTAGTATCTGTAAAAGAGTGGGTGAGAATGGTTAAGTATTTGTAAATGAGTGCGTGAGAATGGTTTAGTATTTGTAAAAAAGTGCGTGAGAATGGTTTAATATCTGTAAAAGAGTGCGTGAGAAGGGTTTAGTATCTGTAAAAAAGTGCGCGAGAATGGTTAAGTATCTGTAAAAGAGTGCGTGAGAATGGTTTAGTATCTGTAAAAGAGTGCATGAGAATGGTTTAGTATCTCTAAAAGAATGCATGAGAATTGTTTAGTATCTGTAAAAGAGTGCTTGAGAATGGTTTAGCATATGTAAAAAAGTGCTTGAGAATGGCTTAGTATTTGTAAATGAGAGCGTGAGAATGGTTTAGTATCTGTAAAAGAGTGCATGGGAATGGTTTAGTATCTCTAAAAGAATGCATGAGAATTGTTTAGTATCTGTAAAAGAGTGGGTGAGAATGGTTTAGTATCTGTAAAAAAGTGCTTGAGAATGGCTTAGTATTTGTAAAACAGTGCGTGAGAATGGTTTAACATCTGTAAAAGAGTGCTTGAGAAGGGTTTAGTATCTGTAAAATAGTGCGCGAGAATGGTTTAGTATCTGTAAAATAGTGCGCGAGAATGGTTTAGTATCTGTAAAAAAGTGCGCGAGAATGGTTAAGTATCTGTAAAAGAGTGCGTGAGAATAGTTTAGTATCTGTAAAAAAGTGCTTGAGAATGGCTTAGTATTTGTAAATGAGAGCGTGAGAATGGTTTAGTATCTGTAAAAGAGTGCATGAGAATGGTTTAGTATCTCTAAAAGAATGCATGAGAATTGTTTAGTATCTGTAAAAGAGTGGGTGAGAATGGTTTAGTATCTGTAAAAAAGTGCTTGAGAATGGCTTAGTATTTGTAAAACAGTGCGTGAGAATGGTTTAACATCTGTAAAAGAGTGCTTGAGAAGGGTTTAGTATCTGTAAAATAGTGCGCGAGAATGGTTTAGTATCTGTAAAAGAGTGCGTGAGAATGGTTTAGTATCTGTAAAAGAGTGCGTGAGAATGGTTTAGTATCTCTTAAAGAATGCATGAGAATGGTTTAGTATCTGAAAAGAGTGCGTGAGAATGATTTAGCATCTGTAAAAGAGTGCGTGAGAATGGTTTAGTATCTGTAAAAGAGTGCTTGAGAATGGTTTAATATCTGATAAAGAGTGCTTGAGAATGGTTTAGTATCTGTAAAAGAGTGCGTGAGAATGGTGTAGTACATATAAAAGCATACGTTAGAATGGTATAAATAATAAAATTATACCAGGAAATAATAATATTATAGCATAATGAAAATAATATAACGAAAATAAGAAGAATTCTTCTGGCTCTTGGGGAAAAAGAAAGAATACTAACAAAGTAGAAACAACCCATTCCGGCTATAAGGGATATTAATCACAGTATGACAAAACCTGCAAAGTGCGTTTTTTAAAACGTATCCATTTCGCTAGCGATAAACATTATCATTAAGTTTCGATCACGTGGTAACAATCCGGTTATGGTCGGCAGCCAGGTGACTGCGAGCGGTTATATTTAGCAGCGCGTGCAACGTACGTTCATTAATTACCAGCACGCACTGAAAGAAAAAAACATGCACTTATAGATTTAAAAGCGCTATTGACCTAATTCGAGATGCACATACTGCTAGATATAACCGCTCGCAGTCTGCTTCATTCGAGAGTAAGGTTACACTATTTTAATGAATATTTACCTCCCCTGAAAATTTGTCATCTAAACCTGAAACACACAAGCAATGATTTGCTTCCATAAAACCACGAATAATAAGGTAGAAGTAAGGTAAGGTAGAGGTATACTAGGTTCGAATCCTTTATCAGGGGGCCCCGGTACGACACATCGAATCACAGCAGATTAACCATTTGTCAACCCTGGACCCCGTCTGGGTTTAATGAGTAATACATAGATATTATTATGCCATATACACAAGATGCAAGTTTCGTAAGTATTATGCTTGAAAGACCCGGTGAGCTCGGTGTTATGGCAGTTTCTTACTGTGGCAGGCAGCCTATTATCAATCATCCTGCTCAGACAGGTGAGCATAATGCTACACCAATCAAATGTCGCCTCTCCCTACACATGCTACGTTCAAGCGAACAATTTTGGTTTCTATCCACCCAAACATACTGACATTAAAACCACAGCAGCAACATCAAGCACCGTATTATGTAATTTTTGGCGTATGTATATATATAGAAATAATCCCAGCCCAACGGCGGAAGGATATTACGATGTGTGAGTTATATGGTCTTCATGAAATTACATGATTGTGTCGCCGAAACGCAGCCTTGTTCCAGTAGTCACATCAGAACTGGCACATTGAAGGGGAATGCGCGCCATTGTTGTGTGTGGATAATGCTTCTAAAGAGATTTGAAAGGTGGGTGATTATTTGACGAAACTGATAAACAAACTGAAAATTAAGTTTTTCTGTATCATAACGATTCCACCTTCTGTATTTAGAGCACTGTACGCCAGAGGTCAAGTACCTGCATGTCAGCTGCTTTTTGTTTGAAATATTATAAAATGGTGACTAATGAATAAACACTACAAACTGGTTGTTAACTGTATATCGCATTTTATAGTGTAGGATGGTTTTGGCTTATACTTTCGCATCATTTTTATGAAATCTAGACTGTATTTTCAAGTGGATAGATTGTAGGTCAACAGCACTGTCCGAATTCATCTATGGGAGAGTGGCTTGTGAATTCTATTTACACAATATGCAGGTATTGTTTCATTTAACTGTGAAATAAAACTAATTATCATTTTTATTTTGGCACAAAAGTAGTTTATTGAGAACGGTCCCTGATAGTAAAAAGTGCAAACTGATTTTAATCATGAATATAAGCACGATACTACCCACTACCGAAGGCACTGATAATTAGACAAAGGTTTTTTCAAACGGCTAAATGAAGCAAATGAAATTAAATTACGATTCACCTTATTAATCTCTTTGATTTTATATAATCAATTAACAGTTAAGATTGTGTTATATATTTACTTTATATGTTCGTGTTGTTTGATTTTTAAACGCCTGCATATATTACTAATTGACAAGAAAATGTTTTTGCTCTCCAAAAATGTTCTCTGGACATAGTGCATATCCTGTACAAAATGTGAAGAATAATTACAATTTTTTCCTCCTATCACATAGGTAAATATACCTGTTTTAAAACATTGACTGACAACATGTCATGTCTCTAAACAAAAACGCCATCCACCCCTTCTGGAATATTAAATGGTCATTACATTTAATGAATAATAAATCATCACTAAATCAGTGAACATTCCAAGATGCCCCCATCCAATTCCCAACCCATCAAACTCGGTCTTGTAATTAAAAGCCTTGCCGAAGGAAACGAGATGTCAATTTCTGCCGAATGTCCATCTGTCTCGGACTATTACACAGTTGTAGATGTAATAAGTCAGTCTAATGTTGGCCCAGCCCACAAATACACACTGTACGCCAGATGCCATCCGGACGTCGTCCTTCCAACACGGAAGTGTAGAAAATTATTTCATTTCAGATGTCAAGATCAATGATAATCACCTTTTATACTCAACTGATTTTGACACCAATTCTAATCCAGGAATCATTCCAGCAAATCCATGTGTTTGGTGAGTACAGTATACTTAATTGCTAAATGATATTCACCTTTTATACTCAACTGGTTTTGACACAAATTCTAATCAAGGAATCATTCCAGCAAGTCCATGTTTTTGGTGAGTACAGTATAGTTAATTGATCAATGATATTCACCTTTTATACTCAACTGTTTTTGACACAAATTCTAATCCAGGAAACATTCCAGCAAATCCATGTTTTTGGTGAGTACAGTATACTTAACTGAGCAACGATATTCACCTTTCATACTCAAATGGTTTTGACACTAATTCTAATCAAGGGATGATACCAGCAAATCCATTGTTTTGGCGAATATAGAATCCTTATATATTTATTTTCAAACTAAAGCAACATATATCGACACAAGCATTACATTACAATATATATTAGTTTAAATTATATGAATCACAAACACCAACGATCAACTGCTACTGACATTGTCACTTCAGTCATGTTTTCTCCGAAAAATCTTTTTAAAGTTTTTAAATGTATCTTATTTCCTGGTCTATTTTAAAGTCCCACAATGTTTAATGTCTTTCCACTTTCACCTGTTGTTCCGCGTTTCTGTGCAACCCACTGACATAACGCATTCATCACAGAAACATGTATGTATGCCGCGGGCCATTTGCTGTCAGACGCTATATCATACACAATGTCTATGTGAAACCGAGGCTGCAACTAACTTTAACCTTTGACACAGATTGTCCATCCGACTGGGTCAGTTCCTGGTCACAGTGCTATAAGTTTGTCAGCTTTCCCGAAGAAGCACACGAGAATGCGCGAGCTGCATGCGCAGTAAGTTGAAATAAATTGAAAATTCAAATAAAACCAAGTGCATGATTTAGATGAGTGACTAAATATTTAAATGAATTATATGTATTAGTGCAATGATTTTCAATTATTGTTAACACCAGGAACTCATTTACAGATCGAGCTTAGCGCTATGATTCACATTCTTAAATTTCTGTTTCGTCTATGCTTATATATGGACTGAAAATATTCGCCGCACGACGGTTGTTTTGTACTGATGTGTGGCGTTAGGTAGCGAAACCTTACTTTTCATGCAAATTGTGTGAGTAGCGGGTTCTACCGGTAGAGCAGGTCATGCTTACCCGTGTCGCGAGCACCTGGTGTCATCACTGATTTTTTATCATATAATGGTTAGTGATATCGTTGCGTTAAACCAATCCTATAACATTGGCATCCGAAAAATGATCCGAAAAATATGTAAATGAGGTCCTGTAGCAGGAACTATTTAACAGTTCCATACACTGATGCAATGTCTGCTTCATCAATAATTAATAGCGACTGACTTTCCCAATATGTTGAAACAGGGATTTCATGGTGTATGAGTGTTTCTGCAGACAAACATGGCTGCAAATCATTTGAAAGTATATGATAATAGGGCGGTTCACTCAAACACTGTATTCCTACGCGGTTTCTGACCCTTGAAGGTCCGGAGTAGAATAGGTCTTCAACAATCCATGCTTGCCGTAAAAAGCGACTATGCTGTCGTAAGAGGCGACTAACGGGATCGGGTGGTCAGGCTCGCTGACTTGGTTGATGCATGTCATTGTATCCCAATTGCGTGGATCGATGCGCATAATATCAATCACTTCGATTATTTACAGACCGCCGTCATATAGCTGGAATATTGCTGAGTGTGTCGTTAAACAACAAACAAAATATCTTACGCGGTTTCTAAAGATACTTCATTGGGTGACAAAATGGCTAAAGTATAGAATATTTTAAGAATGGCACTATATTATAAAGCGATCATCAACCGCGTGTCCGTATCGTAAATATCATAAATTAGAAATAAAAATGTGTATTAAGCACACTCCAGTCTTGCATGTATAGAGCTTTCTTCCCAATTAATGATATTTTCGATACCAGGGAAACACACTCGGCTAATCATTTCAATGTGACTGATCTCAATAGTATCACGGGGCGGCCTTGCTAAGTGTGGACAGCGGTCAAGAACATAACTTCATCAGTAGCACGATACAGAGGATGGATCCGTACCAGTAAGTATGAGGGGTACCCGTAAACATCCGGGCTTGAATTGTTCTTCAGCAACCCATATGTGTCGTAAGAGGCTATTATGCTTATAGGAAGAGGCGACTAATAGGATCGGGTGAACATGTGCATGTCATCGTACCCATATTGTGTAGATCGATGCTCATGATGCCAATCACCTCCGTCAGTTACATGCAACTGGAATATTGCTGAATGAGGCTTTAAACAACAAAGTACTCATTTTCATATCAAGTCCATTTGCGCAAATATGAGTTAATGGTTAAAGTTGCCGTATGTCATCGTATCCATATTGCGTAGATCGATGCTCATGATGTCAATCACTCGATTGTCTGGACCAGACTCCATTATTTACACACCTCCGTCATATAGCTGGAATATGCTGAGTGAGGCGTAAAACAACAAACAAACAAAAGGTACGAGGGAGGTGACCACTCTAAACGAAGCCAAAGTATAAAGCATACATTGTAAATTGTAGTTTTGCTTTATAGTTTTCTGATTAGAAGCTCGAATATTTCAGGCGTCATCTACATTGCTAATAACGTTCCACCATGGTTGGTAAAAGCGGCAAGACACAAATAACTATTTGCAACTGTTGAATCAGAAAGGAGTCATTTTACTTTTGAATATAATATTAAATATAATAATATGTATTTTGTTACAGAAAACAGCAACATTATGTAAGAGCAATAACAATTGGAAGCATTAAGCTTTTGATGAGCCTTACTATCGGATATATCACGTTTTTAGTGAGGGGATCGCTGTGCAGAGTTGCGTCCCTTGGGCCAGAAACATCTGTTTGTCAGCACCATACCCGTGCTCGTGGGTTTCACCGAAGTGGTAAACGTCTGAGACCTGCTTCACTTCGGGCTTTCCTCCCACATTAAGCTAACACGCCGTGATATAACTAGAATAGTGTTAAAAGCGGCGTTAAACACAACTCTCTCACTTTACTGAGGGGACAATGTTGGGTCACACTTGTAACCTCTTCCCTCATATTCGTGTCACACAGGCGGTCCTGGTACACAAGCGGGGTACAGAAGTCACAGGCAACAGGGACAACAACTGTGTCCTCCCAAGGCTCATTTGTGTCTGCCCAAGGGTCAATTCAATCCCCATCCGGGTCACAGGGTGAAGGGGATGACCTCAGTTCAGGATCCAGCTCGCAGTCTGAGTCTGAGTCTATGATCGGTGCCTACAAGTGGCTGGGAGATGGGACGGTCGTGGGGTATGACAAGCAGTTCTGGCTCCCTGGAATAGACTTCAAACAAGGGGAGGTCATTGTGTATAAATATGGGGGTAAGTACAGTAAAATTAATTTGAATAACGATGCTGTCAGACCTTTTAAAGCGTAAACTGTTTGGGACAGTTATATGTAAGGCATATTAAAATGATTTTTATCAAAGACAATTAATATATTGTGTATCACTAGACGTTAATAACACTTTTCTTTGTATTTAGAGGGTTTTGTTTCAGTAGATGTGAGGGAAAGAGGAATATTATCTATGAATATTTCTAGGATTGTCAGCACCATACCTGTGTCTCTCGATTGCTGACGTTTTAAAAGTGTGACATCCTATCGTTTTGTTCACATCAGTACATAATGTTTTACTTCGAACAAATATCTTGAGATGACGTTTACATGTGAAGTTCTTCATTTGACGGGAAACCAGGCATGTGACCGCGAAAATAACATTTACAATGAGTGCCAAACATTGTATGAACCTTAATAGAGCGAGGGCAATATAGTGTATGGGCCTTCAAAGGGTGAGGGCCAAACATTGCATGAACCTTCACAGAATGAGAACCAAACATTGTATTAACGTTCAAAGAGTGAGGGCCAAACATTGTATGAACCTTCATAAAATGAGAAGGGCGAAACAGGGTATGAACCTTCATATAGTGAGGACCAAACATTGCATGCATCTTTATAAAGTGCGGGCTAAACATTGTTAGAACCTTCACAGAGTAAAGGCCAAACATTTTATGAACTTCATAAAGTGAGGACCAAACATTGTATGAACCTTCCTAGAGTGAAAATCAAGCATTGTATGAACGTCGCCCAAGCATATGTCGATATAGGAAAATTCTCATGGGGAATATCTATCCATTACAATAATGTTAAAGGTGAAAACGTGGGTGAATTACAAGGAAATAGACAGACACATTTGAAGGCTCACAACAAGCTGGGAACAGGGATTCTGGGACTGCTGGCCAAATATATGAACACAGTTTCTCCTGTTACTAGACACGAGGACAATTTGTCGTCGACACAAACGGTACTTCATAATCACTCAACACTAAGACACTGTGCGATAAATGCCGACTGAAGTGTCATTAATAAAGAGGTATCCCCTGCATGTACTCACTGCGATGTAAAGCCACAACCATGCCAGAGTAAATATAAATACTGTGCGGTGACATAAAGATTATATTCTGGAGCAGTGTGACAGGTTTATGGAAAATTCATGGTAAATCTAGACACCGCTGTAGGTAGTCTTGTCGATATTTTGAAATCCAGATGCTCACTGATAGATTGATGAAAAGATATACTCTGGTAAATTACGGCCTGGGTGGTTTGATTTAAGAAGTATTAAATATAAGCTTTTAAACGTGTTCCGTCTTAGCCCAAATAGAGTAAAAGACAGAAATGGGTTTAAGAATATCTGTCGTCAAAAACTTATGGATTTTAAAGTAAATGTTAGAACAAATTTGCTCAAGCAGCTGATACACATGACTGAAAGAGCTTTTGGAAATTAGCTGAGAAATATTCAAAACAGACCGCCAGAAGTAACAATATACCAGTTCACGTTTGGCAGGAACACTTTAATAACAGTTGAAAGAAGAGAAACGTATTCTTGATTGTGCTAAACAGAAAAGGCATTCACTTCGCATAGATAAACGATCACTTGTATGTTATTCAACCGTAGTTTCAGAACTTCAGTTTGAATCGTATATACAAATTATTCATGTACTTAATTACAGAAAGGTCTGGTTAAATTTAGAAGTGGATATAATACATTTGGTGTTGCAAACCTAGGTAAAGGTAAATGTAACGCACTATAAATGTCTAGAAGATGAACAACGTGTTTTGTTTGTATCTCATATACCGATGCACGTACCAACTGTTAAGTTTTAACAAACACCCAAGCCCATGATATGATGTCTGTGATTAATTGTAAAAGACATGAGAATATATTTCACCTTTCAAAGTATATGTACATTAGGGAGAGAATCTTTGGATGTCAACTTCTGATGAGGAACACAACGTTTCGGGCTATGTATTTACTCCTTCATCAGGTGAATACATACTATTAGGCATATATGTACCTGCAAGAACAACAAAAGTAGTAAGATAACAAAGGTGAACACGTAACAAGGAAATCCAACTGATAATTTGCGCTGATGGCCGTGATTAGCAGTGAACAACTGGAAGACGGGACTTAATAGTTAATTACCGCTGATAGGTGATTAGCCATGGACAACTGGAAGACTGGACTTAATAGTTAATTACCGCTGATAGGTGATTAGCAATGGACAACTGGAAGACGGGACTTAATAGTTAATTACCGCTGATAGGTGATTAGCAATGGACAACTGGAAGACTGGACTTAATAGTTAATTACCGCTGATAGGTGATTAGCAATGGACAACTGGAATACGGGACTTCATTTATCACTGATTGTATTTAAAATTAGAACGGAAATGTAATGTAATCCCGTACCGTGATGCATGTGAAATTTAATATATTTTTTTCTTATAATACGTGTGTGTAACATGGGTCATTTGGCCTTGAAAACAATAAACTGAACTGAACTAAATGTAAGAAGTTCTCGAGAGAAACAGCACATTTTTCTCTAATTACACATTTCTCTAATTACAGATTTCGTATCTGAATCGGGAAAATTTGAAATATTACAGAAAACAAATATATTCATACTTTGGCATTGACAATCTTAACGGTTCTTATTTTGTGTCTGATATGTTTTTTAATTGAATGAAATGCAATTTCATGTATTACAATGAAGCCGTTTGGTCAATCAATACATTCTCACTAGTACTCATTTTCGTATTATTTAAGTCCATTTGCACTAATATAAGTTAATCCTTATATTCGCCGTATGTCATCGTATCCCATTTGCGTAGATCGATGGCAATCACTGAATTGTCTGGTTCAGAATACATTATTTACACACCGCCGTCATATAGCTGGAAATTTGCTGCGCGCTGCGTTAACCAACCAACCAACAAACAAACATTAGATGCCACATATGATCATGTCATGTGAACAATTATTCCATGCTTAAATATACTTGTGTTATTAGACTTTCAGCCCGTCACTCTTTCAGTGATTACAGTGTATACCGTTGATCAAAATAGCATTACTTCGCCGAGAATATGTGAGCATAATACGACTTTAGGAATTGAGTTTAAATGTGTATTTATGATACTGTAACATCAAACATGTACATTACACCTGATATAATATAATACACATGTTTCTGCCAGTGATCGGCTATGGATGGAGTCTGGTTCACCCGGGGGACAAGTTGCCCTACATCTGTGAGATCAGTATGGCGGAGTCCTACCGCATCGTACACGTCGATCGGGACTACGGTAAACCTTGTTCATTGTTTCTCATAACAAACGACAGGTTAATGTGCCATTTTGGTACCATGATTATATTTTTAAATCGAAATTTCCCATGAATTCAATTATTTGTATATTTATTTCGAAATGTCAATTTGTTTCTCGTTGCTTCGATTATATTTTCGTAATTTCTCGTTTTTTAGTTATGTTTATTTTTTATAGAAATTTCAATATGTTTATCGTTAATTCGGATATTTTCGCGTAATTTCGATTATTTCTCGTTACTTCGTTTATTTTCCTTAAATTTCAATCTTATTCTCGCTACTCCAAATATTTTAATCGTTATTTCAATTTTATTCTAAAAGTTCAAAATTACGAGAGAAAAATCGAAGCAACGAGTAAAATATTCGAAATTTGTCTTTTATAAAATAAAATAGAAATAAAGACAAAATAATTGAAATTACGAGAAAAAAATCGAAATAACGAGAAAAATGATTAAATTATTGAAATAACGAGAGAAAAACTCGAAATTTCAATTTAAGAAAATTACAATTATGCGACCAAAGAGGCAACGTTTGGCGTTCATAATAACATACACATTGTCCTAGTTCTTCTTCGCTGTCGCGGCGTCATACCCTCTATTGCTATGATTACCATGATTGAGGGGGATTGCGTGTCCCAGGATCTGTACTTGTCGAATGAGCGACTGTCATCGAGCCTTAGCTTTGTCATTGATTATGTGTAAACGTTCTCCGATGGCTCGGATCGGAGCTAGTATTTGCAGTCGCTGAATCGCCTTGTCCTAGCATCACTATCTGCATGCCTTCATCTTATAGTTGGGGCGGTCGGGTAGCCTAGTGGTTAAAGCGTTCGCTCGTCACGCCGAAGACCCGGGTTCGAATCCCGACATGGGTACAATGTGTGAAGCCCATTTCTGGTGTCCCCCGCCGTGATATTGCTGGAATATTGCTAATAGCGGCGTAAAACCAAACTCACTCACTCACTCATCTTATAGTTGTTAAACCCACCTCTCTCCAACTCTTACAACCTATGAATTAGAAGTTCTTGTGCGTGAAATCAGAAATGATAAAACTCAGGGTTGATTTGTTAGAATCATCAATACAATCTTGAACAAGTGCAAACGGAATGTATGTATCATTAGCTTGACTTCATTTCCAGATTATGGCCTTGTATCATACGATCCTAATGAGCTGCTCCGAGGCCCAGCGTTTGTTACCCAGCCTGAAAGTTTAGTGGTGGTTGGCACGACAATCGCGGCCACTGTTGAATGCACAGCCACCGGAAACCCCCGACCTAAATATAAGTGGTTCACCGGAACAAATTTCGAAACGGAAGTGACCCCCGAACTTAGTAGCAGGTACACATTAACCAATGGGAAGCTTGTTCTGGAAAAGCCAGCCGAAAACGAGGACGCTGATCAATACAGGTGCTCAGTAGAAAATGAGTTCGGCAAGATTCTGGGAAATCCTATCCAGATATCATTTGGAAGTAAGTGTTTTCCTTTCATGATCAGTCAGTCTCGGTACAAGAGCCGTTGGTAGGTGAAAAAGATATCTTGGCATCGCGTTGCTTGTGTTGACGTTGTGCGCAAAAAAGTGTTCTTGTGACATCTTGTTGCTGATATGTATTAGGTTAGGAGACATGCATTTTGTTGATACAAGTTAATATTGTTTGGATCTGTTTCTTTCTTATGCTATAGAATATGCTATATAATGTCACCTGCATCAATTCAGGCTTTTCTTACACATGTCTTAGACGTGATGTGATATAGGTTAAATACAGTTCAAAGAGGCGTTAAACCAAACTCATTCATCACCCATGTTTAATGTTTTGTTCCAAGGTCTTGGGGAGTTCTCCAACGTTCCTGACGCAGCTGTCCGCGCCAAAGCTTATGATGGAGTAGCCATACAGTGCAGTCGGATCCCATACAGGCCAGGTGAGTGGTTCGCATTAGGCCTCGTTAAGAATTTATCTTCAGCAACCAATGCTTGTCGTAAGAGGCGACTAACGAAATCGAGCGGCCAGGTTCGCTTTGTTGAAACATGCCACCCTATCCCAATTCTGAGATCGATGACCATGATGTCAATCAGTGGATTGTCTGATCCAGACTCAATTATTTACAGCCCGCCGCCATGTGGTTTGAATATTGCTGAGTGCGGTGTCAAACAACAAAAACAATTTTTTTTTTTTAAAATAGTGAGACAAACAAAAACTTACAATAGTTTCATACTCTCATCTTCAATACAACCGCAAACAATTAAACCCACATGTATCTTCTAATACCATGGATACTAAGAATCGCAATAAAGCCATACGTATCCACGTGGTCAGGAGCTTTTGTTATTTAAGGTAATGTTCACATAAAGACGCATTAAATGATATCAGTCATAATACTTCGCTTTTTATTTCTAAATTTGAGTGTTAACATGAAATATTTCAATTCAGAAATCAAATTCTTAATTGATATTTTCACATTTGAGTACATGGCAAAGTAACTTTACCGTTATTAAAAACATGATAACAATTTCTAGATCTAATTTCTCTTAGTAATTCTTTCCTATCAGGTCCTGGCAGTTTATCACAATACAAGTCTTGGTCTTGGTCAACATGGATAGGACATATGACAACCTACTGCACTTTGCAAAGATCTTTTAATCTCGTTGTAGAACTATACCTGAACCTCCAAATTATACTTGTCTGTTTGCTCATTACAGTGCCATCGTTATAACTCAGATCGCTAATGGTAATAGTTATGAAGATTTAAAAACAAATCTACTTATAGCTGGACGACTATTTATGTTTGTGAATAAACAGATATATTTGTAAAAAAAGGCTATGGTTATCTCACTCTATAAATAAACAAATATTCACGCTATTTCTTGTGTTTTAGCTGTGAAATACCAATGGTTGAAGGGAGACACGAGATCGTTCGTCAGACCGCAAATGCAGCCGTACATTTTCATCTCAGCCAATGGGAAGTTGTATTTCTCAGAGGTGACAAGAATTGATGAAGGAGAATACCGGTGTATTGCTATCTTGACGGGGCGGAACAGGCATACCATAGGCACCTCGCAACCGCCTACCAGAACCAGTTTGCCCATCCCACTTCTTGTACATGACCAAGGTGAGTCACACTCCTTGTCATACCATACAGGTTCAAATACAAACTCATTAACGTCCCATATTTCCTACCATATACGATATCCCTGTCCCTATTATATTTATGAAAAAACCTATTAATTATTTTAAACCAACACAACCTAATTGAGAACAGCAACCCCAGATAATATAAAACGTAGATTTGTTTACATGGTTATTGCCATACATTTTTTTCAGAGGTTCTAAGTGAAATCACTATTTCGAGAAATTAAAATTTCTAAGTTAACATTTAATGCTACATTCTTTGAGAACATTATGGTTTCTTTGGAAAATAATAACAGTGTTACCAAACAGGCAAAGGTCATCTGCACATAACAACAACAATATATCTAGCCATTCTTGACCCACAGAAATACCTCTACCATCAGATTCATGTAACTTAGCTTCAAACTCAACGACAAGAAGGAGGGGACACATTAAAAGAAATAATAACACACCCTGTTTTACAACACTAAGAGTGTCAAAGTATTGATAAGTAGAACTAAGACTTTATAGAGGATTTAACCTTGAAATAATAAGACATTAAAGATGTTACCACTAATGCCTTTCTTTATATGGTATACGAAAGCAATTTTCTATTTAGAAAGTCAATGCTTTTCTCAAATTTACAAAGAAACAATGAAAATTCCCATTCATCTTAGACAGATATTTTTGTACTGTACACTGTAATACGAATATCCAATCTTTTTAACGTCAGATATTAGTTCTCGCTACCACCAAAGAAAGATCTGTAAGTGTCGCATTAGAACGACTTTTCATTCGACACATGAGAGCGTCGCTAACCAGATCGGGAAAGTGACAGTCGGAATGTGTTTTATTATCATACATTCTCGAAAAAGTTAACACGGGGTATTCCGAACGAATGTTACGGGCTGTACGTCTCTCTGTATCGCTTCATGTTCAGTGGGATACAGACTTGAAATGGAAAAGACTTTCCATAGCTCGTGGGAACAACTGCCATACATCGGCCATCTTTTAGACTTTCCAGAACGTTTTTTTCGTCACATTAATATCAATATGTTTCAAAGCGTAGACTGGAATGGAAGTAGCCAGTTTGAAACAAGCGCCGTAAAGCTCTGATTGGCTAATGGCGACCGTTGTGAGTCATTTCATTGGTCGGTCAAAGTTCGCGAAAGGAAGTTCTGACGGGACCCATAATAGGATATCCTCAGATCTTGTTTTGTGGTAGCTAGAGTTAGGATCTGATTTTAATAAGATTGTACGAATATATGGACGATCTGTTTGTCTTAAAGGGCGATAAATCTCCTTTTGAAATGATATAAGCGACGGTCGAAACCGTGATTTGTAGAGATGGAGCGAAGATGAAACGTTACCCTGCAGCACCTTCATTCCAAAACGGTCGTTTACTACTGAAAATCCATAATTAACACGTTTGGTAGTGAATTTTAGATGAGAATGGCACCATTTGTTCTGTCTTCAAGTAAAACACGAGTTGACAGGATGGCGGATTTCAGGAAAAATGCCAGGAAAAACTGCATAGCCACAGCAAGAAAGCAGTGAGGCATTATCAGCCATGTTGTTGTAATGTTATTCCCACGTTAAGCCCTTAACTATTGCAGCTTTTAATCAACCAGCTAGTTTTCATACTACCATGTACTTCAGTGTAATACAATAGGAGGTACGCCCATTTTATATATTACTTTTATAGCAATTTGCAATTGCAACCACATGACACCCACCTTGTTTGATATGTTGTAAATTTATAGTGAGTGAGTGAGTGTGTGAGTGAGTGAGTGAGTTGGGTTTAACGCCGCTTTTAACAGTATTCCAGTTATATCGCGACGTGTCAGCTTAATGTGGGAGGAAAGCCCGAAGTGATGCAGGTCTCAGACGTTTATCACATCGGGGCGAACCGGGATTCGAACCAACAATCATAGGTTTCTGGCGTGTCCACGGGACGCAACTCTGCACAGCGAATCGCGGCGCCTTGGACGACTGGGCCACCCGTGCCCCCCTGTAAATTATACTGACAGAAGCAAATGTATAGATTTTAAAAGATAAGTTGTCTGAGATACCCAGCAGCAATTTCTTTCATATTTGCAAAACTTTCAATCAAATGATATTTTTAAAAATAAAGTTATGTAGAAGTATTCCTTGAGTCCTGATTTCGCTCCAGTACAGTTCATTTTCTGGATATAATATCGCCAACTTCAGATATTTTCAATTGAAAATCAAACATATGATCAACTGAGGGGTATTGTTTAATTTGCTCCTCAGATGTACGTATTCAAGGGTACACAACTACAATGCTTCATCTTATATAATACAAACAATATATTCATAGTAATCTTCAATCTCTGTCATGGTGGTTGTGTTAACAGTGTTGTTATTAACCTTAAATGATTTACATAAAGTTTGCATAAAATGTATGTTCAATTTGTATCATTGTGGAAAAGGAATTATTGACGTCATGGCAACACATAAGTTTCACTTACATTTGCATCTAACCTCCTCAGCGGCCAAAGCTGACTGGGGACCAGAGATCCAGAACGATTTCATCGCTGTGTTTCCCCAACCACCATTGAAGGGCCAAGAAGTCAGACTCGAGTGTTTCGCCTATGGATCGTATGTATCTACACCTTGCTGGTGACATAACCTTTGATTCGAAATATAAGCGTATTAAATCCGATAATGACCCATTATGCGGTTCCTTATCTACACCCAAGTCGGGATTCAGGGTACGACTAGGTTCCCGGTAACTAATGATTGTGGCAAGAGCCAACTAAAATGGATATGGGGTGGGTGGACTGCCTGTGTTATTAGGTTGATAACGTACGTGTCATCATATCCCGACGTCGTCCTTGCTTGTGATTTTTCAGTCACTGGGTTACCTAATCCGGACTTAAACATGGACAGGCTTTCGCAAGACAGAGCTTTAAAAAATTGCTGACTATGGCGTTAAACAGCATTCACTTATTTCCTGTTTCTCTTTTTGAAAAGACCCGTGAAGATCCGGGTTAGAATAGATCTTCAGCAACCCATGCTTGCCGAAAAAAGGCGACTATGCTTGTCGTAAAGGCGACCTACGGGATCGGGTGGTCAGGCTCGCTGACTTAGTTGATGCATGTCATGGTATCCCAATTGCGTGGATCGATGCCGTTGATGTCAATCACTGTATAATCTCGTCCAGACTCGATTATTTACACACCACCGCCATATAGCTGGAATATTGCGGCGTAAAACAACAAACAATCAAAATCTTAATGAAGACACCCTTCAAGATGAGGTTGATACACTGTCTGCCCGGAGAGGTGAAGGTCAATGTTTGACCCCCTGGCCGCGTCATACCAGACGTTAAAAGGATGGTAGGACATGTAGTTGCTACCCTGCCTGGATCTCGGGTTTAGGGGCTAGAACAAGAACTGGTCGGCTCGGAGTCGGTACACTGTGTCTGAGTGGGGTATCCATGTTCAACTGCAGCATGGTATCTCAGTTGGCACAATAAAACCGGCATAAAACCCTGACAAGTACAAGCACCCACACACATACGTCCATGCACGTCGCTATATAAGAAAAGACTGAGCGCGACGTAGAACCCATTTCACCTCACCTCACCTCACCTTACCTCACCTCTTATTGAAGAGATATAAGGAACATTTATGGCTTGAGGGCCTAATGTAGCGGCCATAAAATTTCCGAGTCCCGTGATGGGACTCGAACCACGGACCTTCTGATCCGAGGTCGGACGCCTTGTCCACATGACCAAAGAGGTTAACCCCGTCAGCAAGCTGACAAGGTAAGGATGTCATCTGTGGGATGACTCCACGTCCCGCTACACTAAAACCAATTAAACCGATCAAATTTATTCCCTAACTGCGACGATTCAACCTGCTCGAGATATGATGCGATGTTACTAACCACTTACGCTATCACCATGGAGTCCGTGTTTATACTGTCTTTCTGCCATGGTTAATTCGGTATTAACCAGCAATGTTATCAATTCGATCTTTGAACTGTTCATTCGTTCGAAAAAACAACAACCAAAAGAATTTGTCGATTGATGTGTACTTCAGCTGTATAACATTGGACTACATGTATGTTGCAAAGTTTCTACTTCGCCTTTTCCAGATCAACCACACAGTTTCTGTACCAGTGGGAGAGGTCAGATCGCCCTATACCCCGGTCAGCCAGGGTGCTTGACCACAGTCGTGTGTTGGTGATAGAGGACGCTAAGCTCGAGGACAGTGGCAACTACACCTGCACCGTCAGTCGGGGAACGTCGGCCAGAGACAGCAAGACCTACTACCTTGATATAGCTGGTAAGAATACGCGGATCTAGAGTTGGGGTAGGGTGGTGGCTGGGCTTGGGGTTAGGGATGAAACACATTCAACATTTATGAATTCGGGGATTGTATAGGTGATCCGGTAAACTAAAGATAAACACATTACAACATTATGAACAAAATATATACCCTTGCTTTTCCAAATAGTCGTACTTTAAACATATTAAACATTTATACGCTCGGGCAATTGGTGAGTGATCGGCAACTCTACAACTTACTCCTACGTTTATTGAAAGTAAATTGATAAATCACAAACGGCCGTGATATTTTTCCAATAGCCGTGCGTAAGTTATCTCATACACACTCGTTAGAAATGGGTTTATTTCGACAATAATATACGTAATAGTAGAGAAATACTTGACAAATAGAATTCTACTTCACTTCTTCCCTGTTGGTATGTATCGCATACCAACATGATCACCCACGTCAAGGTTTTCTGGATATAAGAATGTTTTGGGAAAAGAACTGCTTTGTACATTTGTCAGTTATAATACGATAACCTTATTACTGTGGGAGGAAAGTCCGCAGTGATGTAGTCCTGTACTTCTTTGATACATTTCATGAGTACGGACATGGAACTGTTAAACCAAGGGTCATAATCAGGGCGAGTTCCACTGTCAAAGGACCTTTCTGGCTTCAATGGCACAGCAAATTACGACCATGCTTTTTGATTAGGATACCTACATGTAACTGATTTTCCTGTCATTAACCTTTTGATGCAAGAAAATGAATTCATCAACTGTATGTTGGTATAATCGTTAGATATTGTTTTCAGCGAAGCCCTACTTCATCGTTCCCCTCCAAAACCAGCACGTGGATATCAACTCCCAGCTGACCTGGCGCTGTGTGGCTCGCGCTAGTCCCAACCCGACCTACATGTGGTATAAGAACGGGGAGATACTACAGCAGGTGCCAGGGGATACCCTCATCACTGGTTCCACCCTCACCATCTTAAAGCTTCACCCAGAGAAACACAACGGCATGTACCAGTGTTCAGCTAAAAACACTCACGGCGAAACCATGAGTGCCGCTCAACTAAGAGTACTGTGTAAGTTGAGTGTTCAAAGTAGACTTTAGGGTCGGTCTGGTAGCCTAGTGGTTAAAGCGTTCGCGCGTCACGCCGAAGACCTGGGTTCGATTCCCGACATGGGTACAATGTGTGAAGCCCATTTCTGGTGTTCCCGCCGTGATATTGCTGGAATATAGTGCTAAAAGCGGCGTTAAACCATACCCACTCACTCACTCACTCAAAGTAGACTTATTGGAGTTTTTTCTTTAAGTTTTAGTTTCACAAATAGTTTTGATCGAGAAAAGGTCTCGAAGTTCCTTTGCTGAAATGGTAATTCATTCCACAGTTTATTAGAGGATGGAATAAACGAGAATTCACAAATCTTTGTACGTAATGTAATTAATTATCATTATATTATGAGGAGGTCTAAGCTTGTTTGTAATGTTTGAACCGACAGTGTGATGCACAAGGTCGTTAATGCATGATAGTGTTATTTCGTTCTGCAACTTATTGAATATACACGAGTTTTTTCTCATACCCTATAAAGGGAGGGGCTCAGAAGAAGCTCAACATATCATGTTTTAACAGAAGTAGAGCTTGGCAATCCAGTCTTCCTGTTTAAAGTTGAAGGTTGCCTTCTGGCTCCATCTGCTCAGCATTATGGCGTTCAATCAGCTAGGTCCGAAATTGTCGTCATTCGCTCCTCCTAGTCGACACCTAAGACATGCTTGCTATATTCCACTGCCTCACATGGGTACAAATGTTGAAAGATGTCATTTAGTGGACTGAAAATTCCAAAACATACATGGCGTTATTCGTAGGGCGTATTTAGAGTGAAGTCCCTACTCCATCCACCCGTGTATCGCTCTGTTCATGGTAGTTGTGGAGCAGAACTGATTGATCACGACTGACCAACTACTGACCCTTTTTACTGTGCCATCGACAAAACAACCAAGTAATGCATTTATGTTGATCAAAATGAGTTTACGAAAATCTAGTACACCTCTCATCGACGATTATTTACACTTGTGAAATTTAAAATGTTCAATCCTAATAAATGGGATTTTACAATCATTATCAATCCTGAGTAAATAACGTTTTAGTCAGAGATCTAAAGATTATTTCATTTGTTGTAATACTATTATTTGTATCACTCATTTTAAATCTTGCTTCAACTTTGCTAAAGGGTTTAAATACATCACGCTGTTTACACTTTGCAGCCATTGCACCAACGTTCCATAAGCACCCGTTGCCTCGGTACACCAAGGGGGCGGTTCGCGGTAACGTGACCATAATGTGTGAGCCAGAGGGCGCTCCTCAGCCAAAGATCTCGTGGTTTAAAAACGGCGCCGAACTTCCTGAAAATTCAGGTCACTACCGTCTACTTCGTAATGGCAACATTGTGGTCACAGACCTCCAACTATCAGATGAAGGAACATACAGATGTACAGCAACCAATGAAATAGGGGAAGCATCCAGTGCAACAAAACTGACTGTCAGCAGTAAGTGGCACATAACACTACTATGTTGTATATAGATAATGACAATGGGAAAAATCTAGTTCAGCTATAAGTGGCACATAACACTACTTTATTGTATATAGATTATGACAATGGGAAAAATCTAGTTCAGCTGTAAGTGGCACATAACACTACTATATTGTATATAGATTATGACAATGGGGAAAATCTAGTTCAGCTATAAGTGGCACATAACACTACTATGTTGTATATAGATCATGACAATGGGGAAAATCTAGTTCAGCTATAAGTGGCACATAACACTGCTATATTGTATATAGATTATGACAATGGGGAAAATCTAGTTCAGCTATGGGTGGCACATATATAACCTTTTATTCCTCAATTAAGAAGAGTACAGAAAAAGCAGAAAATAATAGATGAACATTTATCAGAACAACATATTATTTTGCATTAAATATGCAGAATGGTAATGCTGATATATTGGGTGTTAGTTGAACACCATTTTAAACATTGGCTTGACATATTTAAGCTATAAGTGGCATAGAATATTACAAAATTGTATATAGATTATAACAATGGGAAAATGGAATATTGGGAAAATGGGAAATAGGATATTAACGTGATAGTTATTGTATGGAATGTAGAATGTTAACATGACAGTAATTGTATGGAATGTAGGATGTAAACATGAAGGTTATTGCATGAAATGTAGGATGTTAACGTGATAGTTATTCTATGGAATGTAGAAAGTTAACGTGACAGTTATTGTATGAAATGAAGAATGTTAACGTGATAGTTATTGTATGGAATGTAGAATGTTAACGTGATAGTTATTGTGTGGAATGTATAATGTTAATGTGATAATCATTGTATGAAATGTTGAATGTTAACGTGATAGTTATTGTATGAAATGTTGAATGTTAACGTGATATTTATTGTGTGGAATGTAGGATGTTAACGTGACAGTTATTGTGTGGAATGTAGAATGTTAACGTGATAGTTATTGTATGAAATGTTGAATGTTAACGTGCTAGTTATTGTATGAAATGTTGAATGTTAACGTGATATTTAATGTGTGGAATGTAGGATGTTAACGTGATAGTTATTGTGTGGAATGTAGAATGTTAACGTGATAGTTATTGTATGAAATGTTGAATGTTAACGTGACAGTTATTGTGTGGAATGTAGAATGTTAACGTGATGGTTATTCTATGGAATGTAGGATGTTAATGTAATAGTTAATGTATGAAATGTTGAATGTTAACGTGATAGTTATTGTATGAAATGAAGGATGTTAACGTGATAGTTGTTGTATGGAATGTAGAATGTTAACGGGATAGTTATTGTGTGGAATGTAGGATGTTAACGTGATTGTTATTGTATGGAAGTGTTGAATGTTAACATGACAGTAATTGTATGGAATGTAGGATGTTAACATGAAGGTTATTGCATGAAATGTAGGATGTTAACGTGATAGTTATTGTATGGAATGTAGAAAGTTAACGTGATAGTTATTGTATGGAATGTAGAATGTTAACATGACAGTTATTGTGTGGAATGTAGGATATTAACATGAAGGTTATTGCATGAAATGTAGGATGTTAACATGACAGTTATTGTATGAAATGTAGGATGTTAACGTGATGGTTATTGTATGGAATGTAGGATATTAACGTGATAGTTATTGTATGGAATGTAGAATGTTAACATGACAGTAATTGTATGGAATGTAGGATGTAAACATGAAGGTTATTGCATGAAATGTAGGATGTTAACGTGATGGTTATTGTATGGAATGTAGGATATTAACGTGATAGTTATTGTATGGAATGTAGAATGTTAACATGACAGTAATTGTATGGAATGTAGGATGTAAACATGAAGGTTATTGCATGAAATGTAGGATGTTAACGTGATAGTTATTCTATGGAATGTAGAAAGTTAATGTGACAGTTATTGTATGAAATGAAGAATGTTAACGTGATAGTTATTGTATGGAATGTAGAATGTTAACATGACAGTTATTGTGTGGAATGTAGGATGTTAACATGAAGGTTATTGCATGAAATGTAGGATGTTAACGTGATAGTTAGTGTATGGAATGTAGAATGTTAACATGATAGTTATTCTATGAAATGTAGGATGTTAACGTGATGGTTATTGTATGAAATGTAGGATGTTAACATGATAGTTATTGTATGTAGTATAGAATGGTAACATGGTAGTTATTGTATGGAATATAGAATGTTAACGTGATAGTTATTGTATGGAATGTAGAATGTTAACGTGATAGTTATTGTATGGAATGTAGGATGTTAACGTGATAGTTATTGTGTGGAATGTAGAATGTTAACGTGATAGTTATTGTATGGAATGTAGAATGTTAACGTGATAGTTATTGTGTGGAATGTAGGATGTTAACGTGATAGTTATTGTGTGGAATGTAGAATGTTAACGTGATAGTTATTGTATGGAATGTAGAATGTTAACGTGATAGTTATTGTGTGGAATGTAGAATGTTAACGTGATAGTTATTGTATGGAATGTAGAATGTTAACATGACAGTTATTGTGTGGAATGTAGGATGTTAACATGAAGGTTATTGCATGAAATGTAGGATGTTAACGTGATAGTTAGTGTATGGAATGTAGAATGTTAACATGATAGTTATTCTATGAAATGTAGGATGTTAACGTGATGGTTATTGTATGAAATGTAGGATGTTAACATGATAGTTATTGTATGTAGTATAGAATGGTAACATGGTAGTTATTGTATGGAATATAGAATGTTAACGTGATAGTTATTGTATGGAATGTAGAATGTTAACGTGATAGTTATTGTATGGAATGTAGGATGTTAACGTGATAGTTATTGTGTGGAATGTAGAATGTTAACGTGATAGTTATTGTATGGAATGTAGAATGTTAACGTGATAGTTATTGTATGGAATGTAGAATGTTAACGTGATAGTTATTGTGTGGAATGTAGGATGTTAACATGAAGGTTATTGCATGAAATGTAGGATGTTAACGTGATAGTTAGTGTATGGAATGTAGAATGTTAACATGATAGTTATTCTATGAAATGTAGGATGTTAACGTGATGGTTATTGTATGAAATGTAGGATGTTAACATGATAGTTATTGTATGTAGTATAGAATGGTAACATGGTAGTTATTGTATGGAATATAGAATGTTAACGTGATAGTTATTGTATGGAATGTAGAATGTTAACGTGATAGTTATTGTATGGAATGTAGGATGTTAACGTGATAGTTATTGTGTGGAATGTAGGATGTTAACGTGATAGTTATTGTGTGGAATGTAGAATGTTAACGTGATAGTTATTGTATGGAATGTAGAATGTTAACGTGATAGTTATTGTGTGGAATGTAGAATGTTAACGTGATAGTTATTGTATGGAATGTAGAATGTTAACATGACAGTTATTGTGTGGAATGTAGGATGTTAACATGAAGGTTATTGCCTGAAATGTAGGATGTTAACGTGATAGTTAGTGTATGGAATGTAGAATGTTAACATGATAGTTATTCTATGAAATGTAGGATGTTAACGTGATGGTTATTGTATGAAATGTAGGATGTTAACATGATAGTTATTGTATGTAGTATAGAATGGTAACATGGTAGTTATTGTATGGAATATAGAATGTTAACGTGATAGTTATTGTATGGAATGTAGAATGTTAACGTGATAGTTATTGTATGGAATGTAGGATGTTAACGTGATAGTTATTGTGTGGAATGTAGAATGTTAACGTGATAGTTATTGTATGGAATGTAGAATGTTAACGTGATAGTTATTGTATGGAATGTAGAATGTTAACGTGATAGTTATTGTGTGGAATGTAGGATGTTAACATGAAGGTTATTGCATGAAATGTAGGATGTTAACGTGATAGTTAGTGTATGGAATGTAGAATGTTAACATGATAGTTATTCTATGAAATGTAGGATGTTAACGTGATGGTTATTGTATGAAATGTAGGATGTTAACATGATAGTTATTGTATGTAGTATAGAATGGTAACATGGTAGTTATTGTATGGAATATAGAATGTTAACGTGATAGTTATTGTATGGAATGTAGAATGTTAACGTGATAGTTATTGTATGGAATGTAGGATGTTAACGTGATAGTTATTGTGTGGAATGTAGAATGTTAACGTGATAGTTATTGTATGGAATGTAGAATGTTAACGTGATAGTTATTGTATGGAATGTAGAATGTTAACATGATAGTTATTGTATGTAGTATAGAATGGTAACATGATAGTTATTGCATGGAATGTAGAATGTTAACATGACAGGTACTGTATGGAATATAGAATGTTAACGTGATAGTTATTGGAAGTAATATAAAATGTTCCCCAGAAAGTAATTGAACATGTCCTTGTGTTCAGGAGAAACAAGAATCAGTACAGCCCCAACTAACACGAAGGTGCTGGTCAACACGACTGCCTTCTTCTACTGCCAAGCGTCGTTTGACCCTCACCTGGACATGGTGTATGTTTGGACATTCAACGGCAGGATGATCGACTTTCATGATCAGACACACTTTATACAGGTGAGATGTGTCCATGTTGGGTTTCCTGTCAGGACAGTTTTGACCTCGGGTACACAGCTCAATCAACAACTCAAGAGCATGTTGTGTTTGCTTGAATCCTTATTGGTGGCATGAGATATACCACAGTGGCCAAGACGCTGAACCACACTTTTATATAACAGTTATATCTCTTATGACGACAGAAACGTCACTGTTAAAGCGTGGTATCTTATCACAATCAGTTAATGAAGTGGTGCAGGAGCAAAGTCAGGTTACAAAGTGTTCTGTTCAACACCTACTTCATAAAAGGTCTGACTAAACAGTTTTGTCCAGGAGAGCCCACTGAACATTCTAGGTACTATGTGATTCGCTATTATAGGGTAGGTAAAACACTAGAGGCAGTCTGGTATCTATTGTAAAATTAGGTTCATTTTATTAATATATCTGCATGTCGGGACAGTATATTTGTAATAACTGTTACATGAGTCATAAATGTATGAAATATGACCAAGAGTTACGTCAGCCAATACATTTCATAAATGGCCATTCTGAAAACAGTATAGTACATACCTACTTTGGTCAATGATTGCTTTAATATGTTTCATTCAATGATAACACTGAGCATATTTAGTGTATTAGTGCCTATTAATAATTCCTTGATGTAAATCCAGTCGAGACCTAATATCCGTCGGTTGGCCATGATAGACATTTTGGCCGCCATTCCCAACCTGTTTTTTTAGAAATATCTTGCTTAGTACTGCATTGACAGTCATGTCACATATGTGTCTCAATCCCACCATGCAGATATATTGTATAAAGTGAACCTATTTTCATAGATACCTGACATTAGACTGCCTCTAGTTTTTACCTACTCTATTATTTGGGATGAAACAGCAAACAGAAACAGCAAGCCTCCCACGGGACTTAGCCTCTAGATTAAACCAACAAGCGAATGAAATGACAGTCCTTGTGTATTATTTGCAAAAATGAAATGTTTTATTTCTTTACACCTTTTTCATTAAAGGACACTAACCCCCTGAAGACGGGTATCTACATCCTGAATGTAGGCTTTAAAAACGCCGGCGAGTACAGATGTACGGCTGAAACAACCCTTGAGGAAGACAGTAGAATGGCCGTGCTCACTGTCATGGGTACGTCATGTCCAACGTCATAGTGACGTCAAGGGACCAAACCTAATGTCCAAGTAGATCCCTGTCCTGATATTGTCTCAGCCCTAGGGGGATTCTTGGAAGAATAGGTTTCCAGTATCCCTTGCATTTCGGACCGCCTCCGTGGTCTAGTGGTAGAGCGTGCGCCCGGAGAGAGGAAGGTCCGGGGTTCGATCCCCGGCCGCGTGATGCCAAAATACGTTAAAAGATGGTACTTGTTGTTACCCTGTCTGGCGCTCGGCATTAAGGGGCTTAAACAAGAACTGGTCGGCTCGGAGTCAGTATACTCTGTCTGAGTGTGGTATTCATGTTAAACTGCAGCATGGTATCTCAGTGAGCTAGCACTATAAATCGGCATCAGTCCGGACTAGTACAAGCAGCCACACACACGTACATGCACGTCGCTATATAAGTGCAATAATCTTGGACGCGACGTTAAACCCCATTTCACCTCACCTCACCCATGCATTTCGTGAGATCCGACTAAAGAGAATCAGATGATCAGGCTCGGCGACTTGGCTGATTGCATGTTATCGTTGCTCATACTGGATAGCCTGGAACAGACTGAAAGACAAGAAGACTGCAGAGACATCGCTGAAATATTGCTGCCTGTAAATCACCCACTAACTCACTAGATGACACTCGCTCATCAGACCTCCAAATAAGCTCCGTACTTGCGTAATAAAACAAAATGACCATCACCAAATTTTGAGTTGCTTGCGTACAGATACGTAATTAAATATATTAAAATCCCAAAAGTATAAATACTTTGCGTAATTATCCAATGCATGAAATACGTCTACGTGGTGACGTTATGCTGATTAGACATGTGTGTCGCTGTAGTGAGTTAATGCGACATGGTACACACTTGGGGCGGCACACGATCAGATACAAATTAGAATTCACATGAAATAGCGCTTTTAGCAGACTTATTGAAATAAGCTATCTACTAATTGATGTAAAAATACCTAATAGACTGGCCCAAAGGTTTTAAAACTATATTAAATACCCTAAGAAAACCTTCAATACCCAATGTGAATGATAAATTACAGTAAAGTACGGTTATAACGAACTCAAAGGGACTACTAATTTTAGTTCGTTTTAACCGTAGTTCGTTATAAGCATATATACAGCATAACTACAGCAAATAGTCGGGACCAAAAAAGTAAGTTCGTTATATCCGTAAGTTCGTTATAAGCGTGTTCGTTATAACCGTAGTTTACTGTATGAGTAGATACTCAATGGTTAAAAGAATCTGGTTCTGGAACCATGTCTCATTCAACTTTAGGATCGATCTAAGCTTTGGGTAGAGGGGACTAGGAGCTGATGGGTATTCATTCCAACATAGAAATGGTTCTAATGATTAGAATTGGTAACATTTGTACACTTCCAACCGTTGTGTAAACGGCTTTAATATGTGTAATGATCTTACGGCATTGTCATTTTCCTAGTTGTCTTAACGACTGTATCAAAGCAATGTCATAAAAATCAGATAGTTCTCGCTACCGTTAAACAAAGATATGAGGACATATCATGACCGGTCACGTCAGAATGACGTTTCGCGAATGACCGACCAATGAAATCACTCAAACGAAGAGGACATTAGCCAATAAAAAAGCAGTTTTCTCGAACTTTACGGCACCAGTTTCAATCTGGCGACTTTCATTCCAGACGGCTTTGACAAATATTTTGAGAAAGTTCTCTTCTAAGATTTTGAAAATTGAACAAAAGAAAATTCTGGAATGTGTAACAGATGGCCGAGATTGTGTGGCGGTACGTCCCGCGGGCTATAGGAAGTCTCTTCCGTTTCAAATGTTTATTCAGCTGAAGCGAGAGACAGACCATCAATTTGACGGAATCAGTCCGTATCTGTCGTGTGAAATACACCGAGGTTCCGTTCTTAGAAAACACATTCCGACTGTCACTTTCCCAATATGACTGGTCGGATGAAAAGTCGTTCTTACGTGACCCGTAATGGGATGTCTTCAGGTTTTGTTTAGCGGTAGCGAGAACTATGATCTCATTTTAATGACATTGTTTTCAATCCAGAGGCGGTTTTTAATCCCCGTTTCAATGAATGCTCAAATGAATCATTTATGACTTTTGAGAACAAGACAAATATATTTGATGTGTTTCTGGTTCACGGTACCCCGAGTCAGTCCACAATGATCTAACTCGTAGCTGTGGACAAGAACAGTATATGTGTTAAAATACCTTTTTGTCGGTGCACAGGACCCCCCGGAGAGCCTGCGGGTGTGTTTGTTGAGGGAGGGAGCGTGACAAGTCACGGGGCCCAAGTACGATGGTCGCCGGGTGCGTCACGTGGACGTCAGATACTGTACTACGTCATAGAAACAGCCACCAACTTTGACCCGAAATGGAGAGAAATAGTCCGAAGTAAGTTGTGTACAGTTACCCTGACAATACCAGCAACAAATCTGTTCAGCGTTCTGCAATGAATGGCATCGCAAGATACGCAGTCGTAGATACGCCACATATTTAAACCCGGCGAAGACACACTTCCAGAACCAAGAAGGGTGCGCGCTGGTTTCTTGAATCGTATGTTGGGAAATGCTTCAAGCAGCAAGTTTTTGCAATGCATGTACGGTTTAATAAGGGTTACTGTTTATAGTTTTCTTTTTCATTGCAAACTAAAATTACATGTATCTCAGTCTTTTTGTCGATCAAATTATTTTCTAGTTTAAACCCCAAACATTTTACAAAAATAGCAAAACTTGAATTTGATGTGGTCGACTTTTAGCTATGCATCTTTTTGATCATGTACACCGGCTATCATGGAAATTAACTTTTACATCATACAGCCTCATGTCATTGCTTGACTTGAAATAGACACCATTACACAATTTTTCGACCGCATGTACTAATGTGCACACGTATTATTCGCCAAAGCCACACACTTAAGCACGCTCAATGCCGTACTTTCTTACCCCGGTCAAGGGATCAGCGTGTACTCAATTTTCATTCTCAGCTTCCTAGGGAGTATACGTGTGATGGAGAAAGGTTACGTATGCAATCCCGTGACGTATTGACGGTGATTGTGCTCGGAACTAATGTACTTCTCTGGTTACGTTACAGATCTGCCAGACATCATGACTCTTAATGACCAAGAGTCACTACAACACATACGGCAAGCGGACGTCGTGGGGCTCAAACCAGGAACCGGTTACATATTCAGAATCAGAGCCATAAACCAGTATGGGATTGGAGATCCGAGTCTGCCATCACGTAATTACACTGCAAATCTGCGTATATGAGTGAGTGAGTGAGTTGGGTTTAACGCTGCTTTTAACAGTATTCCAGTTATATCGCGGCGTGTCAGTTAAATGTGGGAGGAAAGCCCGAAGTGATGCAGGTCTCAGACGTTTACCACTTCGGTGAAACCCACGAGCACGGGTGCTGACAAACCTAGAAACATAATCGGGGCGAACCGGGATTCGAACCCACAATCATAGGTTTCTGGCGTGTCCATGGGACGCAACTCTGCACATCGAATCGCGGCGCCTTAGACGACTGGGCCACCCGTGCCCCCTGCGTATATGACTAACCCCTTATGGGATGCCATACTCATTCGGACCTATTGCAAGAATAAGGTTTTACGCCACTGTGAACAGTATTTGAGTCCGTGACGGCGTATCAGGCAGAGGTGAGGCTGATCGTATAAGATTAACCCACGAGCAGAGATTGTTGGTTGGTTGGTTGGTTGTTTTACGCCGCTCTCAGCAAAATTCCAGCTATATGATGGCTGTCTGTAAATAATCGAGTCTAGACCAGACAATCCAATGACTGATATCACGAGCATCGATCCACGCAATTGGGATCGATGACATGCATCAACCAAGTCAGCGAGCCTGACCACCCGATCCCGTTAGCCGCCTCTTACGACAAGCATAGTGGCCTTTCCAGGAATTGTAATCAGGGCGAATTTGGGATTCGAACAAAATGATTGTCGGATCCTTGCACATCCTGGACAGAGCGAAGTGTGGCGCCACAAACGACTGAGCCCTTACTGTCTGTAATTGTACCGTTATAATGACCATGGGCACGTTTGTTTTAACTTTCATTTCATTTGTTTCATTTATCATGCAATTCTTTTTGTAGCGTTCATACAGACGCCGAGTGCCCCACCCATCAAATCCCCGGATAACGTGAGGGGAGGAGGGGGAAGCGTGGGGGACCTGACCATTGCGTGGGACGTGAGTATTCGACTTTCGCCACCTTAAAAAAACTGACGCAATCCATCTTCCCCGGGGAGTAGAGTATGGAAAGGAGGTTCGCTTTGTATACTTCACAGGGAGCTGAGAAAGAAAATCGAGTGCACACTGATCCATTAATAATGTTGTTAGTGCTTTGAGCATACTTCAACTGATGGACTATAGAGCATTACAAATATCCATTTATTATTATCATCATCATCATCACTATCATCATCATTAGTAATAGTAAACCTTCTGAGAACGTTTACTGGACCTATTTATGTATTATGTGCTACACAGCCTATGCCCCCCGACGACCACGGCGGTTCCGGTATCGGCTACAACATCTACTACAGACTCAAAGACGGCAAGGATGGACTGTGGCAATACGTGAGTAGACCCGAGTGATATCGCCACCGACGCTAGTGACACGTGTTATTCTGTCGGCCGTAGTCATGCATCAGTAATTGTTAATCGTGGATCATGTAGCTAAAGATTATTTTATCGATAGTTTTTAAAAAAACAGTTCATCAGTTCTTATGTGTCTTCCCGAGCCAAGGGTGTTAACTGACTGTAAAAGTCCAGTTTCCACCCTTGCCGAACTACGCTGGAATGTCGTGGCTCGATCGTAACACCACCAGTGACTATTACGAGTTACGTCCCTTCAATGGTCCTCCTATTGACCAATCAGATACCACCCCTCACATCACTGATATTTATTTCAAACAAAATGGCGGCGCTCAGTCAAGACGATTTGATCGATAATCAAGATCTCTATTGTCGTAAAATTGGTCTTACCCAGCGAAGTGCATCAAATCATTTGAGCAACTTCATTAAATACATGAAAAGTTTTGGAAAACTATCTATCAACGCCCATTTGGATGTACACATGCTTTACAAATACTGCAGGCGACGGAAATCTGCACATTGAAATCCATGTTGTTTACGAACCGGATGTATAGTTCGTTGCGCGAATTTTATTGGACTGTGCATAAGCTCGTTAGTCCAGCCAAAATGTAACTCCGGAATTCAAGCCTATTTCGGCAAGGGTGGAAACTGGACTTTTACAGTCCGTTAACTCCCTAGCTCCGGGAAGATGTTTCTTCTGTAGTTCATAATGACTATGTTGCGTTCAGTGCTGGTTGAGAACAAATAACACAATTATTTAATCTCAATTTCCCTATGGGTCCTGGTACTATAAAGAACATTATTACTTGCCCGTGAAGAGATCACCCGTTTAATAAACATACAGCTTTATTACACATTGTGTAATACCAAAACGCGTGCTTATGTACTCTCTGAACACGTTTCACGAACAAATATTGAAAGCTCTCAACATCCCTTGGCTTATTCAACGACATTGCGTGTGGAGTTGATAGGTCACTGAGAGGAGCTTATGCACACTCGATGACCCCAGCAACCTTGTTGCTAGGCTGACGTCACATGGCATTGTTTCGCCGATGGATCTTGCATCAAAATTCCACAAATTACGTCATCGGGTATTGTGACGTTATTGAAAACTTTGAGGTGCAAGGCACGTTCCACAAGGCGATCGTATTGTAGCCCAACGACAGTCGTTGGTCTAAGTTAAAGTATGTGAGATGCGAAAGTCTTAGCCCTACGATAACTTGGTGAATTCTAAAGGTAGACCCGTTGTATGGTATGAAATTCATACGTTTCAACTTTTGACGTGTTTAAAGTATTATTCTGTTAAACTCAATTGGACTATGTCGTGGATCATGTAGGTGTCAGCCTATTCATACTCAACAGTATAATTAAAAAACCCGTTATAAATTGCAAGTAATAAATAAAATACTAAACTCGCTCCCGTGTAAAACCAATTTTATGAAACTCGTGAATAGTTGTGGTATCTGACTCGCTTTCGCTCGTCAGATACCACAACTATTCACTCGTTTCATAAAATTGGTATTACACGGGAGCTCGTTTAGTATTCTATATTTATCTTTGTCACACGATCCATTATATTGGGGATATATATATGGTTTCGTTTCTGTTTGTCATGCTCTGATGGGACGGATTTGTGCTTTTGGCCTGGTTCATTTATTAACTCACCACATGAAATGGGTGCATTATTGATGATTGGTGAGTAAAACAACATTCACTCACTATCCTTCTGTTCTATTTCCCAAGGGCAAGGTCGTGGGGAACCAGGAAAAGTACGTGGCTCTCGTGGGAAATGATTATTATTACCTGGAGTATGAGGTCAAGGTTCAGGCCTTCAACGTGAAGGGTCTCGGTCCCAACTCTACCATTGAAATCGTGTACTCGGCGGAGGCCCGTGAGTCATGCTTAGTGAACTGTATCTTGATTATATCACTGTGTGTGGCTGTGAGGTGTAATGTTTGGTATTGTGAATGCATAACATCTCAAAGGATATACCCTTTCATATTCGGGAAGGAGGAGGGTAGAAGGGGAGGGGGTGTGAGTGAGGCCTGGGAGGGTTTTAGACAAAATAAGTTTTCAGTGTCGTTCGTCCCAAAACATTGTCTGGCAAATGTCTCTCTAAAAGGGGGAGCTAGACAGCTTTCGGGAACGTATTATTGTTTCAGAACATGAACAATGGCCAGAACGATCTTTTGTTGTAAAATCTGAGAAAATATTTTTTAAGCATTTTCGAGTATAGATTATTATGCTTGATGAATTCCCAGTTCCACTCTTCCCCCTAGAATGTCAAATGGTTCGGGCTCACCGGTCGGACCCACAAGTATCAAATGGTTCGGGTTCTACGGTAGGACCCACAAGTATCAAATGGTTGGCATGTACGGTATGCCCTACAAGTATCAAATGGTTCGGGCTCACCGGTCGGACCCACAAGTATCAAATGGTTCGGGCTCACCGGTCGGACCCACAAGTATCAAATGGTTCGGGTTCTACGGTAGGACCCACAAGTATCAAATGGTTGGCATGTACGGTATGCCCTACAAGTATCAAATGGTTCGGGCTCACCGGTCGGACCCACAAGTATCAAATGGATGGCATGTACGGTATGCCCTACAAGTATCAAATGGTGGGGCTCTACGGTAGGACCCACAAGTATCAAATGTTCGGGTTCTACGGTAGGACCCACAAGTATCAAATAGGTGGCATGTACGGTATGCCCTACAAGTATCAAATGGTTCGGGCTCTCCGGTCGGACCCACAAGTATCAAATGGATGGCATGTACGGTATGCCCTACGTGTATCAAATGATTCGGGCTCTACGGTATGCCCTACAAGTATCAAATGGGTGGCATGTACGGTATGCCCTACAAGTATCAAATGGTGGGGCTCTACGGTAGGACCCACAAGTATCAAATGTTCGGGTTCTACGGTAGGACCCACAAGTATCAAATAGGTGGCATGTACGGTATGCCCTACAAGTATCAAATGGTTCGGGCTCTCCGGTCGGACCCACAAGTATCAAATGGATGGCATGTACGGTATGCCCTTCTTGTATCAAATGGTTCGGGCTCTCCGGTCGGACCCACAAGTATCAAATGGATGGCATGTACGGTATGCCCTTCTTGTATCAAATGGTTCGGGCTCTACGGTATGCCCTACAAGTATCAAATGGATAGCATGTACGGTATGCCCTACGTGTATCAAATGGTTCGGGCTCTACGGTATGCCCTACAAGTATCAAATGGATGGCATGTACGGTATGCCCTACGTGTATCAAATGTTCGGGTTCTACGGTAGGACCCACAAGTATTAAATGGATGACATGTACGGTATGTCCTACAAGTATCAAATGGTTCGGGCTCTACGGTCGATCTTACAAGTATCAAAAGAGGACATTCCCATGATAACGCATGATGTAACTGCTACAGTAATCTTACGTGTTTCTCAATTGTATATGTAATTCTTCCGTATGTTGACACACATGTCTTCGTTCAGTGCCGGTGGGAGTGCCGTCCAACATCGGGGCTGACGGCTATAACGGGACCTGCCTGGAGGTGTGGTGGGACCCTGTTCCGGACACAAGAGAGTACATGAAAGGACGGGTCAAAGGTTATCAGGTAACAGAAACGTTCTTGAGGCAACCAGAGGCGGTGGGGTAGCCTAGAAGTTTAAGCTTTCGCTTATCACACCGAACACCCGGGTTCGATTCCCCACACGGGTATAATGTGTGAAACCCATTTTTTGTTGGCCTTCTGCTGATGTACTTGCTGTCAAAGAGAGGTTATGCCTTGTTTTTTTAATTAGAAAACAGTACCATAACTAGACGACAAAATCGAATTAGAATGCGTCCTTAAAAGTATTTTTCCAGTGTGATTGCAAAGAGTATGGTCGCTATGGAACCTCACAGTTATATACCATTTGGCACATGCTGTAGTTATAGTGGACGAGAAGTAGTTCTGTGTCAGTTGTGTTTATTAATCATTACCTTTATGTGGTCAATACAGCCTTGAGTTTTGTACTGATGAAAACCCATTGCCCCGATATACACGAACAAATTGACAGAACACAATCATACTTTCGCTCATACAACCCGTGTCCGGAAAAGGGAAATTGTCAGGCTCGGTAAGTTGGTTGATTTGCATGTCATCGTGTTCCATTTGCGTGGATCGATATTCATAATGCCACTCACAGGATTCTCTGGTCCAGGCTCGATTATTTGCAGACCACCGTCATACAGATTGAATATTGCTGAGAGCGGCGAAGAGCCCTAACACTACGTACATTTGTGTGGTGCGCATTCATTTTGAATTTATGTTTCAAACATCGTTACACAATGTGTCAATGCATAATCAACACTGAACAATAGGCGAAATAATCATATGAATTTTCACAAATAGTATTGCGCTTACGAAAAGAAATAACTGTATCATATCAGTTATTTCGATGCTTCGAAAGAGATATTTTTCGTCTATATGAAATGTGATTAGCAAACTATGACAATACATTTTCAAATGATGAATTTTTTTATAACAAATGAGAAACATGCCCGCTGTTTGATAAAAAAAGATGAAGCATTCATAAAATCCACGCATTACCCCAGCTGGAATCTTTTACGTCCGCGTTGGTATGGAAACAGTGTCCAAAAAGATATAGGCCACGGATATTCTGTTCACTGGACAATGTACTGTAATCTCCTATCTCCGTCTATGGCTCCTACACACCACCAGATCAACTACTGCCCCCGTCTATACGTCACCCTACACACCACCAGATCAACTACTGCCCCCGTCTATACGTCACCCTACACACCACCAGATCAACTACTGCCCCCGTCTATACGTCACCCTACACGCCACCAGATCAACTACTGCCCCTGTCTATACGTCACCCTACACACCACCAGATAAACGACTGCCCCCGTCTATACGTCACCCTACACACCACCAGATCAACTACTGCCCCCGTCTATAATGGCCCCGTTTATGCCTCTCTCTCCCTCTCTTTACCCCCATATCAACTAGTGACCTACGATAGGTTCCCTTTCCACACGCAACCCCCCCCCCCCCCCCCCCCCCCTCCGAAAATAAAAAAAGAAACAACAAAAAAAGACAAAAAAAACCAGATCAAATACTGGACCCGTTTATGCCCCTCTCTCTCCCTCTCTTTACCTCCAGATCAACTACTGGCCCAACGATGAGAGTGATCCGACTGACTGGATGCAGTTCATCCGGTTCCCCGGTCAGGTGAGCGAGGGGATGGTCATCGGTCTGGAGCAGAACGGCTGGACATGGATGGACGTCCAGGTATATAACTCGGCCGGACTCGGACCACGGATGGAGGCGTACACACAGGAGACGTTGCATCACGGTAGGTCAGGTCACCTACCGGGCCTCCTGTCTCAGTGAAAGGATTCCTAACTATTCTCCTGTTCCTAACTTCCGAAACTTCAAGTATTATTCAAAGATAACAAGGGCAAAATAAAGTATACCTAGTTTTTTTTTACGAAATTGAAAATTGAAAGAATTATTGTTATTTGATTATGTCCATTCAACCATCACTCATTCCTGCAACAGTTTGTCATCTAGATCTGTGGCTGGGTAATTTTGTGTAAAAATATATTGGTTCAATGGTGACTGGAATAAAAATTGAATTTACAACCACATGACCCTAGTATGTTTGAAATGCTGTAAATTTGTCCCGAAAGCAGAAAAATTGATTTAATTTCACATATAAGATGTCTAAGATACCCATGTGTATTTTGCAAAATGATTTTTAATTTTTAAAAGATTTAAATCAATTTATATATTAATAATTAAAACCACACGGAAGTATTCCATGTGCTGACTAAGCGCCAGTAAGTTATTATTTTAGATATAATATAATTGTTTACCTGATAATATTTTCAATTGAAAATCAAACATATGATTCAATCAACTGAGAGATATACAAGGCCGTAGTTAACTTTTTTTGGACAGGGGGGCAGATATTTGTACAAGTATCACTTGTCCCCAACTTGATTCAAATAAAACTGTTTTCTATATAAAAAATGGCTACGGCACTGATATAGTTTCTTTTTCTTCTAAGCTTATGATTGTGCTTTTATCAACTTATATAATTACGCTAGGACGTATACAAAGTACAACCTTGCTACCCCTTCCTTCTATTCCCCAGCACCACTTCTCTACCCTGAGGAGGTGAGGATCTACTCCCACGGTGGTAACAGTGTGCGGGTATGGTGGCGAGGTATCAGCACCACCATCGCCGAGGACAGCGTCACGGGATTCAAGGTAACGGACACCACACTCTCCCTCGTGAATACCATAGTGCCCCATCAGAACCCTTTCGATACAGCTTCTAATCCTAGTTCTTTTCCACTGTTTACAACACGAGTCCACGTACGTTCACAATCTAAACCCAGCATGGCAAAAAGGGGCATCTACATAAAAACTCAAAATGTTAAGTCGACTAATATGGCAAGGCGTGGTCATTGTGGTAACCCTTCTGCTTGTATGACCCGTGAAGATCCGGGGTAGAATAGGTCTTCAGCAACCCATGCTTGTCGAAAAGGCGACTATGCGTGTCGTAAGAGGCAACTAACGGGATCAGGTGGTCAACCTCGCTGACTTGGTTGATGCATTTCATCGTATCCCAATTGCGTGGATCGATGCTCATGATGTCAGACACGATTATTTACAGACCGCCGTCATATAGCTGGAATATTGCTGAGTGAGGCGTTAAACAACAAACAAACAAACAAACACAAACAAACACAAACAAACACACAATTCTACTTGTGTACTACAATGTAATGTCCAGCTAGATTTTGTACTTGTTAGGGGAAATATGCATTGCAAATGGAACTAAGGAAAAAAATTAAGTTCAATTTAAATTATCACGGGTGATGCATTCGTGCAAATCACTGTAATTTGTTGTGCAGAGTTGCCTCCGTTAGGCGTTTCAGAAACCTATCATGGTCAGTTCGAATTCTAATTATGTTTCTTGGTTTGTCAGCACAATATCTGGGTTCGTGGAATTCGCCAAAGTGGTCATCACTTCAGGCATTCTCTAACATCGAACTGACAACTGAATTCAGCTTAAAACCAAATTCACTCACTGATTAGACCGGTGAAGATCCGGGGAAGAATAGGTCTTCAGCAACCCATGCTTACCGTAAAAGGCGACTATGCTTGTCGTAAAAGGCGACTAACGGGATCGGGCGGTCAGGCTCGCTGACTTGGTTGATGCACGGTCAGCGATCCCAATTGCGTTGATCGATGCTCATGATATCAATCACTGGATTGTCTGGTCCAGACTCGATTATTTACAGACCGCCGTCATATAGCTGGAATTTTGCTGAGTGCGGCGTTAAACAACCAACCAACCAACCAACCACTCACTGATTAATGTGTGATTCAGGTTAACTGATGGTGACATTCGCTGGTGTCCGTTTCTTGTTTCTTAAGTCTACTACCACCTGTAATAAACCATATTCCGGCTGAAGAGTCCCTGATATCACTGCTTCTCTACACAGCTGTACTACTGGCCGGCCAGCGAGGACTACCGGTCAGCTGACATCTTCGAGACCGATGAAGTGGTGGACACGTGTATCCTTGAGGGACTGGACAAAGGGGTGTTATACGCGCTCAGAATAGCCGGGGTCAGTCCTGGAGGCGATGGCAAGAAAACACCAACCAAGTATTTCACTCTGGGTAAGTGTCGGCTTGACATCTGGGCATGCTTAGAATTGGGCACTGTTGGCTCGTCACGAAGACCCGGGTTTGAATCCCGAATGGTTGGTACGCACGGAGCCTATTGCTGGTATGGAACGTTGTGTAATGGGAGCTTATACGATGTCATCGCAGTAAAACCACCACACTCTCGTAGTCAGTAAGATAAGCTTTTAGTAGGAGCAGTTTAGAAAAATGAAACCGGTAGGAAACCCGCGTTGTGTGTCGATGCTCATGCTATCAACCACTGGTTTATCTGGACCAGGCAATTTGTCGTGCTAATAAAATCATATGCACATACTTATAGTAAATCGACTCCAATAGATGCGCTTGGTAGCCCTGGGGTAAAAGCGTTCGCTTATCACATCGAAGACCCGGGTTCAATTCTTCAGACGGGTAGAATGTGTGAAGCCCATTTTGTGTGTCCCCCGCAGTGATACTGCTGGAATATTGCTAAACTCACTCACTCGACTTTTGTGTGCCCATCGCCCGGTGTGTAACTCTGTGTGATAATCTGAGTGTCAGAGGTAACCATGGTACTAGAACAGGGGCGGTCGGGTAGCCTAGTGGTTAAAGCGTTCGCTCGTCACGCCAAAAAACCCGGGTTCGATTCCCGACATGGGTACAATGTGTGAAGCCCATTTGTGGTGTCCACCGCCGTGATATTTATGGAATATTGCTAAAAGCGGCGTAAAACCATATTCACTCACTTACTGGTACTAGAATGGCATCTTGTCCAGGAAATGAAGATCTTTGACAGAAAAAAACATTGTTAAATTATAGTTATAAAAATATAATATAAAGGAGCGCAGACTGCAGTAATCTAGACCTGCCAAATATTTTAAAACTGGCATGGGCTGTATTGGATATATTTGTTTCAGGGTCTGTAGACAGACTACCATGTGACATGAAGCTGCCAATGTAGTTGTCATGGTAACAATGGTGTCATAATTTAAATCACCGCGGATCGAGAATTATGTATTTGCGAGGGTTCGGGATGGGATGCGTGATGATTCTAATCTGTCAATAGGTCAAACCTGTGCTTGATGTATTTTTGTAATTACAGTAAACTACGGTTATAACGAACTCAAAGGGACCACTGATTTTAGTTCCATATAACCGTAGTTTGTTATAAGCATGTATACAGCATATATACATCAAATGCCCAGAACCAAATATATGTTCGTTTTATCCGTCAGTTCGTTATAAGCGTGTTCGTTATAAACGTAGTTTACTGTATTTTGTTGTTTGGTCTTTGGCCTATATGGATAAACTATATGTTCCAGGAGGATCTGTCCGGATCGACTCCACAATGGCGTCATCAATGACCATCAGAGCTGGAGCAAAGAAGTTCCGAGCATCTGTAATAGGTCTGCTCTTGTCGTTATTGCTCGCACTGCATATACTCTGAAGACACGGAAGTTAGAGGTCTCTCATCTATAAAGATTCTGTTTACTTGTGTCTGCACTCTAAGACAAAGGCACGCAGGTATTGAAATTGACATTTATGTGCCTGTTTACATCTCCAGCGCTGATACATGCTGGGAGGGATGCTTGTCTGGTTGCATTTACAAATTAATGTCCTACTTACTTACACAGCTAACCGGAGAATGTACAACGTTCCGCTTTTGTAAGACTAATGCAATACTGCCGACCTCATGTATGAATGTACCCAAATGAAGATATTCATCTTGCTTCATTGAAACCTATCATTGAAATATAGAGCCAGGCAAGGAAGTTGCAAAAATCACAATACAAGTTGTCAAATAACATACAGTAATGCCTCTTTAACTCGAATTACTGGGGACCATAAGAAATATATCGAGTTAAATGTTGTTCGAGACAAGCGGAGCTTAGACCACTGTACGGTTAGACTTCCACTGGGACCACTAAGAGTTGCATGTCCTTAACGACATATCGAGTTCGCAGGTTAACCAGTTTTACGTTAAGTTTGAGGTGACTGTTTCATGAATAATGTCTGAAATTAACGGTGTAACGTGCAAAGGTCAAGGCTGGTAATAACACCATGTTGTACAACAACTGGGGGGCAAGTTAAGTATACCGAGTTTCTTTTCTATGTAATTGAAACTATACCTCTCAATTATTTTATTTGTCATACGTTTAATTTTGAAATATCTTTTGTTAGCAATATTATATCCAAAAAATAAAACCAAGTGTAAGTATTCTTTGAGTGCTGACTAAGCGCCAGTACTCAAAGAATTCTTCCACGTGGTTTTATTTTTTTCAATTATATAATTTGAAATGGAACGTTTAAAAATTTAAACAAATCGCTTAATTCACCACTATTGATGGCTATCGTCGACATCTTATCTTTGCAAATCTATAAATATGCTTTTTTTTGGCACAAGTTTACATTTCAAACATGGTAAAGGTTTTGTGGTTGCAAAATCAATAATTACAGCAGATTACTTTTTAAAAACAGTTGCCGGAATGAGAAATGTTTCAATAAACAATCAAATGTAGAAACAGTTCGTTCAATTTTCAATTATACAATTGTCAGTATACTTATTTTTCCCCATGGTTTATGTTGGTGTGTTTATTTACAACATCAGTAGCGTGGTGTTATTATCACAATTTGGCTTTGTGCATCACATGTCATATCTATGAACCATTTAACCATTGTCGCGTGTATGTACGCTCATCAAACGAATACTGACAGTAGCAACAGAAGAAACGCGTACCATACACAATTCTAAAACATTCCATGATTGACACGATGATTAGATCAAAATCATTTTATCACAGCCATAATAACTCTATGCAAATTGTAGAATGTTTTTTTACCATTTACACATAATACATGTACTCAGAAACATTGTATTGTATTACATGTGGCAATCATCTTGTTTGGAATGTATATATGTCATCATGGTGTCTTCCGCTGTCATAATGTTACATAGTGTTATGTAATAAAAGTAAATATACAACATACCTAAAAATGTTTTATGATTTTATACAAGACCCACGAGAGTTTCCTGCTACCTGTTGTGAGACATATAATACCAATCGGAGACCAGCACGGGACCGTGAAGGTCCGGGGTAGAACAGGTCTTCAGCAACCCATGCTTGTCGTAAAAGGCGACTATGCTTTTCGTAAGAGGCTACTAACAGGGTCGGAGGGTTTGGCTCGCTGACTTGGTTGATGCATGTCATCGTATCCCAAATGCGTGGGTCGATGCTCATGATGTTAATCACTGAATTGTCTGGCCAAAACTCGAATATTTACTGCGCTCATATAGCTGGAATTTTGCTGAATGCGACATGTTTATACAGACATGTATGTTTGGAAACAAATAGCTGGGTGGATAAAGCGTCGTTTGACAAGCTAAACACCCGGGTTCGAATCCATGCATGAGTTCAATACTTGAAGCCCTCTCTTGAAGTCACGTAAAACCACACTCGCTATTACATCAAAAGGGAGATGACTAGACATATCGTGATCCAAATCACGCACACGCAAATCATGCGAGTCAGTGTGTGTTTGTGTGTGTGTGTGTGTGTGTGTGTGTGTGTGTGTGTGTGTGTGTGTGTGCGTGCGTTCGTACGCGGTCATTGTGGTACTCCTTCTTCTTGTATGACATGTGAAGATCCGGGTGGAGAATAGGTCTTCAGAAACCCCTGCTTGTCGTAAGAGGAGACTAACGGGATCAGGTGGTGCATGTCATCGTATCCCAAATGCGGGGATCAATGCACATGGTGTCAGTCACTGGGTTGTCTGGTCCAGACTTGATTATTTACAGACCGCCGTCATATAGCTGGAATAGTGCTGAGTGCGGCAGAACTCTATAGAATTCTAAGGTACAGATAAATTGTACAGCTGGAGTAAATGATTCCTTCTTTCACCTCCAACGGGTCTGGGGGCACGTGTGGCCCAGTCGTCTAAGACGCCGCGATTCGCTGTGCAGAGCTGCTCCCCTTGGGCACGCCAGAAACCCATGATTGTGGGTTCGAATCCCGGTACGCCCCGATTATGTTTCTAGGTTTGTCAGCACCAAACCCGTGCTCGTGGGTTGCAACGAGGTGGTAAACGTCCGAGACCTGCATCACTTCGGGCTTTCCTCCCACATTAAGCTGACACGCCGCGATATAACTGGAATAATATTAAAAGCGGCGTTAAACCCAACTCTCTCACTCACTCGGCCGTACATAGCGGACGCAGCAACATTTAGCATACATCATTGGACAATTCGCAATGTTTAACAGCCATTATCGTTTGAAAAGTTGTAAATTGGTCCTGAGCGGCGCAATTTGGCATCCGCAGCAATCAGTGGCATTCATAAATTATACAGACCCAAATACGATCCTTGGTCTTTCCGTGCCCTTTGTTGTCACTTCCGGTATAAACCTGTCCGATCTGCATCACTTTGTTCCTCCTTCCATGTGATGCTTACACGTGACATAATACCTAACTGCTCAAACAAAGTAGACACAATGTATGGATAACCCCTCAAAGTGGCTTCAAACGTATCCACTTACTCCCATCATTGTGTTTTATGCTGAGCTAGGTTTTGTGTTAGCATCGGCTGACCCACACAATGATGTTTCTAGAAGAACTCTCGTGGATAAGGCAATTTTCCAAGTCTTTAAAAAACTGTGACGGGATACCGTTTCACTACGCAGGAACGAGAATACCCAGTGAGAATTGATATACAATACAGCATCCAGCTTTGTATACAATGTGCGATCCGCTTACTCTGATGAAATAAACGAGATGCAGATTCACCAGGAGATATTTTTGCCCATAAATCACTGTCACGGCAGTTTCCACTGTGAAGTAAGACCTAGCCACAGACGATATGCAATACCGCGCGTTGTGCTTACTGCTCCTCCTGTACTGTACTCTAGATTCACCTCATGGTGAGTGTGTGAGTGAGTTGGGTTTAACGCCGCTTTTAATATTATTCCAGTTATATCGCGGCGTGTCAGCTTTATGTGGGAGGAAAGCCCGAAGTGATGCAGGACTCAGACGTTTACCACTTCGGTGAAACCCACGAGCACGGGTATGGTGCTGACAAACCTAGAAACATAATCGGGGCGTACCGGGATTCGAACCCACAATCATAGGTTTCTGGCGTGCCCAAAAGGACGCAACTCTGCACAGCGAATCGCGGCGCCTTAGACGACTGGGCCACCCGTGCCCTCATCTCATGGTAATCTATGTCATAATACGATGTGCAAAGCTTTGTGTTGCTATACCTCTGTACAATAGACATGGAGATACCTTATTGGCACATGATGTAGGAGATGCAGAGCCGTGATGGCTGCCCGGGGAGGTCACACGAGATATCAAGTTCAGCGCAACCTTGTGGCCTTATGTGACATGACAATAAACAGTTGTCAATGCCTTTGAACAACGACAACATGTGACTATCGAGTTCCAAAATTTCATATTTGTATCTATGATATTAAATTAAATATATCGACTTTATTAGGTACAATAAATTTACTAAAAATATACCTGTGCGTTTCTTTTTTGAAGAGTGTATATCTACAATGGTGGCGATCTCCAATATCTACGTCACCACAAATGCGATAGAGGGTAAGGGTGGCCTAAGGGTCTAAAGTTTGCATTTCGCTATGCAAGGCTGCGTCCCCTGAGCGCATGAGGATCCTATGGTAGTTTCAAATGCGGGATTAACCCTGATTACGATCCTAGGCTAGACAGCACCATACACGTGGGTGACACCAAAGTGGTAAACCTCTTCGACCTGCATCACAGATTTTGGTCCAACAATAAGTTGATACTTTGTGATGTCACTAAAATTCTCTTTATGGCGGCTTAAAACACAACTCAATCACAAATGCGGTAAGCGTGGCTAAATTCAGGGATAAAGCAATACAAAAATCTGAAGAATAATTAATATAATTATTCGTATTTTTGTATTGTTGAGTGTGTTGGTTTGTTGTTTAGTTTAGTGTTTTGTAGTGTTGTGTTTTATAGTGTTCAGTTTAGGTACTTCAGCATAACATATATGAATAGCAACACACGTGGATATTATTCAAGGTATGACATCATAATGGTTAATATTTGAGGTGAGGTGAAATGGGGTTTAACGTAACGTCGCATTCAAGATTATTGCACTTATATAGCGACGTGCATGCGCGTGTGTGTGGCTGCTTGTACTAGTCCGGACTGATGCCGATTTATAGTGCTAGCTCACTGAGATACCATGCTGCAGTTTACCATGAATCCCCCACCCAGACACAGTATACTGACTCCGAGCCGACCAGTCCTTGTTTTAGCCCCTTAATGCCGAGCGCCGGACAGGGTAACAGCAAGTACCATCTCCTTACGTCTTTTGGTATGACGCGGCCGGGGATCGAACCCCGGACCTTCCGCTCTCCGGGCGGACGCTCTACCACTAGACCACGGAGGCGGTAAATAGCTGACATGCATGTACAAAGAAGGACGAATGACAAAAAACGTAGGGAACAAGTTTTATTTGATGTTGAAAATAATCGATGTTTAAATTTAACATATCTTATAGTATTCGTATTAGGTTAGTCATTTGTCTTCAACTGCTAATCAAAGTCGGATTAAGGGAATCAAGGCCGCAAGACGCTACTCATAATATTCAAGCTGTGAGTCAACAAGCTTGAGGCGAGAGTGGCACTTTCTTGTTTTTGACAAGTAGACAGACTAAATAGTGATTGATGCTATGCTAAATAAGGTACATGTGCACCGTACATGTGCACTGTGCCACAATTGTTATTAATCATTGCTGGTGAAATACATTTCAATTAGTCATCCCATACACAAGTTTTTAATTTCTTGTATAAACAATCGTATTGCTATGTATCTACTGTTACTTGATCTGCAATGCCTCATTATCTCGAAAGTCCGGATATGTCGAAGCTACAACACGGTCCCGCTAGGTTCGAGATAAAGGGGTTCGACTGTAAATGAAATCCATTAACATGCTATAAACATAAACGAAAGTCATCACGCTTATGAAATGCACAACGTTCTGTGTCTTACAAGGTATGTGATTAACATATGACATAATGGAGGAAACGTTGATATACCCATCAATCAAATGCTATGTGATAATGTGAAATAAGCGCATACCACTAGTAAGGTAGTAGGGAGACGACATGCATTCCTGCCTGTCAACTCGGAATCCTGGTCTGATGTGATGATATAATGTAGAACACGCCATCCTCTCTAACCAAGCTGGAGGTATATAACCACTCACATGATGTACTATGTAATTATGCCACAAAGCGAAGCATGTTGTACGACTGATGTAAGTCTATGTTCAAATATCGGAGTAAAGACAGCTATAGAATTAAGATCGCCTAGTGGACATGACCCTTGGCTTTATTGTATTGCGTATGGCTGATGTCATGTTCACATTCGTAACAGCGACACATTTGTGTACCACAGTCAATGTTTGGCTCGCCAGTAGAGCTTCATTCGACAGCTGGCGAACAGCGACGTCCCACTTGACAGTTTCAGACGCTTGCAGCGACATCGACGACGGTCAATGTCCAGTATCTTGTTGGTTGGGATGATGTGTCCTTTGTACTGACAGTTATGACCTAGCGGATGGAGGAAAATAAATTAAGAAATAAAATTGTATTTTAAAATTGTTTGTTTGTTGTTTAACGCCAAACTCAGCAGTATTCGAGCTATATGACGGCGGTCTGTTAAATAATCGAGTCTGGACCAGACAATTCAGTGATTGATATCATGAGCATCGATCTACGGAATTGGGATACGATGACATGCATCAACCAAGTCAACGAGCCTGACCACCCGATCCTGTTAGTCGCCTCTTACGACAAGCATAGTCATCTTTTACACGTTGTGTAATAATGCAGGCTTATGCTCTGAACTAAACTGTCTGGCAGAAGAAAGTATACACCCATGTTTGATAGTGGCTAAAAATGAAACAAACAATAAATGTTATTTCGATGTTGATGTATTTGATACGAGTATAACAGTTGTGTTTCGGCGCCTATTTTCAACCTAGTGACGTTTCGATAACGTATGTCATATATTTGTCAAATCCAAGTTTAAAGCTTATATACTCTCTTCTGCCGCCATAACAATCAGCGCATGATGTTAGTATTACCGTATAGTTTGTTATATTTCATGGTTAACGAAATGTTATCAGACCAATTAGCCTAAGTGGATCGTATAAAAAAATACAGATAAAGTTGTGTTTTTCATTTTGTTATATTTTATTTGGCTTAAAGCTGGTTTGGTTGGTATAGATGGGGGGGGGGGGGGGGAATCCTAATTATAAGGATTTTGTATACACAGCTAATGTAATCAATAATACACGTAAAACTTCCTAATTTTAATAGACATATCGACCAAAGTTAATGTGTAAGAAAGAAGACATTCATGTCATTTTTAATTTATTTTACGATTGTGTTTTTTTCGATTCCATAAATTGAAAGTGCCCTGGGCACTCGCGCTGTGTGAGAGCTGTATGTGTTTCTCACAGTAATAAAAGAATGTTTATAGACAGTATAACACATAAACACGCCGAAACACTGTTTCAAAGTTCAAACTAGATACCCGTATCAAATACCACCATCGAATTACCCTTTCTTGTTTGTGTCATTTTTAGCCACCGTCATACATGGATGTTCACTTTCTTTTGCCCTGCAGTTCAGTGTGTTGAAGATTATAAGTAGGTACCGGGTCGTAAAGAAAGGTTCAATACTATCAATATCGGCAGATTAAATGCTAGCGGTGAGGGTGTATTGAATTAGAGGTGAAGTGAAATTGGGTCCAAGATTATTGCACTTATATAGCGACGTGCATGCACGTGTGTGTATGTGGCTGCTTGTACTAGTCCGGACTGATGCCGATTTATAGTGCTAGCTCACTGAGATACCATGCCGCAGTTTAACATGGATACCCACTGAGTTACAGTATACTGACTCCGAGCCGACCAGTCCTTGTTTTAGCCCCTTAATGCCGAGCGCCAGACAGGGTAACAACAAGTACCATCTTTTTACGTCTTTTGGTATGACGCGGCCGGGGATCGAACCCCGTACCTACCGCTCTCCGGGCGGACGCTCTACCACTATACCAAGGAGGCGGTCGTGCGTTGAATTAGAATGTAACCTAATAGATGAATGCACTCCCATGACCCTTTTCGTAGTGAATTGGATTGTTGAATAATTATGCAAATGTGTATCAATAAAATGAAAACGAACCCCCGACTTGATTGAACTGAGATAGCAGGTACATATAACTAGTAATTGAAGGGCCCTTCTTACACGTAATTTCTATCAACTAACTCTTCTGTCAGCTGTTAGTTAATAAGATAGAATCTTTCGATTATGAACGGGCCATTTGTTTTGTGGAGGAAGGAGGTGGGGGGTCTGGGATTTTATGGAAAAAATAAATTGTCCAGAATGTGCTTGAAAAAATATATCCCGCTACAGACAGTCGAAAAAACAAAAGAAATTGTCTGGCACAATATACGTTGTTGCAAGATGTTACGATGTTTTTCTAAACAAATATGCACGCTCGTGGTTATAAGCAAAGCAATTTCTGGTTTTGAGGCTGTAGCGGAAAAATATATGTAGTCTCCAAATAAACTCCCAGGCTCGCCGTTCACCCTACCTCCTAGCATATCAAATGGTCGGAGTCTTGATGTAAGGAGTCTAGTTCAAGAAGCGATATCCTGCAGAGATGCCTCCCTGACTTCCCGTTAAGAGTTTTAGGTATTTCAAAATGTGCACCTGCCAGTGTTTATTTACAATTACATTACAAATTCGCATGGGTGACACATCCATTGGAGACAGCTCGAAGGGTAGGTAACGAAATGGGATTAATTTAAACTTTTAAATCAGATACCAAAATATTCATACAGTGGAGTAAGGGGTTGTGGCATGTTATGTCGAAATAGACAGTTGTAGTTGTTCTACTTGAACATGGCAGTTGTATACGCAGCGCCGGGATATGTCAAATCATTTTTTCTATAATTAGATCTAGGTTAAAAGGGACGTAAACATTCTGTGTTGGCAATGTAGACATGTGTTGCCTGTGGATTTTACGGCGCCAGATTTACTTTGATACCGAACACGCAGCCTGAGGTTTCAAATGTTAAATTTAGGCCGTCAAATTACAGATAAAATATATCATAAAGTTCAACACAAAGGATTTTATCAGACTTTTGGTGTTAGTGTAGCGACATGGTTTGAGTCAAATGTTTTGAGTAGCCTGTCGGACTGAATGACGGCAATGCAAAATGGACATTTTTTTTGTCTATTACCAAACATTGATTTCTAATACATAAATCTCATTAAAATAAGATCTTAGTGCTCGCTACTGTCTACACAGAGATCTGAGGACATCCCATTACAGATCATGGTCAGAACGACTTGGACTGACCAGTGAAATGACCAACAAGAAGTCGACATTAGTCAGTAAGAAAGCAGCATTCTCGAGCTTTACGGCGCTAGTTTCAAAATGGCTCTCGATTCAAAATTTGAAAACTGTACCCCAAAAAATTCTAGAAAGTCAAATACACGGCCGAGATTGTACAGCAGTAATTCCCGCGGGCTATCTCTTCCGGTGTGAATGTTTAACTCACTGAAGCGAGATATACACGGTGCCCCATGTTAACCTTTTCGAGGGTGCATGATTAAAAAACAAATTCACACTTTCTCGTGAGCAACGCTCTAATTTGTCGGATGAAAGGCCTATCTGACATGATCTGTAGTAGATTTCCTCAAACCTTAGTACTTAGCGATCACGAGATCTGATTTTAATGAGATGGTGTAATACATTATATTTTACTCGCGTACATGAAGGGCATTGGAACTGTTCACCACATTTCCTTTGTAAGCCTAGTATGTTGTCACTCCCAAAGCAAATGGAGCATACCTTGCAAGGTTATCTATAAACCGCACATCACTTTTATGACGCTATACCATGGCGGAGAGCTATGACGTCACATCGGACACAGAGAAGCGTCAATTTACATGCTGTGTGTATATGTAACTAAGCGTGCTTGTGTATATGCATGCAGTGAAGCGTGTATGAGGTGTAAAGAAACACATGCATGTACGTGTGTGGGAGTCAATAAAACATTGGTGGCCAACTCGTCTGAAACGTCGCAACTCGCTGTGCAGAGTTGCGTCCCTTGAGCACACCAGAAACCTATGAATGTGGGTTCGAATCCCGGTTCGCTGTTAACACCGCTGTACATAGATTGAGACGAGCGAATATTCAATACTTATATTAATTGACGTCTAAAAGATTTTAAATATTGGAATATATTACATTTAATTCATATTGCCTGGTTCACCGATTCCGGGTTAGAATTGGTCTTCAGCAACACGTGATTGTCGTGAGAGGCGACTGACGGGATCGGGAGGTCAGGCTCGCTGAAATGGTTGATGCATGTCATCGTATCCCAATTACGAAGATCGATGCTCACGATGTCAATTGCTGGATTGTCTAAATCTTGTCCAGACTCGATTATTTACAGCCCACCGTAATGTAGCTGGAATATTCCTGAGTGTGAGTTAAACAACAAACAAACAAAGCCTGGTATCTTAAATATCTTAAAACAGGCTGCCATTATGTACCGATAGGCTAACCCGATCGACATGGAAAGCCAGAGGCCTATCACAAAATATGAAGGCGCAATGTCAAGGCGACATTGATACAAAGACATGTATGCCTGTTAATAATGTTTGTAAACTGCATTGCTATATAACGCTTAAGCAAACTACACACGCAGTCGTATTGCTCGTTTTTCTAGTTTCTGTCCTGTTTCAGTTTTTTAGATTCATAGAGCTGAGATGTCGTGTCGACCGCGGGCTAAATTTCACAAACAGACGGTGCATTTAAAACACATCCTGTTGTGTGACCTTTCTCGGGGTAGCATGCGACTGAACGACATTTCGATCAAGGGATTCTAATCCTAAATTGTTTGCTAAGCAGCACTCAAATGTAATTTAGAAATAAATCATTTTCGTGCTCTGAAGAGGCGAGTCGATTATCATAAATCTCGTATTTTTCGAAACCTGTGATAACAAACAACAAGAAATGTTGTTGAAAGCTGATAGAGCTGAAATATTGCTTACTGTGATGTAAAATAACATTCACATCACTTGTCACAGAGTGTTTATTTATTAGAGACGCTAAATGTCACATAAACCCGGGTTTAATAACGATTGTACGATGATAGCCGGAATTTTCTTTTCTTTCTTAATTTCAAATACCAACGCTTCTAAACGATGAAAAGGGGATCATTGCACATTGAGACTGTTAACGTGATGAATAGCGGGTTCAGCACCAAGGAAAGCGTACCAGCTCGATAGAGGATTGTGATCGCTTCCCGGCGTTGGTACATTATTTATAAATATTGTTTTCGTTCTCTCACTCACTCACTCACTCAATGAATCAAACAATAGTGAAAACAGAAGGAACCATTACTTGAATATCATCGTTTGAAATAACATTGTCTTATTGTTATACGGTAAACGTCTGAGACCTGCGCCGTGATATAACAGGAATAATGTTAAAAGCGGCGTTAAACCCAACTCACTCACACACTCACTATTGTTATACGTACCGTTGGGGCAGGATGGACAACAGCTGCCCTCTCTGACGACGTGGTCAACACAGCGAGGTCGCGAACACTGCGTCACCTCACAGACTGTCCGCCCTCCAGACTCCGGACAGTAGCACTTGGTACAGTTACTCCTGGACACGACTGACCCCACCTCATACACCTTCCCGTCGCTGTGAAGACAGCCATACCGGAGACAGGTGGGGCAGCATACACCTGGGTCAGTCGCGAAGTGTAGGCAGTGGGGTTCCCATTTACAGTCCATTACCGCACACCTAGCCTCCCCTCCGTGGCGGGGACACTTGCAGAACGTGCACGGGTCAGGCTTAAAGGTCTGCCGGGCGGTGTACGTCACATTCTGGTATTGACAGGTGGTCGCTTTAACTATCTCCGTCGACCCTTCAGTACCGAGCAGTATCAGAACAGTTGGTATCAATACCAGAAGAGTCATGCAATGTTGAGAGAACATGTTTGAATTTCCAGAATAAAAGATGATCCCAAACGTCTTGTTAATCTCCGCTGTTAGATGTGTATATATCCCACACACAATACACGTTACAAACAAAAGGTTTCAGCGTCCATACTTATTCTGTCGCAGCCATGGTGCGACGCTGAAGAATTCCACACTTAAGCATATCCCGTGACAATGTAACGTTATATTCTGGAAACGTGATTAGAGAATTTCGTGGCAGTCACAACAGCTTGTAAGTAATCTCACATGTCGCTGCAACTTGTAACGTGTATAACCATGCTTTCTTGTCTTTGTCCCAGTTCTGCAGTCTCTGATCCCTTTACCACAACCAGTCTACCATGCCAGCCTATACCACGTAATCGACAAAACAGGTTTGCCATACGGACATAAAAAAGTCCGCCACACTCTTCAACAGCGGCGCAGTGGTAACCTGTATAAGATACTCACTGTGTGGTTAACGTTGTGTTTGATCAGGGGAGGCTATTGCTGAAACGGACAATAATTGGATCGGATTGCTAATAAACGTTGCTTTTTCTTTGTAAAACTTAATTTTACTTGATTTATTGGTCGAGGGGAGTGTCTTTATTAAGACTTTAGTACAATCGCCATATATATCACACTTTAAAATTTATCCGCATGCGGCCTGGAAACACTACAGTAAACTACGGTTATAACGAACACGCTTATAACGAACTGACGGATATAACGAGCTTACTTTTTTGGTCCCCACTATTTGCTGTATTTATGCTGTATATATGCTTATAACGAACTACGGTTATAACGAACTAAAATTAGTAGTCCCTTTGAGTTCGTTATAACCGTAGATAAGTTTACTGTACATCGAAAATATGCGACGTATTTGCGCCCATCGTTGCCGTGCATGACACAATTTCACAGGGAAAGTCAAGTATAATACAAATGCTGAAATCAATACCCTAGACACGAACAAGATTTGTTTTGATTTAATCTGTACAAAAACGTGTTTGTGTTGTTTGATTTAACAAAAAAAGTGTCATTCAAAATGGGGAATTATTAAACTTGGAATTGCACGTATTTGTATGGTGAAAACATTTCCTGCGTAAGCTTAAGAAAAAGGCAATTTTCAATTGAAGGCTGATTTTGTTTCCTTCCCATTCGTGTACGCGTCTTATTTAATATGTATGTACGGAATAGCACAGCATAGACATTCCATTGTGTTACAGTCAACAATATCTTCCAGCTGAAAGTTTTTAATCAAACTTTGAATAGATTATATTGTGAGGCGTCTGTTGTTGAGCGCGTTTTAACCGCTTTATAAATATAGCAATATCGCACAAAGGGACACTAGGAGTGTGGACGTACGAGGTGTTTTCTCGGCGTGTGAGTGAGCATGGTTTTACGCCGCAATGGCCAGTATTCCAGTAATATCATAGCGGGAGACACCAGAAATAGGCATCACACGTAGTACCCACGTGGGGAATCGATTTCAGATCTTTGGCGTGACGAGCCAACGCTTTATCTACAAAGCTACGCCACCGCCTCTTTTTCCAGATACAGGTGGTAAGTGTGTTTGTACAGTGTGAGACACACGGCTGCTCTAAACCTATGGGGGTTGGAGTTGTACAGGTAGTTAACATCGCAATCGTCATGTATTGAAGTGCTCCGAGTGCACAGCAGTGAGGTCAAATGGGTTTCACGTCTCGTTCAAGATTATTGCACCTTTTTAGCGACGTTATGCGCACAGAGCGTTGTCAAGGAGAGATACGGGGTGGGGGGGGGGGGGGGTGGGGGGGGATTAGGAGGGTCCATAGGGTTCGTTTTGTAAAGTTATGAAATATATTTTTTTACACAACATGTTAACAATGATCGTAAATGTAACAGTAAACACACATAGAACGAGGTGGTCGTGTTTTAGAATGTAGAAATTTGAGAGGTGATTGAATCATTCTTGACTCTCATTAAATTTATGTCCCTCTGATAAATCAGTTCGCAAATCTTGTAAAAATTATTATAAGCCCTATGTATGGCGCTTTATTACCCCGGTGAATGGATCAGTTTTCACGCGAATTTCATTCTCAGCTCCATGGGGAGTATACAACCCAAGCTGTCTGTGAGGCGCAAGAGGGTGAAGAGCCACATTGGCATCTCATCCTACCGGGTACCCATTCACTGCTGGGCGAACACAGGCATATTTCGAACAATGTCAGTTCCACAAGGAGACACCACATGTCACATGTGCTTCAGTGCGGGACAGGGACCCGTGAGGATCCGGGTTAGAACAGTTCTTCAGCAACCCATGCTTGTCGTAAGCGGCTACTATGCTTGTTGTAAGCGGCGACTAACGGGATCGGGTTGTCAGGCTCGCTGACTTGGTTGAAGCACGTCATCGTAGCCCAATTGCAAGGATCGATGCTCATGGTATCAATCACTGGATTGTCATGTCCAGACTCGATTATTTACCGACGGCCGTTATATAGATGGAATATTGCTGAATGTGGACGGAAACAACAAACAAACAAACAAACAGTGTTCGGGCAGGATTGAAGCCCTCTTTGGAGCCAAGCTGTCAAACACCGTCATCCATCTAAGAGGTGAGGTGAGGTGAAATGGGGTTTAACGTCGCGTCCAAGATTATTGCACTTATATAGCGACGTGCATGCACGTGTATGTGTGTGTGTGGCTGCTTGTACTAGTCCGGACTGATGCCGATTTATAGTGCTAGCTCACTGAGATACCATGCCGCAGTTTAACATGAATACCCCACTCAGACACAGTATACTGACTCCGAGCCGACCAGTCCTTGTTTTAGCCCCTTAATGCCGAGCGCCAGACAGGGTAACAACAAGTACAATCTTTTAACGTCTTGTGGTATGACGCGGCCCGGGATCGAACCCTGGACCTTCCGCTCTCCGCGCGGACGCTCTACCACAAGACCACGGAGGCGGTCCATCCATCTAAGAAACCTCCGCGACCGGCGTTGCTTAATTTCAGTTAATTTGTGACCTGTGCATGCACATGGAGCACAGGACCACGTTCCACCACACATCATTGTTCAGAAGATATGAAAACGTCATGTATCTAAAGGGCAATTAGCCGAAGGAAGAATTTGACATGTACAGTATGACCGGAAACATATTTAGGAATCGAAACTCAGTGAACCCACAGTGCTTATTAAACGAGAATCGTTAAACAAAAACCTTTAGCTGTATAACGCGCGGGCATAACGATTACACCATGTCGTTATATAAGTAAAACACGCAGGGATATCAGACACCAAGCGTTACGCGGAGCTCGGCACCGGTTCCCAACAGGTTTACGATTAGCTGAGGGAGGGTTGCGTTGAGCCAGGGAATATACTTACAACCAGACCTGCACCTCGCGACACGACTCTTGTTAATTTTGGCACAAAAACACCCCAGGAGACCAAATCTGATAGCGAGAGTGTTGGTGTTTATGTTCTTGAAACAACATTCCGTCCGCATCACATACGGAAACTTAATTGAAACGCAATGCCAATTTGCGATTGGACTTTTTATTTCGTTTCGTTTATTAAAATGTAATCGTAATTTGACTGATTACAGTCGCACACATGGGAACGTGTTTTTTCACATGTCACATTTTTTTGTTCTTTTGTGGAAATTGTTGTTGGTTTGTTGTTTAACGCCGCACTCAGCAATAGTCTAGCTATATGACGGCGGTCTGTAAATAATCGAGTCTGGACCAGACAATCCAGTGATATCATGAGCATCGATCCACGCAATTGGGATCGATGACATGCATCAACCAGGTCAGCGAGCCTGACCACCCGATCCCATTAGTCGCCTTTTACGGCAAGCATAGTCACCTTTTACGGCAAGCATGGGTTGCTGAAGACAGATTCTACCCCGGAATCTTCACGGGTCTTCGTAGAAATTGATCACCGATACTGAATATTACTTTAAAGTCGAATATGGAATGCATGTTAGTACTACTATCCAAAGGGGCAGTGGGGTAGCCTTGTGATTGAAGCGTTCGCTCGTCACGTCGAAGGCCCAAGTTCGATTCCCTGCAAGGGTACAATGTGTAAAACCCATTTCTGGTGTCCTCTGCCGTGATATTGTTGGAATATCGCTAAAAGCGGTGTAAACAATAACCAGCTCACTCAGATATCCAAGAGCGTGTTATATTGTATTTCTTCGGCGAGTTCCTTCAGACAGCAAGACAAGTGCCTGTATTCATCGTTGTTTTTAAAAAAATAAAAATAAATAAAAATAAAACTGCGATTGAAACCGTTGGCATAAAATCCCTCGCTTCTAACAGACCTACACCTGGGGCATACAAAGGGTATCTTCCGTATGGTGACCACAACAAGCTGTATTATCAAAATAAACCTTTAGAAATTTCTGCATCTGAATGACTACAGCCGAAGATGAAAGTAAGGTTAGTATTGGTTTCAAGTGTAGAGACAATAGTGAGTGAGTGAGTGAGTTTGGCTTAACTCCGCTTTGAACAGTATTTCAGTTATATCACGGCGTGTCAGTTTGATGTGTGAGACGCAAAGTGAGAGCGTTACCAAGGATTTCATTGTGAGTGAGTGTGTATGGTTTGACGCCGCTTTTTAGCAATATTCAAGCAAAATCAGGGCGGTGGGACACCAGAACTGGACTTCACACATTGCACCCATGTCGGGAATCGAACCCGGGTCTTCGGCGTGACGAGCGAACGCTTTAAACACTAGGCTACCCCACCGCCCGATTTCATTGTGAAAAGGTGAGGTTAGGTAAAAATGGGGTTTGCAAGGTTATTGCACTTATACAGCGACGTGTATGTAATCGCGTAATGTGAGACGAGCGTGTGCTTGTTGTAAATTGCCGGGAAAAAGAATGCATATACTTGAAAATTGGATTTTACCAAGTTTTATCAAAAGGTTATGAGGCTGAAAACAGTGGCCGAGACACAACAAACTTCAGGTCGAAAAGACAATAATGATACCCGTATCAAATCCCCTTCGAACAACCATTTCTTGCTCGTTTCATTTTCAAAAACCATCAAATATGTGATGTATACTTTCTTGTGACAGGCAGTTTAGTGATGTCTGTCATAGGTGTAATTTCAAATAGTGTATACGTGAAGATCCGGGTTAGAATTTGTCTTCATCAACCCATGCTTACAAGAGGCGACTAACGGGATCATGTGGTCAGGCTTGCTGACTTGGTTGATGCATGTAACAGTATCCCAGTTGCGAAGATCGATGGTCATAATTGTCAATCACTGGATTATCTGGTCCAGATTCGATCATTTACAGACCGCCGTCAAAGCTTGAATATTGCTGAATGTGGCGTTAAACAACAAACTAACAAAGCCTGGTTCGCTAATTGGCTACGTAACGCCACTTTGGTATTGACACCAATCAACGTATTGTTTCTCTCTACGTTATCATACGTCAGAAAAGAGGAACGGCTAGATCGGAGAGTGTTGGTTGGTTTGTTGTTTAACGCCGCACTCAGCAATATTCCAGCTATATGACGGCGGTCTGTAAATAATCGAGTCTGGACCAGACAATCCAGTGATTGATATCATGAGCATCGATCCACGCAATTGGGATCGATAACATGCATCAAGCAGGTCAGCGAGCCTGACCACCCGATCCCGTTAGTTGCCTTTTACGACAAGCATAGTCACCTTTTACGGCAAGCATGGGTTGCTGAAGACCTATTCTAGCCCGGAATCTTCACGGGTCACATCGGAGAGTGAGTAAACAAATGAAGAAGTTATGATTATATTAATCTTTTATTAAGAAAATAACTTTCTTTATATGGAACATGGTTTACATATATACATGAACAGATTGTATGACAGTACGTACATGCAGAATGACATCAAAAGAAATATAGAGACAGAAAAAGATTCACACAATGCAGTCAAATAAAATATGCGATGACAATTAACACTCAAGAACACATTATTTACAAAAATAACAATGATCGTACGTTGGCTCTAAACACGACTGAAACGTTGGCGGTCTCTCGGTAATAGAATGGTCTTTGGTATCAACATACTGGGGCATGTCAAACGAGGCTGTGCTGTCAAAGTAGTTGAATGGTTTTAACACAAAACTGGAATGGGCACGAACAGTCATTGGCACATCCTCTGAGGTGGGAACGTGAAGGAAACCTATACTAACCCACGTCACTAAATCCGAATTTACAATTGGTTCATCGTTGATCATGCGGTCCATTGACACCAAAGGGTCGGCCAGTCGGTTGAGATCATACGCTCCTGTAAGGTATGCCTCGTTGTCCTTGTGCTGAGTGACCATACAGTGGTACTTCGTGTACGACACAGCATCCATCACTGGGTGAGATTCGGGGACGACCTGCGCTACTGACGTCTCGGGTACTATTCTATAGCCCCTCTTCGCACCCCATTTGTTCTTCTGATTTTCATTGACAACTGTCCAGAACTGCGGTCGGGCCATGTCAATTTTCAGCCCTGATTCCTTCTGAAGGGTCTCCCATTCAATGTATCTCGTCTCGTTGTATAAAAAGTACGATGGCTTTGTCGCAATGTTTGACTGCGTTTTCAACGCTGTGAGAATGTCGCCTGCTTTCCAGTGAATTACTTCAAAGCTGTTATCAGTTCCAAGAATATCCAGATCAACTTTAAAACCAAACGTGTGGTCATGGAGGGCCCCGTGTGTGAATTCTCCTAACCTGTACCCAAACGGATCCGTGGTCTTATCAGTGCCAGCGTGGGGATTCGAAGGATCCCAGAAGCTTGCCTGGAGATATCCCGACGCCATGGCCTCTGTCTTCAGATTCCCGTCCAGGAAGAAAATGAAGTCAATGGTGTAATCATAGTTTCCTACAGACATTGGGATTCGAACCATGAGATGATGGTTTGCGAGACCTGCTGCGTATTTGTCCTTCCTTCTCCACAAAGCTTGCTCACCTGCAGATTCAAACACACAAATCGTTTTGGCTGAAACTGGAGATTGGCTATAGCTGTTAAACCAGGTAGCGTCCAATATGGCGGCATGATCAGGACAGTCAACTCCAGGGATGAGGTTTTGAAATTCCCCAACACCAAACGTTGCGTCCATGTAGATGGTGTTGGCTCCTGAAGACACGTCGGAAGCATACACCAATACAACGTCGTTCAATGAGTTTTCATACACGATTCTCTCCCCCTTGAATTTGACGTTGAAAATACTGGGACCTCGGAACTGGCTTGCCCCGACGGTGAAGTCCCATCCCATCCACTTGATATTATGGTCGTTGATAACAAACCGATGCCCTGAAGGGGTGTACGATCTGGGAGGGGATTTAGTAGATGCGTATTGTCTTCTCTTGTCAGAGTTCTGTTTAGGGAAGGATGTTGCAAAAATTGTCTGGCGGTGTCCTCTGGGAAAGGAAAATGTTTTGATTGTGCCATTATTATAAGCTGACAGCAATTCTTCAGCAGAGGAGAAGGGACCTTGATTGAGGTAATAGAAGCTATGTGTGTACCAGTTACTTGTGTCAACGCCGGGATTGTGAACAGTGCCTGTTAGAGGGAGGGGGTGGAGATCGCGTCCTCTAGCGGTACCTTCAACCTGCAGAGTCATAACAAACCGGGTCTCTCTCTCATTTGGTTGTAAACCGGGTGGCGCCTGCGGGTGGAAGGTTAGACCGCCGTTTGGATAATAAGCGCCATCAAAACTATTCTGAAGCAACGGCCGCAGTATCGCCATGGCTCGTGTGACGTGTTCTGTCAGGCCGTCCCATTCAATGCCGTCTCTTGGTCTACTGTTATAGGGCAATTCTCCGTCAATATACATGGCTTGGGCCGTCATTGATTCTCCAAGTGGCCCTACTCGGTATTCCATAAGATCTGGAATGTTCCTGTTTCCTCTGTGGACATGGACATCGGCAAATCGTCCAGGAGATTCCTCACCTTTGTCGAGATGCTTCAGGGCTCTGGATTTATGAGGTAGGTAGAGTGACATGCCATAGATATAGCTGTCCCTCAAAGATGGCGTTCCATCAGCAGATGATATAAGTCCCTGGCGCTTCATGAAGCTTCGCACCTGATTCATTTCCTCGGTAGTAAGAAGCTCAAATAATCCCTTATCTTCAGATTCGTCTGTTTTTGTGATCATCTTTCCAATCGAGCATTTCGGCGGCATCTGTGGCGGCGATGTTGGGGTTGGGACAGGCCGAGGGGAACTGGTCGCTGACGTCACTACTGGAGTAACCATCTTATCCCCACGTTGTTCATGAACTGATGGTGCTTTACATTCTGCCAGATTGGGGTTGAGAGCAAAGTATCCTATGACGATGCCAATACCGAGTCCTGTTATGAAGACAAGAATGGCAAACACCTGTGTACAGACTGTTTGGCTGGTGCTGCCTCGTGTTCGGTTACTTTTGGAACCGCTGTCGGACATTTGTAGCTCGGAGTTCGTCCGGGAAAGATGTACAGTGTCCTTCATCTCAATGGTTGCATCAGGGGTGAAGGAGCCGTTGACAGGCATCGTGGCCGCTACACTGTTTTAAGTAAATCTGCAATAGTAACATGTACACATGAGTTAATGTTGCTTCACAGCAGTATAACGGCTATATCATGTCGGTCTGTGAATAATAGTCTGGGAAAGATTCGGAAATGTGCGCTCATATGATCACGAGTGAGTGAGTGAGTAAGGTCTAACGCCGCTTTCAACATTATTCCAGTTATATCACGGCGTGTCAGCTTAATGTGTGAGGAAAGCCCGACGTTTACTGGTTTGGTGAAACCCACAGGCACGGGCATTGTGCTGAGAAAGCTAGAAACACATCGGGGCGAACCGGGATTCGAACCCACAATCACAGGTTTCTGGCGTGCCCAGGGGACGCAACTCTGCACACAATTACAAAGACATACATGGCATTAACATGTAACAGGTAGTTTACTAATGGAGCGTACACGAGATGGTTGTTTTTACTAAGTTTGACAGTTTCACGGCGGTTTACCACTATGCCAGTCCCTATTGTCAAGCTATGGGAGTGGGGGGGGGGGGGGGGGGGGGTCGATTAGCCGTAATACTGGGATTAAGGTATAGTCTATTCCAGACTTATATATCACTGTTTAAAGCATGGTTAAAAGAGCAGGTTTGGTAACATTATATATACAATCATAACATATATTTATATATAATTATTATATTATGTCTCATTGTTTTATTTTTGCTTATTATGGTGCAATGCAGTTGATATAATGAACGTTTATGACTACATAAAATATTATACGTAATATGTAGATCAAGTGCCTTCCACCACGAGAATGTGTGATGCATCTAAACTAAATGTTGGCTAGCACGTTTGCCATGACCATCCATACCTATCAGTCCCTTTTATATTTCCACAATCTGACATCATTCTCTTACATACGCTCATTATCTGTATTGTAATTGGTTTGTGATTAAGATGTGCAATCAGTTTATTGTTCGTGTTATGTGATCACAGTTGCCATGTTACTCGTTATCAGGCTGGCAGTCTCTGATTTACTACAGCATTAAGTATCTTGAATTCAATGGCCAACTGAAGCATGACAAAGTTCACATTTTCCTTATTAATAAGATTATTTTTTCACCTCGTAAGTTCTATTGATAATGCCTTTGTATTAGGATCCTTTCAAGGAAATTTTGTAGGGAGGATATTTTTACTCCCTCAATAGCCATCAAAATGGTCGGACTACTTCAAATGAATAGTTTACATTTTTTTAAGAATTGGTTTTGCCAACTTTTCCCCAAAAAGTACCCTTGTTTTCGATGGTTTAATTTTAGAAACATTTTAGACATTAAGGTGTTTCCGATATTAAGGGCAATTGTTGCCAGCATGTCTAGTCTGTCATACAGACCCTAAACAAATATATCCAATACAGCCAATGCAAGTCTATGTTTGGCAAGTCTAGATTACTGCAGTATCTGAAAATGAAGAATGTCTGGGCTCCTTTATGTTATATTTTATAACTGTAATTTAACAACCGTTTTTTTTCTGTAAAATATGTTCATTTCAGAGACTAGATGTAAGTCTACCAGCATGCCGTGCGACCATCCTTACTGCCGGGGTAACCTCATTAGTCGGCTCGTACAACAGGTAGAAGATAACGGGGACCTATCCTGCCTCTGGAGTGGGAGTGTCTCACGGGGCCGACATGGATAGGATTAAGCTTGTTTGACGGCGGTCGGTAAATAATGAACCAGACAATCCAGTGATTGAATAGGCCTTTAGCAACCCATGTTTGTCGTAAAAGACGACTAACGGGATCGGATGGGCAGGCTCGCTGATTTGGTTGATGCATATCATCGTATCCAACTTGCGAAGATCGATGCTCACATCAATCACTGGATTGTCTCCTTCAGACTCGATTATTTATAGACCGTTACATAGCTGTAATATTGCTGAGTGTGGTGTTAAAACAAGCAACAATAAACAAACAACAACTAGGTACCTGTCTCGATTTTTACCAGGCCGACCTACTTTCTGTTGGTTTTGACCCAAGCTGAACGCGAGTCCTGTAGTCTAGAGGTTAAAGCGTTCTCTCGTCACGCCGAAGACCCTGGTTCGATTCCCGACATGGGTACAATGTTTGAAGCCTATTTCTGGTGTCCCCGCCGTGATATTGCTGGAATATTGCTAAAAGCGGCGTAAAACCATATTCACTCAACCCAAGCTGAAAGCATGTCGGCCCCGTGGCACCTCGCCTGTTTGCACACATTGTTTAACATAAGTATATATGTCATCATACATGCTGGGATTAGGGATTTACACAAGCTGCAAATAGGCTTATTCACATTAAGTAATGCTATGTAAAGTATGTATTGCTCAACATACATAATCGGACCGCACAGGAAGGTAGTAATTAGAACATAATGACACTGAAACAAGCCGATTGAATTAGCTTTGGTTAATCTTAGCACCAGCATAAGTCAGAGTTGGGCTTAACTTCGCCTTGAAGAGTATTCCAGTTATGTCATGACGTGTCAGTTTAATGTAGGGGGAGAGTCCGAAGTGAAGAAGACGTTTACCACTTTGGTGACACCACGAGCATTGTATGGTGCTGATACACCTCGAAGCATAATCGGGGCGACCCGGGATTCGAACCCACGATTGTAGGGTTCTAGTGAGTGAGTATGGTTTTACGCCGCTTTTAGCAATATTCCAGCAATATCACAGCGGGGGACACCAGAAGTGGGCTTCACACATTGTACCCATGTCGGGAATCGAACCCGGGTCTTCGGCGTGACGAGCGAACGCTTTAAACACTAGGCTACCCGACCGCCCCTTGTAGGGTTCTAGCGTGTCCAAGGGACGTAGCTCTGCACAGCAAATTGCTGTGCCTTTGACGACTGATCCTGTGCCCACAGGCCCCTGTGTCATTGTTTAAATATTTCTAGATCAGTTAATATCACGAGTATCCGAAATGATATTCTATCCTGTACACAAGGTCAGACAAACCGTACCTCACCAATCGCATGGAATTGATATTTCAGTAAAATCATGAACAAAACCGTTGTGTCTAGCTCGTGTGGGATGATCATTCTATCGATCCCAATACATGATACCTCCCAATTCTTCATAACTATGAGGGGGCACGGGTGGCCTACTCGTCTGATGCGCCGCGATTCGCTGTGCAGAGTTGCGTCCCTTGGGCACATCAGAAACCTATGATTGTGGGTTTGAATCCCGGTTCTCCCCGATTATGTTTCTAGGTTTGTCAGCACCATACCCGTGCTCGTGTGTTTCACCGAAGTGGTAAACATCCGAGTCCTGCATCACTTCGGACTTTCCTCCCACATTAAGCTTACATGCCGTAATATAACAGGAATAATGTTAAAAGCGGTGTTAGACCCAACTCACTCATAACTATGAAATAATATCGATCGATAGCCGGTCGACTCATATTGAAACCAAACAGCAGATCACGCCAACATTGTAAAAAAACAGATTTGACTTTTTACGAAAAGGTGCCGTTTCATTTCAGTATAGATAGATTTCATGCCATTTAGCGCATATTTTTCATAGCATTCATTGTTTTGATACGGCCAGGTTCATGGATGTAATGCACTGTTGTGCATTTGCTGACGCCATAACGTATATTTGTGGGACGCTTCAATCACTATCTACATTTCCGTTCTGACGCTCCATTCTAATTTTCACTCCATGATAAGATACAAAATTGCGTTTCTACTTGATGATTGGTGAGATATGCAGACAGGCCTAGGGTTTTCCGAACCCACCCCCTGTAGGTAAGGACACCTCGTCGAGGGTGTCATCACATTCAGAATTAGGTAACTATAATTTCCGATAAGATGTTCCTGAAAAAATGATAATTCGGTAAATTAATCGTTTTGTGGTGTTTCTGATATTGGATACTTCTTATCACTGACCTGTTGTAACATTTTTCTTCGCTACAGTTAATTTATAAACAATTTTTTTTATAGGAAACGATTTTGAATAAATACAGCTCCGAGTATAAATGATGCCAAATATAGAAGAGGTTTGCAGGGACCGGGAATTCCACACATCAAAGTTCGACACAGCGAGGCTCGACTGTAGCTTGAAGTGTATTGATTACGTTTAAATCATGGCTTCTTTCTAAAATGTCTGAAAACGGTAAGACTATCCCTTCTAAAAAATATAAGTACATGGATTGAGCAGCAATGCATACATATATAATATATAGTATTTCTATATTTTCTACCATTCAGATTAATAGCTCGTCCTAATATGAAAGGTGATATCTGTGACGTAAATTATTCAGAATGTTAATCTAAACATCGAACGTACCTGTGTGTTGGTAGCTTTTGGTTAAAAGAAACGAATTGACGGTCTATTTTCTTGCACGGGGCTATGTTTTCTCGCAATGACTCCATCAACGTGGAAAGCCATATTTAGGTGTTTGATGAATGTGCTTGAGTTGGTCCTGTATGAATTGTACGCTTGCCCCGGAACATGTATTTCATAACCCAGTCGCCAAAGAGCGAGATGCACGTGCATTACATGAGCGCGACTCATTCCCACAACTTAGCATTGGATATCTTGAACATCTCTTTTTGGAAATATTTTGTGAGTCGGGCCCACAAAACATTCCCACAGCTAAGAATAGACATTTTGAATACCTTTTTTAATACGGTTATGTAAATCACGTTTCTTAAACATGTCAGGTGAATATGTTCAATGAATTTGTGACCATGGTTGACATAGGTTTAAATCCTGAGCGCTGAGTGATTGAAATATCCATGCCAACGATTGCACACCGTATCGTCTTTACTTATATATAACCGCCGTCATACAGCTGCAATATTGCCGAGAGCGGCGTTAAAAAACAAACAACTACATATACCATACATACATATACTGTGAATATATGAGATCTCGAGGGCCCAGAAGTAAAAATATTGATAACCATAATACCATCTACTGAAATGTTTCCTAAGACACAGGGTTTATAGGAACTTACCAGGCTATGGTTCAACTTGACAGGATTCACGTATCAATCCATGGTGACTGAGCGTTCAAGGGTGATATGTGTCCAGACACTTCATGACTTTATATACACCTACTGGTCAGTTGTACAGACCAACATTAAAACCATGGGTAATCCGTTCACACGTGATTGGCCAGCTTGTCCTTGATAGGGCATGCCTCAAGGCCATTGTAACAATGTGGAGTCACTCCCATACAATACGCTGGCGATGACATTGTTTCTTTTAACTGCATTGAACATGACCAGTTATGTAACTTTACAACCCCCTACCGGCATATCACACCTTTGAATGTATTTTAATGTCACTTAAGCACTTTCAAACGCCAGCATGAGCCCGCTTCACACCGTCAGCCAAAACAGACTTCACATCAGTGAGATTATTCTCGATATGAATTGTAAGGGCTGAAAATAAAAGCACCCCGCGGGTATATTGCTTCTAATTTAAACCCCTTTTCTTTATTTAGAGGCCCCCATCATAGCTATCAGTGTAGATAAAACTGAACTGCTAGGCCGCATATAATCACCTACAAAAAAATAAGCCACCACTAATCAAAACTAATAAAACACAAATCCAAAAACCCCACAACCCCACACTCCCTTAGTCCTCCCACCTATTGCAAGTTTCCAAATTCCAAATTCTCAAAATTGAAAACAAGCAGCCCTGATGTCCCCCAGGTTGCTTCACCTTTCGGACACGCCCTCCTTAGCAATCTCACAAAATGGCCTGGCGGGCCTGGCGTAAAGCGCACGTTAAATCTCCAATAGTAGTGTAAGTAAGTAAGCTATCAGCGTAACTGATATACTCTACACCCCCCCACCCCCCACCCCCACCCCCCACCCCCTCACCCCCCATCTCTAGATATTTTATATTTATATTATATTTTACTAAACTACACTTATATCGTTCTCTCCTGGGCTTTTGTTACTTTTGAACCCCCCCCCCCCCCCCCCCCCCTACAATTTGGGACAATTTTTATATAATTATCCCATATTACACATATTAATGTTTAAGGGGCGGTCGGGTAGCCTAGTGGTTAAAGCGTTCGCTCGTCACGCCGAAGACCCGGGTTCGATTCCCGCCATGGGTACAATGTGTGAAGCCCATTTCTGGTGTCCCCCGCCGTGATATTGCTGGAATATTGCTAAACGCGGCGTAAAACCATACTCATATTAATGTTTAGATTAAAACTACCTGCCTCGTCCACGAAAACGGAACTCCAGACGTGGACGTTAAACACTCCAATGATGATGTTGATGTAGATGCTGTTCGCCATATGCTATTACACTGGATAACACTCGCATTGATCCTTCCATATGTACCTTTTGAACATGATCGGTTTTCAGTGGCGTCATTAGACGTATCAGATGAGGTTTAGCCGTCAATTCATCTCTGAAGGATAGCAGCTTATTTTTACATACAATTGTTTACAAAGTCAGCGGCTTTTGTTGTTTTCATCATTTCTCAGTTATGTTTTGATTATTATTAATAAGTATTTCATGAATAAATTGTGACCTATCATTGACGGCTTGGGGTTTACGGGCGCTTGCAAACATGTGTCGAGCAATATTCCTGCATCTCCAGCCATTGATGTCTACATTTCACAACTTTTGAGTTACAATGGAGCATGCTCCTTCTGCTAAGATTTCAAAGTTTCACACATCTCTTGTCAGAAGTTGCTTGATCAAGGTTACAACATTCAAGGCTTCAGTAAAGCTTTCAAAATGTTTTATGTATTGTTGTTGTTCAACGCCACTCTCAGCAATATTTCAGCTATATGACGGCGGTCTCAAGTCTGGACCAGTCAATCCACTGATTGACATGAGCATCGATCCACGTACTTGGGATACGATGACATGCATCAACCAAGTCAGCAAGCCTGACCACCCGGTCCCGTTAGTCGCATCTTTCGTCAAGCATAGTCTCCTTTCAGGCAAGCATGGGTTGCTGAAGACCAATTCAAACCCGGATCTTAACGGGTTCAAAACGTTTTATGGTAGACACATGGATGACGTTTCCAAGTTGACACATCAGTGACAAAAATGATGTCCGATGCAATTCCCTATTTTGACTTGTGCCATATGTTCCCGTATTTCTTTTCCTGGTGAACAACTTACTTGCCTTTGCATGTGTTTTTATGACGGGTGCCACCGGTGGGGCAGGATACGCTCACCTTTTCGCGAACACCTGGTATCATCACTGTTTCATAGTGATTCAAAAACTCATACTCATGTTATCGTTGGAATCGTGTAATCGACCGTTTCGGAAACATAAATCTTCTATGTGTGGATATCATTACTTAAATATATATATCGCTCTTACAACGTACATAAAACCAATCGTCACCTAGTGCGCGGCTCTCGCCGCATGCATCAGTGGCAAATTCTTGATAGGAAACTACTTCACTTTTTAAGAGCATGTAGGTAGGTAGGTAGGTAGGTAGGTAGGTAGGTAGGTAGGTAGGTAGGTAGGTAGGTAGGTAGGTAGGTAGGTAGGTAGGTAGGTAGGTAGGTAGGTAGGTAAATAATCGGCGATCTGTAAATAATCGTGTGTCTGGACCAGACAATCAAGTGATTGACATCATGAGCATGGATCCATACAATTGGGATACGATGACATGCATCAACCAAGTCAGCGAACTCGGCCGAGCCCGTTAGTCACCTTTTACGGCAATGCAAGCATGGGTTGCTGAAGACCTCTTCTACCCCGGATCTTCACGGGTAGCCAAAGCATTAAGAGTCACAAAATGATGTTTCCGCTTCACGGCATTGCAGAGATTTATAAGTCGCCTCATAAACGTCCGCCCGTCATGAACCGCCCGTGACGCCTTGTTCAGTTGTCATGGCAACTGCTGCAACTGTAACTTTTTAATTACAAATTGATCTGAACAGTCGTCATTGTATCCCAATTGCGTAGACCCGTGAAGATTCCCGGGTAGAATAGGTCTTCAGCAACCCATACTTGCCGTAAAAGGAGACTATACTTGTCGTAAAAGGCGACTAACGGGATCGGGTGGTCAGACTCGCTGACTTGGTTGATGCATGTCATCGATCCCAATTGCATGGATCGATGCTCATGATATTAATCACTGGATTGTAGACTCGATTATTTACAGATCGCCGTCATATAGCTGGAATATTGCTGAGTGCGGCGTTAAACAACAAACCAACCAACCAAGCGTAGATGTCAATCAATATATTGTCTGGTCCCGACTCGATTAGTTACAGACTGCTGTCAAAAAGCTGGAATATTACAGAGTGCTGCGTTAAACAACAAACAAACACAAACATCAGATTTACAAGTTTATGTTCAGGGAGCCTTAATGTTCCTGCAACACTGTTAACATTTTTACCCAGAAATACCCTATTTTGGTTCGTGCTACTAATTCATCATAGTTTATTATAAAACCTTTATCTTAAATAAGCCGGCACAAGTATTCCAATACTTCCTCTCAGTGGTCCTTATTTGCAGGAATAATAGCAAAGTCATCCAGGTAAACAATAGTCACATCGTACCCCTTACGTTTCATCATACGGGTAATGCTTGACGATATGCGTTGTAAGGTCTCGGGGCTACGAACGGAAGCTTAGTGTCAAAGATATAACTCCCGTGATCATCCCCGGAGAATTGCCGCTGAATTGTCTTACTTTGTCGCCTGCAGGGGGAAAACTGAGCGTCACAGGTGTGGCGAAGCGCCCTCATGGTAGCAAAAGCACGTGCGGGTTGGCTGCGTTGTGGTGCATACCGAGTTAAACCTAAATAAAGCTTTACTCTTTATTTACCACGATAACCCAGCGTGAACAGGAACAGAAGTCGTTCACGTTACCAGTTGTGGTCCGAGTTTATTGTATGATAATTGTCTTTAGAGTGAGTGAGTGAATTGGGTTTAACGCCGCTTTTAACATTATTCCAGTCATATCACGGCGTGTCAGCTTAATGTGGGAGGAAAGCCCGAAGTGATGCAGGTCTCAGACGCTTACTACTTCGGTAAAATCCACGAGCACGGGTATGGTGCTGACGAACCTAGAAACATATCGGGGCGGTCCGGGATTCGAACCCACAATCATAGGTTTCTGGCGTGTCCAAGGGACGTAACTCTGCACAGCGAATCGTATATGCCCCTTGTATATGTATGTATCGTTTGTCCAAGCTATACATATACCTTAAACAACAGGGGATACTCGGAAATAACTTATAATGTCCAAAATTGTAAGAGATATTAGGCTTAATAATAGTTGTATGGTATTAATGAAGGCAGTGGGAACACATTACAACCGGTAGTGACGTATGACAGTAGATGTTATGATGGCCAACGATCTTGATGGACGAGTGAGTGAGTGAGTGAGTTGGGTTTTACGCCGCTTTTAACAGTATTCCAGTTATATCACGGCGTGTCAGCTTAATGTGGGAGGAAAGCCCGAAGTGATGCAGGTCACAGACGCTTACTACTTCGGTAAAACCCACGAGCACGGGTATGGTGCTGACAAACCTAGAAACATATCGGGGCGGTCCGGGATTCGAACCAACAATCATAGGTTTCTGGCGTGTCCAAGGGACGCAACTCTGCAAAGCGAATCGCGGCGCCTTAGACGACTGGGCCACCCATGCCCCCTCTTGATGGACGATACGGGTTAGATGGGAAATTTCAAAGTTGACGTTTGTTGATCAGTAGTGCGTAATGCCACCATTGTTGGTTCATTTACGCGTGTGTGGGTGATAATGCGTGAGGCACGTGCAAACTGTAGCTTGTGTTTTGGTGTTACGTTTTTACGGACATAAACGTTCTTGCACCGGATGTTTGTCGTCAACACTTATCTTTGCCCTAATACTTTGTATTAACATTCCTATTTCATGACCCCCTACTTCTTTTAAGAGGATATGTCGCAAGGCCCGGTATGCTTTTATCTGTAGCGAATCACAAACAAGCAGTAACATCACATACAAACTATTCACAGCGGAGGCGCGTCTATCTGAAGTCAGCCTTTACTAGTGTCACGGGAACTCCATTGCTCATCAGTGGTTGTTACAGGGATGTCCTGGTAGCAAGCGTTACCACACAAATCCAGAGTTGCTGATAGTTGGTTGACCCAACATGCAGAAGAGTAATTCCAGGAAGGTAGACCCGACATCGAGGTGGTGTCTTGGACTTACCGGCTTCTTCACCCTGGCAGTAGCGTTGGCGGTGGGAATCCTCGTGGGCAAGTACGCCCTGTGTCCCGATGACAAGCAGGGTCAGAGTAACCCAGGTGTGAAGGGACCGCAAGATGATGCTACCCACGATAACTTAGATATCATGATGGAAGATATAAATCCACAGAATATAGAAAAGATTCTCAGGTATGATATATTTCTTGAAGGGAGGTGTGTGTGTTTGTGCGAATGTGTGAATGTGTGTGCGAATGTGCGAATGTGTGTGTGTGTGTGTGTGTGTGTGTGTGTGTGTGTGTGTGTGCGCGCGCGTACGGGTTGGGGGCTCGCTACCATCGCTTGTTTACATTTAATTGTGTGCTTAAATAAATGAACATGCAGATGCACTGGAAATCATTTAATACTATCTAAGTTAATGATATTACGTATTTTATGCTAAGTTAATTTGCTAAATCTAACCTTTTGCCGAGAGGTTTGTTTGTTTTTTACCTCTGTGATCAGCAGTATTCTGGACACTAAATAATAATTCATTAATCAACATCATGAACATTGATCTACGCAATTGGGATACGATGACATGCACCAATAAAGTCAGCGAGCCTGACCACCCGACCCCGTTAGTCTCCTCTTACGACAAGCATGGGTTGCTCAAGACCTTTTCTAACCCTGATCTTCAAGGAGAGAACGAAGTATAGTTAGTTTAGGGCTGCTGAGTATGACAGACACCATTGACGCCACTTATTACCTCCGCCAGCGAGCCTGACCAACCGATCCCGTTGGTCGCCTCTTACGACGAGTTATTAAAAAATACTGTTCCCGAAAATGTTGCTTAAAAAGTAATTTGTCTTCAGAAATGTACCGTTCACCGGACATAATGGATGGTCTGAAGAGTAACGTGTTGCAGTTAAATAATTGTATGGCTCATCCATTCACAGAAAATGCTGTTTTAAAACCCTGACCGAAGAAATATTTCGTTCCGAACCCACAACCCCTCTCCCCTAAATATTTAATGTTCGCTCCATTACATGATAAAGATGAGATGTGTGACAGCATTAGAATGTATTTATGTCCTTCCAGAAACTTGTCGCTAGTCCCTCACCTCGCTGGCCAGGACAGGAACCAGCAACTGGGCGACATCCTCCATAGTTACTGGTCTGACATAGGCCTGGATGAGGTCAAGTCAGTCAAGTTTGACGTGCTGTTGTCCTACCCGAGTGCCTCCCACCCTAACCAGGTGTTCCTGCTGGACAAGGCGAACACTGTTGTAGCGGAATCGCCCAGGGTGGAGAAGGTGCTGACACCGGGGGAAAACAGCACGGAGGTGGTGCCGCCCTTCCTGGCCTACTCCAAGGCAGGGTCTGTGCAGGTGGGTGACCCTGTGATGCGCAGAACCATCATTGTTGTCTTTGTGTCTAGGAGTCCGTAATTAGATATTTGTATGATAAAATAACAGTCGTTTGATGACAACAATGACGTTATGAAGTAAGGAAGAAACAATCATCATCATCATCATCGTCGTCATCGTCATCATCATCATCATCATCATCATCATCGCCATCATCATCATTATTATTTATTTATTAGTTGTAGTTACTGTAGTAGATGCAGCAGAAGCAATAACAGCAGTAGTAGCAGCAGCAGCAGCAGTAGCAGTAGTAGTAGTAGTAGTAGTAGTAGTAGTAGTAGCACTAGTAGTTGTACCCCTAATAATAGTCAATAATGGGCGTTTCCCAACATTCCGAGCGATACTGTACTGTTCAGAGTTAACTTCCCCACGTTTCAGGGCAGTGTGGTGTATGTGAATTATGGGCGAGTGGAAGATTACGAAGCCCTCGACAGCATGCACATCAACGTAACCGGCAGTATCGTCATTGCAAGATACGGCAAAATCTACCGAGGCGACAAGGTGCGTTGTCATGGTAATTATCATATTAATGTAAGGAGATTTTTGATAACCAAGGCTACCCACCTTGGGTAGTGTGATGGTTTCGTATTAACCGTAAGCAGATGTTCAATTCTGAACATCATCCAATTTTAATACAATCGCATCTAAAGTTCACATATGTATACAAAGCGGAAGCGGAAGCGGTTCTGTATGACAGAACTCATCAGACATTGCTTGTGACCTACCTGATATACAGAACTGTTCTTCATAAAATTCGCAAGTTGTGAAGGGCAGTATTGATTGGCCGGGGCGCACTGGTCTCAACCGATGAAGCGTTTGTTCCGACCATTAGACCTCAATATTCGGTACACCTCTCTACAGTTGTACCAAAATATCGCGTCCTCGCGATCTCGCATTCTCGGCCAGTTTCCAAAGGACGAGATTGCGAAAATACGAGCTCGCGAAAATGTCCCTTACAGTATTTCATAGATGTTACTGCATGTTGTGTTTTGGCCAAATCTCGCGTTCTCGCGATCTCGCATTCTCGCACTTCAGGCATATTTGGCTCGTTTCCAAAGGTCGAGATCGCGAGAATGTCCCTTACAGTATTCCATAGTTTCGGCTGGGATAAAACTGTCAGTCTTCATCCCTTGCACTCATGAACTGGGTGTCGTTCTGGGTGTCGTTCCACAAAGCGATCTCTGCCGGCTACGACTATCGTAAGCCTAAGTATCTTAAAGTATGGGAGCAACGATCATCTTAGCGCTATAATCGCTTTGTGGAACGGGCCCCAGGTCGTACTTGTAGAAACCGATCTTAGCGCTACGACTATCGTAAGCCTATCTTAAAGTATGGGAGTAACGATCATCTTAGCGCTACAATCGTTTTGTGGAACAGGCCCTGGACTAATATGATGGCATTTAGCTTTCTATTCCAGGTAATGATTGCTGAGAAACACGGGGCAATAGGGGTCATTCTCTATTCTGACCCTTGGGACTACCGCCCGGCCCATGTCAAGGACGTGTACCCGAAAACCTGGTGGCTCCCCCCTACCGGTGCCCAGAGGGGGTCTGTCTATGAGGGAGACGAGGACCCCCTGACACCAGGCTACCCTGCGACAGGTGGTTATTAGTATTGAATGGATAGGCGTTTCGTTTTGTTCATATGATCCCAAGACCTGCATCTTTCTGGGCTTTCACTCCACATGGTTGGTTTGTTGTTAACGCCGCACTCAGCAATATTCCAGCAATATGACGGCGGTCTGTAAATAATCGAGTCTGGACCAGACAATCCAGTGATTAATATCATGAGCATCGATCAGCGCAATTGGGATACGATGACATGCATCAACCAAGTCAGCGATCCTGACAACCCGATCCCGTTAGTAGCCTCTTACGACAAGCATAGCCGCATTTTACGGCAAGCATGGGTTGCTGAAGAACTATTCTATCCCGGATCTTCACGGGTCAACTCTACATGCCGAAGACCCGTGTTCGATTCCCTACATGGGTACAATGTGTGTAACCCATTTCTGGTGTCCCCCGCCATGATATTGCAGGAATATTGCTAAAAGCGGCGTAAAACCTCACTCACTCACTTACTCACTCACTTTACATGAAACTGTTACGCCGTATTACAACTGAAATACATAAAACTGCGGCGTTAAATCCTCACTCATATTGTTTATAAGTAAGTTTTAATTTTACGTTGATTCAGAAATTTCCAACTAAATAGCTCTTCGTTCATTTGCGTCTATTGTTTTGTGCGTCTATAATTTCTGTTCTGTTCTTATCATTTGTGGGAATTTAATGTAAAATAAGTATGATATAATAAATGCGGTGGGTATAGTGTAGTGTGTGTTAACTTAACAATGTTACTCTGCACGAACATAAATCACGCATTGTTTTGCGCCACTTTTATGAACATACAACCATTATCTCGATGGGGGACACTAAAAATGTGCTTCACAAAATTTACCCATGGGGGAATCGAACCGGGCCTTCGGTCTGACGTTTTGTTTGTTTGTTTGTTTGACGCTGTACTCAGCAATATTCCAGCTATATGACGGCGGTCTGTAAATAATCGAGTCTGGACCAGACAGTCTAGTGATTGACACCATGAGCATGGATCCACGCAATTGGGATACGATGACATACATCAACCAAGTCTGCGAGCCTGACCACCCGATCTCGTTAGTCGCCTCTTACGACAAGCATAGTCGCCTTTTACGGCAAGCATGGGTTGCTGAAGAATTATTCTAGTACCGGATCTTCACGGGTGTCGGCCTGACGTGCGAACACTTTAACCACTAAGCTACTCCATCGCCCCTAAATCATATTGGAACGCCTTGCATCAATACAACATCAATAGTTCTCCTGTTTTGCATACACACGAATACTTGATTTTGTCAGAGTTCGCCTATCGGATACCAGTGGAGGACGCAGATCCCGCGCTGCCTGGAATACCAGCTCACGTCGTGGGATACGGGTTTGCGGAGCAGATTCTCAGGTAGTCGGGAAACTCAAGAACTCAACACTTCCAAGTTCTCTCACTGATAACATATTGACCTTGACCTTGACCTTGACCTTGACAGATATCTACAGTGTGTTGGGGCAGTGTACACAACTGATACGCGCATATATTGCCATGGCGACATGTAGTTTGTACTGGTCCTGTGCTAGCAGGCTAATCTTACGAACCGCATCTGTTACTACCGAGTGTTCCCGAGTGTTGCCGAGATTTGCATTTTAAAGGGAGACTATATGTTCCGGCCAATGGGCAGTCTTAGCAAATTTGATTAAAGTGATTCGTAACCAATTTTGTTTGCTTGAAACTGAATTTTTATTACCCTAATTACGCAGAAATAGTGTCAAATCTAACATTATTCACTAATTACATCTCTTGAGATAGACCGAAAGAGGACCAGATGCAGCACAGCCCCCCCCCCCCCCCCCCCCCCCCCCCCCCCTTTAACAACATTGAAGAACATTGAAGTACACTACTGAACATTCTATAATACCCATAAGGGTAGACGTGTCGAGAATAATGACTTCCTGATATTTGTACATATGTATCGATTCTCAATCCTGATTGGTCATAGTGATCAATAATTTTCAAAAATACGATATGACGTCACTCATTGTTTATGACGTCACAAATTGATTACATGGCGTTAGTGAAGTTTGTCTATAGGGATGACATTTCATACGCTTCACTTTCGCTCTTAAATTTCAGTGACTAATATATAGAATAACCTACTCGAAACTTGAATTTCGGATTGTTCTAGATCTGTCCCCAGTGAATGAATGCTGCAAGTTCCTCGCCAAAGGCTCGGGACTTACACCATTTATTCACTTGGGACAGATAATACGTAATTCCTCGTAGCGTGTTGATTATTATCTTGTATAAGGTAGCTACGGGATAAACCGCAAAGAATATTGAATAACAAAGCGGTATTTATTTCACAATAAATCATTTCTCTATCATGACGTTACTGGAGATGCGCTCGCATGTGTTATCGTACAAATATTGCTGCAGGGAGATTAAACCACCCGGGGCTGCACCCCTGATGGTTTATTCTCCCTGCAGTGTTTTGTTGTGCGATAAACAACTGCCCCGAATCCTTTATTTCGTAAATTACGTAACATTAAATCAAGATATTAAGATGTTGATAAAACAAAAAGTGGGGTCAATCACAGTATATTTTCAATGATCGGAATGTTAACGTGAATATGACATAATCAATACCAAGAACACAACCACAGCCGCTGCAAATGTTTGTTTTTTTCATAGTTACAAAGTTATTGTCAACCGTATTTCCAGCTAAGATAGGTGGAAGGGACATTCAACATTAAACAAACGCAGTGCATAAATCGATGATCCGACACTGGACCCGTGAAGATCCAGTTTAGAATAGGTCATAGAAAAGAATTTCAGCAACCCATGCTTGTCGCAAAAGGCGACTTTGCTTGTCGTAAGAGGCGACTAACGGGATCGGGTGGTCAGCCTCGCTGACTTGCTTCTTATATGACATCGTATCCCAATTGTCTGGATTGATGCTCATGATGTCAGTCACTGGATTGTGTGGTAAAGACTCGATTATTTGCAGACCGTCGTCATATAGCTGGAAAGGTGTGGAGTGCGGCGTTAAACAAACAAACAAACAAACAAACAAACAAACAAACTGATCCGTTACTGAGAAACATATAAGGAATACATCCCCGTTCCATTTAAGGTTAAGAAAAATTAAACAATAATTTGTTCATCGTCTTCATACATTTTTAATTGTAATTTACAATAATTATCTATGTAACTGTCATGATATATTTAGATTGAAAAAATGAATATAGCCTTCTATTCCCAGAGAGATGGACGGCCGCATGGCTCCTATAGACTGGCGAGCGGGGCTGAACCTTACCTACAGACTGGGGCCTTACTTCTCTACACCGGGGATGTACGTAACCCCCAGCCTAAACAGGAGAACGATCTTAGCGCTACATCTTCCATACTAGTACTTCCATACTTCCATAATCGCTTTTCGAGAAATGCCCATTTTGCTTTTTTTCTGTCACTACTGTCAGTGTAGTGGCTTGTTTTTCCTTTACAAGTATTGGCACATGTGCAGCTATCTTCTTTAAATTATTAATCATCGAGATTTGGAGAGAATTGTTTTCCAGTGGAGAGGACAAAAGCTGATCTGGTACAGAGTCGATTGTGTAAAGGCCACCGTCGTATGGCTGAAGTAGTGCTGCTGTGAGCGGCGTTAGCGAACAATCAATACACATTTATGAAAATTATGTAACTGGTTTGTACTCCCGCGAAAGAAGCACATGATAATTTTTTTCACCTAGTGTCATCACTGATTTTCAGTTAACCATTGTCATTCATTTTCATCACAATTAAAAAATGCCTTTTATATTCCAGAGTTTATGCAGATAATTGATACTTTTTATTTTCTGGCGCACATTTTTAAATGGCTTTGTGTAAGTGGACACGAGTGTTTTGTTATAAGCCATTTTCTAGTATTAGATTGACCTCCCTTTACAAAACCACGAACATGACATTGATTGTATAGTTCACGAGATTTAATGAATTTCGCGCTACGATCGAGCCCAGAAATTCCAGAAATTCAGTTAACTCCGTGGCCTCTTGAAGTTGGGATCCAGGGTATTTATTGAAATAAGATATAGCGAAATAAGACCCTTAAAAATCGAGGATGGGTTTTGTGACATAATATTGCTATGTTACACACAGGTCTGTCAGGTTGAATGTGACGACCAGCAATGTACGTCGTGAAATAACAGACGTCATCGGCGTCATAAGGGGCGAAGTGGAGCCAGGTAAGGTGCCAGTTCATCATCTGTGTTGCCATGGATACAGTTTCACAGGGAAAAAAAACGCTTGAGGGTGTCGTGTGTATATAACTACAAATCGTTATGATTTTACAACGACGTAATGTTATCACCATTGTTGTTAATAACAAAGGAGATAATCCCATGGTTATCCTATCGCAGCATTAAATACTGTCCCCACTAAAAGCATCATAGGTTTCTTTTAAATCGCAACTGACTTATATGAGACTGATATTTAGCCCCAGAAATAAAGTTATCTTATTTAAAATATATTTTCTACAAAATAAAAAATACAAAAATACAAATGGAGCCCAGACTTGCCAAATCATTCTAGACTTGAACTCGGCTCCTTTTTTAATTTTTCTCTAGGGTCTGGAGATTCATGTTATGTTTAAAATGTCAAATATTGAAAGATGTTCATAGACAGATACATCCTCATCGGTAACCATAGAGACGCATGGGTGTTTGGAGCTATGGATCCGTCTTCCGGCACTGCCATCATGATGGAGATGTCACGTGCCCTCATGCACAGAATTAAAACAGGTATGTTGCACATTCATCTTTCCTACACTGACCTGGTGCCACACAACAGTGAGTGAGTGAGTGAGTGGGTGAGTGAGTTGGGTTTTACGCCGCTTTTAACACTATTCCAGTTATATCACGGCGTGTCAGCTTAATGTGGGAGGAAAGCCCGAAGTGATGCAAGTCTCAGACGTTTACCACTTCGGTGAAACCCACGAGCACGGGTATGGTGCTGACAAACCTAGAAACATAATCGGGGCGAACCGGGATTCGAGCCCACAATCATAGGTTTCTGGCGTGTCCAAGGTACGCAACTCTGCACAGCGAATCGCGGCGCCTTAGACCACTGGGCCACCCGTGCCCCCGCCACACAACAGACGGAAGTAGTCGAAACTAAAATATTGTACACGTTACACATACGTTTTTCATTCGGAACACACAAATAGCCAACAACTAGCAATGAAAATGCGCATTAAGATATTATATATGGCATTTGCACGTTTAGCTCAAAAGGTCTGGATCTAACGATTTTGTTTCATATTTTGGCGGCCATCTTGGAATTAAACATGACCATCATTTTCTATGACGTTTATAGCATTACTGGAGTCGATTAATAGATAGCTTCATATTATATACATGCTGTTCCTTAACACAAATTTGTTGTTTGTGAAGGCAACTGGCGCCCCAAACGAACTATAATATTCTGCAGCTGGGATGCGGAGGAGTATGCACTCATTGGATCTTCTGAGTTCGTACAGGTAGCTTTGTTTGTTTGTTTGTTTGTTGTTTAACGCCGCACTCAGCAATATTCCAGCTATATGTCTGCGGCCTGTAAATAATCGAGTCTGGACCAGACAACTCAGTAATTGACATCATGAACATCGATCCCCGCAATGGTATAACTTGACATGTATCACCCAAGTCAGCGAGCCTGACCACCCGATGTCGCCTCTTACGACAAGCATAGTCGCCTTTTACGGCAAGCATGGTCCTATCCCGGATCTTTACGTGTATTGTACAGGTAGTTGTCAGTTTTTATCTGGTGTGAGGGCGGTCGGGTAGCCTAGTGGGTAAAGCGTTCGCGCGTCACGTCGAAGAACCGGGTTCGATTCCCAAACATGGGTACAATGTGAGAAGCCCATTTCTGGTGTCCCCCGCCGTGTTATTGCTGGGATATTTCTAAAAGCGACTGTCATGAGAATACATATTATAGTATAATTTACTCCCAAGCGTTTTTCTTATATTTACTTTTTGAAAATGCAAACACTCACTTTGTACATTTGTAATTTAAGTACGATTTGGATGGCGATTCGTTATAAAAGTTAAAATTATATAAATTGTATGTTATTTTCTCTTTGCATAGCTGTAGTAGCTGTAAACTGTTTCTTATTAGTTATACATCTTCTTCCAGAAATATGTCAAGAACTTACTGACTCGAGCTGTGGCCTATTTGAACGTAGATATTGCTGTCGAGGGTAAGTATACATGTAGGCACCATATTACCCCGGTAGGATCAAGGTGTCTAACTTTTGGGACAAAACGTGTACCTCGAAGTCCGGGTATCGAGTATCGATTCATCCGTTGTTTGAGATAAACAGCGTAAAATGAGCAAAAGGCTGTGTCAGGTGCAACACGGATATCCTCTTTGTATATGCAAGATGTTGAGTTGAATGTTTCAGTGATTCTTTATCTGGTTATTGCAGGGAATTATACCTTGGACGTGATGGGGACTCCATTGTTGTATCAAACAGCGGTCGAGGCGGCCAAACGGGTGAACTTGCTTGTTTTATTTTGTTTTGTTTTTATCGCCACACTGACAACGTGTCTAGTAAATGCTACTAGCTTAATTAGTCACGGCAACGACTTTACTATCCTAAGTGGTAGGACCGCCTCCGTGGTCTTGTGGTAGAGCGTCCGCCCGGAGAGCGGAAGGTCCGGGGTTCGATCCCCGACCGCGTCATACCAAAAGACGTTAAAATATGGTACTTGTTGTTACCCTGTCTGGCGCTCGGCATTAAGGGGCTAAAGCAAGGACTGGTCGGCTCGGAGTCAGTATACTGTGTCTGAGTGGGGTATTCATGTTAAACTGCGGCATGGTATCTCAGTGTGCTAGCACAGTCCGGCATCAGTCCGGACTAGTACAAGCAGCCACACAAACAGACACACGTACATGCACGTCGCTATATAAGTGCAATAATCTTGGACGCGACGTTAAACCAAATTTCACCTCACCTCACCTTAGTGGTAGATTGCATGTTTAGAATTTAAGTACGTTTTATAAAGAGCATATCATCAGGCTATAAGTCAAATATGGATGAAATGTATAACATATATTGAAAGTATATGTGCAAATCAGATTCACAGGCACTTGCATTACACATATACCAACAAACTTGGAACACTATTCACATAAAAATGTACACATAACAAACCTAATGACACTAGAATTGACACTCGTGACGACAACAGTCTCCTTAGCACAGGTGGAACGTGACGAACTACAAATCAAGAGGTTGCAGGTTCTACTCCTACCGAGGTATAACATTCCTTGTTGCTGTACGCCTAATAGTATTTCTCTCATACACGAAGCTGACAATGAAAATATATTTGATAACTACTTGACAATTTTTAGGTAGTGACTATAGGCTACCTAGTACAACAATACAAACTTTAATAGTAAAATCTACTTAAATGTTAGTTTCTGAGTGGACAGTGAAATTAACTAAGTTGATAAACTATACAAACTATTTCTGCCAGTGCACCTTCAGCAATATTCCAGCTATGTGACGGCGTATTGTTAATAAACGGGTCTGGACCAGACAATCCAGTGAGTGACATCATGACCATCGACCTACGGAATTGGGATACGATGACTTGTATCAACCAAGTCAGCGAGTCTTAATATCCAGTCCCGTTAGCCACCGAAGTTGCTGAAGACCACTTCTAACCCGGATCTTACCGGGCTGCATGGTACAAGAGAGTGAGTGAGTTGTGTTTAACGCTGCTTTTAACAGTATTACAGTTATATCACGACGTGTCAGCTTAATGTGGGAGGAAAGCCCGAAGTGATGCAGGTCTCAGATGTTTACCATTTCGGTGAAACCCACGAGCACGGGTATGGTGCTGACAAACCTAGAAACATATTAGGGGCGAACCGGGATTCGAACCTACAATCATAGGTTTCTGGCGTGCCCAAGGGACACAACTCCGCACAGCGAATCGCGGCGCCTTAGACGAATGGACCACCCGTGCCCAAGCACGATACAAGTAGTATATATGACAACCTGAATACGTGAAGTATAGGTGGCACGGGGATCGAATCCCAGATTCGTCCTGATTATGTTCCTAGGTTTGAGGGGCGGTCGGGTAGCCTAGTGGTTAAAGCGTTCGCTCGTCACGCCGAAGACCCTGGTTCGATTCCCGACATGGGTACAATGTGTGAAGCCCATTTCTGGTGTCCCCCGCCGTGATATTGCTGGAATATTGCTAAAAGCGGCGTAAAACCATACTCACTCACTCACTCCTAGGTTTGTTCTAAGCAGTGTTAGACCGAACTCGCGCATCACTCACTCACATGTGTAGACATACAGTAATAGTACGGACATGTGATAATAAGGAAGAATATTTGTGATACGAAAACAAACTTCTCAAATTCACTTCCGCTTCAAACCGATAAATGACACATGTTTGTACATGTTTGTGCTGTCTATTTAATACTTACCAAAAATATAAACGACAAAACCCTTTCCAAATTCACAAGATATCTCTGCTAAAAGTAGCCTCGATTGTACATTCCGACTATATCATGAGCATGTGTTTATGAATCACTATCAAATGGTGATGATACCACGTGTTCGCGAATAGGTGAGCGTATCCGTCCCCTTTTCTACATTTCACAGACCTTGAGGTACAATCGAGCATGATCTTTCCACGAAAACTTCATGGAGCGTCATACAACTATTGCTGAAAAGTTGTTTGATCAAGGTTACACCTTTCAAGGCGTCAGTAAAGCTTTCAAAACGATTTATGATCGACATGTGGACGGCATTGTCAAGTTTGACGCTGTCCGATGCAATTCCCTATCAATTTTGACTTGTACCATGTGTTCTCGTGCTTTTACAGGTGAACAATGCAATTGACTTGCCTTTGCATGTGTTTGTGACGGGTGACACCAGTTGATCAGGATACGCTCACCCTTTCGCGAACACTTGGTGTCATCACTATTTGATAATGATTCATAAACTCGTGGTCATGAGATGGAAATTTATTTCTTGTTATTATGGAAAGTGTTTTGTAGCTTTTATTGTCTTTTACCGACAAGGTGCGTGTACCTGATAAAGACACGCCCCTGTATGACCAGTGGCGGGTGCGAAGAGAGATGGAAGACCTCAAAAAGGACGGTTTAGGGATACCGAGGTGAGCAGTCATTTCAATGTGAGCATAGTGTTGACATAGCATCGCGGTACTTTACACACGCACGCACAAACATATACAAGTTTGCGCGATCTCCCAAACAAATCTGTTCCTTTGCACACATTGAAACTTTAATTATACACTTGAGTACATTTAAAGCACTATTTGCCTGTGTTTATCACGGCATACCATCCGGGAAAGACGTGATTGTAAAGAATGTATTGTTTATTTGACAGTCATTTCCAACATTATAACATTAGAAACCACACAACACTTTCACATCGGAAACCACACAACACTTTCACATCGGAAACCACACAACACTTTCACATCGGAAACCACACAACACTTTCACATCGGAAACCACACAACAATATAACATCGGAAACCACACAACACTTTAACATCGGAAACCACACAACACTTTAACATCGGAAACCACACAACACTTTAACATCGGAAACCACACAACACTTTCACATCGGAAACCACACAACACTTTAACATCGGAAACCACGCAACACGTTCAAATCGGAAACCACACAACACTTTCACCTAAAAAACCACACAACACTTTCACATCGAAAACCACACAACACTTTCACATCGAAAACCACACAACACTTTCACATCGGAAACCACACAACACTTTCACATCGGAAACTGTGACGGGATACTGTGACCATCTACTGGTAGTCTTCATCTTTACAGCTTCCCAAACCCCGGATCAGGCAGCGACTACACCAACTTCCTGCAACTCTCGGGCGTCCCCATCCTTGACTTCCGCTACATATATAGCAAGGTGATGTACTTCTCCCTGACTTGTTTGTCATCAATATGTTAGTTCGTAACACACGATTATACATATTTCACATATACTTGAAGTAATGTGAACTATTTGTTGGTTCCTAACCTTTGCGTGGAAGTATATCATACAATCACTGGTTAAAGAAAATCCAAATGATGATGCACGTACCATTTATAGGCCCAAACCTCCCCCTGCACCGTGGAGAGATCTGTTCTGCCTTTTATCCCTATATATCAATTGGTGTGCCAGATTGGTTCAACATACCCACAAGAAGCTGCTATTTAAACGGTACAGCGCCTGCACCAGGTTCCTGACTATAAGACATAAGACACAGCCGCCTTAATAAACAAGTCTCTAAAAAACTCTTTAAACCGATCCAGACTGAAGAACGTTTCAGAAATATGAGACACATTTGAGACCATGTTCCATCGTGGTGTGAATAATAGAAGATGATTATTATTATTATCATTATTATCATTAGTAGTAATAGTAGTAGTAGTAGTAGTAGTAGTAGTAGTAGTAGTAGTATCGTTGTCGTCATCATCATCGTCGTCGACCATCATCATCATCGTCATCTATGTATAGGGGGGCACGGGTGGCCCAGTCGTCTGAGGCGCCGCGATTCGCTGTGCAGTGTTGCGTCCCTTGGACACGCCAGAAACCTATGATTGTGGGTTCGAATCCCGGTTCGCCCTTAATATGTTTCTAGGTTTGTCAGCACCATACCCGTGCTCGTGGGTTTCACCAAAGTGGTAAACATCTGAGACCTGCATCACTTGAGGCTTTCCTCCCACATGAAGCTGACACGCCGTGATATAACTGGAAAACTGTTAAAAGCGGCGTTAAATCCAAATCACTCACTCACTCATCTATGTATAGATAGTTATTCAGTAGAAAACAACTGGTTGCCGTACATCTGATTCCCTCCGATGTAGACCGTGTATGCTAGTGGTTGTTTCAGTGTGATAGTGTTCTCATGCCATTACTGCTGAACCTGACGGTGACAATGTAACATTTCATATTTTCAGAAAAGATGGAGAATCGGATCCTACCCTCTCTATCATACAGAATATGAAACATTTTATGCCGTTAAGAACTTTGTCGACCCAGAGTTTAAGGTAATTAAAATTAAAATAAAACACATCCTGAGGGCACGAGAGATCAATACCACTCACTGCCGCTCCTAATATATGTGATGTTCACTCATCAATCACGATATTCATCCAATGTGTTATCGTCAAGGAAATTAGGTTTTCGCCGCCAACTTCTATGCGAAAAATGCAGGGCGAGTATGCAAGTATGCGAGTAACAGCCTGAAGGATAATGTTTTTGTTCAAGCATTTTCTTTGGGAATATATTTTTGGCGATAAGGATGCATACCGTCGCCATCAAAACATTATCCGTACGCGTCCTGTGCATTTATTAAACATTAAACCGTCTTGCCATTTCATGCCTTTGCATGTGTTTGTGACGGGTGCCATCGGTCGGACAGGATACGCACACCTTCTCGCGAATACCTGGTATCATCCGTATTTGATAGTGATTCATAGACACATGCTTATGATAAAGTCGGAATGGTATTGTCTACTCTGCATTATGCAGAGATTTCTATTGGATATGAAAAGGGTTTTGTCGCTTTATTTACAATGCCTGTTTAGAAATACTGAAACAAACATACTACTGGTGAATACGATTTAACGTGGTCGATTGTGTTCTTGAAGTTTAATCAAGTATTGCAAGATACTTACATTGCGTAAAACAGCAGAGTGGGTGAGTACGGTTTTACGCCACTTTTAGCAATATTCCAGCAATATCACGGCGGAGGACACCAGAAATGGGCTTCACACATTGTACCCACTTCGGAAATCGAATCCAGGTCGTCGGCGTGACGAGAGAACGCTTAAACCACTTAGCTACCCGACCGCCCCTATAACACGGCAGAGAATAAGGGGTTCTCTTGTTCCTTGTTAGACACCCAGTTGTTAAATACGTTACCAAAATAATAAAAGAAGGCTTACCTGTTGCTGTACTGGGCTCGTCCAATCTAGCCACTCTGACTAGAACTACCACTAATTTGGACAACAAAAGTTCCTGTGACACCAATATTTTAGTGCATTTTTCAAATAAGTCAAGTTTGGTTTTCAATATTGTGGTACATTTATGGAATCAAGTCACAAAAACGCAACTGCTACAGAAAAGCATTCATTCCATGCAAAAGTTTACTTTTATGCAAGCCCCATGCATTTCACTACCCAAGAATTGGTATACATGTAAAAACATGTGCGTTAATGGGATTCCATGTGCATTGTTTAGCATCGTGCTGACAACAACCACTCAGAAAAACAACGAAATTACGCAATTATTTAACATTACGAAATGCCAATGCCAAGCAGGATCGAGTCACCGTGATGTTGCAAGACAATTTAACGTCCACAGAAACACCATTTGGTGTTTATGGCAACGTTGGCAACAGACGAATGCAGTCAGAGACCATCCTCGGAGTGACAGGCCACGCGTAATCAATAATCGACAAGACAACTGGATTCGAACAACACACCTACGAAATCGATTCCAGCCAGCAACAGTGACTGCATGAAGCATTCCTGGCCTTCGACGAATATCTTCACAAACCGTACGTCGCCGCCTAAGATGTGCAGGGATTATCGCCAGACGTCCCATTTTGACAGGAAACCACCGTCAAGCACGTCTACAGTGGTACAGACAGCGTCTACGCTGGACGGCCATGCAGTGGGGACATGTTCTATTCACTGACGAGTCTCGTTTTCACCCCAGCCACAGCGATGGACGGATTCGAGTGTAACGACGTCGAGGTGAACGCTACGTCAATCATTGTGTCATGGAAGAAGATCGGTTCGGGGGCGGAAGCGTAATGGTATGGGGTGGGATTACAGCAAGACAGAGGACCCGTTTTATAGTGGCATAAAAGATATGATCCCGACAGGCCACGTAACATGTGACCCCGGTGGGGCAGGATTCGCTCACCGTTTTGGGGATAGTCGGAATCGAACAATCGGCTCTTATGAATATGGAAACGGTTGTCGTTTTAATTAATGTGAATTTCATCAAAAGCTCTCTGGCAATTTAGATCAAGACTGGCATCATTGGAAATTTCAAAGTGCTATAAACAATACAGATCACTACTCAATACTGAATCATATCTCACAACTAACAAACCTCAACATATCAAGTGGCATTTATCAAACTTTAGGTGTAATAATTTAAGATAATATGTTGAGATTGGAAGTAATACTAATAGCCATGATGAGAGGTACTGCGAATTGTGTCATAAGAAAAATAAGACATTTGATGTTTGTAAGATGGTTGTTTGTTTGTTTGTTGTTGTTTAACGCCTCACCCAGCAATAGTCCAGATACATAACGGCGGTCTGTAAATAATCGAGTCTGGAACAGAAAGTCCAGTGACTGATATCATGAACATCGATCCATGAAATTGGGAAACGATGACATGCATAAAACAAGTCGGCGAGCCTGACCACCCGATCCCGTTAGCCGCCTCTTACGACAAGCATGGGTTGCTGGAGCCCAACTCTGGAATGTTGCTGAGCGCGGCGTTCAACAACACACAAACAAATCAAGTCTCAATACTGAAGTCCCCGTAAAATATACGTTGAATAACCTTTAGAATAAAATCATTGTAATCTAAATGAGTGCATTTGAGTTCACTCAAGCAACACTGCATGTACAACCTCTTCTACTGGCAATGAACATCATGATGTAGCAAGAGGGTATCGCAAAAAATAATTTAATGTTGAAGGTTGCGGTGTATGTTCTAAACAGAAGTTCATAAAACGTCAATGATTTTGTAAATCTTGTGAAGTGGGATAATTATCTTATCTCGTAAACTGCGGTGAACGGATGCATTGGTCATATCACCGGTCTATGTCTGTAGTCCCAAGTATCACCGGTCTATGTCTGTGTCCCCAGTATCATCGGTCTGTGTCTGTGTTCCCAGTATCACCGGTCTGTGTCTGTGTTCCCAGTATCACTGATCTATGTCTGTGTCCCCAGTATCACAGGGCTATGTCTGTGTCCCCAGTATCACCGGGCTATGTCTGTTTCCCCAGTATCACCGGGCTATGTCTGTTTCCCCAGTATCACCGGTCTGTGTCTGTGTCCCCAGTATCACCGGGCTATATCTGTTTCCCCAGTATCATCGGGCTATGTCTGTGCCCCCAGTATCACCGGTCTATGTCTGTGTCCCCAGTATCACCGGTCTGTGTCTGTGTCCCCAGTATCACCGGTCTGTGTCTGTTTCCCCAGTATCATCGGGCTATGTCTGTGTCCCCAGTATCACCGGTCTATGTCTGTGTCCCCAGTATCACCGGTCTGTGTCTGTGTCCCCAGTATCACCGATCTGTGTCTGTTTCCCCAGTATCATTGGGCTATGTCTGTGCCCCCAGTATCACCGGTCTATGTCTGTAGTCCCCAGTATCACCGGTCTGTGTCTGTGTCCCCAGTATCACCGGTCTGTGTCTGTGTCCCGTGTATCACCAGTAATACTATTAGCCATGATGAGAGGTACTGCGAATTTTGTCGGAAGAAAAATAAGACATTTGATGTTTGTAAGATGGTTGTTTGTTTGTTTGTTTGTTGTTTAACGCCTTACCCAGCAATAGCCCAGATACATGACGGAGGTCTGTAAATAATCGAGTCTGGAACAGAAAGTCCAGTGACTGATATCATGAACATCCATGCACTTGGGATACGATGACATGCATCAAACAAGTCAGCATCTTAGACGGGAATGGGTTGCTGTAGACCAATTCTAACCCAGAACTTCACGGGTTAGCGTTATGTTGCCACGTGGAAGGAATGCGTGCTGTTACCGAGGGTGGTGGTTCGTGCCATAGAACGCGACGTCATCTTTTGTCAGATAGATGTTGGCTGCATCTGGGCCCCGTTCCACAAAGCAATCGTAGTGCTACGACTGTCGTAAGTCTGTGTTAAAGTATAGGAGTTACGATAACTTCAGCGTTACGATCGCTTTGTGGAAAGGACTCCTGACCACCCGATCCCGTTAGCCGCCTCTTACGACAAGCATGGGTTGCTGGAGACCAACTCTGGAATGTTGCTGAGCGCGGCGTTCAACAACACACAAACAAATCAAGTCTCAATACTGAAGTCCCCGTAAAATATACGTTGAATAACCTTTAGAATAAAATCATTGTAATCTAAATGAGTGCATTTGAGTTCCCTCAAGTAACACTTCATGTACAACCTCTTCTACTGGCAATGAACATCATGATGTAGCAAGAGGGTATCGCAAAAATGTTGAAGGTTGCGGTGTATGTTCTAAACAGAAGTTCATAAAACGTCAATGATTTTGTAAATCTTGTGAAATCTGATGATTATCTTATCTCGCAAACTGCGGTGAACGGAGGCATTGGTCATATCACCGGTCTATGTCTGTAGTCCCAAGTATCACCGGTCTATGTCTGTGTCCCCAGTATCATCGGTCTGTGTCTGTGTCCCCAGTATCATCGGTCTGTGTCTGTGTCCCCAGTATCACCGCGCTATGTCTGTGTCCCCAGCATCACCGGTCTATGTCTGTGTTCCCAGTATCACCGGTCTATGTCTGTGTCCCAAGTATCACAGGGCTTTGTCTGTGTGCCCAGTATCATCGGTCTGTGTCTGTGTCCCCAGTATCACCGGTCTGTGTCTGTGTCCCCAGTATCACCGGGCTATGTCTGTGTCCCCAGTATCACCGCGCTATGTCTGTGTCCCCAGTATCATCGGGCTATGTCTGTGTCCCCAGTATCATCGGTCTGTGTCTGTGTCCCCAGTATCACCAGTCTATGTCTGTGTCCCCAGTATCACCGGTCTGTGTCTGTGTCCCCAGTATCACCGGGCTATGTCTGTGTCCCAAGTATCACCGGGCTGTGTCTGTGTTCCAAGTTTCACCGGTCTGTGTCTGTGTCCCCAGTATCACCGGTCTGTGTCTGTGTCCCCAGTATCACCGGGCTATGTCTGTGTCCCCAGTATCACCGGTCTGTGTCTGTGTCCCCAGTATCACCGGTCTATGTCTGTGTCCCCAGTATCACCGGTCTGTGTCTGTGTCCCCAGTATCACCGGTCTGTGTCTGTTTTCCCAGTATCACCGGTCTATGTCTGTGTCCCCAGTATCACCGGGCTATGTCTGTGTCCCCAGTATCACCGGGCTATGTCTGTGTCCCCAGTATCACCGGGCTACGTCTGTGTCCCCAGTATCACCAGTCTGTGTCTGTGTCCCCAGTATCACCGGGCTATGTCTGTGTCCCCAGTATCACCGGTCTGTGTCTGTGTCCCCAGTATCACCGGTCTATGTCTGTGTCCCCAGTATCACCGGTCTATGTCTGTGTCCCCAGTATCACCGGTCTATGTCTGTGTCCCCAGTATCACCGGTCTATGTCTGTGTCCCCAGTATCACCGGTCTGTATCTGTGTCCCCAGTATCACCGGTCTATGTCTGTGTCCCCAGTATCACTGATCAATGTCTGTGTACCCAGTATCACCGGTCTGTGTCTGTGTCCCCAGTATCACCGGTCTATGTATGTGTCCCCAGTATCATCGGTCTGTGTCTGTGTCCCCAGTATCACCGGTCTGTGTCTGTGTCCCCAGTATCACCGGGCTACGTCTGTGTCCCCAGTATCACCGGTCTATGTCTGTGTCCCCATTATCACCGGTCTGTGTCCCCAGTATCACCGGTCTATGTCTGTGTCCCCAGTATCACCGGCCTGTGTCTGTAGTCCCCAGTATCACCGGTCTGTGTCTGTGTCCCCAGTATCACCGGTCTGTGTCTGTGTCCCGTGTATCACCAGTAATACTATTAGCCATGATGAGAGGTACTGCGAATTTTGTCGGAAGAAAAATAAGACATTTGATGTTTGTAAGATGGTTGTTTGTTTGTTTGTTGTTTAACGCCTTACCCAGCAATAGCCCAGATACATGACGGAGGTCTGTAAATAATCGAGTCTGGAACAGAAAGTCCAGTGACTGATATCATGAACATCGATCCATGCACTTGGGATACGATGACATGCATCAAACAAGTCAGCATCTTAGACGGGAATGGGTTGCTGTAGACCAATTCTAACCCAGAACTTCACGGGTTAGCGTTATGTTGCCACGTGGAAGGAATGCGTGCTGTTACCGAGGGTGGTGGTTCGTGCCATAGAACGCGACGTCATCTTTTGTCAGATAGATGTTGGCTGCATCTGGGCCCCGTTCCACAAAGCAATCGTAGTGCTACGACTGTCGTAAGTCTGTGTTAAAGTATAGGAGTTACGATAACTTCAGCGTTACGATCGCTTTGTGGAAAGGACTCCTGACCACCCGATCCCGTTAGCCGCCTCTTACGACAAGCATGGGTTGCTGGAGACCAACTCTGGAATGTTGCTGAGCGCGGCGTTCAACAACACACAAACAAATCAACTCTCAATACTGAAGTCCCCGTAAAATATACGTTGAATAACCTTTAGAATAAAATCATTGTAATCTAAATGAGTGCATTTGAGTTCCCTCAAGTAACACTTCATGTACAACCTCTTCTACTGGCAATGAACATCATGATGTAGCAAGAGGGTATCGCAAAAATGTTGAAGGTTGCGGTGTATGTTCTAAACAGAAGTTCATAAAACGTCAATGATTTTGTAAATCTTGTGAAATCTGATGATTATCTTATCTCGCAAACTGCGGTGAACGGAGGCATTGGTCATATCACCGGTCTATGTCTGTAGTCCCAAGTATCACCGGTCTATGTCTGTGTCCCCAGTATCATCGGTCTGTGTCTGTGTCCCCAGTATCACCGCGCTATGTCTGTGTCCCCAGCATCACCGGTCTATGTCTGTGTTCCCAGTATCACCGGTCTATGTCTGTGTCCCAAGTATCACAGGGCTTTGTCTGTGTGCCCAGTATCATCGGTCTGTGTCTGTGTCCCCAGTATCACCGGTCTGTGTCTGTGTCCCCAGTATCACCGGGCTATGTCTGTGTCCCCAGTATCACCGCGCTATGTCTGTGTCCCCAGTATCATCGGGCTATGTCTGTGTCCCCAGTATCATCGGTCTGTGTCTGTGTCCCCGGTATTACCAGTCTATGTCTGTGTCCCCAGTATCACCGGTCTGTGTCTGTGTCCCCAGTATCACCGGGCTATGTCTGTGTCCCAAGTATCACCGGGCTGTGTCTGTGTTCCAAGTTTCACCGGTCTGTGTCTGTGTCCCCAGTATCACCGGTCTGTGTCTGTGTCCCCAGTATCACCGGTCTGTGTCTGTGTCCCCAGTATCACCGGTCTATGTCTGTGTCCCCAGTATCACCGGTCTGTGTCTGTGTCCCCAGTATCACCGGTCTATGTCTGTGTCCCCAGTATCACCGGTCTGTGTCTGTGTCCCCAGTATCACCGGTCTGTGTCTGTTTTCCCAGTATCACCGGTCTATGTCTGTGTCCCCAGTATCACCGGGCTATGTCTGTGTCCCCAGTATCACCGGGCTATGTCTGTGTCCCCAGTATCACCGGGCTACGTCTGTTTCCCCAGTATCACCAGTCTGTGTCTGTGTCCCCAGTATCACCGGGCTATGTCTGTGTCCCCAGTATCACCGGTCTGTGTCTGTGTCCCCAGTATCACCGGTCTATGTCTGTGTCCCCAGTATCACCGGTCTATGTCTGTGTCCCCAGTATCACCGGTCTATGTCTGTGTCCCCAGTATCACCGGTCTATGTCTGTGTCCCCAGTATCACCGGTCTGTATCTGTGTCCCCAGTATCACCGGTCTATGTCTGTGTCCCCAGTATCACTGATCAATGTCTGTGTACCCAGTATCACCGGTCTGAGTCTGTGTCCCCAGTATCACCGGTCTATGTATGTGTCCCCAGTATCATCGGTCTGTGTCTGTGTCCCCAGTATCACCGGTCTGTGTCTGTGTCCCCAGTATCACCGGGCTACGTCTGTGTCCCCAGTATCACCGGTCTATGTCTGTGTCCCCATTATCACCGGTCTGTGTCCCCAGTATCACCGGTCTATGTCTGTGTCCCCAGTATCACCGGTCTATGTCTGTGTCCCCAGTATCACCGGGCTACGTCTGTGTCCCCAGTATCACCGGGCTGTGTCTGTGTCCCCAGTATCACCGGTCTGTGTCTGTGTCCCCAGTATCACCGGGCTGTGTCTGTGTCCCCAGTATCACCGGTCTGTGTCTGTGTCCCCAGTATCACCGGTCTATGTCTGTGTCCCCATTATCACCGGTCTGTGTCCCCAGTATCACCGGTCTATGTCTGTGTCCCCAGTATCACCGGTCTATGTCTGTGTCCCCAGTATCACCGGGCTACGTCTGTGTCCCCAGTATCACCGGGCTGTGTCTGTGTCCCCAGTATCACCGGTCTGTGTCTGTGTCCCCAGTATCACCGGGCTGTGTCTGTGTCCCCAGTATCACCGGTCTGTGTCTGTGTCCCCAGTATCACCGGTCTGTGTCTGTGTCCCCAGTATCACCGGGCTGTGTCTGTGTCCCCAGTATCACCGGTCTGTGTCTGTGTCCCCAGTATCACCGGGCTACGTCTGTGTCCCCAGTATCACCGGGCTACGTCTGTGTCCCCAGTATCACCGGTCTGTGTCTGTGTCCCCAGTATCACCGGGCTGTGTCTGTGTCCCCAGTATCACCGGTCTGTGTCTGTGTCCCCAGTATCACCGGGCTGTGGGACAGGTGTGGATGGCCGCTGCCTATATTCTCAGCGAGACGTGCGTCCTACCGTTCAACGTCTCCTTCTACGCCTGGACACTGCGGAGCCTACAGGAGCAGCTGGTCTACGACTACGGGAACATACTGCAACAGCATCTACCTGACTACGGTAAAAGTGCAGTGTTATATATTGCGATAATCTTTTGATTTCCATGTCATCTTATTTGCTGTTTTACATCAGCAATGATGCATGTTTGTGTAATAATATTATATACCTGGCATACTGTGGGTGATCGAATGATTGAGTCGACGAATTGAAGATACTTTAGTTTTACCCTTGGAACATAATGAAAAAAAAACATAAAGTGTTCACGGGTTCAAATCATTATCTCCACATTATGGCAACACAACATTACACCCGTGAATTTACGGGTCAGAAATGTTCTTCAGCAACCCATGCATGTCGTAAGAGGTGAATAACGGGATCGGATTGTCGGACACATTCGCATAGATCGAAGCTCATGATGTCAATCACTGGATTGTCGGGTTCATACTCGAGTTTTTACAGACCGCCATCAAACATCTAAAATATTGCTGATTGCGGCGTAAACAACAAACAAACAAACAAATCTTATCTAATATTAGTCAAAGCAGCTAGGCTCGTCTATTACTATGTACACTGCCTTGTCAACCTACATGTTTGTATGGAAAAGTTCCACATGCGGAATACGTTCTTCAGTTTACCGGGGGGCACGGGTGGCCCAGTCCTCTAAGGCGCCGCGATTCGCTGTGCAGAGTTGCGTCCCTTGGGCACGCCAGAAACCTATGATTATGGGTTCGAATCCTGGTTCGCCCCGATTATGTTTCTAGTTTTGTCAGCACCATACCCGTGCTCGTGGGTTTCACCGAAGTGGTAAACGTCTGAGACCTGCATCACTTCAGGCTTTCCTCCCACAATAAGCTGACACGCCATGATATAACTGGAATAATGTTAAAAGCGACGTTAAACACAACTCACCCACTCTTCAGTTTACTATCTGATGTTGTGACTCATGATTGATCAATGTTACACAGCGAGGAACCTGACGCTTGCTGTAGAGCACTTCAGCCAATCTGCAGCTGAGTTCATGACGAGACGACAGCATGTGGACCAATCAGAGTAATGTATATTTCTACATTCTTGCCATAAACTCACGCCTAAGATAACTTATGCAGACTATTCGAAGTGTACAACACTTGACAGGTTTATGGTCAGTATATCGGAAATTATGATCACGTAGGACGTCGTTTTGTTACAGCCGTTGCCCGTGTAATCGTCTTTTAGGAGTTTTCAAAACACTGACGTGGATGATGTATTCCGTGCTACAAGTGTTCATCCTATGACAAAAATGAACGTAGCTGATTGTCATTGGATCCCCATAAATATATTGTTCCACGCGATATATTTATGTTAAATATGAATCAGGTATTTGCAGATCCTGTTATAAAGATATTCAATGTCAGAGGCCATCCATAGCGCTTACATCACATAATGTTTTTTTAAAATGCTCTAGTACTTTAAATAGTACCATGAGCCTTATGTAACGAAGATCATTTATCTTTATTCAAGGTGTGAGTTTTGTTATTATGCCCAGTGGGGATTCCATAACGAAGTGATTCCCCTGCCCTCAGAATACGCCTTTAACTATCTGGTGTCATGGTGTCACGAAGGCGTTGAGCGTTGTTCATGCTATCAACCACTAGTTTACAGGTCGTTGTGATATTGTTGACTGTGACCTATTTAACATTCATTGACTCACTCGTTCCTGTTTGTAATACTCATGCACTTACGTTACTACATTCAGCCCTCTGTCTGTCCGCCGCATCAACGACCAGATGCTGCAGCTAGAGAGAGCCTTTCTAGATCCAAACGGCATCCCAGGGAGGTCCTACTTCAGGTATAATGATGTACACTGTGTAACTCACCTTTCAAATAAAAATAGGTGCCGTGATCCCAAAGTTCTTACTTTAAAGCATCTCTATGCTTGTGCATCATGTTGATGCTAGGAGAGATCTCACTTTTAATCACTGTAAGCATCCGCACCAACCATGTTGCCATGGCCATCTGCCTACTTGAACTCTGTAGGGATTCCGGGATAGATTAGATCGCCAGCATCCAATGCAGGTCGGAAGAGGCAACCACTTGGGTCCCGTTGTCCCTGGTTGATTGTGTGTCATCGTACCCCTGCTGCGTGGATTGTTGCTAATAACATCAATCACTGGATTGGGTGGTCCGGACTTGTTTATTTAGAGGCCGTCGCCATATAGCTGGAATATTGCTTTTTAAGGCGTTAAACAACAAACAAACATCATTGTTAACTTTCTTAGAGTAAAGGACCATTCTTTCACATCCAAAATATATCAACCTTGATAAAGACGGTTGTACATCACAAGATAATCTTTATTCACCATAACACTCGCTCAAAGTCTTTAGGGGCGGTGGGGTAGCCTTGTGGTTGAAGCGTTCGCTAGTCACGCAGATTCCCCACATGGGTACAAAGTGTGAAGCCGTAATATTGCTGGAATATTACTAAAAACATACTCAATCACTCGCTCAAAGTCTTTGGGTTTGTGTAGTAAAAACATCATACATGGGCGTATCACACGGTAAGACGATGAGCATTTGCAATTCATCGATAATTCCATTAACCGTTGAATTCCCAGTTGAAAGACAGTAAGAGTGAGTCAGTGAGTATGGTTTTACGCCGCTTTTAGCATTATTTAAACAGTATCACGGCGGGGGACACCAGAAATGGGCTTCACACGTAGAACCCATGTGGAGATTCAAACCCGGTCTTCAGCGCGATGACCGAACGCTTTGACCACTACTCCACCACCTGAAGACAATAAGAGTGATAATTGGCATAATCTAACTATTCTTTCTCAGGCACATCCTGTTCGCCCCCAGCAGTGTCAACAGCTATGCGGGGTCGTCCTTCCCGGGTCTCACCGATCTGCTGTTTGAGATGGACAAGTCAAAGGATCCAGCGAAGCAATGGGAAAGAGTCAAACAACACTTCTCGGTCATACTGTTCACCATCCAATCAGCAGCCTCGACACTCAAGGATCCAATTCACTTCCTTTGATATTGGAATAAAATTCATAATATACTGAACCGAAAGCAATAAATGAAAATACTTCATGAAATTTTCCCATTGAAATATCAATGTATTTTTGGAATGTTTCTCGTGTTTGACATTAGTGTATATCCACATTTAATGTTAACGGCCAAAACGTGCCACAATTGTGGCTATAATTGGTCTCCAAAACGCAGCTTAACAAACGACCACGGCTAAAAGTCCCGAGTGCGTTCCATGAAAATATAAAAAACCTTGCGTTTCATTATGCCTTTTCTGATCAACGGCACCCCAATACGTGGATCCAACATTCATGTATCGATACTAGCGCCATGCCAAGACTTACGAAGAATCAGAGAAACCAGGCTTCAGAACGACTGCATGCAGTCGCCCTAAATCCTGGTACATTTATACTGAGCTATGTCCACGTGAGAACCATCCACAGATTACAGCAACGATACCAGGTCACCAACAGCCTTCAGTCTTCCGAAAGGTGACGCACATGCATTTTGATTTTCATGCAAAGCATTCGGGACTTTGTACCATGATCGCTTGTTAATGCATTGATTTTTCAATGGGAAACTTTCATTAAGAATTTCCATGAACCTACGTTTTGTTTGCGGTTCAGAATATATATATATATATATATATATATATATATAGTCACTTGATTCTACTCATAGTAATACATACCTGTTAAAAGTGTTGCATATTGCAACATTTATGTTTAAAGATTTCCTAATGCACCTTGAAATAACGGTTGTTATACTGGATGCCTACACACGATGTACATTTATAAATTGTGATAATATACGCATGACATATCTTGAACTAAATTTAGATTCATATCATAAGGCGTGAATGTTCAATTTACAGAAGGTTAATGCACACAGACGTTCATCACTTTGATGAAGCATGCATGACATTGGGAGTCACATAACGCCGCTTTTATCAGTATTCCAGTTATATCACTTACTGAGGAAGGACTTCCCGAAGTGATGCAAGTTTTCAGACGTTTACCACTTTGGTGAAACCCGGGAGCACGGGTACGGAGCTGACAAGCCTAGAAACATAATCGGGGCGAATCTGAATTCGATTCAATCATAGCTTCCTGGCGCGCACAAGGGACGCAACTCTGCACAGCGAATTTCGGCGCGTTAGACAACTGGGCCACCCGGGTCCTTGCATAACATGAGGATTTGTTTGTTTGTGACTTAACGCCGTAATATTCCAGCTTCGTGACGGCAGTCTGTTAACAAATGACATCATGAGCATCTACCTATATATACTCACCGCCTTTCGACGTCAGATAATCTCATAGGAGCCATGCTGAACAAGAATTAAGACTTCAGTACAGAATAATTTTAAATTTTGTTTGGGTGTATCGCGTTTTTATCATGTCGCGAGTGGCTTGTTCAAAAAGCAAAGATTTACATCTTAGCTATTCACAACTGTTCGCGTCATTACCAACTGATTTTACCAATAGTTCTTTTGAGGTTGCGCCGCTCATGGTTAATTCTCCCTGCAGTGTTTTATTGTAAGATAAACATATTTAACTCGGTGTTTATTTCCTAAAAACGCCTCAAAACATGATCTGGCAGAAAAATATCTTGATGTGTTTTGGCAATACATGTTTGTGCTATGCTTGGCAAGTCATGTAATTAATGGCTGGCTTAGTCTCTTCAAGAGGCCCCCGTTACAAAGCACAGGCAGCCATCTCTCTATCGTGTTACCCCATTACCCGGTTATCTTACTCATTCCACTCCACGTGAGACATCATCAAAATAGTTGATCGATAAGATGGACCCGTTGAGCACAGGCGTTGTCGTCCCACACACCTTGCAACGGGACAACAAAGGGTGTGAGTATGTTGTCACGATATTACTGTCCAGTTATCTTTCAATTCACAATATGCACAATATCCACCGCCAAAACTATCATGAGGTCTCGGGTTGACACTGGCTTGGCGTTCATTTCGACAAATCCAGACGCGACTCATCATCTGAAAACATGATACCTGACCAGCGACCTCAATTTCGACGTTGGGTACACAATTAAACTCTGTTGGCAATATGACTATTTGTAAGGGGCAGTTCAACACGTAGCCGTCAAATATGGAGATGAGCTACATGTAGACGATTTGTAATCGTCTGACACGTTACGCTTACTCCAGTAGCCTGATGACAGTTCATCCGTTGAACTAATTAGAAACGTATAACTTCTTTAAGTGGCATTTAGAAGTTGGTGTGATGAAGTAAGACACGTTCTATGGATGATCAACTTCTTTATTACAATTAGTGCGACGTTTCGGTGTAGATCCTAACACCTTTATCAAGCAAGCACTTGCACTAATTGTAATAAAGAAGTTGTTCATCCATAGAACTTGTCTTACTTAATTAGAAACGTGTAATTATCACCGAATCCCACAGACTAGGCTTATAGAATGCGTTGTCATGTTATTGAAGCATTTGCATGTAGGTTTTTTCAGCCTAGACTCAGATATAACAACTCCTTGAAGCAATTATAATTTTCTTTTAATGTTTATAGATTAGCTTATTGATATTTTATTTCAACATTGAAATGATTTTGGTATTTGTGGTACCTTTCCATATATTTTGGCTTGATAACAGTCGGCGAAGAGCATGTTCCCTTCCAACAAACACAGGTATTGTTTGATCAATTAAACAATTTCGTGTGCATAAATGGAACACAAATGTCTACTTCGTGTGCAGTAACCTAGCGTTCCAGATATCAGTATTCTCTGTTAATGCGTTCAACGTGTCCACACAGTCTGCACATGGAATATTGACAAGGTCCCAGCAAACACATGGTGTCATCATTGATTTTCAATTATCCATTTTAATTTTCACCGCTATTTCTGACCTTCCCGCCAAATGTAATTTATTATTTTGAAAATTGCTATCGGAAACTGGTTTAACACTGACAATGACGTTTCGTATGTCTACAACAATGGTTGTTTACGACATGGGTATTGGCTGATTACAACATTTTGTGGTACAAAGCACTAAATAATATGTGTATGCCTGTAATGTCTGCTTTTTCTTGTCATGGATAGTTAATATTGACCGGGCCACGCATTTCAGCTAGAGGTAATGTTGTTAAAGTGGTATTTTATTCAGGAAACAACTGTTAAAATTAGTTACCTGAACAGACAACTAAGTATTGATATTTCCCTTTAAAATAACACACACACATGTCTAACAAACAAATCTTCGTGTTTACCGTTAGAGCCAGACGCGAATTGTCTTTAAATAGTCTATGTGGCTGTCGTATACATAAAAACAGATAAATGTTATTTACAGTACTGTGTGGAATTGAAATGATGAACGTGTTCATTAGATAAGGTACTATTCAAAACAATATGCAATATAAGGTGTTGAAGATCTTTAGTTGACTTCAAAATTATGGTTTTACACGTGCACATACACTTTGCTGCGTCATAAATTACATATATTTCACATTATTTTGTTATTTTCAAATACCAATATTGAAAAACCATCAACAGACACTACAAAATATACTAATCAGTTCATAATGAACAGTTTGTATTTGGACTGTTCTATTTGAAATGTGAATACTTTCGACAGGCGACATATGTAACTGTAAGACTGTTGAATTAGTGAAAAGGAGATCAAACAGACGACTGAAACTACGGGCGGTACCAGGTTATAGATGCTATGTTATGGACAAGCCCTAAGTAATACAAGCCTACTACTTTGGTAAAACCCACGAGTACGGGTGTGGTACTGACACAACTAGAAAGTTAATGACGACGATCGATTATATATGTTTCTTGCACGCCTAAGGGGCTTCAACAGTGAATTGAGGCGTCTCAGGCATCTGTTCGACCGTAACACTATGAAGATAAATTATACAAAGTTCAGGCAGGGTACAGATCGGCCTGAATAGGCTCGTTGGCGCTGAAAGCTCTCGACTTGAAATGGATTACTTTACTCCAAGTTCTTTATGTACACATGTTGTGACGCACAATTTGCACCTAACATCGATTGTGTTGTTGCACACTGCACCCAAGAAATAAGACGCTCAGCCTATCCTTGAATAAAATACAAGGACTATCTCAGCGGTGTATGTTCACGTTTATAAATAATAAACTGATCAGCTGACGGTAAGTTATACCGGCATGTGTCATGTAGGTAGCGACGTGAGACATAAGTGTATGCTATCACGATGGAGCGCACCCCTAAACGAGCAATGAAGAGACACCTTGAGGAAAAAACAGTGGACAGTGGACATGGAACAGATGATGAAGGTAAGAAAAATATAAGAATAATATGAGCAAAAGAATGTCACCATTCAAATTACGAGGGTTTTGCTAGTTTATGATCATGAAACGTGTGTGTGTTAGTTATTGCTCATAGAGTTTTATCGTTACGAAACACATCAATATATACATACAATCGCATATATGCATATGAAGGATAATATACATAAAGTACCCGTTCTGAGAAAGGTTCAAGTCGTCCAGTACATCTAAACTCTAGATGTGCACTTTTTCAGACTGTCCAAAATGCAAGACGATTGTTAGTGGCATCAAAAGCTCGCAATGTGTGCTATCAATGCATGTTGACATCAGAAGCATCTGTCCGTCAAAGACTAAAGATTCATCAGGAAGTCTGTGCTCGAAGGCAAGCTCGCCAAAGAAAGGAAAACTGGACAGACAACAGGATCGTGAACAAAGTGAAAAACAAAAGAAAGAAAAACAAAAGAGAAAAAACAAGGAAAGGGATCGTATTTTTGAGCGTATCTGTGCACTGAGAAACTCAAGGGGTGGCATATTGCTCATAAACTTTACACATATGGACGACAGCGACCAGTTTCTTGGGCTAGTGGATGAACTGATTGATGACAGGTTAAATGAACTAATTGAGGATGGAAGCATATTCCATGAGAGTTATTTCAGAGACTGGGAGAAAAATGAACCCAATTGTCTCTCCATTACGTGCAACCCTTCATCAACTATTTCTACCACAAACTACAAGACACACATCAACCTCAATAAAGGCTTTGCTCGACCCACAATTTTAAATATGCGTTACATCCTGAGTAAAGACAGATCATGTCGCGAATATAAGGAGAAGTCACTTGACGAACTGCAAGAGGCAAGCAACGTGCAACTAAAGTCCTTCCGAAATGCACAAAATGTGGAGAGGGACAATTGGGCACTCCACATCATGAAGGAGCTTCGTCTGAGGGAATTCATTTCATCCTTTGCAAACCAGCAAGGAGGTGGGTACTATTTCCTAGGAGTTGCTGAACAAGAAGACCGAGAAATAGACACCTACAACACAAGAAAGGTGTCCATTGAAGGATTTGAATTGAACAAAATACATCATGAGAAACTCAAATCAGAAATACTGGACCAAATTGTTTCAAAGATGTTGTTTCTTAAGCAGGATATATCCACTATTGACCGAGATGCGATTGCAAAGACGCTGAAAGTTACGTTTCACAAAGTCAGAGGTCAAGCACACACCTTTGTCCTTGAGGTATGCGTGCATCCCTTCAGTGGAATTGTGTTTTTCGACAGAGATGGTCCGGAGTCATACCGTATTGATGAGAACAACTGTATCCAACGTGTTGAATCACAGGAATGGTGTCACAAGATTTTTGAAAACATTGCATGGTAAATAATTGAAATCAATTATCAGATGTTAATTGAATCTTTTGATGTAAGTGTCAACGGTTTTTTTCGGTGGACTTCAGAAACGTCGAGCTCTGTGTGACGTGCTGTGATAAGGTTCTATGTTGAGACTGCCCTTTTGTATTTTAATGCTTACATACACTAAATGTTTAATTCACTCGAAGTGTTAGTTACAAAAAACATTTAATAGCCTTGGCCCACCGCTTAGGGTGAAATACTAGCCGAGTTAGGGTTTTCTACTCTGTCGTCCGCGCTTTGACGAAAAATTCCCGGACTTGACCCCAGTTTGTTATGATGCGTCGGTGCCCGGCGAAGGTTCAAGCTGTGCAGACACAAGCTGGTCCATGAAGCTGTTTAGACTGGCATCGTGGCAACTTATACCTGTGTATATTTAGACCGGGTTTTAATATTATATACTGAACCGCAAAAGAAACGTCGCCATGGATAGATATGAGAAACCTTATTTGTCCAAACACTGTAAACATATTTTGAGACATATCAAAAAGATGAAACTTGGCAAAACTGATCATAAAGATTGAAATTAAAGTGTCAAATGTTCTTAGATTGAAACAATAGTCTCTGAGAAAATGGCATCACAAGTCAGTATCTCGTGTATTCGCCATGTGCATTGATGACTGCCGTGCAACGTCGATACATGGAATGGATGAGGCGGTTGATGAAGGCCATAGGTACTTGAGCCCTCACTCTGAGGAACGCATGACGCAGTTCAGCTACAGTTGGTCGGACGTCTTTCAGCCGTCGTTGAATCTCGTCCCACAGGTGCTCAATGGGATTTAAATCGGGACTGAGGGCAGGCCACTGTATGGTTCCGATGCCATTCTGCTGGGGGAAGTCTCTTGTTGCCTTCGCAGTGTGGGCACGGGCGTTATCATGCTGAAACTCGTGGTTGCAGTAAGGTGCCAAATGAGGTATAGCGTGTGGTCTCAAGACTTGATCAATGTAAGGAGCTGCTGTGACACCATTGCCTCTCCCTGGACCGATGTTCTGGAATACCACAGGGCCGACCCTCTGTGCAAGACCAATTTCACCCGACACCATGATGCTCGGACCACCCCACGAGTCTCTCAACAACACAAGCATCCGAATAATGTTCCCCATGGCGTCGCCAGACTCTCTGCCATCTGCTGTTGAGATACAGTAACAGCTCTTGTCTGAGAAGAGGATTCTTCTCCACTGCTGGTGTCGCCAATGCAGGTGCTGCGTTGCCCACTGAAGACGGTCCCGGCGAAGACATGGTGTCAGAATGGGTCCTCGGTGTGGCCTTGGACAGTGGAGGTGTCTGCTGGTCAATCGTCGACGCACAGTGTCCGCACTAATGTGTCGCCTCATGTGTCACCATGGTCTGTCGAGCAGTTTCCGCAACAGTAAGAAAGCGATCTTGAAGATGCTGTCGCACAATCTGATGATCCTGACGTCGGGTGGTGACCCTTGGTCTTCCAGTACGTGGTCGGTCATCTGTAGTGTTGGTGGTCTTGTACTGTTGCCGGAGCCTGTATATAGTCCTTACGTGGACTTGAAATGCATTGGCTACTTGCCGGGCGGTTTGTCAATCTTGCAATTGCCCAAGGGCTTGGTGTCGCTGATTTCTTGTCAATCTTGGCATGTGGTAGCAATTCAATAATGAATGAATGTTATCCGATCTAGGTTGATTATAGGGTAAGAAATGGGGGAGCGCATGTGCATTTCAATTTGCACGGACCTCACGTGCACCGGGTTACCATGCCCGTTGCCGTGATGCGTTTGGGCGATCGGTTTTATTGTCATCTGCTTTGTTTTTTAATCATCAAATTTCATTTTTCCGGACAAGGTAATGTTAATTTTTAGAAACTTTGACAAAAATTACCCAGATATTTAAATGACAACTTTTCATGCAATGTAACTTGGGGTGACGTATCTTTTGCGGTTCAGTATATATTGAAATTGACTTGTTTACTGTCAGTGCTGCTAGTCTGTGTGTACGAACCTGTTAGAAGTACTCACGCTGTGTCCTACTTTTAATTGTTTACTTAAAGCCTTAGTGCTTTAACTTGGTTGTTATTGTCTAGTGTAAATAAACCCTTCAACTTCAGTTGGTTTATCTTTGCGAATGCGCAATGCAATCGGTCTGTCTATTTTTTTTCAACTTCACGTCCGCTCTATACATTTCATTTAACAATACCGAGTCGGTCCGTCTGTTGGTGAGGCGTAATTCTATCACAGGCGTATCAGTATTGTGTAGTGCATTAGTTCACAAAACACTGGAGACATGACATTCTTCCATATCAGAAATAGATTCACATATTGAATTACATGCCGCACATTTCAAGTAGTGTCTAGTTTGATACTCATGCATACTCGTATGTTATTAAAATGTTAGCTTACCAGATGAGACTATATATATTGAACGTCTGGCATTGCCAGCTAAAGAAATGACAATAATGAACAACATCAGACAAACTCTAGTTTCAAGCGATTTAGTCCAGCGGAATTGTGAAAAAGCATGTTTGGGCGTCATTATTAAGTTTTTTGGTTGATTCATCATCTCTGAGCTATCCTGAACCAGAATCAGCCGGGTGCCACACTGGCACCATTGAGGACTTTATTTTAGAGGCGAAAAACAAGATGGCCGCCACCGATTTTCGTTTAATTCTGTTTGAGATAATATCTTCACTTCTAATGCCCTTACAAACAAATTTTTGGTGTCTAATACTATGTTTTCATGGCCAAGGAAACCGATAATGATATTATTAAAATTGTGCAAATAACACTGGTGTCATATTGTCAATATATGTGGTCGAAATCGTCTTTCATCGTAACACTGGTGATTGTTCAATTCTGTCTTTTTTCCTGGTGATTGTGGCAGCAGCAGGCCATGGCTTCTTCCGAAGAGATTACAGGTTGCTTTTTTAAACATTATGTGGAATGCACTTCCTAATGAGTTTCGTCGGAGCTGTGGGAACTGTTTTGAGTAACACAGGATTTACTGAAATCATGCAAACAACCTTTGGTGGTGTCCCAAACATGCTCACCGGTAAGAAGTTTCCGCAAAACATGAGAGCCTTGCCCATGGTAGTTGAAGAACTTCTGAGTCCAATCATTGTAACAATAAAGCATGCCAGAGCAAAATTTGGATTGATAACTTGATCAAGCCAATCCTCTTGATGGTGGTGTTTCTAAGAGCTGTGCGGGAAGCCGACTGGCCTCTGCATCTGTGGGCAGTTGCAGAGATGATTCCCTATTTCTTTGTTAAAGTCATTGGAACTATGCCAGGTACGGTCATGCACGGCAATCATGTCATTCGTCACAACCAAGGCATATGGAACGCCATATGGTCCGATATGTTTATAGAGTCAACGTTTATGAGATATGTCCACGAGTCTCGCGGACTCACGGGACTCACTCTGAAGCCATCGGCTTTTACAAGATGGGCTCTGAGCTTGCATATCTGCAGCCAGCTACGTGGGGATCTAGGGGCGATGAAAGTCAAGCAAAACAGCAGGATCGTCACAACTCACAAAGAAGAGGCCCCAGCAAGGATTACAAGCAACTCATCTGATCGTCAGAAGATTCAAAACGCTCTTCAAAGTTACATCGATCCTTTGGCAACAGACACACACCCACTTGGCCTTGTAAATATCGTGACAGGTCTTCATACGACAGGCAAGGTCAATGGTGATAATTCTCTCCAAATTGAACGACAACAGATGGTGGAATTTGAATCTGGATGGCCAACATCCTTCAACAAGTCACTGACCAAGAAAGTGTCCCTGATCATTAAGACCAAGAAGAGCATAAAGTTGGATGGAAGACCTGTGTACGATACCGAATTGATCTATTGAGTCTCCAACAATACAGGGATATTGATATCAATGATATCCTCTCTTACGAACTGACTCCTGTGCCAGACTCCTTGTTTGATGAGAGTGGTGCGATGCGGGCTTAGTCGAAAGCAGTCCTGAAGACGAAACTGCAAGTTGAGAAATCAAGTCGAATTGAAGGTGTTTCAGATGCTGTTATAATCGATGGATGCGCCTTGTTCTGGACTGTACATTGGCCCACACATGGTACAGTTGAGGATTATGTGATCAATTTCATGGGGACCATCAAGTACCACCTGGAGTGTTGTGACGTTTACCTGATTTTCGACAGGTACATAAAAAGCAGTACAAAGCAAATAACGAGATCCAGTCGCGCGGGTCACGATTCAAGTCGAAAACATCAACTCAACTTATACACTTCCATCGCAAAAAGTTGTGCTCAATGTAACCTACAACAAAGAACAGCTGATCGATTTCATTTGTCAGTATCTGATGACCCACATTGTAGACAACCAGATCAAACTGGTTATCACCGGAAAAGGTCCCATGCCAATATGGAACAATTCTACTCTCCAGAGACAGGATCTCACAACACAACATGAAGAAGCAGACGTCATCATTATCTATCACTTAGTTGGGATTGCCTAAAAGTCGGGCCAAGAAAAGTCGGGCCGGGCCGGACCAGCGGGTAATACTAAAAATGGATTGCAGAATAATAAAACGAAACGCGCATATCTAGGCAGATCTCAAATGTCCACAAACGTATAGTTTTGCTCATTTAATTGAGTTTGAATAAAAATGCACCTTCAACCATGTAATAAACTGATGATTATGACTACATGACTCTGTACCATCAACTTAACTGCCCTCACCCCCTGCAGTTTTCCCGTCCCATATTACCAAGCAGGTGACCCACAAGGAGGAATACGGCCCTCCCTCAGTCCAGACTCATGAGTTATACTGTGCCTACCACAATAAGTTGTGAATACGTAGCCTTGCTGTGGCCAAACATTTTGTAACAATTTGGCAAACTTTGAAATGTAAACAGCACATATAATTCAGTTTTATTTCAACTTAACATATCAGTTGAATCCCACTTGACCTTTGAAGATCCGGTTAAGAATAGATTTACAGCAACCCATGCTTGCCGTTATAGCCGACTATGCTTGTCGTAAGAGGCGACTAAAGGGATCGGGTGGTCAGGCTCGCTGACTTGGTTGATGCATGTCATCGTATCCCAATTGCGTGGATCGGTGGTCGTGATATCAATCACAGGATTGTCTGGCCCAGACTCGATTATTTACTGACAACCGTCATATAACTGGAATATTGCTACGTGCGGCGTTACACAAAGAACAACAAAAACGGAAAAAAACGGATCCTACTTATTTTGTGGATACCATAACAATAAATCAAACCAATAGATCGTTTGAGCTAGCTAAAATAAAAAAATAGTCGATAGTCATATTTCCCTCTGTTGGTCCCACGTGAAATGTTCTTCATGAATACTGTAAATCATGAAATTAACGCAATAATAAGTCAGCACATTAATGCGAGTATAGAAGAACCCTGGCCTCAAATGCGTCATGACATTTATGAGAGTAGCCTTGCAAAAATCACTGTAGTCTCACAATTTAATAATGTAGTATTGGCTGATAGATGTTCGACCGAATAATATCATTTGTTCAATCAACTGTTC